GTCACCTTGCTCGGTTGGATTCTTGTATGCAGTGAGGGTATTGCAGAAAGTGTTCGTGAATCAATGCTTGAATCGATATGCTGTGTATCTACATGATTTACAGATTCGTTTGTCAACGTAAGATGCCGATGTGTGTTTAGGAGCGTTTCGGAAAAAAGACTACCGTTTTGGTGTAGTAGGTTGGTTGAGGGGAGTTGGACGGGACGTCTATCCGAGTGTTTACTGCATTTCTGTTCGGATACCGTACAATGCGTCACTGGACCTGTACTCTGCACACTATCGTAACGTCCATCCCCGTCCTTGTGTATACGCATTGGGTAATGTGATGGGTCCGTTTTCACGGTATGTGAATCCACAGGCCGTGCACACTCTTCTGGAGACCTACTCGACCGTTTCTGATCTTTTGTTCCATATGATCCATAAAACGATCTCGAAGCAATTTCGGCTGGTCGTGGAGGTTTCCCTTTTTCATCCTTGATGATTTTGCCGCATACCCGTCTCCATTGCTCATCCATATCATTTAACGCATCCTCCAGCTTTTGTGATTTCAGTGGACCGTCTCCATCGTTCCGGTCATCATACCAATCTACTAAATCTACTTCTCGCGATTCGGCTGTGTACCCCTCAGCCCATAACCGATCCTTTTCGTTATTGTATTCCGTCATTTTTTCCCACGTGTCCTAGTTGAACCGTCAACAAAGAAATCCCCTCTTTAGAGTTTTACAATTAAATAACTGTTACCTGTTGATCAACAACTTGAAGCTCTTGAACAAGTTTATCCACTGAAAATCCGTACCCATCCCTCGCCTACTCAACCTCATTGTTTCAACTCATGTTGATTTCAAACAATAGAAACGGGACTTACGGCACTCGCGACGATATGAGAAACATTCCACCTCGTCCGTCGTATCAACCGGAACCGCATCATGGATTCCACCATTACATGTAAAATGTAAATCAATACGGATTTAGGAGGGATATCGCGGTTTGATATAAACTCATCTATCAAGGATACGTTAGTGTTTCTAGAGTACATGAAAAACAGCGAAAAAAGGAACGCACCAGCACATTGTCGTGCATCAAACCATGTCTTATCCACTCCACTGTGTACAGTTGCATCACTATCCGGCATCGTACCATCCAACCCAACAAGTTTTGCATCCAACATTTCCCCACATACTGCCCTTGACTCCAATTTAACTCCCATGTTCGATTCCGCACAACACTCCATTTTAATTTCCTCTGGTGAATATTCCCGGTTTGGTTCACATCCATCATGTGTGACAGAAATTGCCTTGTACACATCCTCAGCGGTCTTTACAGCCGGATTCGTCATATCGATCGCAAGTACACAATCTAAACGAGAATACCGTCGTTTATTCAACACTGCGTTTCGTACAATCTCACTCTTTTCGTCATCTCGCATCGTTTCATTATGACATTGATCATCATGTGGGTCATGTAACATTGCTAGTACGTCTTCCTCTGATACGTCGTCATCGGTGTAGAGTTCTGGTTCGTTGTGAGGGGGCGGCATCCAATCCGGGATCCAAAAGGGGTCAAAATCGGAGAAACGTTCCGCGTTGGAGAGGATATCGGGTGTGTGTTGAGTATTGTTGGTGGGTTTGTTGGGTTGGTTGCGTGGTGGAGTGTTGGTGTTTACGTCGCGGTATTCATGGTCTGAATGGGGTATCAAAGGTTTCTTGATACATGGTGGTGGCATATCTTGTAGTATGGAATGGGTATCGTCCGTTTTGTTGTCCAATTTGGGCTTTTTACGCTTTTTCCTGGCCTCGCGAGATTCTTTTCTTTTTCGCTTCTTTCCACATTTTGTACCCGCATTGTGCGTATTTCTTTGAACAACTTGACAACCCTTTACCGACTTTGCATGAGCCTTCTGTGAGGTTCTTTGTTTACCACGACCTTTCGCGGATATTGGCTGTTTCTTCTTCGCTATGTTTGAGTCAGAGGGATTCGGGGATCGTTTCTCACGTATCGTCCCACCCATTTGCTCATCAAACATACTCTGATCCCTCGATACACTCTGCGTCCCATCCGTTACCTTTTCACACAAACGGCTCACATACACACGTCTCCGTCCACTAAGATCAGTCAATCCCTTCCATTCTGGTCGTTTTTGGTGTCGTGCGGGAGGATACTTGACGTGTGCTGCCGATATGACGATAGGCGGGAGTTTGGGTTCTTTATTGATGGGTAACTTGAGTCTTGGATGCTTGCTTTGTAGTGCGGACCGTTGTTTATACATTTCTTGACGCCATGGCCGATCTAGTGGGTTGGGTGATGAGAGCATGACTTTTGCTCGCAAACCTTTGCGACGTATTGACAAGTTCTCGGGGAATGGATATAGGATGTAGGAATATCACACAAAACGAGTAAAAGTGCTTCGTAAATCGATTCTTTCAACTCTTCACGGTTCGGTATCCGAGTGAACCTTGTCCGTAACAATGTATTCAAAGAAAACAAGATACATGAACCCTCGACTAATTAGTACCATTCCTCGTTTATGCAACAGTCATGTTTTTGTTCGGTGGGAGGTACACAAATCTTTAGGGTTCAAGGCTTGACCGACATGCACTCAAAGCGTGTGCAATGCAAAGTGGGGGTTGGACAAGAGCAAGATCGGACAACCTGGACCATATTACGTAAGTGCACGATCGTCCTCTCAAGCCCTGAACCGAAAAGACAATGTACAAGAAGAATCAAGGTTGCCATTCCTATCAAAAGCGTCCTGCTTTACGCATAAAACAACAACAATGCACCTCGCTATAAAAACCTTTACAAACTTTCTCACATGTTCAAATGCCCATTTCAAAGGCCACATCCTAGATCCCCGTCTCATGGGCCGAACCTCTACCCGCCACTGGTGGAACCGGGAACTCACACCCGAACGCCAAACAGCCCTGCACATCATGCGCATCGTCATGACCACGCAATACAAGTATCGATATGTTTATGCTGGGATTTTGCGTGTGTGTTTTCGGAATCCTGTTATGAGGCGATTGGGTATCCATTCGTATGTTGCAGTATACCTTTGTGTGATGTGCTAATCATCTTTTTCTAGCTCCGTTATTTTATTTGGGAGGGGATGCAGCTGTGATATGTCAGCATCTATCCTATTTGACAGACCAAGGCGAAAAGGTTGTACTTGTGCAAAAACTCTACACCCCCAATGCTTCATTGATCCAAAATCCATAGCTCAACACGGGGGCGTACAGATCATGCCTTCAGCTTCAAGATTTTTGTGATACCATCATGGATCTATTTGAGCATCTCGTCCCGCTTGCAGAGCAGGCGACACATGGCGTCCCCTCTCGCATGGAATGTTATCAAGCGTTACGGAAATGCCGGCATATTGGCCCCATGATCGCCATGTTGGCTTCAGGTGAGTTGAGCTATGAACACACTGAGCTGTTGATGAGCATTGAAACAGCCAGATAGGCGATATGGTATTCTATGGGCTTGTGGATTCAAGCAACATTTCTCTACCACTATCCAAAGGGTTGGGGATGGGTGCGAAAAAAGGCCTTGAAAGGCTCGGAGTCCCTATGAACCAGTTGGTCAAATTTCATAAACTGGTCCTCCAAGCCATGCTGGAAGTGGGTAGGTGGTTCGCTCTCCCATCCGTTCGCTGCTGGAACGCATAACCTTTCTGCAAACAGGTCTCAAAAAGGATGCAATGGCCTTGAATAGCATCGTCTTTGAGCATAGCCTTTGCAAGTACTATCGGTACTGCAAACTACCCGTTCGAAAATCAAAGATTCCTCAGTGAACCCAAAAACTGTAAAGTATGACCATTAGTGTAGATCAAGCCAAGTCTATTAAAGACGACCAGTATCCACTACAGTGTACATCAACGAAATATCTAGTAGCTCGGTCCGAGCCAAAAATCCCATGGTGACGAGTACATGCTTAAAGGTTGAGCTTGGTGCGGCGCCAGTGACGACGCTTGGCATTGTATCTATGCAATACTCGATCAGCACCCAAAAACAGTAACGAACCAAAAAGAGTACTATCTAGGTCATACCTGATCTTGTTGTCAGTCCTCAATCGGATCCAGTTGGGAATGGGGCGGTTTTGCTTTTGCTTCTTGCCCAGGATGCGCTTAACGCGGAAAGTCTTGTTGGAAGGCTAACGAGTAATGACGTTAGCGCATGAAATTGATGCTAGAGCGGTCCTAGTCCACATGGTTCGTCCATGGTCCTCTGTGCCACTACGCTAATCCAGACATGTATCTTGTCAACTTGCAAAAACCTTGGTTCCATTCTCCTCCATCCGCTCCCACCATGCAAGGCAAGTTCCTCTTCCACCGAAATCCAAAACGTCCTTTTGTCTTCAGTTTTACAGTCAGGCCCCAAAACCTACCATTTTTCAACTGCTTCTCTCTTAATTTCGCAACCGACGTAAAACAAGTCGATGTAGCGATTTGATAATGATCAAAAGAACCGAGAAAAAAAGAGGACTCGCACCTGCCTTGCAACACGACCGTTAGCGCAGAAAAGTGCCACGTGATATGTTTCCCGATTCGGTCTCATTGCACATCACGTGCCCAAGCTTCAACACAGTCCGATCATTTTGGTTCCCAAGCTAGCGGGGTTTTTGGGATTTTTGTAGATCACGAACGTTTGGGTGCTTTGTTACATGGTTCAGAACGCAGCAGTGTACAGATACTGAATGATTCATTGCGTATGGGAACCATGTTGCGGCCATTACTTGTTATAAAAGTCGTGCATGCCCCTACCGATCGCGCAAAAGCTTTCCACCTTGCGACGCTAACCGTGTTGAAGGAGCCCCACTTTACGAGGGAGCATGTGACGATTAAGGATTGGTTTCGTCTCGTGGGAGATGTGTTTGATTGGGAGATGATTCAGTAAGTGTTAAGCATTTATGGTTATAGTTTAGTTTGAGGCGTGCAGCCATGCAAGATCACTACAGTGATCTTGCGCATGGTCGGCAAGGCCACGCTTTTATATCGGGGTTTCCTGTGAAAAGAGATCTCAGCTCATTGTTGAGGAACATTTGATTGACGTATTACTTTTTACAGGCACGGAAAACTCCCGTATCGGCTGCACCTCGAACACTCTGCCAAGCGAAGCTCGACACCCGTAAACCCGGAAGGCACCAACGACATGACCCCACAGCACGGATATTTGGATTTAATTGTTCGTCTAAAAAAAACAGTTGTAGAGCGCCCGGAACGTCCCCCTTGCAGTGGGGATTGGTACGAATGGATATGGGGATGTCTTGCTTTGGAGCGACTGAAGCCATTGCTGGTGGATACTGGTGACAAGAAAGTTCCGCCCAAGTCCGCTGCAAAGACCAAGCGCGGCCAGCGTGGACCAAAAGACATTATGGAACGCCGTGCCCAATCGCTTCAACCTCCCAAGGTAGGGTGCCACCAAATCGATTATTCTTTCATGCGATCTCATGGTAGGCACTTGCTCATATTTCCCATGATATACACAAGGCGGAGACGAGTACCGCCACAAAGCGTCGACGATGTAGCTCGGCTCCTGAAGCCCGATCTGCCAAAAAGATTGCCATAAACGTTCAGCAATCGTCCCTACGCGACGAGGTGGTAATCAACGACTTGACATACACTCCCGGGTTATCATCAACTCACAATGTATTGCAGATGACGCCGTCGTTACGCGAAAGCCAATCACCACCTACTCCAAAGCATAAAGTGGTTGATAGGTCCTCACGGGACTCTGGTCAATGCAAGCAGACCGTGTCAGTACCAGCTCAGGAATGGGGAGGGGGCGGTGGATCCTTATGTGACTCCCATCGGTGGACACAGACGATATCAACAATAGATCCTGACCTTGCAGTAAACGACCGCTGTGTAAAGGTATGATACCAATCTGTAATGGATCACTGCAATCCTTGATTGACCGTATCGTTGTTGCCAACGGACAGGTTATGTTGGCGAACAGTACCTATTGGTCTTGGTTGGATTCCCAATTGTGCGTGATTTGGTTATTGTTACAGGTAAGAGATGAGTTACCATTGACTTTCCTCCCGTCCCTCTGACCCACTTTACACGGTTTTCCAGGACCCGGACGGAGAGCAGGTGCTTTTCCGCGCCTACCAGGATGGTTCTAACAGGATTGCTTCCCTACAACAGACCAATTACACCCTTGTGGAGGATCTTAATGGAAGACTAGGGTGGCTGTCTGAGGTAGGTCTTTGTGCATATATATATATATATTATAATGTTTGAGAACATCTTGTTCTCAAACAATATACTTATGGTGCGGGTAGGATGACCGGGATGTAGGGGGCCAGAGATTTGTTTCCTTTGCCAACAAGGATCTTTGCAATCAAGTGGTATGTCCCTCTCGGTTGTTGCTCATTGACCATTAGCCGATTTATGCCCACCATCACTCCCAGATAGACGACACAACCGATGAAGATTTTGAGTACGGCAAAGTTCATGGCGCAGATACCCACTCTACCCTCCTCTGGGATTTACCATCACCACCCAACCTTCCGCCCCAAGCAAGGATCCCCCGCGAACTTCTCATCCCGAGCTCTTCCTCATGGGACATTCCGCAAGGACAGCGTGTGATGTTGGAAAGGGCTATAAAAGACAGCATTACAGCACTTTACAGGATAGGATGCTGTCCAATGCCTGGAGAACCGATGGACTGGAACAATTTGGATGAAGAAGGGTTCTACACCGTAAGTCCATTTTGTTCTTTTTGTCAATAACCCACAACTCTCGAACAAATGCACGTACTTGCACCCCAGAGCTCCGTTGTGGAAAATCATCCGCTATGGATTACACCTCGTCGTGATTCGGAGAGCGCTGGATTGGACTTGGAACGATGGTATAAGCGGTACATGGAAAGTACACCACCTGCTTACCTGAAACCCCGTGAGGACCAATTTGATTCGGAATCCAGTGAATGCTCGGTAGTAGCAGGGGACGGAGAGGCGGGATCTGACTCGGATGAGTACCAGGTCATGACGTACAGCTCAATGTCGGATACAAATGACGATACCGGCGCTACCGAGGCATCCATCCCGGACGACTCCTCAACGACCACAAGGAGAGCCATGGATGTCACGAGAGCCACATCCAGTCCGCTTGCAACAACCTCATCATCCCCAATGTTACTGGCTCACACATCTCCACCCGCTGGCATCGCGCCCCAGTTCACCTGCCACGACGCAAACATCGGATACGATATATTGACGGTACTGCCTGGTATAAAGAAGCATGAAACGGAGCAGTCGGATGCATCCGACGAAGAGACACTTGTAGAGAGTACGCCAGAGACGGATGCATCTTTTTTGCTTGATAATCCCGAGGTTTGTACATCTCTCCGTGAGGGCGAGATCTGATACTGATTTGCTGCATTCGCTTGTGGGGAGTAGTATGCACGGGCACGAGAAGCTAGTAACCGAGAAGCTAGTTCCCGAGACGTTAGTGCCCGAGAGAAGGATACGTCCCTTTTGCTCGGCAATCACGAGGTTTGTGCATCTCTCGTAGAGAATGACGTTTGATACTGACTGTTCTCGTTATTGGGGATTAATATACAGACGCAACGGCACCATCCTGCTCATTCAAACCCGAAAGATGATTGCCCTCCTCCTATATCTCTCAACAAGAAAAAGGAGACAGATATATCAGCTTGTAGAGCACCCAAGGTACACAAGCAACTTGCTAGTGATAAAGGTTCGGGCGACAGCACTCCGCAACGACGACGAACCAGGGTGCGTTTTCTGTGCTTTGATCAGATGTACCGTCATGTTGGTAGTCCTTAACTTCGGGTGTGGTGTTGATCAGGATCTGTTGTATGTGAGTCTTGGGGACAGCCCCAAGGACAAGGTGGCTACCGAATCAAAATCTAGCCCAAAGGCCCGGCGGCCGGCCTGTCTAGCGCCAACTCACAAAGGAACTGGATGCATTACGGTATGGATTCTCTCTTTTCACCCCTGTAAGCCATCATATATACTTATCAATGATATGTACGCAGTTTGATGCAAGTTCTCCAGACGTTAACCGACACCTGGCTACCATTGCTAAAAGCATTTGGAACGCCAGAAACATGTTGGTTGGAATCGGAGCTGGAGTGTCAACCTCTGCCGGCATATCGGTAACTTTTCATCTCTCTGCATGCCATGGTTGTTTATACCTGTAGTAGCACAGCTCACGCGTGTTATCCACAGGACTATCGCTCGTCGAATGGGCTGTTTGCGGGCGTCACTGGACGGGCTGTCAAGCAAGGTTTTGATGCCCACTCTTTCAGAGATAGTCCCGAGCAAAACGCTCGAGCATTTTATCAGATTGCACATCACCATGCACGGGCATGTCTGGCACCGTCATGCAGACCCACACCCTTTCATCAGGTTCTGGGGAAATGGTGTCATGCAGGGCATATCCGTAGAGTTTACTCACAAAATATTGGTACGTGTTTTTTTTTGAACATGCGGTGGGACGAGCATGACAAACTAGTGTCATCCTTTTTTTACAAAAAAGATGTTCTCGATGAAGCCGTGGAAGGCATCAACAAAAAGCTGGTGAAAATGCATGGTGATTTGCGTGAGTTTCCCCATCCTTTTGGGTTCCCTTCTGGGTTCCAAGGGAACACGAATGCTTAGTCGCAAATGACATGGAATGACTCGTTGTGAATCACGCACAGATCGCCTTCGATGTCCACTTTGTGAAACACAGTACGCACTGCCAACGCCGTTTGACGAGTTTTGGAGCCAAGATTTTGATTTCGATGCTCTGCCTACGTGTGTGATGAAATTGGCCCTTTTTTTTCCTTGAATTATTCGTAATAATTGTATGTTATCTTTTATTTTTTTCCAGCTGTCCTAAATGTGGACAATGTGAGAAAAATCGGAAGAAGGCGGGTAAGCGGACGTCCGGACGGGTGCCTGCCGTTTTACCCGCGGTCGTAAGATATGGGGAAGCTGTCTGGAACGGTGCGTACCAATTTTTTTTTTTTTGTGACGGCTATTTTCCGGCGATTGTCAGTTGCACGTGTGGCTCCTAGTGACACAAACCACTTTAGGCGCGGAGATTGCAACCAATATGCAGGGTGACCTTTTACACATTGATGGTCTCCTGATTGCAGGGACACGCATGGCCATACCGGGTTTCAGGGATTTTGCCAAAGCCGCTTCGGCTGTTCTCCGGAGAGAACGAGCACGATCCACCCACTTGGATGGCCTGGGCGCGTTTCTCGCCATCTATGTCAACCGGGAGCCCTGTCAGACCAATATGGAAAAGTATTTTGATTTCCAATTTGTGGGGGACGCTGATGAATTTGCGCTTCGAGTTCAAGATTTCCTCCTAACGTTCCAATGCGAGGACTGGGCAAGTGAAATGGAAAGACGTGCATTGGATGATAACATCAAAGACTTTGAACAGTGGGGATGGAAATGGGTTGTACGCAATGGAGTCGTGAAACGAGAGTGGAGGCTGAGGAAAATACGAAAAAAGGAAATCTTCCAGTGAGAGACGCTGAACGGACCGGGAACTCCTGTGATTGTGGTCATTCATCGTATTGTCCCATTGGTGCAACGAAGAGAAGCCCGTTACAAATTTGTTTTTTTGGGAGGCCTTTGTTCATTAAAGACTGGCTGATTTCCGGCGATTTTGTTGTAGACTTTTGAATCACAAGGAGTTTCCAATCCGCATTCAGGGCAGATCGTGGAAACGTCCTGCGATACGCGGCCCCAAAAACAAAAAGAAGAACCACTCGAATTTCACATCCAGCCAGTTAAACCTTGCCCCATTTTTGGCGTATTGAAAAAACGTTTTGCTTCGCGCGCCCTATTTCCCCATTTTCTTTTCTTCCCCTAGGGCGTTCTTCACCATTGATGGGCAACGGTGTGGGAGCGATGGTTAAGGGGTCCCTAGGTCGCCTGGTCATACGAGGAGCCTCCCCAATTACTTTTTTGGCTATTGCAGATATGATACGGATGAATGACGAGAAGGGGGGGGGGGCATTACATATGACCGGGTCATTGACATGGCATGATCTATCAAGTGCGTATGTGTGTTGCATTTCCCTGATGTGTGTGATTCGTGTATTTCGACGTGATTCGTGTATTTCGACGAACTTGCTTCATCTTGGTCTTGCTGGTTTCGTGTGGATGTTCTTTCTTTCGTTGAACAATACTAACTGGACACGGGGAAAAATACGAAAAAAAACTCTTTTGTGTGATTGCCACTAGGCCCATCTTGCTCTCCTTGTCCTTTGTTATCGACTATTTTGGCTATTTTCCTGCCATTTGCATATGATTTGCTTTCTTCCCTTTTTCCCCTTATAAAAGTTGGACATTGAATAGAAAACAAATCTTTTGGTTGTCATGCGGTTTTAAACGAGTTTTGGTTCAAAGTTTTTAGGTGTGGAACCAAGTAACCAGTTTCATTTTTCACGCTCTTTGTGCCCTTGTTTTGTCGCCCTATGGGTTGGTAAATGACTTGGTAAACCGACGGATTGGCTAGCATTTTGACAGCATTTGCTGAGTGAGCCAAGGATTCGTCGCATTCTTTCTGATCCAGGTACGAAATGAACTCATTTGAACAAAACGTTTGCAAGGATTGCAGGCAAGCATCACCCAGCGTTGCCCCCACCGCAGCTCAAAAGACAAATCCCCTCCTCCCAAATTTGGGCAAGTTTAAAAGAAAACTCCTCCAAAAACACATTTGTAAAAGAAAAAAAAAAGTAGCCCATTCAGGCCATCAGATAGTGAACAAGCATATATATCAGATACGTGAACACAGCCGGACAAATTGACTCACCGAACTAGTACTGTCTGCTTCTCCTTCCCTTCTCCTCTCGCTCTCCGTGCACGTACGTATCGCGGGTACACTCGCGCTCAAAACCACATCCTCGATTATTTACCTCTAATTGTTTGATGGGTTCAGTATTTATTTTACTTTTTTTTGTTTTGGAGGGCGCCAGGATTTCCGAAGATCTAAACTTGCTTCGTAGGCAGGTTTACTGTTGTTAAGACGTCTTTTCGTATTTGAGTCGATTTGTTGAGGTGTCAATTTTGGTTCGGATCCGGACAGACGACGGAGATTGTCGTTTCCGCAGTGTTTTCTCTTCTCTTCTTTCTCTCTCCCACCCTTGATCTCTCTTCCCCCGGGCCTCTGCTGAGGTTATCGATAGACTTTCCTATTAATTGGTGGTTGTGGTTGCGTGCATAGCTGGGAGTTCACAGAGCAAGAACGTTCGTGTCAGAACCAGTCTCCCCCCGTACATTGTGCACCGCTTGACCCAGGACTAAAGAGATAGCAGGGGTACACAAAAGAACAATTGTTGGGTTTGGTTGGGTTAAAGTTGTTACCTCCAGTCGTACGTGCTCCATGGTTCCGCGGTCTTCGATGGCAGCGTCGTCCAACTACCACGAGCAATCATCGGTGGAACGTCGTGGTGGCAGTGGTGGAGGGGACGACCCTCCCAAGCGGAACTCAAAGCATCGGACGCCGACAGATCCGGCCAAAGTCTGGGCATGTGATCGATGTAGGTGCTGCCGTTTAATCACAAATCGATTGATGCGGTCACTTTCTAGTGTTGATATGGCATGAATTAGGCTACCGTCTCAAATACCGATGCGATTCACAACGCCCGACATGCGGCAGATGCCATGCAGGGGGCTTCGAGTGTGCGTACGGATCTCGGCAGGTACGCTCCGTTTCTGCCCCACGAGATGGACGCAAGAAGCGACGGTACGACACTGCGGGATATATTCGAATGCTAGAGTCCAAGATGAGAGATCTGGAAGAATCTTTTACGGGGATGGAAGAGAGTCCGTCGACTGATTGGGCGAAACATGGGGAGGGAGATTGGGCGGGGGAGGGAAGTTCGGGATCTGGGGGGCCTGTTACGGTTGAGACGACGTCTTTTGGCGGCTTGCCCCAGTATTTGCAGCCACTCTCAGCACCTTCTTCAATGATGCATCAGCCCCATCAGCACCAGCACCAGCACCATCAACACCATCAACACCATCATCACCATCAACACCATCATCACCATCAACACCATCAACAGGAAATAGATCAGCATGCCGCGCTAACGTCTCCTGAAACCATTGGCATGTCAGAGTTCTTTCCCGTTCATATACCGCATACCCACCATCAAAACAGCAATCCCAACAGCACCAGTCAACCACCTACCGCCTACGGCACCTTGGTCAGCTCCAGCGACCTCTTCACTCAACCCGTCATCAAGGATATTCTGCGTGCCTACTTTTCAGACGTCTGCCACAGATGGCTTCAAACCCCCATCCACGAAGCCACATTTACTGCAACTTTTGACTTGCAGCCCCTCTTTTTGATTTACAGTCTATGCGCCATGGCGGCCTCCACGAGTGACAATGCTCTTTTGAAGCTGTATGCACAGGAACGGGGCTGGCCATTTTATCGCGTTGGGGAGGTGTACTTTCGGGAGGGGCTAAGGATGTTGGGTGAGGTAAACGAAAGGCCGAGCGTCGATGCTGTTATTGCGTTGGGGCATTACAAGGTTGCGGCCACAGTGATTGATCAGAGTAAGTTTGTTTTTTTAAATTTTCGTATCACCGTTGCTGTTTCGGCGTCGCTTATTCTTGAAATCTGTCAGCCGAATGGTCCGGCCATTTCCGTAAGATGTCCATCACAATGGCTCTCAAGTTAAAGCTGCATATTGATCCAGACATTGAGACGGTGCATGGACCGTTAACGTGGTTAGAAAAGGAGAAGCGACGACGGACATGGTGGGGACTGTTTGTGGTGAGTGATTTGAACCTTCAGTGTTCGCTTTTTGGTCGCTGTCAAAATGGGGGAATACTTATAATAAAAAAATAAAAACATTAGATGGACACAATAGACTGCAATCAATCCGACCAAATCCCCATCATCCCTCACCACCTGCTACCCTTCTGGGACGCGTCGACAGCTCCCTGGTCCGTCAAGCCCGTCTCACCCGATTTAATATGGACTTCTGTCACTTCGTCAGCAGACACTCCCGTGCTCAGCGCATTTATCCCTGGAACACATTTGGATGTTGCGAAAATCGCCCATACGTTGACGGGATTGTATATGCGGATTCAGAGGTTGAGGGGTACCATTTGGGATGTCGAGCAAGCGGTGCTGGGAACCAGACACGGTGGTAGATTAGCGAATAGAGCAAGTGGGAACAGCATGGCACCCCAACCGAGAACGCTGACACCAGAAATCCAATCGCAAATTGACCAATTGGACAGGAAACTTCAATCCGTCTTGGAGCTTTTCCCAACTTGGGCTCGCAACATTGACACCTATGACAAGTTCACTCCCTCAACTACAAGCACCTACCCACCTCCCTGGCAACTCTTTTCCCAACATCTCGTCTGGCATTGCCTGAACATTGCCCTTCATATCCCCACTCTCCTCATCGACGGCCAGCAAGCCCAGTCTTCGCCCAACCTCCGCCTCAGAAACACATTCACAATTTGTCTATCCCACGCACGCCGAGTCTCACAATTACTCCACAAACTCAAACGCATTAATCCGGAAATTAAATATCTCACGCAATGGTCATGCTATTTTGTATTCTACTCTTTATTAGTTCTTGTGATGGATTCCAAGACATCGATGGATGTACGACATTTGGCGGAGGTCAAGCGCGATGTGGATGTGCATTTGTGGTTAACAAAAAGTTTGGGGGAAAAGTCTTTTTTGGCGACGAATATGCATCACCTTGCCCTCTCTGTTGTTGAAGACGGGTTTGGAAGCATGGGAGAAGGTGAACAGCCCATGCTGGCTGGGTGGAGTGCGGGAATGTTGGGATGAGAAAAGGTACTCTTTATTTTATTTACTTTTTTTTGGCTTTTGGAGTGGGAATCCTAGTTAATGGGGAATTGTAGGGAAACTGTCCAAGGAACAAATTGCCCGTTAAGGAGATGTGGAATGCTGCTGGTTGATCAGGGTTGGGCCGTAGGACTGTTGGCGGTGATTGGGACGTGGTGATCATTGGTTTCAATACACGAACGGCGCTCTCTGGGTGCCACGAACTTTTACACAACTTGGACTCGCAGGGTGTTTGAAGAAAACAGGGTGACTACCACAAGAAGGAAAATATTTCTCCTCGGATGCTTGTGTAGATAATTTTGTCTTTTAGATATAAGCCATCCATCATTGTGTCCCCCAAGAAGCCTGTCTCGACGACATGCTTTGCTTTCTTTAGCAGCGACCTTGCCATACTGCCTTCCTGTCGATCGAATTTAACGTGTTCATGCAACTGCCCATGAACGTTCCCCCTTTTGCAGACTGTACTGTTTGCTGACATATCCAAGCCCAAATGTCAGTAAAGAACCGTCAAAAACACAAATGCTTTGAAACCGTAGTGTGGAAATAAGCTTTTAGGGGTGAGCGGCTCCGAAATCCCCGCATATGATGCTTATGTAAACACGGGTCGCGCTTTGTCAGGCTGAGGGCTTGCAAGTGATCATTAAGTAAACGGAACACTGCGCAAAAGTGTGAAAAAGCGCGCTTTCTGGACCGCATGTCGGCTTTTCAGATTTTTTATCTGAAGCGGCCAGGGCAAAAAGGGCTTTGCACTGTCGACTTTGTTGGCCAGTTTAGATTTTGGGTATAAAAGTTCTTTTCAGTCTTGACCTTGTTTTTTTCCAAGGTTTGGATTTCTTTTCACAAAAGATGGCCACTTTCAGTGCAAACCGCTTCCCTGCCCGTACCCTTGTTGTGGCGGGCATCCTTGTCATTACTATCCTGCTGTTCTTGGCATCATTCTCCTCAACCCCTCCTAGTGAAGCATACGGAAAGGTAATAGAGACCGTTCTTGGCTTTTCGCTCCAGAGTATAGTGAATTCTCATGGCCGTCAACGCTCTACCGTAGCTGTCGCAGGCTGCACAGGATCAGTACGCAAAACTCTCCAAAAACAAGGGAAATTCCAGACCAACTCGCCCCATTTTTATTGACCTTGGTGCCAATCGGGGCGACTCTATCCGCGTATTCCAAAAGGAACCCGGTTCCAAATGGGTACAGGATTTTCCTAAACCATACTTTTTCGAGTACTCGGATTTTGAGTGCCACCTCTTTGAAGCAAACCCACTGTTTACCAAAGATCTCGAGCAAACAAAAACCTTTTATGCTGAGAAGGAAAAGCCAGTTAAAGTGCACATCTACCCAAGCACGATCGTTTCCACCAAGGATGGCTTTACAGAAATGTCAATTGACACGTGGTCGACAGAAAACGACTTTTGGGTGAGTTCCAAAAAGCCCGTCGAGCGCTGTCAAAAGTCGTAAGTGTTTTCTGACTGTGATTGTTGGACATTTGACAGGGATCCAGTATCTATCAATGGTCACAAGACGGAAAATCAAATAAACAGGGCACGACAAAACTCCCATCCGTCAACTTTTCCAAGTTCCTCATAAAAAACTTCCACAAAGAAGACTATGTCGTCGTCAAAATGGATATTGAAGGTTCGGCTCAATGATGCCTCTGTTCTGTCGTATCCATGTATGGTAGTAACAGGATCTTAAATAGGCGCAGAGTACGAGGTCCTTCCTCACCTTGTGGAGACAGGGGCTTACAAGCTCATTGACGTCCTCCTTGTTGAATGGCATCCACGCCACCCTGCCTTCAATGAAGCAGACTGGGCGGTCGCCAACGAAGCCGGCAAAGAGATGACAAAGGCAGGCGTTTTTATGCCTTTTTATGACTCACCAGCGTAAGCGGTCAGGCAGCGTAAGGAAACATGTATATTGTACAGCAAGTTCTGGCTAGGGCGGGCGGGGGTATACTACGGGCGGTTGCATAGGTTGGCTAGGCGTCATAGGGCATCGACTAGGATGTTATTCAAACTATAATCCGCGCCAAATTCACAAATATCATTAATGACTCTGGCAAATCTTCAAAGGGTGATTGACCATCTTTAGCTCTATGATTTGCCCTTTAGATCTAACCACTCAAAAAATCCACAATTGGATCCAGATTCGATACCGGACGTTTCATTACCCCCACCTGCACACATGTAAAAGTACCGACCGAGGTTGGACTCCTTTTTGATGACAACCCTCAACTCGGTGGGATTTCCGCATCGACAGACGGGTATATTGTCCCGATACTCTGGCCTTGCAACTCGGAATGTAAGGTTGATTCGCGTGTCCTTGGATATTGGGTGCTGAATTAAAAGTTTCGGGTTACATTTTGGCACTTCATGTTTGTATTCCTCCTGGTGAAAAAAAAACAAAAAGACGATGAATGATCCGACGAGTAGAGGACCACCTATTCCTGATACCATACCTGCATGGGAGGAAGCATGATAAGCAAAGAATTGTGAGGCAGCATAATATTAAAAGTCTGAGGTACAGGTCCTCCTGGGCGTCTAATTCTCCGTACACGGAATGGTCGAGTCGCTCCCAACGTCAATGATCCTATAGTTGGACGAGGACCAATGTACGTCATCTAAAGAGAAAAAAAAAAAACCAAACCCCTTATTGAACACCAATGTATCTCAAGCCCCAATGACTCGCTTTTCCCGCACCTTGTCATTGTGTGCCCCAACTCCCTCGGCCGCACCACGATAACAATTCGCCAAAACAATATTTGGTTCCCATATTCCGACCAATTCCGCTGGATGTCTTCCCCCTTGGACATGATCGCGTTCGTCAAGTGCCCGATTTACTCGTTCGGCAATGAGTGAACGAGCTTGGGCGAGTTCCGGAAACATGGTCCTCACATCTGTTGTCTTTTTACCTCCGTAATAGTATTCAACGTCTGGTGTTGACGATGAGGACGTGTATGGCTCGTCGGTGTAAAAGCTCGTTGTATGCGGTGATTCGACCTCTGGTGTCCAAAACACTGAGTACAACTTACAACTTGAAAGGGATGAAAACAATAACCTACCACGGTCAAACATGACAAAACGCTTGATCTTCCAAGACTCTGCCTCAACCATTAACTTTTGCAGCAGTGAAGCGGCTAATTCTTCGGGAAGCACATCCAGAACCAATTGGCATGGTATATGCTCTGCAACCTCCTTGGCCGTCAGAGTCCTTGGAGGTAGTGATACACCCTTTGCATCCTCTGCATGGAGGGACCCTGAACATAGAACCTCAAACGCATTTCGGCTACCCGGAGAACTAGTCGTCGTCGTCCCAGGTTGACTTGCGTCGTCGCTGACATCAACATGTCTGTCCAAATGCATCTTCTTACCCCCCCGTTCACTTCCCCCAAAGAATTCGTCTATCGTTGCACCATGTTTTCTCTTGTTTGTCCCTCCACTAACATGCCCTTCCGCATTTCCTAAAAGTATTTCCACAGCTTGCTCAACACGTCCTTGAGCAAAGTCCAAAGCGTCGAGAAGATTTCTTTCGGAACGGTCGTCAAATATGCTCAACAGTAGGGCTAACTTTGCGTCCCGGTCCATAAAGCGTTATCTACTGAATAGGTTTTCTGGATGTCACGGTTCCAGTAAATGTAGTTGTGGAGAGCAATTAGAGATGTTGCCCAATCCCAAGATCTTGTTGAGGCACAGTTTCACTTGAGGCTTGGCTCCGACCGATATTCCCTCCTCCGAATCTGAGTTCGTATGACTTGCAAGATTTGTGACCAGTTTACATTCCATGCTAAGGCCGTTCTTGCAAGTCATGCCCACCGGATCTCGCTTGCTGGTATCGCGATTCCCGTAGGGCCGTGGTACATATTTCATACAAACATTCGGAATCCCATCTCAGTTCGCCTGCCACATACCATTCATTGCCCCTCAAAAGAACCTTGGACATGACGAAAGATTGTAATAGAGCTCCCACAGATTAACGCTACGTTTACGACAGACATGGTCAGGTCACAGTACGGCATGCACACAGATAATCTATTTACAAGGATGGTACCGTACGGGCTATTACAAAGCTTTCCTCGTCCAAAACCATACGGAGGTGACTAAATCCAAAAACCATCGCTAAGTATCACACCCTGCCCACCTCGCAATCAATGGACTCAAACAAGAACAGAATACCGGGCGGGGACTCGAACCTCAGGTCACGTATGGTAGACCATGCTGACACCGGCGTGGAGGATTCAGAAAGCAAACGATGGACCGGTCATTGAATGTGGACCTTTGCCAGGATATTCACACTGGCCCTCGGAACCCAGTCACCAGATTGACCCACTGTACGCAAGTGAACTCGATCTAGGGAGCTCAGGAGCATCGAAACGCTCACACAACCCTATATCATCTTGCGCAAACCTAGCTGTAAATGGCCTACGCCCCTCGTAAATATGAAAGATGCAAGAAGGATTAGCTAGATAATCGCTTTAGCGTGCTATGACGAACTCTAGGGTGCCCGCCCTGTCCCGCTATTCGAGGCAGTACAGTTGTTTGGACTCATGACTAATCCCGCAGCATCATCACCCCCAATTTAGTCACTCCTGAACCCTGTGATCAGCATTGGAAGAGCCCGTCGTCCTAGCTTTGGTGCCCCGAGTCAGGTTAACGCCGCACAAATCGAAGTGGGTTCTTTCCAGTATCTACGCAGGGGCGTGGCTGCTCCGATCGCCGTTTAACCGACGTCGTCGTTGTCTGAATCGTTGACCCTTGATCGTCCAATTGGGCGTAGCCGTAAGCAGCACTTTGCAAGAAAGCCGATTCATCATGGTCCTGCGTGCTTGCGCGTTGTCGTCCACGTGGTTTCGTAGCGCCGAGGTCTTGTGCATTGAAGTCGTACCAGCCGTTGTCATCGAGTATGGTCCAAACCTCGTTCGTTGTTTGCTGAAGTTCGATCCTGTCCTGCTCGACTTACTACCTCCGAGAGGCGTCGGCGTATATATTAAGAAAAGGAGCCAATCCCAACATCCACATCCACTCCCCCAAGCCAGCTTGGGATCCTGAGACGTGCTTGGTCACCGTGGGTAGTGTGTTTAAAATGATTGCCAGAGCAAAGCATCCAATTCCATAACACAGCCAGATGGGCTACTGGACCGCCAAGCAGCAATATATGAGATGAGAAGTGCGAGTGGCGACATTCGCTGACGAGGAAGCGGGTCTGTGAAACAGAATGGAAAGGCTGGACGAAGATGGCTCGATTGTTCAAATTTAACGTTCACAACCGGGCCGCCTTCCACCTGTTCCTGGCCCTCCCTCCGCTCGAAGGCATCATCGGGTTACCCACGCAGTGGGTAAGTAGTCGCTCCAACCAGCGCGAACTACAGTCCAGCTCATCCAAGTACACTGTCCTCCTCCGCCCGAAGGCATCATCGGGTTTATCCCTCGGCCCGCAGGCGGCTTCATTGGGACCAGCAGCCGCCCCACCAGCGCGGTCTGCAGTCGGTGTCCTCCGCGGCCCTCCCTCAGTCACAGACATATTGGGTTACCCACACAGTGGGTAAGTGTTTGCTCCACCCAGCGCAAACGACAGTCCTGTTCATCCAAGTACACTGTCCTCCTCCGCCCGAAGGCATCATCGGGTTTATCCCTCAGCCCGCAGGCGGCTTCATTGGGACCAGCAGCCGCCCCTCCAGCGCGGTCTGCAGTCGGTGTCCTCCGCGGCCCTCCCTCAGTCACAGACATATTGGGTTACCCACACAGTGGGTAAGTGTTTGCTCCACCCAGCGCAAACGACAGTCCTGCTCATCCTGCACGGCCCTCCCTCCGTCACAGACATCATCGGGTTACCCACACAGTGGGCAAGTGTTTGCTCCACCCAGCGCAAACGACAGTCCTGCTCATCCGGCACGCCCTCCCTCCGTCACAGACATCATCGGGTTACCCACACAGTGGGCAAGTGTTTGCTCCAACCACCGCAAACGACAGTCCTGCTCATCCGGCTCGGCCCTCCCAACAGCCACAGACATGTTGGGTTACCCACGCAGTGGGTAAGTAGTCGCTCCAACCAGCGCGAACTACAGTCCAAGTCATCCTCCATGGCCCTCCCAACAGCCACAGACATGTTGGGTTACCCCTGCAGTAGGTAAGTAGTCGCTCCAACCAGCGCGAACTACAGTCCAAGTCATCCTCCATGGCCCTCCCAACAGCCACAGACATGTTGGGTTACCCACACAGTGGGTAAGTAGTCGCTCCAACAGCGCGAACTACAGTCCATGAAGAGCTTGGGGGGGAGGGAAGGGTGCCTTTTTATAACTTTCAGAGGCCCCCCAACACGTCGCGAAATAACGCGCAGCATTACTGCGCACAGATTACGTTAGTCTCCCCACCGACAATCTGCATTTGGTAATATTGGTAGCTTTTACGGTATAATGATTCACGCGTAAAATTAAATATTTTCATTTGGGGACATAAATGAACACCCGTGGAGCAAAAGATTAATTTGATTGGTCCAAAAACTCCGCATTACCAGGGCTTTTTTTCTGAAATTAAACTTGATTTGGTAAAATAGAGGTTTCGGCACGCTTTCTGATTGGCTGAAAGTCTTAGGTCGCCATCATCCAACGTGGCCGGATGACCCAGACTGATTTTGATTGGCCAAAGATTTGTAATTTACCGGAGCCGACATTAAGTTACCAGCCCCATTCTTGCCTCTGGGTGCTGGCGCTCTTTAGTGGCGTCACAATTAGGAACATCGCCTGCAATGAACTGCCCGTCTTGGTTGGTAAAGGTTAACATAATTTAAGTAATACGTCTCTTGAATGAGGGCATTGATGTAAGATCCGCAAGGAAGAATAGAAATATTGGGCAGGAGCCGCTTCAGGAAACTGACTGTGATGCACACCGGGGCAGTTACAGGGGTGATTTGAGCTACTGCTGTCAAGTCCCCAACTCGCATCGATATGATCACCGAACAAGTGGTTGGATTTGAATTACATGCTTTAATGGGTGGCAGATAAAGTAATAGCCAAGTAAAACCACTGCTGTGCTTGTCCGGTGAATACATCGACAGAATATTTGCAGTCCGAAGTGGAAACACATACTGGCACTGACGTTGATGAACTACCGTTAGAAAAATAGGGAAATGTAAATAACGCCATGTCATGCTTGCTGAGATTATATAGAGCTCTTGTCGTTCGATAGCAGCTAACGACCTACATCCAACTTATCCAAGTTTACGATGGTGGATAAAGGGCGCAAGGCTCTTGCTCTTTCCAATGTAACTAATTTCCCCAATTCATGTATATGAAAGAGGCCTCCTTAATGTAGCAGGCAAATTAGTCTACACAGTGCTAGAATACAGGATAAGGACAGAATCCAATGCTGCGTTCGTTTGTAAAAGCCGCTCTTGTATTAGATCATTTCTGTGCTAACCTTTCACTTGGCAGGGTATTTCTGCGACTTTGGGTGTGAGCGTCACAATAATCGCAGCATCTCTGAAGCTCCTCTAAGCTCTCGAGGGAGCATCTTCGCTCGGATTGTTATCCGTGAGGAGCGGTAGGGGAGGTTCTGGTCGGGCGTCTGGAATACACCACTGGCGGGGGATTGTTACCAGTGCCTCTACTGTGAGGAATCCATTAGATAAAAATAGGCAAGATGATGGTGTTATGGAATGGTTGTTTTCCAATGGGATTCGATATTTTCTTTTTCAGGTTCTTTCTCCAGTAATGTCCATTGGGCATTTCAATTATTGTCGTCATAGTCACCATCCTGAACGATGTTGGTTGCGGAAAAGACATTCAATACATGACGGGTAGATTCTACCTGGTTCAATAGGCAATCTGGTTTGGTGGCCATATGACTCGCTCGCATACTGGTCTATGTCTCGTGGTCCCATTCATCGTTTACGAGTATCACCGTCGATATATGCAGGTAATTGCTCCCAATATAGCGCATCTGCTGTTAAGCTTCCGCTTATGGCCATATGTTAGTTCCCTTTCAGTCGGTGCTCCTGTTGTCTGCTTCTGTTGGGGATTCCGGATTTACATTATTTCTATGAAGAACATGATTACAAGACGTTACGGGGAGCAGGCTTCTAAATAGAATATTCGATCAGAACCCAAAAACCTTAAATTCCATCTGCGGTACCAGTTCGCCTATGTTTTCCAATTAGTCCCAAGGTTCACTCTCGGATCCAAGGTTCACCGGAAACCTGAAGTAGGACCCCAAGCAGAAACCTTAGTTCTAAGATAAATTCTCCGACCGATCAGTTACATGAGAACAGATATCAACTGGATGGCTCCAAGTTTTGAAATGTAAGCAGCAGCTTCTCGCCCTCGTTGCACGCTGTCAGAGAACGCGGTCGGCTGTCGCAAATGCGGTAGACGTCTTGGACGGCTTTGTATCAATGGCATACAATAATTCATTGGCAGAATTGCTGTTTCTGGATTTTTCTTCTTGGGCTGCAGCACATTACTTCCTTCATTCCAACGTCGTCTCACAGAAAAGACGGATTCTCGTTTCGGTTCCTCTGAAGGAGATTGGCTGGCGACTAACCAATTCTAGGCAATTCCGCAGCACCTCGCAGACTTTCATGTGAATTTACAAAAATGTCGGTCGTTAAATAAAGGTGTTATCATTGAATGGCCATTTACTGTCCATTTACAGCTCGATTCCAGCATTTACAGCTTTTGGTTGCATGGATTCACAAGCACAATCAGCAATCAAAGACCTTCATCAGGTACTTCTATTGTTGGAGAATCCTCAGCGATTCCTCCTAGATCTACTAGAAAAGTAAGTCAACGAAAGTCTCCAATCGTTCCCATCAGCCGACAATTCCCCCAGACAGAGCATTGGACGCGCTACATCTGCTGTTGCGGGGACAACGCCTTATGTGACTTGGTGAACGCGTTGGGCTCTGAGGCTTTTCTGCTTACCCACAATGCGGCTTTTCCTCCCATTCAGCAGCACACATTCCAAGTCTCTTTGGCTACCAATCAGACGATCGGGTGTGCGTGTAAGAACAATGGCCACTGCAGAAAGGGCAGGACACCGGTTACCCAAGACCGCCGCCGATGCGCTGTATTCAATGTATGCAAACGAGCTTGGGGACAGGTTCGTAATTGGCAATTCTCCCTAGTAAGGCGGACAAAGTGCTCTACAATGTTGAGTCGTACTGACCATATCACCTCTTTGTAGATTGAAAGCTCTGGAGAATACAATAGATCCCTCAGTACCTCCCGAAAGTCCATTTATAATACGACTCGATGGCGTCTCTTTCCGAGTTTTCACCAAAGGCCTGCGAAAGCCATTTGATGAGCGCCTGACGGATGCATTGATTGACACCACCAAGGATCTGATGTGGAGATTTGGTGCTGTGCTGGGGTATTCCCAGTCGGATGAGATATCGTTGGTGTTTCCTCCAGCTTGGGTGGCAGAACCTGCGCCAGCGGACAACGCACTTGAAATCGCTCCTGGAACAGTTGGAACAGCAAACGCACCACCTTTCCCGCCGGCAGTGACGAGTCCACCATCCAAACCAGTTACACCACAAAAGCACATGTACTCTGGGCGCGTCCAGAAGTTGGCCTCCGTAACGGCATCCTACGCTACAGCACGCTTAAACTACTATCTATCTGCGCAGAACTGGGACGATCTTGCTTCACAACATCGAGAACGGATGTTAGCACACGTTGCACATTTCGATGGCCGAGTGGTACCAACGTCGGACGCAAAGTCTGCCATGGAATGCATCTTTTGGCGATCAAATTTTGATGGATTCCGGAACAGCATATCCCACATTTCTCACTCGTACTTCACATCAAGGCAGCTTCATAATAGAGGGTTGGAGGAACAGTTGGAGATGCTATCAGAAAAGGGTGTTGATCCATTTCAAGAGTATCAGGCCAAGTTCCTGTTCGGAACCTGGGTCAAGAAGGAGCAGTACGAGCTGCATGGAAGGATAAACCTAAAGACGGGGACACCCGTTCAAGGTCCAGTGCTTCGATCTCGTATCAGGACTGGGTCCTTTAACTGGGCGGACTGGAATGAGGATGAACGCATTCGATTTACTATGGCTAAACATTGGGCGATTGATCCGTCAAGTCCTCCAAAGCATCCCCTCCCAGTGACCAATAATAGTGAATCTCTGTGAACAGATTTTCTTTTCACATTGTACATCTACTATCCATCTCACCTTTGGTCTCCCCACTTTTTTGTACTGTCTACTATATGATACCTATATTATTGCTATGTATATCCACTATGGAGAATATCTCAAACACCAAATTTCAATCCAAAATTTGGCGGTGTCGATCAAATATTAGGACTCCCAAATGGTCAAACCAATCGCAGCTATTACCCACGACCATAGCCAATTTGATTGGGACGCCAATCTCTTTGTTGAGAGTGGAACCCCATTTATCCCAGGTTGCTCCTCGTCAGACACCTTCAGAGGAAAGCTGGATGTTACAATATACCCATTTATCTTTGTTTGAACAAACACGTTGTACTGGCCGCCCTTAAAAAAGTAAAGCCCAAAACCAATGGTATTCGAAGTTCTGTCGAAAGCAGGGGGATCCTGATTGACTGAGCACACTGGCTGCCACTTCACACCGTCTCCTTGTCGATATCCTAGCAGTTGCTGAGATCGTGTGAAATCGTCTCCTCTCACCAATGTAATAAGAGCATCTTGACCGTGAAACTTTTGGAATCCGGACGTTGCTATGTCATGTCCGGTGGAATTCGTTACATAATATTTGGCCGTAAAAGGTCGACAGTATGATATTTTGATCGAGCCGCTCTGTGGGCTCGAAAGTACCACACGGAAGGTTCCATTCGTGACCCAACTTTTTGGATCGATATTGTCATTCGGTCCAGGAACTTGTACGGCGTGGTCTTGATAAATCCATGGATCTGGCAGTGTGTCGTTCGGCCCGGGAATCACTCCCGTCACCCGCTGATCAATCGACTTTGGTGGAGGAATGGCTGCATTACCAGAAGGCACGGTGACATATAGAGTGCTTTCGGTCGGCTGCATTGATACGTTAAGAGTCATATTCGGGACAAGGAATGTGAATTGTGCAGAAATAGCATATGCCCCCGCAAAGGGTAGCGTTGGATATATCGCAAAGGTATCCGAGTCGTTGGCAATCTTGCCAAATTCTTCGGGGCATTGACGGATCAATGTGTTGAATGACTGGTGGGCGATGACGAATCGTAGACGACAACCGTAAACTTCTTTGAGATTTTCCCATTTGAGCTATTGGAAATCAAACATCGGATAAGCTCAGAAAAACCGTTGATTTAAGGCTAGTCGCGTAAAGCTGTTCTTTACCGCGTAGTCGTCTGACATGGCTTGGAACAAAAGTTGGTTTTGCTGACCAACTACTCCAGTGAAATTCAGTTGCTTGACAGTCAAGTATGGTGTGTATTGAGCGTATGCGCCATGAAGAAGGCATAGCGCCGTTATCAACAGCGGTGGTAACAGACGCGAAAGGGAACTCATTTCGAAGATGACCTTGGAAGTGAACATTGCGACCTGCTGATTTCAACGAGGGTGAATCTTGGAGCCTTTTCGATCTGACACCCAACCAGTCGTGGCTCCATTTCTCAGCCTCCTTTCTGTCAGTCGGAACCCTCAATAACTCAAAAACGGTCCGTGTGCTTGTCTCCCATTCCTACTCTCCCCCCTCTCGTTACATTTTCACACTCGCCCCGCGTGGTCATCTGGCTGAGCCTTTCTTCTTTGATGACGGGCGATAGGGCGGGAAAGAAACGGGAAAAGTAAATTGTTCACTCTCATGCAAGTTGCCTTGCTTTTTGCGCCAGCTGGGTAGCGGGAGAAAATTGGACTCCTGTCTCGCGAGTCACTCCGAGCGTCTTATGGTTTATACCCGGCTAAAACATGCATGACCCGATTCGCACTGATTGCAGCTGCAGTCATCTTTTTGCTGGCGCAGAAACGACGTCAAGGAGGGGTATGCCTGAGGAGAACACCACGCCAAAGGAGCATCAACTATTTGACTGTCGCTTCCCCTTCATTATTATAAGTGATATTGGACTCCTTTTCGCTCAAGAAGCACCCAACGCTGGTTTGCCCCGCTTGGTCCTCGGCCACCTGTGAAGCTGAACTTTGACAGCAAAATGGCAGTAGACGAAAAACTTCCTACTATTTTGGACGTACCGATAGCGGACACGGCCGCGAAAGACGCTAAAGCAGCTGATGAGATCAAGCCAGTCAAGGAAGTCCGAAAAAGCATCCCTTTCTTTTCTGTAAAATGTCTCACAGGTCTACGTGGAGTCGCTGCGATGGGAGTGGTTGCTTCCCACTTGTTTAGCGGTGATGGTGCAAAGGTTTACGTAGGCGGCTGGGAAGGCCTGAACGAAATGGGAAACATTGCTGTCATTTTCTTCTTTGTCTTGTCGGCTTTCCTGTTGACGGTCAGACCGCTCACCGAACGACAGAAACCTTCGGACGCAAAATACGTTAAATGGTCTGAAAACGGCATCCTTATTCCTTGGATCAGTGTGCGGTGGATCAAGTATTTGATCAGACGTGTTTTTCGTATCTTGCCCTTGTATTGGATTATCCTGCTCATCATCGCTGCGGTCCCTCAACTTCATACCGCGTATGCTGATTTACGAAACTTCACCCCCTTCAGTTGGTCGACGGCTATTTCATATGCTTTCTTTCGAGATGTCAACTCGATTTTCTGGACAATTCCACCCGAATTTGAGTATTATCTTGTCATGCCCTTCTTTATTGTTTTGTTTGAAATGGCCGAAAGGAAGGACAAACTTGGCGAGTGGATCATGGGCATCAAGCCGAATCCACCAAACTATCCTTACGGCCTCGGGTGTGCTGAAATACAGATGAAAGAGCATTACCGAAAAGGGCTTCACAATCGTGTTCTGCATGTGTACTATCGATTCGGCCGTCGTCTCCTTCTCCTGCTTGTTCTTTCGCTCTTCAATTGCTTTGTCGCCCCTCTGTTTTGGTCCGCACACGGTGCATACGATTACTACCACCTTCCACCCTTTGTCAAACGTTTCTGGCTGGGAAGTCTTGCGGCGTTCATATATCATATGTTTGCTCAATATGGATACGTGATTTACGACTTCAAAGGTCCAAACATCAACCAGAAGTGGAGTAAGAAGGCTACTAAATGGATCTCCGTTGGCGGTGACCTGATATGTTGGGCGCTTCTTATTACCCTCTTTCTCTCTTTCCCATGGTACCGCCGCAAGATTCTCAACATGTACGTACCTCGCGAACCCATCAGCTGGTACGCGGACCACATGCACGACTGGCCAGTCTTGGGATCGGCTTTGATCTGTTTCTTGGTCAGCTTTGCAACGCGGAATGGATCATTTGCACACTTCTTCGAGTGGAGCGTATTCATGTTCGCCGGAGATATCAGTTTTCCTCTATATTTGACGCACCCTCCAGTCATACATCTTGCTCAAGATCGTCACGCTCAAGGAATCGACGGGGTTCTGTTTGTATTCCTTTTCTGCTTCTTCATTGCAAGTTGTTTCCATTTCCTTGTGGAAAAGCCTGTGGGAAAACTTGGACAGAAGTTAGCGAGATGGGTGCAACAAAAATACTTCTCCAAGGATCCCAAGCTCGCAGTAGATGTCGAAAAGCATGAGGAAATGCAAGTGAAGAAATACACCGACATGGGTTTGACCATGAATCGTGAGTCCCCCGATAGCGAATCTCGCCCATCCTCTGCTCTTGCTGGAAATCTCGCAACCTATTCTGTCGTGAAAGGCAATGGTCTCCATAAAAAGTCAGGTCCTTTGGTCCAGATCATTCAAGTCAAAGAAGACAAACCGGAAGAAAAGACCGGCGAAACTCCAGCGAGTACTCCTCGTCCGGAGCCGAACCTGGAATTGAGGCAAGATGAGCAGCACACTAGGAGTCATGTCGATCATGAAGAAGATGAAGCGCCCCTTGCTGCTCTCGCTGCATCCAAAACCTATTCTCGATACGATGAAGTTGTTCCTCCTCAATATCCTGTCAACCACAGCGGTAATGTGCCATCTCCCCCACGGTCTCCCCAACCTCCCTACCATCACCGCTCCGCTTATAGTCCTTCTCCTGTCGCTCAAGCTTATTCCGATTATCGTTACATGGATCAGCAGGAAGCTCCCATGGACGTTCGGACTAACGGCAACGCCGGGTTGCCTCAGACGTGGTTTAGGAATCAACAACAGCGTTCCGTTTCCTTATATGCCAATCGTTATTGATGTAGAAATTTAGGAGAGATGTATATGAAGGGAATTTATATTAGGCATGGTATATTGTGGTTTTTTTGACTTGTGTTTCATGTAAAGTCTGTTGATAGTGAGAAGTTACCGATGTACATTGATATACACATCGTTGGGGTGAGCGGACTACTTGTAATTTTTGAACTATACTCCAATATACGTTTCAGATAATCTGAAGTTCCATGAGTCTCAGACGCCAATTATCATCTAGGACGAATATCTGTAAATGTAGGTACCTTAGCGTCCTTGTATCTTGAGATCTTCACTATATGGCAGGACACCACTTCTTTCAACCATTTTTATGAACCGATTTAATAGCCACTGATATCAATGTACATGTATTTCCAATACTACCCGGCCCATTATTACAAGTATTACGAAGTATCATTTACAAAGGACGTTATAACCTAACCCTAGCCGCACCCATTCCTCAAAGTAATCCAATCAAGACAGCCCCCGCGACACTCGTGCCCACCACCCAGTTGTTTGCCGCAGCTCCTACAAATGCAGTATTCGCTCCAGTGCAGTCCTCGTCCCCCGCTAAACAGTACTCTTTCCGCGCCAAGGAGATGGGACAAGCCTTCCCATTTCCCATTGCATGAACGAGAACTCTGCCGGTACTTGTTTTGAGGTTTTCGGCGCAACAGCTGTACTCTGACCAAGCGACCATGCAATCGATGTCGGCGGGTTTTCCCTCTTGAGGTACGGGTACGGGTGCGGGTGCGGCGGTGATGGATGTGGTGGTGAGTAGGGCGAAGACAAGTACGAGCAGAGTGGTGGGTATGACCGACATGATTGGGAAGTGCATTGATGAAGCAGCCGCTAGCCAGTTCACAGATTGAACAGATTGGATACTACTACGTAGTTTTGAACTGAAAGGTCCAATACCCAACTCGCGTTTCTTTGAGAAGGAAAGCCGGAATTAAGGAAAAAAGTGATATGTCATTTTCAGCTCGCTGTCGCTCTTCACAAAGATGTCAACATCCAAATTGGAAAAACGATCTGTGGCCAACTAGCACGAGATGAACCGTTTTTACTCGTGCCTCCCTCCCCTTCCACGAATGGCCTCCTTGTTCTCCTCGTACGCTGCTCTCTCTTTCCCGCCATGTTATCTTCGCATGGCAGAAATTTTGTCCTCTTGCCCCCCCCACCCGTCCACCTTGCGGCGTGGCTCATGTCTGTAGATGGACATGTAGATACGCTGTTGAGCTGACGCCCGGGATAGGGGGTTAGGGAGCTTTATCCAATTAATTGTCTTTTCTCCGGTCTCTCCTTTGAGGACTTGCTGCAGGGCTGCTGCCATTGATGAAGGTCAAGGATGGCTGAAATGTGTCGGGTGTGGGTTGACCCATCCGGCATGCCTTTCCTGCCATGGACCTGTACACTTGGAGATAATTGCTCCTCCTTCTTGTCCGTTATTCAAGGGTTTTCCATGTGTGCCAGAATGTCAAAAAGAAGACAATTCGCTCGACGAAAACGCAATGTCAAAAAGCACGCGCGCCCGTGTCTCCCGACTGCTGAGTCATCGATCATTGCCCGCCCTTTGACGCTTTCCACACACGGACATCTTCCTTTCCACTCGTCCCGCTCGCTTCCTTGACGTTTATTTGCTAGAAACCAGCGTTTTTTTTCTTCTTCTTGACAATCACCCCAATATGGCGCAGAGCAACTGTCACGTTCATGGCGCCGGATTTTCGGGCGCACTGCCAGTGTTGGAACCTGGACATGGTCACTGGCGTGCGATGAGGCTTGTATTTTTGCGTCAGGAGCGATTACCACTCTACATTAACAGCTCGGCTTGGAAGCCCTTATTGCCTGCATTCCCCTTGCAGTGAATTTGGGTCTTTTGAGCTACTTGTCTGGAGACATTTTCCCATATAGCAAGCTTTTGCCTTTTCAAAAGCGTCCACCGCTGCTGCCCCCCGTTGTTGTCCCGGAAACTTGAAAGCCATTTTTCCTCTGTCTTTAGCCCTTACATATACTAGTGTGCCCGGTTTTCCCAAGTTGCCACAACAATCTACGTCCGTCGTCAACGACATCCCTGGCATCTCAATCAATGAGAACCTAGGTAGACGTCGTGCACAAAGTAATATTGATTAGTATCGATTTTCACAGCAGAGATTCAATGTTCTTTGGCTACCTAGATCTGAGCATACTTATCACGCAAGTGCATTTTGAACGTCTATTGTTGGCCCATTGTACATTTGCGTCATGAAACCCCACAGGGATTCGCCAGTTCCCGTGGCCCATGGAGAATCGTCAGATTATCTCACCCGCCTTACAAGCCCCACACTTGAAAATATTCTCTCAACTGTGCGCAAACGATACCAAAATGGCGATTACTTTACAAAGCTGGGAGAGAACGCTCTATTGGTTTTGGGCGGATCGGGGGTCCTCGCCGAATCGACGGCAGAAGTAGCAGCTGAATATGCAAGATGGGTGATTGACATGTCACCGAACAAGCGCGATCTACCCCCTCATGTCTTCGACTTGGCTGCGTCATGTTTCTACCATATGACTAGAGATCACCGCAACCAGTCGGTTGTCTTCCTAGGTATAAGCTATGTTTGCTGTGAGGGAGTATGAACTATCGTTTTGACGTTTTCGCTTTTATGTAGGGGATGATGCCAGTGAGAAATCGGAAATCCGCAAGCTGTTTGTGTGGCAACTCATGATGCTGTCTACTACAACGGACGATGTCAACGATCAGAAGATCCTTCGCGCCGCAACTCTGATGGATCCAGTCTTTGAAGCCTTTGCTCACGCACGGACTCTGCGAAGCCGCAGTGCTACTCTCGTTTGCAAATATGTGGAATATCAATACGACCATAACTGGAAGCTTGTCGGTGTCGGGTCCATCGCATACCATTTAGACAAGTCTCGGTTTGCCAGCAGCACGCCATTCAAAGAAGAGAATTATCCAGTTTTCTACTATCTGCTGGCCGGCAGTACGGCGTTGGAAAGAAATCGTTGGAAACTTGGCGACGCATCATCTTTCCGCTACCTCCAAGGTTCGCCCTTCTTCCATACACCCGATGACGACTGCAAACTCTACAATGAACTTCAAAAGGCGCTGAAGCATCTCCGCATCGGTTTGAAACTTCAGAAACAGATCTCACAGGTCCTAGCGGCGGTTCTTCATCTTGGCAACGTCACATTCGTGGATGACGATACACGCCCTCAGGACTCTTGTAGTGTGGCAAATTACGAAGCCCTTTGCACTGCCGCGGACCTGCTCGGTGTACACCCACAAAACCTGGAGGATGCTGTTATCTATAAATCCAAGGTCATAGGAAACGAGCGTATCTCCATGTTCTTGACAAGCGAAGGGGCAGCGGCTCAGCGTGACCTTCTTGCATCTACGATCTACTCAGAATTGGTTGCTTGGCTCGTAAGAAAAATGAATGCTTGTTTATGCAAGAATTACGAGGATGAGATTGCGGCCAGTATCCGAGTACTTGAAATCCCTAGTTTCCGAAAGGACGGCCATAACGAGCTAGACCGGTTATTGTACAACATGCTGAATGAGCAGCTCCACTTTCATATGAGCAGCTGGATTCAGGATCGGTCTATCGATTATGCCCATGAAGGAGTGCTTTCCTTCGCTGTCGAAAATCAAGAAAATCAGTCGGCCGCTCTCGCACATCTTTTGTCTTTCGACGCCGGGCTGCTCCACTTGATTGATGAAGAATCCGTACGGAGATTCCTTGAAGGCTCTCCTGATGCTGGTATACCCCGAGGAATGATCGAGACTTACGAGCATTTATCACCGGTCATAGTGGACGGAGTTCCCATTAATAACCGCACTTTCCAAATTCAGCATTACAATGGCGAAACCGCGTACGATATCAATAAGCTTGTTGAGAAGAATGGCGACGTCCTGTCATCGGCCGTTGCTTCCCTATTTGTTGGCAGTGCGGGTGTTCATCCTTGTGCCAATGGCTTTGTGCGCAATTTGTTTTCGCATAGTGATGGCTATGGCGAGAGCGAAAACTACTACGACGATAAGACAGTCATCTCAAAGTTTTCGGAAACAACCAGTCAGGTCATATCTGCAATAAAAGATGCGGCGCCTTGGTTCGTTCTGTGTGTCGACTCTGGCGAATCCCCAGTCAGCGACAAGATGGATGTTGCTATCTTGAAGGCTGACTTGGTTAATCATCAAGTGACCAACCATGTGCAGACTCGGGTAGCTGGGGACTATGTTGCTGACTACACTCACGAAGATTTTATTTCACGCTTTCATGCCGTGGTATTGAACAAGCCACTGGAGCAAGACGACGAAGTTGACTTTGGGAGTCTTTGCGAGGAGTTTGCCAGCGAGATGGGCTGGAGCGAGGAACATATGGCTTTGGGGCTGAGTAGGGTTTTTCTCTCTGAAAAGGCTTGGCGCATCCTCCATGACCGCCTACGAGCTTTTGAGGAGGAGAACCACCAGACGACATGGAACGCTCATACTTCTCAATTCGTCGAGAACTTTGCCAGACCGTTCCCGGACAATGGTGATACTGAGAGTGATGTCGATATGGGAACCAGCACCGATGTGGATGTGAAGTACGTGACTCGAGTTGAAAAGGAGGCCTTAGCAGCCGAAGCTGAGAAAGAAGAAAAGCGACCAGTCTCTTCAGCGCGCAAGCGATGGCTGTGCTGTACTTGGACGCTGACGTGGTGGATTCCCTCGTGTTGTATATCCAAAGTAGGGAGAATGCCCCGTAAGGATGTGCAGATGGCTTGGCGTGAGAAGGTTGCGCTGTGCATGATCATTGGACTCATGTGTATCGCGCTACTGGCATTCATTATTGGTCTACCCCGTATCATCTGTCCAAAACAAAAGGTCTTGTCCCTGGATGAAATTCGGAAAAGGACAGATGCAGATGATCCATGGGTCTACGGATACGGAAAGGCATACCAGATAAAAGACTTGTATCGAGGGCATATGAATGTTGGTGCGGACATGAGCAAGTATCAACAGACTTACGGCAAGGACATCTCAGGAATGTTTTATAAAACGGACTACTTCAACGACATGTGCCCTGGTGTGGCGTCAAGACCCTCTCCTGCTTGGGACAACATTGTTAAGCGCCCACTCGACGCATCCCTGGCTCATCGGACAACCGATAGGCCTTATTTCCAAACCCTCTCCCACCTGGCCAAGTTTGATGTCGCATTCAAATGGGACTACATCCAGCAACAACCGCTTCTCAACAAAACTTGGATTGTACTGTTTGACAAAATCTACGATGTCACTACATACACATCGGACCCCTTTTTTCAGAACAGTGCCATTGACCGGATTTTCCAAGCAACCCAAGGTGCAGATGCAACCAACGATTGGGTCTCGTCTGTTGTTAGAGCCGATCCTGGCGGCGCCAAAGCGATCATGAACTGCATGAACAACATGTTTTATATTGGAGTTGTTGATCATCGTCTCGACATTGGTTGTCAATTCTCAAACTATATCCTTTTGGCGAGTTCGATGATCGTCATAGGTATCATCGGCATGAAGTTCTTGGTCGCAGTGCAGTTTACCTCCCCTCCCAAGGTAGACAAAGCAGAGCTGAATAGGTTCGTCATTTGCCAAATGCCTTGTTATACGGAAGGTGAGGCATCACTTCGAAAATCTCTTCAATCCTTGGCATGTATGGACTACGACGATGCTCGAAAACTGCTATTCATCATTTGTGACGGAATGGTTGTTGGAAGTGGCAATACCCGTGCAACACCGCGCATCGTTTTGGACATTCTCGGCGTCGACCCGAAATATGACCCAGAACCTCTGTTGTTCCAGTCCGTTGGTGAAGGTGACATGCAATTGAATCGAGCCAAGGTATATTCCGGTCTCTATACAGTAAAACAAGGACCAACCGAACACGTTGTGCCTTTCATCGTCGTCGTCAAAGTCGGCAAAGAATCAGAAGTCGCGCGTCCTGGCAACCGTGGTAAACGTGACTCTCAGTTGCTGTTGATGAAGTTCCTGTCTCGCGTGCACTTTGACGCGGAAATGGAGCCGCTCGAGCTTGAGTTATACCGGACAATGGCTGATGTGGTCGGGATCCATCCATCCATGTACGAATTGATATTCATGGTAGATGCCGATACGGAAGTATTCCCTGATTCGCTCGGACAAATGGTACACAGTATGATACATGATACGTCAATCATTGGTCTTTGTGGAGAAACGATCTTGGCTAATCGGAGCGATACGTGGATTACGAAAATCCAAGTGTATGAATACTTCATATCGCATCATCTCACGAAGGCGTTCGAGGCTATCTTTGGTGCCGTCACTTGTCTTCCAGGATGTTTCTGCGTTTACCGAATCCGTTCTCCGAAAAACGTCCCACTGCTCATCTCGCCAGAAGTCATAGATGACTTCAAAGAAAATCGCATCGACACCCTTCACATGAAAAATCTTTTCCATCTCGGTGAGGATCGTTTCCTGACGACACTCGTAATCAAGTGGTTCCCGCACATGAGGACGACGTTTATCAGTCACGCTAAATGTAAGACAAGCGCCCCGGACAAGTGGAGAGTGTTGTCGTCGCAACGACGTCGATGGATTAACTCGACCGTACACAATTTGTTCGAACTCTTGTTTATTCGGAGACTTTGCGGTTTCCTTTGCTGCTCCATGCGCTTTGTGGTCTTCTTGGATTTGCTATCTACGTTGATTCAGCCGGCGGCCATTCTTTACATTGCCTACCTGGTGTACGCACTCGTATCAGCCGAGAATGGATTTCCTATCATCTCGATCGCTTTGCTTGCCGCTATTTACGGCTTGCAGGTGATTGTATTCCTACTGAAGCGACAGTGGAGACAAGTCCTGTGGATGGTGATCTACATCTTTGCTATCCCGGTTTTCACATTCTATCTTCCGTTGTATGCTTTCTGGCACTTTGATGACTTTTCATGGGGTAATACCCGCGTTGTGTACGGTGAAGATGGACGGAAGACTACCATGGTGGCCGACGTCGGAATGTTCGATCCCACTTCCATTCCGAAGCGCAAGTGGGGAGAATACTCGAAAGAAAAACTGGTTCAGGAAAGTGATGCAAAGCGCGAGCGCGAACAGACCGAAAAACGCCGCCTCAGTCACCGCGTCATGTCCATGACCGCAAGCAACGTCAGGAGTAGCATCATGAGTCCAGTACCAAAGATGTCACCGCGCTCCGAAAGTCCGCCCGAGTATAATACTGGTTCGAGACCGTCCACACCGTCTTTGGCACCTGTGGGTGCGCCTCGCAGTCGGAGTCCCGTTGTCTTCGAATACGTGTCTAAATCGCCTAGCCGCGCAGGGAGTCCTCGACCAGTCACACCACCAACGTATGGACACATGCAAAAGGGATCGGATTCCTCGACGAGTTCTGAGTCTGGTCGCGCTCAAGCAACATTGGAACAGGCGCTTGCAAGGTACAACAATGGCCCGCACAATGATTCGGTAGCGATGAATCCCCCGGCTGCAACAAGCCGCTACAGTATGGCGAATTATGCAACGCCCTCGCAGCAGAATTACAGACCTCCCGCTGACATGCGAGCAAATAACAACACGGACATGGTGCCCGTTGAGTCCACCGAGATACGCGCCCCCGAAATGAGTTCTACTGTGCGGCGTCAGTCACCAATCCCGCTCGGTGATAACCGTTCACCAGATGCGTCCTTTGACAGTTATCCTGCCAAGCGTCAGTCTCCGGTTCTGCGCCTCGACATCCGTTTGCCTGAGGGCGGATTTCCCACTGGTACAAATGTCGGGCCTCAGTCGCCTGTGCTTCGTGCATCCATTATACCCGATTCATTTGATTCAGGCAACCCCAGACCTGCATCTACTGTGTCTCCTGTTCCACGGGATGTTCGCTTATCAGAAAGTATCGTCCAGAATCCTCCCATGAAATCGACCGGTGCAACTCAAGGCTATCACGATAGCGTGCTACCTGAGCAAAGGCGAACTTTGACCCGAACCGCAGTGGATCAAAGATTCTCTGAAATTTCAGGACCCGGAAACGATAAGGGAAGGGACGTTCATACGGGCTTCCCAAATCCCGCGCTGCGCCGTCGGGCATCCGATATTAGTCTTAGTGGAAGCGAAAGGAACCGATCCCAGTACTCTGCTCCTTCAACGGCAGATGGTCGCCTTTCGCAAATGTCCATGAGCGGAGGAGCATACAGACCTCCATTTGCCATGCCACCTCTTGCTGAAAGGCGGGCTTCCCAACTTAGTATCGGAACCATGGGAACAGTTAAATCGGCGTTGGCAATGCCGCACGTTGTTGAGCGTCGCGCCTCTGAGCCGCATATTGCAACCTCTGTCCGGCCGCAATTCCCTATGCCACACCCGATGGAACGCCGTGCCTCAGAACTCAGCATTGGTGGACTCATTCGCCGGAGAGACCGTGCAGCCCTGGCCGAAGTGAATTATGCTTCTGAAATGGAGCAGGTCTCTAGGCCTCCAAGTTCAGCTGCGGGAGACGTCGTGGTCAACCAGTTTCCGTCTGACCAGCTGATCATCAGTGAAGTTAGGCGTATCGTGGAGCGGTCAGATTTGATGACCATCTCGAAAAAAACTATTCGAGAGTTGCTTGGGCAGTTGTTCCGTGTTGATTTGTCGGCAAAGAAACAATTGATTAGCGATGTAGTGGATGAATTGTTGGACAATATGCTTCACAATACCCAGCAATAGAATTGGAAAGAGGTTTAATTGTTGGTTTGAGAAGGGGTTTAATTGAATAATACTCGTGTATAGTGTTAGGTATGGTAGCATAGGTAAAGGATACATATTTTTTTTTGTAATGAACGGTATCAATATTCGATTGTATCAACTTAGGAAATGTCCAATCTCGAACTGATAAGGCCGTAGAGGTTGGGTTTCCCTTAGTCATCAATCTGCTGCAACTATGGTACGGCTTCATATTGCACTTTCGGCAGTCGCGCCTGTTTTTGATATGGAAACGTCTCTGCCAGTGTACAAGGATTCATGCCCATGCATAGTGAGCGCACAGCTGAGGGAGAGTGGTGTCCAGGAATGCATTGAAAATGGCAGTTTTCTTTGCGAGCAGGACTGGGTCACATTGGGTTGAGAACCTTAATTGTTCATGCGCTCATGTAAAGCTGGTCTGAGTTGACTTGATTGAGTGATGTCAGCGTTGTTCTGTTTGGCAATGAGGCCATGTACGCTTGAATATACACGAGACGGGAATATTGGAATATGCGCATTTTATTCATTTTGTTGTTTTCACCCAAGTCTACGTCAAGGATGCAGTCTAAGCGCTGCTTGTAACGCCTGTCAGCAAAAGCCTGCAAAAAAAGAAACGATAGCGATTGCAATTGACTCTTATGCTAGAGTTCTGGTAAATAATGATCATCAAAATTCGTTGTTGTTCCTCTGTTGGGGTGGACGTCAGTACAATTGGGTGACATTCATTTAAGCCGACTTGCCATACAGTTCAACCATATCCTTATTTTGAAATTCAATGCCGCTTTCCCCATAACTAATACGGATAACACATCCCTCCTCACTGTATCCTGCAACAGGCTCCCAAAGACAGACTTTCCCGATGAACCTTTTACAAAGTTTTGCGCGCGTAACTTGTGGAAAAGCATAATTTTGCTCACAGTAGACTTTTGTGGTATGTTGGCATAGCTCCGCATCTTTCATGGGCAAAACAACATTTGACATGATGGGAAGCGAACTATTTAAAAAGCAACAGGGATGTCCTTGAAGCCGCCTTTTGCCATTCACCGTCCATTCGCAGTCCTGGTTGGAACTAATGGGTTCTTTCAGTCTTCTCCTCATATGTTTGGCTGTGATGGTCGCTTCCGTCTGGGCGCAGACTGGGAATGCAAGTAGGTATTAGTATGCTTCCTTTGCTAAAGCTACCAAGCTCATCTGTGCCAATCTGCCGCACAGCTTGCAAATACAAGGAAATAGACCCTCAGCTCGAGTGTCCAAGTACGTACTATCTACACAACCATGCTGCGTACACATCAATCTCATATGCTACTCTAAATGCAGCATGCCCGAAGAAACTTGTTGATGCGGAATGGCAATGTAATTTCGACTTTGTGACGGAAGATTACCGTCTTACAACTGAAACGAATACGACTTATCCGTCTGCTGCCCACGACAATGCGTTCAAAACCTTGGCCAAGTGTATGTGTAAAGCTTTTGAGGAATACCCTACATATGAGCCGTTAAAGCAGTATGGAGACTATTGCACGGAATATTGGTGGGGGCCAGGTTAGTGGATGCTGGCGAACAAAGCTTGCGTCGTTCGTATTTACTCATCCATTGAACACAGCGCGGGTGCCATTTTATCCTGATTTCAAGAAAGGCTGCGTAGGCGATGCCTATAACGATGTTTTGGTAGCGCTAAACTATACGTACTTTGTCAAGGAGGGCAAAAAATATACCCGCATCAAGCCGCCATTTAAGAACGCTCAAGGGAACTTGGAAGGTGGTTCAGGCTCCAGTGGCCAAGGCTCTAGTGGGAGTGAGAGGTTGGTATCTTCTCTTACTGCTGCTGCTGCAATAGGTGGTCTGGTATGGGCGATTGTAATGTAGAACCTCATAAATGCGTATTGTACGGAGATCTCAGACTCTAGTGATTATATGTAGCGACTGACCCATTATCATAGCGGCATGAGTGCATAGATGAGGCGACCTCAGACTCTTGTGATTACAAGTAGCGATTTTCCCATTATCGTAGCGGCATGAATTTCAAGCAGACCTGTCGACGGTCATGTTTTGCTTTGTTGGCCCGCGCATAACAATTGTCCTCTCGATTCATGTTTGCAACACAGATCCATTGTCAAAAGTGCTGCTGGTGGTGAGGTACTCGCATGCGGTCAATAGTTTCGCACTACATGATTCCCGGCTTGTGGTCTCTGCCACCGAGGACAGACGGTTAATTGCTTTCCCTCCATGTTGGGTCCTGCTCTTGTCTATGGCTCAAGCTGACCGGTTGATGAGTGTGATAAATGGTTTGCAGAGATCAAAGAGTTAGCAGATAACAGAGGTGATGAAATCAATGAAGATTATTATATGACCTGTCGTAGCTATTTGAGCAGCATACACGGCTGCTCTGAACTTTGGTTCATTACTGATATCCAAGGAAAACGAACATGGGGCTGCCCTGCTGAAGAGCTTGTGTTTTCGAGTCGCCATGGCACTGACATCTTTCCGCTTCACCAAGTCTTTCAGTGCTGGTTTCTGATCAAGTTCTTTGCTTGATGCGTCAGGAGTGTGTTCATTCTTGGTAAGGTCGTATGAGTGGATCCGCTTGACATACGGGCGCGAGCTCTGAACTAGTTTTCACTTTTTTGGACGAGGGAGTGTGGGAGGACCGCGGATGCTGACGATCATCGCGACATGGGTGCAGCCAGTTGAGCTGTAAAGTAAGAGGTCGACGTTGGCGCTTGACGTTGCTGGGTAGAAATACGAAATGCTCCAGGTTGAATTCCGGAACACCATGATGCGTTGTTCCAAATGTACAAATTAACAAGAGCCAACAAGCAATCTAGTTGAGCCGAGATATTGCCTCAGCAGCTTCTTGGGTAGTTGGCTGGGATTTACTCCTCAGGAGTTTTGTAGTCGGGATACGATCCGTATCCGTCAATTATGGAGAGAGTGGGATTTGACGACTTTGCGACCAGTTTTAGCGTGGTACGCATGTGCATCTTACCACTGGGAGACAAACATGTCCAACTAACCCGATGTCCGGACCTGCATGGCTAGTGCCATCTCACTACCCGGAGCACGTTGGCTCACCTACCTATCTCTTTGTATACTTGGAACTTTGCCACCTAGTTGCCCAGTATAATGACACTTGGATTACTCCCATTCATGTGCCTTGTTGAGTCAATTGTGCACCATGGTTGTAATATCTGTAGTGTGTTCGGAATCCTAGAGGATCAGAAAAGGATGATACTCTTGGGCGATGGATGAATGGACACAATTTGGGGGCCAACCCGAGTCCCATCTTAAGCCAAAAGAAATATCTAATATTATGTCTACTACCGTATCTAAACCCGCTTTCGACGCTGCGGCTCCCGTAACAGTCGTATGCCCTCCAATTGCTCTTTGGTCCTAAATGTCCGGATTGTGGTACACCTGTCCGCTCTGCCAAAAGGCAAATCCACGGATGGTGGCATGTCCAAGTCCATATGAATTGCTCTCTTAACAACAGCAGCCTACTAGATCCTCTTCAAAACAGACGCTGGACGCAGAATGTCCCCTCCTCTAATTACATCGGCCCCCCTCCTCCTCCACCTTTCGTGATGGGATAAACACTAAGCAGGCAGCATCACAGAACCATTATCTTGCACGGTAGATCATCTGACACCTTGTATCCCTCACCGTCTTCTTCCTTTGTCAGATCTTGATCGATTTCTACCGTGACAGATGATGGATCTGCCCCCTTAAGCACATAATCGAATCGGAAGCGTAGATGGAAGCCATCTACAGATATCTTGCGAACGTAACCATCAACATACCCTCCAAACATATCGAACGGCAAAAGGATCTTTGGTGTGAGATAGCGCAAGCCATCTTCTCTCGTTATAGTTTCTCGCCAGGAGCCGATCACTTTCCGTTCATCAGAAAATGTGATTCCCCGAATGAGATTGTCATCGTATGTCGACGTCGAGTCTGACCCAGATACTTTTTCTGTGACAGTGATATTGAGCGAGTCAACGTCTGCGTTGAGGAGATCTTCTAGACGTTTCTTTGCGTCGCTCTCGAAAGAGATATGCTCAGATGATAAATTCAAGATCACTCGAAGGAAGTTATCTTTGCTGCGGTGCTCATTGAAGAATTTGACTCGATGTAGTCTCTGACATTCCTTGGCGATGCTCTCATGATTATCCATGACTTGCTTTGGTGAGAATTCTCGATCAATATACTGTGACTTTAGCATGCCTGTTTCTGTTGGGACAAACCCTGGCGAGTATTCGCCCTCCCACTCGATGACGACTGGTTCGTAATTCTCTTCGTTGATGAGTTTGTCCACCTCGTACAATGCCGAATAATAGACGGGACTCCAATACCATCCCTCGAAGAACAGATACGCATCGCCCAATCGTTTGTAACCCTGTACAAACTTGTCGGAGCGGTCGTCCGTATGTAGCGTTGTTCCGTTGTCGGCATCACACACGTCAATAGCACCATGTTTCTTGTTGAAGATAAAGACAACCTTGCCATACTTGTTCTTGTAGAATTCGATCATACATTCCTTTGAAGGATAATAGTTGTCTCTCCTCAGCGAATACAGATATGACCCTTTTTTAAAAAAGTCACAGTAAAACTCGGTCGCGTCATGTGGGTGATAGGGAGGATCATTCTCCTCAGCGTCACCTCCGTTAGGTTCTTTCGAAGAAACATGGAGCGGATAGACGGCAGCGTATTCTCCAAGTTGTTTCAGTGCGTACTTTTTTCCATCTCTGTACTCGTAGACATCTTTGCTATCATACGTCAATTCGGTACCTCGTTGTGATTTGAGTTCGTACATGGTTTCCTGATCGTGCGAATGGGATGTAGCGTGTCCTGTAGATGGTTTGTTTAAATGTGTATCTAATAAGGGTGAAGCCTAAACTTTCATGGCTTCCCCATATCATAGATGCTAGCTCCGCAGTACATAATTGCGCATCGACGTTTTCCCGATCAACACATAAAAATACCAGAAACCTTCGCCTCTTGCGTGGGGGACATGCGCAATCGACGCGTGTGTTTTCTTAGTAGTCGTATTTGGCCCACCGGTCGGAATAGTCATCATACTGAAATTACTTTTCGCCATTGCTCTCTGTCTTGAGCTATGTAACGAACGTACTCAGTTTATGCGTGATGATGATGCATGTCTCTGAACAAGAGGCAACGAGTTGTCCATATTCCTCGGTGAACTCGAGCAAATCATGGCAACACTGGCTTGGGTGGGTCTAGATCCATTATTCATATTTTGTATTGCATAAACTACATCCTTCAAATTGCCCAATTTCATCACAACTTTAAAGACGGTGATGTGTATTCGTGCATGATGCATGCCTGCGGAAACCTCCTAAAAACCGTAAATACAAGAAACCCTTCTGTTGCCATAGCCAGATAGTGATCATTGTATGTCATCGGACAAGCACAGCGGCACATGTTAATTAACCCCATTTTGATTGGAATGATAACCGCCACCAACGGCCATAGCAATGAAGATTATAAAAACACAAGACTCAAAGCAAAAAAGCGTTTTTGTAGCAAACAATAATGGATTATCCTTTGAACCGACGGAAAGAACTCTCAGATTTTGTGAGGGCTCAAATCATTGGAGCCTACAAAGCAGGTCGCACCAACAGAGAAATTGCAGAAATTCTGTCTGTACCACGTTCCACGGTTTCGGATACCATCCTGCGATACCGAGTCACTGGATCTGTTACCCCACCGAAACGACCGGGTCGCCCTCGTCTTACCACACCTACTGTTAGTCATCCAGCATGAGTTTATTAGCAAAGCAACTTTTGGATAGTAGGCGTGATCTTTAGTTTTACGCAGATGGATTTCTTGTAACGAGTCGAGTACAGAATAGCAAATGCTTTCTTTAACAACGCTGTCGTATCGCTTGGGTAATAAGAGACAAAGTGCCCGCCAGAGCCATATACGTTGAACACAGTAAATTCCTAGTTATCATACATTGCCCTCACTCCAATTCTCATATATGGGATACGATCGCACACCCCGTCAAGTTTCTTGGTGTCAGAAGACTACATGTTCCAAGTGATTTGTTCTTTGCATGATGTTTCCACAGCAAAACGCGGCAAGAACACATTACTACAATGCCCGTAAGTGGCATGGCACCTTAAAGCTAGTCCTTCCCATTAACTATTGGTTAAAAGAACCGGCCGTACGATCTCTGAACTGATCACATACCATAGTCTGCTCGGCTCACCCCAACCGATCCACCTCGCCTCTCGCCGCCGTTACAGATTCCCTTTGTGTTGGGCTCTGTAACTTTGACGCGGTGACGCCTAAATCCTAGGCAGAACTCATAAATCCGTTATATGTCGTCCCTCTACACCATATAGATTTATATGAACTTACTGGTCCCCTAAACCTAAACTCCATTTTCGTAGGTACTTGACAGCTACTAGTGGTACTAGTGATAAACTAACCTACTCGATTTGTTTTTATACTGATGGCATACTAACCAGATGCATAAGATTTAAATCGATACGCAATGCCGTCCTGTTGTCCCTCTACAACAGCGATCGACGCATTCCCCGGTCAAGCGGTTCGATTTGAATTATATGTGTCTATAAAGTACTAGGCAACGTCAGTAAGCCCCTAGTGTAAGCCCAGAGGAAGCCATGACGTGGATGCAACAGCGGCCCAAAAGACAACTTTGCTAGAAGGCCTTACGGCTGCAGTGCTTGCCAACCCTGGATACGAGAAAGCCCAGCTTAGTTTAACCCAAGTCGTATAGTAGCTACTCGTCAGATTGGAACTGGCTTTATCTCGTACCGGTAGGCCAACCAGTATAAGCAACGAGTACAAACAACGAGTATAAACAACGAGCATAAACAACGAGTATAAACAAACTATAAAGTGCGAGGGGCGTAACTCTCACCACTGTCCACCACTGTTCAATGCGTGGGATACGAAAGATTTGCTTTGTACATGTAAATGCATGGCGTGTAGCCACATACATATAATTCCAAACCAAACCGCTACTGCCTTGGCACTGAACTCATGGACATGAGTTATGCTATTTGTCATATGGAGGTCACTTATGTCACGAGTGACCTGTGGTTCAATTTGACAAAGGCATGGGATAATCCTATATTCTAGGCGAACATCTATAAACAAATCAAACCGCTACTACCTTGTCCCTTGAACTCATGGGCATGAGTATGTGGGTTGGCAGATGTGGCCCGACTCCGAGGGAAAAGCACTTGCTCCCGATCACGTTTCACAAAGACTTGAGATCATTCTTAATGGTTGCAGTGGAACGAGATTGACGTGGGATGTCAGGACGACACCGGGCAAAGAGACTCTCTCTGTGGGGATCTGTGTGGGTTACAGTGGAGTAAATCAATCGAGATGAAAGTATACTATATTGGTGGCGCCAGATGGTACTGCCGTCGCCTACTGTTTTGTGTTTTGTGTGGGTGGGCGGACACAGCGTGCAGTGCCATGACGCGTGCATGAAATAGCGCATCTTGCTTTATTGCAAAAGCAGAAAGGCGATCCATGCACCGACCGCTGTGACATGCAACAGAAGAGAAAAACACTCCCGCCCAAAAAGCAAATGCATTCACGCCTGTTATCCATTTCCGCACGCAATTATCATCAACCATCACCCAACTGTATGCCTCACATTCGGAGTCCATACAATGTGGGGGCAGACGCGATGCAGCTGACACAACTCACCGCACCTAATGTGCTCTAAGCGGGATTTGGTAGAACAGATGTGACCCAGCTGAAAAACAAAGCAATAGCTATAACTGTAAAGTCTGTAAACTTACCTAAAACACGACGGGAATATCTTCCAGCGCAACGGCTGCAATAGGGACTGTCGTGACCTGAGCCATTCTGCGACTCCACAGAAAAGTTGTGGTCAACTAGCGAGAACCACAAAGAAGTCAAAGATCAGTGCAAGCGCTTTTGAAGGGAACTCTTGTAAATACTTTAAACTTGTTAAAAACAAAGTACTGGACACAAGGTGCTGTTCAATTCGTGTCAATCCATTCACTAGAGTGGCTCAAATTGAATTATACATGTGCATGAGTGGCATATGAAGTACTAGCCAAGTAGTTATCTCATAGGCTCGCAGTGGAGCTGAAAGATACAAATCTTTCAACAGGTTACAAGTCTGACCATGTCCGGACCCAAATATGTGATCTTTTCCTGGTGTCAGACTCACTATAACAATGAACATTTGTAGCCAGATCTGTTTAATATCTGTACATGTCGCGGTCAAATTGTAATCTACTTTCCTTGTACGAACTGTGCGTTTGGCAGGAGGAGACGGGGTTGCCGTCGACCAAGGACTGCTGCTGCTGCTGTCCGGGACAGAGCTCCTGTACCGTGGCATGAGAATGTGGGTCCATACGATTGCCGACCCAACAGCCGTACCCTCGGAGCGCCATTCACCAGGACTTTCCGGTTCATGAGGTGCATATAATTACAATCCAACAACTGCTGAGCTCGATCGGTGCTCCTCCACTGTTTACGCCCTTTGCTTCGTTACATATTTGTCAATTTTGAGCTGTAGGCGGGTTGACAGATGCGATACCCGAGCGATTGATCTGATTGCGCAAGAACAGAGAAGGGAAGCCCGACATACCCTGAGCTCCTCCTGCCAACTGGTCGCAATTCCACCATCACGAGCGTCCCAATGCATTGTCACAGGGGATACGGCCGAGGTCGACTTGGACAAGTATCAGCCCCAGCCTGTCCCACAGCCAATCCCTTCTGTACTGCCTGCTTTGCATTCTCCAACATTCCCCATCTCTACCATCATCGTGAATGCCTTGAATAATCGCATTGCCCGACACTTCCATCTCGATCATCATCGTGAATGCCTTGAATAATCCCATTCTCCAACATGCCCACCTCCATCATCATTCGTGAATGCCTTGAATAATCCCATTCCCCAACATTCCCCGTCTTCATCATCATCGTGAATGCCTTGACGAATAATAAGAATTACCAAACGGCATACGATATTAAGAAACTTGCTGAGGAGAATGGCGACGTCCTGTCATCAGCCGTGGCTTCCTTGTTTATCGGTAGTGCGGGTGGTCATCCTTGTACCAATGGCTTTGTGCGCTACAAAGCCTTCTGATCATAATGCCCACACCTCCCCTCGGCCACAATTTGTGGACCAGCCGGTAATGCAGTGTAGCTGAGGTTCAGAAGCTTCCAACGCTGGTTTGATGGGTGAGAAAGATCAGAATGGGCATTGCGTCAAAATTGATGCACTTAATGAAAATAGGATCGTCCGGCGTTTCTTTTGTCGATACCCAAGAACCATTGGCGAAATGAAGCGGTTTTAAGGCCCCTGAACGAGTCCCCGAAGCCAATGCATGAAGAACAACGGGCAACTCTGCATCGACGGTTCGTTCCATCCATCTTATTTTCAACACATCTCCCCACTACTATCGTTACCCAAGAACCATTGGGGAAATGAAGCGGTTTTAGGGCACATTAACGCCTCCCGGAAGCCAATGCATGAAGAACAACGGACAGTTCTGTATCGACGGGTCGCTGCTCGTCGTTTCCATCCATTTTTTTTCAACGGCTCTCCCCGCTACAATAATTTGTAGACCAGCCGACTTACTCTCTTTCGTCCTGCCCGCCGCCCTAGGAAAAGGTCCAGATCGAAAAAAAAACCAATCGTTGTCCACAGTTCCCTTAGCATCTTGCCAAGTGCCTCACAAACTGGGCACATCCATTCCTTACCAAATTCATCCATAAACCCAGCACCTTCTGTAGCATTGACTGTAAGCTATACTCTAGGTGGGTTGGCAGATTCGACCTAACATAGCCAAATATGTCGTAGTTATACTGGTACATATGGCTACTGGAGCCAATTGTAAAGGAGGACCTACGATTGCAAATAATCGCAAATAACTTGGTTGTGAATTAGGAGTATATGTTAATATTTGCAACCAGGTCTGTAGACCTGGGTCCGCGACTCGTTGGGGCATACCCCTCGTTGACGTTGTTTCTGCGCCAGCAAAAAGATGACTGGAGCTGCAATCAGTGCGAATCGGGTCATGCATGTTTTAATCGGGTATAAACCATGAGACGCTCCAAATCAAACCGCTACTGCCTTGGCACTGAACTCAAGACGGTATGGCTAATTCAAATCCAAACCACCACTGTCCGATGAAATACTCTATACTCGTTGTAATGGAATAGTTGAATGATTGCAACCACCATAGACCAGCTCCAAATCCGCCGCTATGCTTGAACGGTAAAATGAGGTCTATACGACTGGTACTGCACACGCCGGACGTATTAAATAGGATAAATAGATCAGAGCTGTCTGATGTTATTTAATTGTCAGATGTTATTTATTGTGATACCGATAGTGTGTTTTCAACTTGTCCTATCGATCCTCTCGACATCCTCCGATCTGGGCTATCTTAAAAATAAAGTAGCTAGTAGTATAGTTAAAGCTTCTAGAGCTACAGGTAATCCTATTATCACCTTTGTCTCGACTGCAGAGTCATCGATCACTGCCCGCCCTTTGACGCTTTCCACTCGTCCCCTCACGTTTATATGCTTGAAACCAGCTCTTTTTGAATGCATTGATACATGCCGCCTCTGATGCTTTAGACACACGGACATTTCCCTCGTCCCCCCCCCCCCCCCTCAAACCCGCCGCTATGCTTGAACGGTAAAATGAGGTCGATACGACTGGTACCGCACACGCCATTCGATACGATTGGTGCTGCACACGCTATATCACTTTTGTCTCGACTGCAGAGTCATCGATCACTGCCCGCCCTTTGACGCTTTCCACTCGTCCCCTCACGTTTATATGCTAGAAACCAGCTCTTTTGAATGCATCGATACATGCCGCCTCTGATGCTTTAGATCCCCCTTTGTTAATGTTTTTTGCAGACACGACTCATACATCACTGCCCGCCCTTTGACGCTTTCGACACACGGACATTTCCCTTTCCACTCGCTCGTCCCCCTCACAGACACCACTCCAATATTAAAGGACTGGTCGGAAAAAAAAAATACAAAGAAGACATGATTCCCTGGGCGGGGTTCGAACCCGCGATCTTTGCATGGCATAAGGAGACCTTCCTTATAAGTACAAAGCCTTAACCACTAGGCCACCAGGGATCGACACAATAACAGCACTCCGAACGTTAATCATGACTTTTGAACAATAACAGCACTCCGTACGTTAATCATGAGTTTTGAACAATAACAGCACTCCGAACGTTAATCATGACTTTTGAACAGTAACAGCACTCCGTACGTTAATCATGAGTTTTGAACAATAACAGCACTCCGAACATTAATCATGAGTTTTGAACAGTATCAATATTCGGGATGCTATTCATGAGTTTTGGACAGTAACAAGATTCCGTACGTTGTTGATGAGCATTTTGGAGTTCTGCTCGCGTTAACCTCCTTACGTTAACCATAAGTTTTGAACGATAACAATATTCGGGATGTTAATGATGAGCTGTTAGATGTCCAGACAGGTTGCATCCATCCATCTGCTGGCAAATTTCCCCAGCCAACGCGTCCACGCAGAGTTTATCGATGAGGAGGGCGACGCGTTCATTGGTAACTGAACGGAATCCTAGTTTACAAACAACTCCTACACATTTTGGTGCTAGTGGCCTAGTGGGTGAGGGTGGACGTTAAATCCAAATGCTCTGCTGGCCTAGTGTAGAACCCTATTCAACCTTCCGACCGGTAATACATAAACGCATTGCATCACTGTGCCTCACTTGCTTGCAGCATACGACCCTTCAAGGAAGCAACATGCTTCAGCATTTCCTGGCCGACTTCAACTAGACAGATCAAGCAAGTAGCGATTCGATATATTTTTGGGTGGAGCAACAAACTGGTAAGGTCTATTTGGCTTTTTCTGTTCTTGAACGCAACCATCGCTGCAATATATTGTCACAATGAAAGGTGAATGGTTTGAACTAGTACATTGTGGTTGCAATCATTCAACTATGAGAGTAGCCCATCCTGACGTTCACACTCGCCTCACCCACTAGTCCACTAGAGCCAGCTCTGACACTAGGCCACCAGAGCATCCTGACCTTCATACTCGCCTCACCCACTAGGCCACCAGAGCGTCCTGACTTTGATGCCCGCTGTAGGAAATGGATGGGAAACCCGCAATTTAAACCAAAAATGGGTATATTAGGATAACGTATGGAAATTGGTCTGTATGCCACAAGATAATGATGCGGTATATGTGTTTTTCACCATAGTTTACTGTAGATTACACACACGATGAACTTGGAGCGATTTAGTATCCAAACTGCGTGGCTTAGCAGCCAATGCGCGTTACCTAGCAACCATAGAAAGCCGTAGTATAAGACAGACTTTTGCGACACAGGTAGAACCTTAGAACTATATAATAACATCTTTTTTCTGTGACATTTGCTTTCACATCGCTTGGGTTTATCAAAGAGACAGTTTAGGTCCGCCAGAGCAATATATGAGAGCGCCGTCGTAGAGAATAAGGTGCTATTAGTTCTGAAAACACACAAACTTGTGCCGAATCACCTACAGTGGTTAACGACCCCGCATGCCGTCGAGTTTCTTGGTGTCAGAAACCTCGACATTCCCAAGTAATCCGTTCTCTGTGTGGTGAAAATACAAAGAAAGGGCGGAAGAACGCATTACGACACCGCCTCACCCACTATCCCATCAGAGCGTCCTGACTTTGATGCCCGCCTCACCCACTAGTCCACCAGAGCCGCTCTAACACTATCCCTGTGGCCATCCCTATGTCCTGATACTGCCTGCACATGCCCCCAGTGCATAGCTCAGTCAAGTCCTGTCAAGTATGTTGGGAGTAGTGAACTTCAGATAATCGGACACATGTCCGAATGGCACGGCTGGGATATAGACACCCCTGGCCAATGCATCAGCTCATGTGAAAGATGCCTGCTACTCTCATCGTAGCAGAGCATCCCTCGTCTCATCCTGTAGTCCAGCGTCACCTCGTCAATAGCTCATTTGAGTGCCCTCTGACTGTCGGGTCCCGCAATTCCCGACAAAGTGGATATCTCCTTGTGTCCTTTGTGTTTGAGCAAGATCAAATACACAGCCACCTTGCAAGAGGGGCCCCCTCTATAAAAGGCCAGGCCGGGGGTCGCGCGGCCACCCCCTCCCACAGCCGGGCACGTAGAGATTTTCGCCGGACACAACGAAGCGATTGGCCTGAAGAAGACTAACCATCTTGCTCGACTTGATGTCCCTAACCGCGCTTGGGTTCCTTGCGTGGCTCTGATTCACAAACCTTTACGGATTAGTGGAAGACAAACTTCAGGGGTTAGCATATCATGCTTTCCCTGAGCGAACTTCCGCATATCGTCCTTATGAGCATCGCGCGGAACTTATCTCTCGCGGACTTGGTTCATCTGCGCTCCTGCGCAAGGGCTTTGCGGAGACGCCTCTCCATTGCGGATAGACGGCTCCATGGCCTGAGTTTGATATTTGCAGAGCTGGAGCGGATCTTTATTTTGCCGTCCACGGTAAGTTTGGACTATGTTGGCGTCTCTTAGGACGTCCGCATTTACTGTTTTCTTTTTTTTCCAGTTGCAACAATATGACGACATAGAGAAGACCTACGACGCTCTACAAGGGTTTCTCTCAAATTTGTCCTACAAGCGGACACCCCTTGGCTGCGAAGTACTTTTCGAGGAGTATGATGACATCGAGATCGACGTAGGGTACAGGTTTCTTGAGAGATATTGGCGGTCTACCGTCAGGGTTATGGACTTCATCGATCCGTCAAAATCGGTCTACCTTACCGGTGTGAGTCGATTATCATGGAGCAGTGCAGGTCAAGAGCGGCTGGCTTACGAGGATTGCGCCATCTACATGCACATCGCTGATGGGCAATACGCACTGGTGTATCAAGGAACGGAGGGCAGCTTCCCTGGGGAGGCTCGCTCCGCATTGCCTACAGTCGCAAAGCAACTACATACTACGCATAAAGAGCTAGCAAAGGTTCTTGGAAGAGCCTTGTCAGCTTTCGCAGAGTCTTCCATCCATACCGGTACCGGTGTTGGGCAGCATCTGAATTGGTCGGAGATGCAGCCAAAAGTCCTGGAAGAGCCCGAGGATTTTGTCATCGAATATGACTTGCAGCGGAAAAGGCTGACCGCTCACCTACTCAAGGGCTTGGAGGAACTGCGGCCGCGGTTGGATGACACCCATAGTAGGCTGTGGAACTGGATACGGAGTCAAGTCGATCTGAAAAAAGCTGAATCACATATATTCTTTTTCCGAGGAATCTTTCGGGCTCTTCACGACAATTGGTGTCTATTTCACGATACAAACTTAGCACAAGATACCCGTTCGGAAGCTTTTGCCTTCGATTGGGTCAAGAACAACATCGTCTTCACGTCCTTCAGCTGCAACAAAATAGCGCCAACAAAGACTTGGCCTCATCCCGTTGAGAAACTCGAAGTGACTTTTACTGTGAACGGCTCAAAAAATCCAGTCACCTTCCAAAGACTTCTCTGTTGCCCTGATCGCAATGGAGGCTGGAACGAACTGGTCTGCTGGTCTGACCAGATTCGGTGTCATCTGTTCGAGGCAGTGGCGAAGACTACGAGCCTCACTCTCGTTATTGGAGCGCATTCGCTGGCGTTTAGAGACATTGCGGGGTGCAGCGAGACATGGCGGAACGCTGATGTCTTCATGCTTGTGATCGCTGCGGTAGCTCTGAGCTTTGTAGCTTGGCCACCGACACCATTCGAGCTGCGACGTGTTTACGTTGAAGGTGAAAATGAGACCTTACTGGAGATTCCACTTGAGCCTCCTCTGCGAGTGCAACCAATTTCCCCCACTACAAGGAACTTAAGCACGGTAGATTGACTTCTATTCATATAGAGGTCATATACGGAACCAACGAGTTGATACTTAAGCGCCTTGCCTTCACAGGCTGTAGAATCAGTTCTAGGTGAACGAAGGACACGAGGAAGTTTCGGGAATAGACTTTCAAAAGAATTTCTCTGCGGTACTGTTTAATAGACCTGGTGCGCATCTGCTACTTTCTTGGAGACCGAGCATGCAAAGCAAGAATAAATGAAATTACGGAATGCCGTTATTTGAGCGGGAGCGCCGTCTTTCCTTTGAACCGGCCGCGTGTTGTTAAGGCAAATAGAGCCGCCCGATATATTTCCGCTAATCTCGTTTTGAATGTGTTTGAAGTAGCTTCTGGACTCGGTGAGGAGCGTGGATTATGGTGCTCTCAATTCTTCTGGCAGGAGCCTAAAAAATTCTCCATACTTCCAGGAAGCCAGTATGAAGAGGCCGAGACGGGCAAAGCCGGGCGGTGACAGAGCGGGGTAAATGCGCTGTTGCAGTGCATGACAAAAGAGGTTCTCGGATGCAGGACACGCAGAAGGCAGCGTATTTTCTCGCGGGCAAGGCGGGGTCATGATGACAGACGCACCATGGACAAGTTGAGCCATTCCTCACACCTTCCACACCTCTGACGCGCATGTAAATTACTGTACAAAAAGAACATGCCGGATATTTCTGCAATAACTCTAGCTTTTACCGACTTCTCCATTGCCTTTCGGTTAGGGTTATCCACATCCCGCTGCTTTCCTTCTCGATCTCGCATCTCGCCTCGTACGGATGTATTCGTTCACTGGGATACCTCGACCCCTTCGTCGGTACAGGAACAACGATGATGGCGGCTATGGAATGTGCTCGAAATAACATCGGGGTGGACCCATGTCAGCCATACAAATATTGGCTCAAGGAGAAGGTTGAACCCGGTAGCGAGTCCAGGGAAATGACGGATATGAAGTTGTGGGTTACGTCCTTCACACGTGATGACCGTTTTCAAAATGTGGTTGGTCGAAAAGAGGTCAAAAAATTGCGGTTTGAGTTTTTGACCACTTTCTGACTATTTTGTTCCCGGCCACCAGAGCGTCCTGACTTTGATGCCCACCTCACCCACTAGGCCCGCCCCATCTTGACTCTTACGCCCGCCTCATCCAACGACAACTAGTATGGAAGATTTAATCGAACAAGCATAGCAGCGGGTTTGAACTGGTGTGTTGTGGTTGCCATCATTCAACTATTCACGTAGGCCATTCATCAAACCTGGTTAACGCACACAATGCAATGCCTGCTATGCTTTGTCCGATCAAATATTCGATCCGAGTGGTAGGCCCCTTTTTGACTTGTACAGCCGCCTCAATCACTGGACCACTACCAGTCGTATCAATGTATCTACCATTGAAGCATAGCAGTGGTTGCTGACGAGCATGGTTACATTTGTGTATCGCCATTTTTAAGCTGTTGCTACAGTGGGATTATACCTGGTTAACCCTGGTGAATACATCGTTACGAGTATTATAACCTACATATTGGGGTGCCCAATGATTAAATGTGTAGGAGTGGTACACACTATGCATACAAGCAGGTCCACCCCAAGTGGCAGTGCCTGCAGTATCGGACATGTCTGGACTGACAACGACAGCGATCGGCGGGTGGCACAGTCATATCGACCAAGTACTGTATGCACATTTTGAGCCCTATCTATTCAATAACGCGCCCATCATCCTTAACGGCCTCCGTGCGCCTAGGCATAGATTCAACTAGTTTAAAGAGGTTTTCAGGAGTTATGGCCGCCCACTCTTCCTCCACGATGGCCTTCAATTCTTTTAAATTATGAGGATTTATGCCTATACACCCGTTTTTTCAAGACCGACCACAGGTCTTCGATGGGATTAAGATCTGGAGATTGTGGTGGCCATGGGAGCAACGAGGACGTCATTCTGGAGAAACCACTGGCGTGAAACCCGGAATGTCTCAATGAGCGCGTTATCTTTGTTGGAAGAAGAAAACGCCTGGAACTGCGGCTTGATGCAATGTTTGGTTTTATGCTAGCCAGCATTGGGCACGACGATGGGAGAGGATGTCACATGAAGCACGTGATGTTCTTCACTAATGTGCACTAGCCACGCTGTGTGTTGAGCACAAGCCCAGACGGAATTCCAAGCGTCATGGATCCCATTGAGATAGACGGCTCGATTTTGGAAGGCGGAGGACAGATCCTCCGAAATTGCGTGGCTTACTCTGTGTTGTCAATGCGTCCTATATATATTCATTCTATTCGCGGAAACCGCAAGAACCCTGGGTTACAGCTGCAACATCTCACTGGGATTCTCCTAGCTGCTCAATTATCAGAGGCAATTGTGTCCGGTCTGGAAAAGAACTCCCTCACACTCACCTTCCAGCCCACACGTCCCCAAATATCTATGGACAAAACCAACGCAGGACCTAAAACATACGTAGCTGAGATCTCAAGCGCCGGTGCTTGTACTTTGGTTCTGCAGTTAGCTTTACCCATCGTCCTTTACAAGGCAACAAATCTGCAAATTATTGTAAAGGGTGGCACAAATGTCCCTTTGTCACCTAGTGTCGATTATCTTCAAAGAGTTCTTTTCCCGACCTTGTCTTTTGCTTTTAGCATCCCAGGCGTGAATTTGTCCGTTGTAAAACGAGGGTTCATGCCCGCAGGTGGAGGGGAACTCCACGTTACCGGACACACCATACAAGGTCGGCAGGGATGGAAGCCGTGTACGATCTTGGATAAGGGTCAAATTGTATCATACGAAGCGATCTTTACGGGATGCTGTACTCAACAATTCTTGTCTGAATTGACGTCTCAAGTCAGTAGACGACCACAGTATGTTTTGCTTTGTGAGGATTTGCACATTGTAGCAAAGCACACTTCACAATCGCAGCTACTTCTCGTAGCAAGAACCGATACAGGATGCATCTTTGGAGCTTCAGCTTTAGGAGGAAAGTACCAAAACGGAGAAAAGTTGTTTCGTTCGGCGGAAAAAGTGCTTCTTAAACAGCTCATGGGCAGATCTTGCGTTGACGAGTACCTGCAAGATCAACTTATCGTCTACATGGCATTAGCGAAGGGCCAATCTAATGTTCGCACGGGACCTTTGACTTTACACACAAGGACTGCTATACACTTTGCGCAGGTCATGACGGGCGCGATTTTCAACATCAAAAGAGATGAGGATAAACTGGATTGCGATCAGTCCCACGAATCTTATGTCATTACTTGCGATCCTTGTACATCAGGGGACATTTGAGATTGGCGAGTCGGATCACCCTCTTGCTGTGGCAGTTGTTGGGACTGCTGATGTTTTGATAATGGGGGGAAACGACGCTGTTGTACCGAGTGATGGCTCTTTTCATCCACCGGTTGTTCTGCATGAGTTGTGCTTGATTCGCGGCATCCTTTTCGAGACATGGATTGTTGCAATGGACTGGGCAACCAGAAAGCACACAATTGCTGTCAAGATCGGAGCGAAAATGGCCACCTGACCTACCGTACAAATGAGTACTATCACGGCGGCAATCAGTATGATGGAGATAGTAAAGGTCAACACAACCCTCGGAGAAGCATTGGGGACGTTGGCACCTAAACAATGACATTTGCAATTTGTTGCGCGGTAGTAGGATCCAAAGACGGATCCTCTGCCTCTACGTCAATAAGATAGGCATCGTTGTAGAGGTGTGAGGATAAAGGAATACTCATCTTCTTTTCCCTTCTTGGTTACTTTATATCGCGAGATCCTCCCGTTTCTATAATTAGCTTTGGTCTGGCTCCATTTAAACAAGAAGCTACATATCCTTTGTAAGCACTAGGACAAAACATATCCACCAGTAGTTGAGTAGTAGACCACTAGAATATTGTATTACAAGTTATAGTTGTTTGTAAACTAGGGCTTTTGCTTCCAGTACCACATCTGTGCTGTCTTTGTTTTCGAAAAGCCTGCTCTTGCACTCGATTTAATGATCGAGACTACTATAGTGTATTGGCAATAACAAATGTCACAACACAATACACCAGGGAATAAACCGCGCGACAACCGGTTCGGAAAAGCTAAGCTACTACTAGACAATTATACACGCAATACGTAACGGTTGTTCTAACCGGATAATTGCCCACCACCACACACGGTCCCTACTAGGCCTTGATCTGGAACTCTTGATGGCATTGAAGCCAGACTCTTGCATCCAGGAGCGAATCGACTGGGCAGCGTCACAAGCCAGAGGATGTTCAGTGACAAGGCTTGGAGACTAAAAAAACTGCATGTCAGCGACAGAATGACAGAATGAAAAGAAATGCCATCAGTACTTACCAACCAAGCTCAACAAATGTGGCAGCATAATAACAGCTTTGTTGGTTCCGAGGCTGCACTGGTTCCAGTTGGTTGTAATCGGGTGGGCGAGGTCCTCGGCACCAGAGCAGTACTCTCATGATGATGGACTTGAGAGTGCTGTGTGAGTGTTGGGCAGATGCTTCGAGAGTCGAGGGATATAGAAACAAGATGGGGGGCAGACAACGGGGGGGTTTATATAGAAAAAAGAGTGGATAGATTGAGTCATGGAGCGTCATGCAGGTGGCAAACTGCAGAATATTCCTCTCATAGATGGCCGCAAAGGGATAGTAATTGCAATCCGTTCTTGGCCGCACCTTTGGACCCGTCTTTTTGTTTATCTTCGTGAGGTTCACAATAAATGTGGTTAATTCAACTGGCTGCAATGCTCCGTGGCACTGACATTTCTATTTTCCCACACACTATGGATAAGCCACATTATCTAATGTCCGCACCACGTCTGCTTGCCACAACCGAATCATCCACAAGGTCCCATTGATTTGCAATATTACCATGTTCGTTTTCTCATGTACAATGTAGAATGGTTCCCTCATGACGGTTTTCAGGAAATTCCCACAATTGTTCTCACTGCGCATCGCTCTGCGCATCTCTTGTCATCCGGGTCTTTCGCAAGGACAATTGTCTTGGAATGATTGCCAAACTCGACATGTACAACGTGGAATGCATCTCGTTCAGGTCTCTTGCAGAGGCAAGTGTTTTAGAATGAGTACCACGCTCGAATTGTACAATAATCGTCACAAACATGTATTCGTTTGAATGTTTTGTCGAGTCCGAGTACCACGATGAAAACCCGACGAGCATTTGAACGCGTGTGCAATGTACATCTCATGACGTTTTCCCCCAAGGTCTTGGCAGCCTTTTAATTCTACGCCCACCTCACCCACTAGGAGTCTAGGCCACTAGTGTTATACATCTCCTATAAACCTATTCATCGGACACGCCAAGCACTGGTTTGATTTCAACTATACTTTCATAGGATATAACAAACAATAAACTGCAGCATCGTTTGCATTTTCCAGGTCTTCTTTCAAGTTCATCGCACACATGGGTTCACATTAGTTGTATATGTTTTGCCAGTATTTAGTTTGCCCACTCACTGAGTATACTTCCATTCGAACCACTTTTCCGGTGGATATATCGATACGAAATTATAGTTGTTTGTAAATTAGGGCTTTTAGATTTGGTACTGGAGCATAGTGGGTGGGGGTGCGTTTTTCAGCTGCTATGCCGTCTACAGCTGGAATTTGAGTCCCACCCATACACTCAAAAACCCCTTTTGTAACAATTTCTATATCGAAAGACTTTAGCAACAAGAAAAATAACCATGGGATGCCCTCAGGCAGGTCTATCACTCGCTAGACATTACATCGAGGAGAAAGGGACGGAGGGGTATCGCTCCTGAGGAATGGACTCCCTCGGCGCTCAAAGCGCTTGCGACTTGTCCCTCTAATTCACTAGGGAATTAGGGACAGTTATAACATTTCGTATGTTATTTACAAAGCTTCTTGGACAGTCTCAACATTCCCTATGTTCTTTACAAAGCAATTTTGGGCTACCAGAGCAGGACAGCTACAATATTTTGTTGTTATTTACAAAGCTTGTTAAATTCATATCTACATGTATCTCCCTATAGAGTAAAAGACTAATAAAGCAATGATCTGATGGACTGTCAATAATTAGTAAGTTTGCGAGCAGATTGCTTACCCATTTACCACTACCCATGATTGCAACCACTACAGCGGACAGATAGAACATTTTATGTTGAGAATTTCATATTTTATTTGCAAACCATTTTGGGCCACCACGGCGAGGACAGACAGAACACTTCTTATGTTATTTACGAAGCTCCCTGGACAGTCTGAACATTCCCTATGTTCATTACAAAGCGTTACTAAGGTGTTCCGAGCACACGCACAAAAAACTTTAGCTGCGTCGCCTATTGGCCTATTTACCGTTCAAGCATAGCAGAAACATTCCGTTACCCAGGTTTGATGGCAACCACAATATACCAGTTCAAACCGCTGCTATTCCAGAGGTAAATAGGTCGCAGAGGAGGTCGCGCTGAAGGCAACGAAGGCGTCCAAACTTGCGATCGATCAGATCCTGCGTCAGTTATGAAAGACCGTAGAAACGTGGGCCTCCGTAATCTTGAGGGAACAATGGACACTCCGCTGTTCATATCGCCTGGAAAGTGGGGTTATTGTCACCGGCAATGTTGGGACGTGGCTTCTCCCAAATTGCTTTTCCGGTTTTTCTCGGCTCCTTGAAATCTGCCGTACAGTGTTTCTTTGGAGGGTAAGGAAACGCCCAATTATATTGTATTGTTGGGTATTGATGTCATCACACTTTGTAGATCGCGTTGGAAGCCGTTGCGCGGGAGGTCGGGTGTGATGCGATCGGCAGTCCAACCCGCGAACCTTTGAGAGTAGCTGAGACATATGCATAGAGGCCAAGAAAACCACTTGGGTGGATGACCCTGATGAGTAAGTTGGGTCACGCCAAGGGCACGCATTGCCATTTGCTCAACTGTCTACAGCAGCTAATTCACCACCAACTGAATTTGGACTACCACCACTTGAACCAGTTGGACCACCTAATGGGTACGGCTGGTAAACCACCACCATTAACCATTAATACCACAGACAAGTCTAATCATAAATATATATATAAATCAGCGGCAATTGCCTTGGCATGATTACCATGTTTGTCATTTACAATAATGGCAGAAACATGCATTCGCTTGAATGTTTTTGAAGGGAAGAACTAGGGGTTTTCCAAAAAAAAAAAAAGTCATGAGGCACACATTCCACATTGTAAATGACGACTAAGATAGTCATTTCAAAACGATTGCTGCCGCAAAAGACCTGGAGAACATGCGTGGCAAACAGACTTTGTGGGCGGAGGTATTAGATAATGTGGCTTGTAAGTGTGTCGATCATTGAATTACATAACTGTTGAGCTATCAACAAGGCCCGACAGGTCTCTAGCTGTTCTACACTCTGGTTGCTAGGCCACTAGAGCGTTTGACTTCTACCCCCACTACACCCACTAGCATGTTATTCCTACAGCCCACTAGGCCACTAAAGAATACTTTGTGAGTTACTATTGCTTGTGAGTTAAGGCTTGTATTGTCGCTACCAAAAGGGTTGAATGGTACATAATTTTTTCAGCCGCCTCGCCCCTCATAGAGCATAGTGTGTGGAGGTGGTGGTTTCTAGCTACGTCGCGTCTACAGCTGTGATTTCAGTCCAACCCTATTCATTAGGTTGCGGGATGACATGAGGCAATAGGGTACAAGTGTTTATGGACAGATGGTCACTATATGTCTCAAGGGAAAGTCGAGATAGTCTATACGACCCTGATCGTGTCAATGACTAGTATCAGCTTGATTCACGCATTGGCAGAATGATTTCTATGGTTACCCTAACCCTCTCCTTTAGATTCGGGGCTAGTTCATCATGTTATGTCTGCTCATGTGCTCATGGGCCAGTAGGAGATACCAACAACATTTTGAATCGCATCTTCTTGTCGATTTGGGGCACGACAGCAAAGGGTAAACTATATGACAGAAATGGGGCATTTTGGCCAGCGGTCGATTCAGTTTGTTTATCAACGTTTACTGCGACACTAAAGGATCTAATAATTTGTCGGAAAACTACCACATGGACGTTCGCCACCACTGCGTACGCAAACTCATAGATGCAAAGAGGGTTTCTGTCCAGGATATCTCATTTGCAAAGATGGTCCCGATACACTGACCACGCGCCCACCAAACCTACGGTTTGTCAAACACAGTCTCGCCATGAGAGTCGTGGGATATATAGGTTTGTAGTGTTTTTATTGATGAGCCAAGATCATCTAGACAGTCTGAGGTTGGTGAGAATTGTTATAAATGATGGTTGTTTGTAAGTTAAGGCTTTTAGGATTCGCTACCCATGAACGTAAATAATCGTTTTTCAGCTGCGTCGCCCCTTTAGAGCATGGTGTGTTACAGTTGTTTAAAAGCAATTCCTTGCAAAACATAACCAAGCTTTGAATAAAATAATACTTACAGCCAACACAAAGTGGCTTGAACAGCTCGAGTTGCAGTTCCATGCATTAGACTAGTTTCTGTGACATTTACAGACTCTAAAGACATTCTTTGGTAGGATGATGTGATGGATGGAAAGACATGCGCTAAATGTACAAGAGATGAAAACGCACAGCCTTAATTCCAACTGCTAACAACCATCTTGTTCACGGGAATATCCTTCCGATCAACGTCTATTGAGCAGACTTTTGTAACTGTGCTATCTCTAAGTGCTGATCAAGGTAAGAGTGTTTGAATACAAGAGCTGCCGCACCTTCAGTTTTAAAATTAAACAACCAGACTTCTAAAGACTCTGATATTGCTGTTTTTCCTTTGGTTTGGTTCACGTCTGCCAACACGACTCTAAAAATACATACAACTTGTATCAAGCTATTCACCCGATGGTTGCTTGAATAGACATGTATCTTAATGATCGAGATAGCAAGCCACATCAAATACCGACTACGTTCCCCACTGTACATGACAAACCTGGTAATAATTGCAAAACAGTCGTACCTTGCAGACTATGGCGACCGTTTCGGCCATCAATTCGGAATTCCTTCTCCAAATGTTCAGCCTGCAGCGAATCTGCAAGTTCCAGATTTCCCGCTTAAAAGGGCCATCAACTTTGGATTCCTTCCCCAAAAGTTTCAGCTTGGAACGATTGTGCAATTTGCAGAAAAACCGAGTGCAGAGTGCTGCGGCAACTTGTTCTGCTTCTGGCACCTCACCGCTTCTTCAAGCCCTGGAGTCTCTGCAGGCTCCACTGCTTCTGCAGGCTCTGCAGGATCCTCAAGCTGCTCTTCGTCTACCCACTCCTCATCCCCACTCCTCATCTTCTAGTACGCATCCCTCGTCTAGACGCTCCACTTCCTCAAATTCTGGAAAGCGCCCAGCTCTTCCTCTACGTACAATTGTTGTGCGATCGCTACCACGTTTGTTGTGTGCAATGGACAATGTGCGATGTGGGTGTGCAAAATGGAATATAAATGTAGAGTAAATTGCAATGCAACGGACAACTGTCGAGAAAATGGCTGGGAAGTCGGAAGGCAGCAGGGGTGCCATATAAGTAGTGGTCCAGAGAGCTACAGTGGTCTATATTTGGTTGGATTGGAAGCTTCTGCGAAAGCTGAGAACTCCTAAGCTCCTGTGAATGTCCCTGGAGGGCGCTTCGGCTTTAGCGCTTCTTCAAATGCTGGTTGAGCAAGCCAGCGTGAGTTCATTCTGGAACGATTGAATTGGACTGCGGTGTAGCTTGTTTGATAATTAAGTGACGAGATGGGATGGCGAGAACATCCGATCCAGTTTTGGTTTAGGTAGCTTCAGTTATTTTATCGGCTGCAAGTAGATGTAGAGGGCAATTATAATGCTCGGGATATGAATTTGCAACGATGAATTGGCTTTTCACGATGGAGCAATAACTGTGCTCAATCATTGACCTGGATTATTGGCAGCAAACAGCCCAAATACGGCAAAAGATGAGAGAGAACTACACACTATCCATCGAGTGACATCGATTAGACATATCTAAAAACCAAGGTGGCAGCTACAAACTGGCACGCGATGCACAAAATCGTGTGATGAAAAACTTTTCACACAAGCTTGATGCACTGCTGATATAGTGCAAGTAACGAAGTCGCGATGCAGGAGAACAGATCTTCAAGTACTTAACGATACGTTTTTTGCGTGTCCTGGAGTAGATCAGAGGCGAGGATATGCCATTGTTGTAGAGTGTTTTTATAATGGCGTCTCCTCATTTGCCGACTCTGAACTTTCAATGCATTGATCAATCAAACTTGCAATCACGTAATCTCTGACAACGTTGGCAGACTGAAAAGCATGCGAAGAGATGCAGAAAGGGTTAAGATTCATGGAAAAGGGGAATGCTGTGATAGGATATCATAAGAACACGGCAGATATCATCAACAGGATCCTCATTTGATGTTTTCCTCTCCGAATGTCATTAAGCTGATATATCCTTGAACCTTAATGAATGTGTGCGTTATAGTGTATGCACTTTTCCCTAAACCCTCGCTCGTTTGATACCCAAAATATGTAGTGTATGATGCTCGCATAAATTGTCTCCCACACTTACGAGATAAGCTTTTTGGGTTTGTACGGAAGAGCTTAATTACACGTCATTCGATAATGGAATATTCGATGGTGGAATTAATTGAACACCGCGTCCAATATTGAATACTATAAACGAGGCATCGACCCAGCGCCGTTTGTTAAGACTATGCGTTAAAATATTTTACGAAGACGGACGACGTGATGATCATGCTTCATATCCCTCGGTTGAAAATTTGGAGAGCTTTCAACCGTCCTTGGAGCCAGAGGATAATACATTCTCCATTAGTGGTGAGTAAGTATAGTGGTTTGGGGCAGTCCACGGCTTAACTATCCCAATTTACAACACCTGGTCTAGAAAGCTAGTGATTGCCAATACAACTGTCAATGAGAAGCACCTGGTTCTTACAAGCTCAGCATCATATATGTCGTGAATTCCATGTTGGAAACATGTTACTATCACCCTAACAGATGTGGACATACTAAACATGACCACTTCTCTGTGCAGCGTCTAAAAGAGAGTAGATGGCGTATCATTCAAAGCTGTGTTCAAGAGTATTAACCAAAGAAATCTTGTCCCGTTCGCGTGCTGTAAACAAGGTCACTCAAAGCTGGACGCCTAGACTTCACTACCGGAAAAGCTTTCTTGTTGTCGCCCCGCATGTTTGCCAAACAGACGACTTGTATTGCACTACCATATATATTAATAGTGACCCCACTGACATAAAAGTTCAAGGAAACAAATCTTTCCGAGCCCAGGCTTATGGACGCACAATTCTAATAATTAGTTTATACCAACAATGTACGGTCAACATATGTCCACCCTAGGCAATGCCTCCTATGCAGCCTCCCTCCTGGCTGTTACTTCAATCTTTGGATTTTGCTCAATCTAACTAAAAATCTTGCCACTCATCATCAGAGGTGCCCACTTGGGTGCGGGCGCGTGATGTGACGGAGCCGCTATCTCGTTGTATACCCGAATCAAGTGTCACAGCGGGTGTACTTGATACAGGAGTGGGGTTGTTGCCCGGTGACCACTCCGAGCTGGGTTTATCCCAATCGCTCCAGAGGTCGTCCCCTCCTTGACCGTCCCAGCTGTTGCGCAAAGCGCCGGTATCGTACCCGTCGGTCCCATATGTTGTTCCCTCTGGTCCAAATCCGCCCTGCTGTGCTGGGGTGTAGCCACCTGCTTGGTTGACGAGGTTCGTTGCAAAATTGAACCCTTTCTGCCCAGCTTCGGCCACCTATGAATGCCAGCCGTTAGCACAATGTAGGTTGACGTGCTTGCACAAGTTGGGTACTCACCCTATTGCCCAATGTTGAGACAGACCGCGTTATATTATCCTTGAAATTGGGATCCCGTACAGCCGTAGCGGTCGGTTGAATGACGTTTTCTGCCACCTACGAAACATGGGGATATGTACATAACGACGAGGTTGCTAACGATAAAATCCGGTCAAATGATACCTTTTGCCCAACCATTTCAGCCCCTGATACAGCCAGCTTCGCACCCTCTACCACCGTATTCCCTAGTACCCCTACCACGGAAGTCACAGTGGGTGCCAGGAAGCTCCATCCTTTTGACAATGCGGCAAGCGGGTCCTCCAAGAGATTAGCAGACCCGGGATTATTGGCTGGTGTATCTAGAATCCACGTGAATTAGTGCACAGCGAGAGGATAGCAGGTGCGTTGCAAACTCTACTAACAGTTGGTATTTCCGAAACCAGCATACCGCCCACCTTGGCTTGGTGGTAAATCTGCTGAGCGGTTAGAGTTCTCCTGGCCTTTACGCTGACAAAGGAGGAATAAGGTGCCTGACTAAAAACCGATGACCGCAGTCAGAACATTCTCTTACATAAAAATAATCTTCATTCCTTGCTTTATCGGGAAGCGCCCCCGTAGTGGCGCTCTGCGTACCCGTATATCCCCCTGCCGAGCCCCCACTCCCCATGCTTCTCGGCACAACAGGCGATCCATTAGTTCGCGGCGTTCCAGTCGGACGAGGAGAACTGGTGCTCGATCGCGGCGGCGCTGTCCATGTTCGACCTTCACACTCGGCAGCGAGCTAATACAGGCAGTTGATGAAATAGATGTTTGGTTATAGAAGTAATAGTAGTAGGCACCTTTTCTTTATACTGCCGCGCAAATTCGCTGGATATAATCGTCGGCGGTTAGCTTGGCACCATAGGACACAAGGAAGACTGCCGTTCGAACCTCTGGTATTTATCCTAAAAAAACGATATACAAATATACCGGCTCAGACAAGCATCGAGCAAGATGCACAAATATTCTTTCTATCAACATACTTGAATGGTCATTCCCTCAGAATAATCTTGAATTGGTACGGCACATGAGCCACGTCATGTCAGGTTGCTTAATAAATCCACGCCAACCAACCTGGATGCGACTTGAAAAAGGCCAAGGCCTTTTTATTTCCACCGAGCTGCATCCTCCGGACCTGATCCTCACTCCACTTATCCATCGTCACTGACCGTACGAAACTCACATGAACGCCCTGCGCAAACCCGAAAAATTTAAGCATCGTCAGCGCAGGTACCGCCAGTAGCTCTCTCATGTGGCAACCCTCTTACCAAACTCCTATGTACGCCCGAACACTCCAAGCAGAAGAAAATGCCATAAGTCACGCTCGCCCATTGGGGATGATGTGCTCCTGAACACTGTAATCAGCATCCGTTGCTCCCCTTCATCAACGACAATTCCACTATATACCACAGTCAATGCATATCTTGTTATCCTCTCTGCGCTGTAGCTCCAATAATGTTTGTTTCAGAGGGTCCATAGTGCCTTGGGAAGAGATGTGAAATTGTACCTTCAACGAACATTTGGTTTTAGCGGCTATCCCAAGTCGGCGGTTGCGTAATCTCTTATCACGTGACAGTAATCGAGAGGGCCGATCGCGCTAAGGTCAGCGTTATGCTGGTTGACCTTTCCTCACCATTGAAAAACTATTTATCTCGAGTTCACTGTTCAAGCTGGCGATTACCCAGTACTTTTTAATCTCGAGCGCCATTTCTGATAGAAGCACCTAGTATCCGTACTTATCGAAAACTTGGAGAACCGGCATTCTGCTCTTGCGCAGCGCAGCATTCAAGAAACGCTGTAGGAGTCGATAACTCGGCTCCGAATGTACTTTAAGCCTGAAACCCCTCATTTCCCCCACCAACCTCCCGGTCTCCAGCGCAGCGATCCATTTTTAAATCCATGATGTCGTCCGCAGGACCCGATACCGAAGACCTATCAGAAACACAAAGTTCTGCACCAGCTCCTACATCCTCTGTTACTCGGTCATTGAAGAATATACGGCACATAGATAGAGAAGAGGGGGAAGGTGATTCCACACAGGTTGCGGAGATGGAGGGTGTAGCAACGCGCGCGCGTGGACTGAAAGTATGTTTTTTTGACGAATGGGGGTGTGGTAATGTGTATGAGATGTTTACCGGAAACTCAACTTAGCGTAAACAAGCACTACAAAATATGCCCAGCAAAAAGGCTAAACGAGGAGCAACAAAGGTAGTATCCTCTATTGCCTCTTCTCTATATTTAAAAGCCAACTCATAGTTGGATCCCAAGAAATCAACAAAACAACCGCCAGGTGCTCGCGAAGCAATACTTGCTAAAGAACTCCGATGCTTCAGCAACGATACAAAAGAAGTCATGAAATGGAGCGTATGGATGCAACAGCTAGGGGAGCAAATTCGGCATATGGAGGTGCTAAACGTTTGTTTCACTGACACGATTATTTTTGATTGTAACATCCGCTGGCATCAGAAACGCTTCTCGACCATGTCATCGCAACATAGCAATACCCGCGACAACGCCACAAGAACTTTTCACAAGCGATCACAATCCCTAATTAAGGAGTTGGAGACACTCCAGACACGCACAGAGCAATTGTCGGACAAAATGAGACAGGACGTTATAGAACCGCTCGGGGAGTTGCAATCAGAGGAGAGAAGAGCAGATGGGGGAGGGAATGGTAATGGTAATGGACCAGGGAGATCGGGCGACTTGAGACGTAGAGGACAGGCTGTAAATAGTATACAATAGAGAACACCCCGTACGTTGGTGTCAAAAGTGTTACATGCCCAAGTCATCAATGAGGCATAACCAGAAAGCGGTTACCCAGAACCAAGATCACGTCATGACATAGAAACTCATACGAATAATCTCTTCCCAAAGCTCCCCCATACACCTAGCTATACACCCAACACGGAACAAAGCGCATCCGCGAAACCAGAATGTCCTGCATCTACCGACCTCAGACCTCATCCGCGTCGTACACAGCCACAGCGTACTGGCAAAAGCATTAGAGCCCGGCCAACTGATAAAGACGCGTTTCTCTCCCACCGACGATCAAAACATTTCCCAACCCCACCCTTACATGCCCACCAGCCCAAAGAGCAAACAGAACTGCTCGATTATCACCCCGCAACGCACATTCTTAGCAGGTACGCGACCACCTGGCGCACTAATCCCGATATGGACGATACCCAACTGGCCAAGCCAATTACCTGCCCGACAGACACCACATCAGAAACCTCGCCCCGCCCCGCCACTGGGTTTTCTTGCTTGTTGTCCAGCAGCGCTTCCACCTTGCATACTCACACCAGGAGTCGCCACCCGTGAACTATTCCGGGTCATGGCCGGATCACCGTAACCATATTGGGCGTTACCGTGTCCTGGACTTCCGGCTTGGTAATAGTTAGGGTAGGCGTACTGTTGCTGTCCCGTGTAGGGGGCACCCGCAGCGTTTGAACCATAATTTGTTGCTGCGGTCGTAGCGGGACGCTGGGCGCTTCCGGTTGTTGCCGCTGGTCGGCGAGCAGAAGCAGCGGCGGGTTGGACAGCAGGGCGAGCTTTCTCGCGGGACGAATGGTGGTGTCTTTCAACGAGGTACATCAATATAACATCATCACATTACTAATCCACAGGTCAAATTCTTACCTGTCGTCACCACCTTCTTCGGTCTTGACTTCTCGTCCAGAGGCATCCCTTCCTTCTTGCTTCATAAAGAAAAGCAATATTGTTAGCGAGGAGACCATGGATGGTTTCGCAAATGGCTCAGCCTTCAATGGACTTCGACCTACTTGGTATTTTACAACTGTCCAGTCGAAGACGTAGTCGTAATGGTATCCTTCACGAATAAAAAGATCTCGGAAAAGTTTCCGCAAGTAACTGTAGTCAGGTTTGTCGTCAAAGCGTAACGAGCGTGTGTAGTTGAGATACACGGAGAACTCATTGGGGAAACCTCTGCAGATTATGGGATGAGCTAAAATAACGGCGAGCGGAACGTGGACCCACCGAACCTACCTGCACAGAACTTCTGTTGGGGTCGTCATCTTTTTTTCCATAATTCTGTCGTATTTTTGCTTCTTCGTGGCAGCCTTCAAGCCTTGCCATGGTAGTGCTCCTCGACAGAAATACATGAGGACATAACCGAGCGACTCTAAATCATCACGCCTCGATTGTTCTGCGCAAAAACCATCAGTCAACTAAACCGGCGAGTATTCGCTGTGGCCTAAGAACGCGGTGGCTTACCAACTCCCAGGTGAGTATTAATACTCGCATAACGGGCCGTCCCTGTGAGATTTTTGTTTTCTTTATAGGGGATATGTAGGTGTGTCTTTGGATCCCGGTACTTCTTTGCCAGACCGAAATCAATCACATTGACTTGGTTTCCACGCTTCCCCAAGCCCATCAAGAAATTATCCGGCTTGATATCCCGGTGTATAAAATTTTTGGAGTGGATGTACTCAATGCGGGAGATCTGGTCGAAAATGAGATCAAAATTCAGAGAACGGGAGGGTTGCAAAAGTATCATGAATACGCACCAACTGATCCGCAAGCAGTAGAACAGTTTTTAATGTGAATTTCCGACCGCAGAAGTTGAACAAATCTTCCAGACTGGGCCCCAGCAAGTCAATAACCATGCAGTTATAGTCGCACTCTATCCCGAACCAGCGCACGAAAGGAATTCCAACTGAAAGAAGTAATTGGTCAACCATGCTGCGCTAGTTCAATCGACATAATTAAGGAAGTGTCAAACTTACCGCCTCCTGCTAAACTTTTGTACACCTTTGATTCATACTCTAATTGCGGATGCTTCGCCTTTACAGATTCCAATTTGATGGCAACCTCCTCCCCATTGATGATGTTCGTACCTGGTAAGAGAAAGGAACAGGTGATGGAGTCAGTCATCCTGCTGCAACGAAGAAGGCACGACGGATTGGGTGCCGCACGGAATTATCTCCATCAATTTGTCAATTTGACTCGCGCGAAGAGAAGTGATGAAAGCATGCGCTTTGACCTCCAAGTCTGCTTCCTGCCAATCAAACGCATGTGATTGGACTCCTCAGAAGGTAGACCTCGCTCCATGGAGTTCCCATCCTCTCTCATCAAGTGACATCAACCAACGTCATCCATAAACAAGTACCTAAGTAGATATCACCAAAGCTTCCACTTCCGATCTTTCTTCCAATCCTGAATTTGTTGCCGACTCGAAGGTCCATCAATGCATGGGGAGGGCCCTGAGCTGACGACCCAGAGCCTTGCTGAGCCTGCATTTTGGGTTGTAAAAGGGATGCGAGAACCTGATGGGCAAAGCGTAACCGCCGAGGCTATATATCTAAAGAAAGGGCGAGATGAAATGATATTGCATCATTAGATTCCCAAATCATCGAGCACGGCAAACTATGCACCTTTCTTGGCTAACAAGAAAGGGGGTCGCGCCACCTACCCCGCAATGGTGGGATGTGCGCCAGGAAGTGGGATGTGCCTGGCAAGACAGCGAGCACAGTTCTCTGTCTCTAACGCCGAGAAATGTAAAATGTTTCTGCCGTCGCGTCCTCCAAAGATTGGGTCTTTGCTTCCAATGGGGGGTGGTTCGTCAGGTGGGTTGCCCTGCTTCCCACTGTGCGCCGCTTTCAATTTCACCCCCCCAGCCAAACAAAGTGTGTGACAGTAGAGTCACGTGTATTTATCACGTGTACAAGGTGACAGGTCCAGCGTCATCCTTGGAGTTTCCAACTTGTAAAACAAGGTTTGCAAACGACTGCTGAACTTGGAATTGATTTGCGATAGATCTTGGCTGTTCATTGGCGGAAGGCTGCCTAATGTGAATATTTGTTTGTATCAGCTACAGTCTCATAATAATAAATAGTGTTATAACATCTGACATGTCCTACTGCAAGCAGTTCTCCAAGGCTTTTCTGTGAAGGGGGTCCATATGGCTCACAAGTCCGGCTTGTGCATGGGCTTGCTGGCTGCGTTGCGTAATAATTCTGTGACTACTCTTACCTAGGATGAATTGAAATTGAGCCAAACTGCCTGTAATTTGGTGAAATCTATTTTACGGATGCTGGAAGGCAACCAGTCTAACGCTGAAGGCAAGGACAAAATCACAGTCATTGATGCCGGCGCTGCTTCGGTGAGCAAGGACTAGAAGAGTTGTGCAGAAAATCAATTATATCAGACAGGTTTCGACTCCCTCTAATTCCAGGTGCAAGGCCGTCGTCCACATCAAGAAGACCGGTATACTATTATCCCGCCCACAGCTGTCCCTGGCTCCCAGCGCAAGGTGGCATTTTATGCGATCTTTGACGGACAGTAAGCTGGTTTCGATGACATTATATGATCCGCGTGTATCTAGCAGATTACTGATATCCCCATAAAGTGGCGGCACAACGGCTGCAGAACATGCTCGCACCCATCTGCACAGAATTCTAGCTCTCCTTCCCGAATTTCAAAAGGGAAAGTACGAAGAAGCTATCCGCATAGCGTTCCGTAGAGAGGATGAAGAGCTTTTCAATACCCTCGTCTTAGAAAGGGGCCAAAAGAAGGGTGGTACAACTGCCGTCATCTCCATTGTCGATGTGACAGCAGCGCTTCTTGTCGTTGGAAATCTGGGCGACGCTCGGGCAGTTTTAGGTATTTTAGATGATAGGAAGCATTCCGGGTATAGAGCGGTGAGTACGGGATCTTCATGCTGATGAGTGGACTTGGAGCTCAACATTGGTCATGTAGGAACGGTTAACAAAGGATCATAAGCCCACTGAACCAGAAGAAATGGCAAGAATTGCGGAGGTTGGAGGAGAAGTCAATCCTGCCTCTGGGAGAATTGGTAGGATCGTAGCACTCGGTATCCAAATTTCACCATACTGACAGTCTGCAATCTCTTTCAGGAGCCGTAAATATATCTCGCGCATTGGGAGATTTCCGATACAAGCTGCCTCTGACTCGGACTGATCAGAACGATCCCCTTGTGTCTGAAGCTGTCCGTCCAGGGGCCAACGTCAAAGACGATTTCGTGTCCGTTGAGCCACACATCACGAGTAAACACCTTGACCCAGCAGTACATCATTTGCTCGTGCTGGCTAGCGATGGAGTGTGGAATGAAATGAAAGATCAAACTGTCATTGATCTCGTTGCCGCTGGAAGGCAGAAAGGATGGGACGCACATACAATTGCAAAAGCGATTGTGAAAACTACAGAGAAAAACCTGTACAGCGATAATGCAACGTGTATCGTGGTGATTTTTGGGAAGCCGAGGCCAGTGGAGGAGTGAGAATGACGGAAGCCTGCAGTCCTCTTTTGTCAAAATGCGCAAGTATATAGTGTGCTAGTTCCTGCGGCATTGCGGTCATTTGAATAAACCCCATGATCATGAAGATGAACATGCAAACCTGTTCACTTGTCGTGATGGCTGCAATTACTGCCCTTGCGGCGATCCAATGACTGGACATTCTCCTCCTGTAGCACATGTTTTTCTATATAAACCCACTTTCTCTCTCTTTTCCTTTTGATCTTTATCCTCGACTATCAGGAAGAAATCTTAGGAAGGATGCCGATCTGGTGCTGAGGACCTTCACTTTCCAAATGACCCCAACAATCAGCAAACATTGCCTTTCAATGCTGCCGCCGTGATCACAAGTATGTCTTAATAGAATCTTTCCATACTTATTATCCAGTCTAATCCTGGTTTCCGAGTATCCAAATATCCTAGAACTGACAAACTCTGTCGTGGTAGCCGGAGCACTCGTAGGAATCCTCTCACGGTGCTGAGTGCAAGGTTACCCAGTTGACCGACTGTAATGTATTGCATGCGTAACTAAGCCCATTAGTTGTGGTTAACTGTATCCAGGCTGGTTGTCACTAGACCAAAGGTGTTCATTCTTCGCTGGGGCCAATACACTATCGAGTTCCTTGCTGCCTCGAACGCACTGGGATCGGAGAATCATGATTACGTGATAGAAGGTGGTTGCAGCCATGAGTCACGTGCCCTGACCAGAAGAAAACCATAGTTTGGAGCTAGTGGTGGGCAACTGGGCATTTGGCACATTACCTTGGCTTATTCGACCCACCATGGCCAGTAAAACAAACAATGCCACTGCAGTCCGCAAGGAGGCTTATGAAGGACTGGTCAATCTAGAAGGTATCGATCCCGGCCTTCTCGAGTCGAAGCCACTTCATGAAGTTCAGCTCGATGCTTTGGTTGTCCTCAAGATCTTGAAGCACTGTCGAGAATACGCTCCTGTGACCGCCACTGGACAGCTTCTGGGAATAGACGTTACTGGAACGCTTGAAGTTACCAACTGCTTCCCCTTCACATCAAAGTCACATGAAGACGAGGGGCAAGATGAGATGGACGGGGCCGAGTACCAACTGCAAATGTTGAGATGTTTGCGCAAACTCAACTATGATGCGAACACTGTTGGATGGTACCAATCGACATACCTGGGCTCTTTCTGGAACCAGTCCTTGATTGAGACCCAGTACAATTACCAGAAGACGTTCGCTCAGAGTGTTGTCATTGTGTATGATCCTACTCGCACCACTCAGGTAAAGACATCTATATAACAATAAGATGTCCATCGGTTCACAGTCGCTAAACCTTTCATGTGCTTGCGCTAATAGGGGAATCTCTGCTTGCGCGCCCTCCGACTGTGTGACGGGTTCATGGAGTTGTACCAGAACCGCAAGTTCACAATGGAAAGCCTCATTCACAACAAGCTCACTCCCACATCGATTTTCCAGTCGCTCCCTATCAAGATTCGCAATTCGCATCTTCTCACTGCCCTCCTCCACGAGCTCGACGAACAGATATCCTTCCCGCCGTCTCTCGAAAACTCCCTAAGCTTGCCTTCCTCCACCTACACTCCCCGCATCCCAACGAACATATCTCCGTTCTCCCCTAATTTGGATAAACTTGAGCTGGGTCTGGAAAGTTATTTGGAAAAGCATTTGGAATACCTTGGAGAAACTGTTGAGGAGCATGGACAGGAACAATGGAGGTGGCAAGGCTGGCAGCGAAACCTGCAGAAAGAACAGCAGCGGTTGCAACAGACTATCAGCAAGCGGAGGTTGGAGAACTCCTCGCGTGCGGCGCAAGGTCTCCCGCCAGCGTACACGGAAGAGGACCTTCAACCCACAAGTCAGACCTTGACAAAGATACTAGCGAACGAGCCTAGCCGCTTGGAGAGCTTGATCATTACCAACCAGATTGATACGTATTGTAAACAAGTAACTCAATTCGCTGGACCAGGATTGACAAAGATGTTCATGACCAAAGGTGTAAGGGTGGAGGGAAAGGAATAGCTAGGTTACTACAGCCATGTAAAGTTGGACTGTCTGTCTAGCACAAACGTAGGCCAACATGTTTGACGACTTTATCTAGAGAAGTTTTGTACAAAATAGCGTATATGCTCCTTCACTTGCAAGGCACGTGATGTACATCTTGATAAACCACTTGAAGTGTTGATGTTTTTCGCCAGTGATCTACATTGCCAGCATACCAATCTTCGGGTCTAATTTTCTATTAGATACAGCACGTTTGCGACTTTGGTTTCCTTTCCCTCGTTCTACTACTTGGAATGTCCATTTCCGGCTCTCCTGAACTGGACGATGGCGACGAAGACGCTTATCACCGCCTAGTGTCCATGGATGATTACATCACTAATGAAATGGAACAGCCTTGGACAGATGCGGAGGTTCAACGGTATGTGTAGAGTGGTGTGCATGAGAGAGAAAGTGATTGGGTGTGAACTGCAGTGGGAGATCAACTCTACATGTTCGTCCTCATGCTCAACGTCCATTGCTTTGTGCTCACTCCTGTCTATTAGAGTTCGTGACAAACTGTATAACAACTACAGACGAGATGCAGAAAAAATATACGAATGCGTTCTTGGAAAGTTGGAAAGCAGAGAGGTGCTACCTTTTTTCTTCCGTTTCTCAAAGATCCATTACTCACTCACGTCCGTAGACCCACATGTTCTCTCGTATGAACCTTCTCTTCATTCTCGACAAACTCTGCACCGAGAGCGCAAACCAAAAATCGCACGACTTTTATGCAATATGGAAAGGGATGAAGAACAATCTTGTCAAGGTTGTTAATTTGGTGTTGGAGATAGGAGAGGATGATCCACCTAGCCGATCGGCGAATGCAAATGTTGTTTGGGCCAAGAAAGTAAGAAAACAAGTCTTGAATAGGCTGTCCAAAACTTTGTGTTTTCGTCTCTGGTTCTGACTGTACTTTTGGTGACAGATTTTAATGGGATGGCATCGCCGTGGGTTGTTCCCTGACGAGGATATCACATTGTGCGAGAAACGGATAGATCAAGCGGAGGCTCTGGACGAACCGTAGGTTGCTGTTTGGTGCTGGGAGGTAATACACGGTCCTGATCATTTTGAGCCGGGCAGTGCATTTGAGGATGCGGTTCGTTACGAGGAAGAGAAAATTGATCGACGAATGGATGCTGATAGAGAAAGGGTAAGATCATCTCTCTTGATCCAGAGTAGGTTTCTTACTAGTTCCGGCACCCTGACATGTACGTTGCTGTAGCAAAAGAAAGATCGAGAAGACACTCTCCTCCAGAATGCCTTGGAACCCTGGGCAAAAGTTTCTGATGACTGGTTCATCAATCTCCCAGATGACCAAGCCCTCGACGTCTCCGAGTTTTGGATCACAGCCTCCGAAGAAATCACAGAAGACGACTATGAGATGATGGAAATCGAAAATGAAAAGTTCCGAATATCTGCCATGGAGCTACTACAGCGGGCGCAAGGCTATACATCGACATCTCCCTCAGTGGACGCCACATCCCCAGCGCAAGGCCATAGCTCGTCATCGCACCAGTCAGTTCCACCCCCGCCTCCACCGACATCTCACTCATATGGATATTATGAGAAACCGGTCCCACTTTCACGAGGTAATTCACCGCCTCCGCCACCTCCTCCGTCTATGGGATACCGCAGTGGACATGACAGATATGGGTATTCGCGAGGATCGTATGTGCCTCCCCCACCACCAGTACCAAGTTCGACGAGAAGCTATCGGGCACCATAGAAAAGAACGGATGCGGTTGGGTGTGTTGCCTGTTTGGCAAGTAGAAGACAGCGACGAAAAAACCACGTTGCGCTGGACGAGAGCAAAGGACTGTAAATAGGAATTAAAACGCAGCTATTGCTAGATGATGTAAATATGAGAATGGATCTGCCACCACCCTGTGTCTTACACAGTGTCCCTTCTACGACCATAGTGAAATGTCAGACGAATGAGAGCAATTGGGCCACCTGTTCCTATGGAACAAGATGGCGAGTCGGTCATGACATTTGTAAATTGCATGCCTGCATTGTATCTGTATATTGCGTCTACATGTCCCATCGTCATGCACTAACTCCAGTTTGTCCATCACATCACTTTAGCTTGCCGATCGCTTGCCCAACTTTCACCTTTTGTCCCGCTTCCAACATAAACTCGAACTCGGTCGGTGCTTCAAACACCAAGACAACCGTGCTCCCCAACATAAATCCTCCCATTTGATCACCCTTATGTAACCGGACTGGAGGTTGGTACTCTCTCTCAACGTATGTACCTGGCGGATGGTTTAGCTGGCGTTTGGAGAGGTTTGTGCGGAGTTCCTAAAACGTGTTACACGTTGGATACATGACAAGGCTGGTGTCAAAACAAGACAGACTCACTGGGTCGAAATCGATCTTGATAGAACCAACATTGGTGGCTCCCACCGGGATCATTGAAAAGAACCCGTGCTGCCAATCACCCAAGAGAACCACACGCTCGTTGAGAACAAAGAGGTTTCGGATCAAGTTAACGGCAATGGGAGAGACCGAGTAGAGTTCACCTGATTTGCACATGTCAAGGCACGATGTGTATTTAGCAAGTCTGTGGGTGTACATACCTGAGAAGTGCCTTCTCTTCTCTACACTCCACTCGGACGGTGAATGGAAGCGATGATAATCACCCGGTGCAAGGTAAATCACCGCAAAAAACAGCGCATTACCAGGTTTCAACTGATGAGCAGCATGCGCATGAGGATGTTCGATGGGGTTTCCTTTCCCATCCTTACTGGTGGTGTGCTGCCCCGGCTCGTCGCCCAGAATTTTGTCCAAAGAGTAATTGATCGAGTTGATATCTGCAAACTCGTCTTCTGATACCACTAACTCTGAATGAGTTTTACGAGCCACGTTGAGAACCTCTCCTTCCGCCGGCTCCGCGGCAAGCGCCGTTGGATTGCTACTGCTGTCTGGCTTACGTTGGCGGCCAAGGAGTGCATCCAGGGAATAAGTTATACCCTTGATCTGCTCTACTTTGCGCTGAGATGTGATGAGACCAAAGTGGAGGACAGTTCCATCTGCTGGGCTAACCTGCGCCGCACGTAAGTGTATTGCCTTCCAATGCACACAATAATTCAGGTCCTACCAGCGGTGCCTTTGGGTCCAGGGGACGTACCCCTGGCTTCAATGTTCTGTAGAAGAACGCAGCCAAGTTTGGGTAGTGTGTCAAATCAGGATCCTCCATTTCCTCCAGATTACACCCAAACATTGTCGCATAAGATTTGTACAGAGGCTCCCGAAGCCACAAAGGGACAGTCAGATTGTTCAGCCAGCCCCACATACGCGAAATGGTACGAAGGGGGAGATAACCGTATGCATGAACCTGTGCTGCCAAAGAAATCGACGACAACATGAGTAGCGATTCTCAATAGAAGCGCCTCGCCGCAAACAATCATCAACGCACATGCCATGGGCCCTCCAAGGCCACTACTTGGGCCTCATGGTCCTTGTCCTTTTCTTCTCGCCGCCGAATATGCAGATAGTGCATGAAAGCCAAGCACGCGATTCCTAACGAAATCGGAATCGGATACCATACGATCCGTGTCCCGACCAAAATGTCCTTTGCTTTCCTAAATGCCTCTGGAGCACATTCCGACGTCAACGTTAATTAACGACAAGATTCGGGTAATCCAGAAACATTGTAATCCACCAGTTCTCACCCTTTTGTTCTCCCCACCAGCCATGTTTAGGTTGCTGATAAAGGGAGCGGACAATGCCATGACGACAACCACCAAGACGTGGAAGAATGCTAATACCACTTGTCCAGCGCGGTAGGGGGCGAGGATATGCTATCAACATTGCAGTTTTGGGCGTTTCGTGAAAGAAACGGACACTCGGCACTCGGGGAACGGCACGGATCGCGTTGAAAGATGGAATCCCGAGGCGAGATGGAGTTGTTAAAAACGGTAAAGATGACAGCCTCTCCATCGTGACAAACTCGTCACACCCAGCTTTGGATGCTGTACCCGATAGGCCGACTAACGTGGCGGGAAGCACTGGAAACAGAACAGCCAATGTTTGCAAAACTGTGCCATCCACTCGTCATTATTGGTTTGTTTACGATCGACCATTGATGCTCCACATACAGGACGAGATTTGACAACGGGCTGCATATTCAGGAACTACCTGGGGTTTGGCTGATAGATTAGAACAGTGCATTTCGTAGAACGAAAATTGAGAGAGAAAATGTCTGAGCTTTCCATCAACTTTAATTAGCAATCTATAAAATAATCTTATACTTGTGGTCTTTCGGGACCATATTAATAGCCAAACGTCCGTCATATGACAGTGAAGCAAAGATCCAGGGGTCCGCTGCACTCCACTCGACCGCATAGACGCTATCTTCATGTTGGTCATAAACCGCAACCAACCCATCGCTCGGTCTCCTGCAAGATATGATCGTATTAGATGCTTTTCGACTGCTGTGATGGCCAAATCTTCAAATTACCCATAGTATTCATCCCTTTCATCGTCCGATTTCTCACCCCCTCCTTCATCAACATCCGACGTCTCATCCGAGAGCGGGGCGGAGGAAATAGATATAATACTCTGTAGATTCACCAAGCAGTCTGAGCCGGAAGAGACGAATAACTGATCATGGAAGCGATTGAAAGAGATACTCCACACCCTACAGATTGTAATATCGAGATCAGTTCGTAAGCCCATTGCGTGCGTCAAGGGTGGAAACAAACCAATGCGAATGGTCGGATATTTCCTTTAGGGGTAGATCACAGTTACGGGTGTCCCAGAAACGTATCTTGCAATCATCCCCAGCGGTTGCAAGATGAAATGGTTTATTTGGGTTATAATCAGCATCTCTAACAGAGATGGCGTGTGCATTCTGTATCTCAAATGCTTGTCTGTGGATCGATCAATCATGTCATTGACAAATGCCAGATGTCCGTGATTGGAAACTGCCACACAACTTACTTTGCCGTTCGAACGTCCCAGCCAGACAGATTGCATCCTATTCCGGTAGCCACTACATCTGTTCCGTGTGGATTCCAAATGGCACATGAGGCCCGGCTTGCCGACTTATCACTCGATAATGTTATGGGGATAAGGGTAGAAGGCTATCGCAGGATGAATAATGGGACTTTCACATTTGCTGAATCAACAATGGCACGCTTTACTTTTGAGTTTGGATTTCCGCTATCCAGGGAAAACAGACCGAGAGAGTGATTGCAAAGTGCCACCATAGACTGGGTGGAGCCCGTTGGATCCCATAGCATTCTAAAGGGCTATTAAAGGGATGCCGGCATAAAAGCAAAGTTACAGATAAACCTCACTTTTTAATATCGCCCAAATCTGTGCTCAGCTCGAATGCTGTCACCTGTTCCAACTTTCCCATATCATTTTTAAGCCGGCCAGTATCATCGGCTTCTGGTGCATCAAATCGCCAAAGACATGCTTTGGCAGGGTGATTCGCTGAAAGCCAAGCGACGATTGTCGTCAGAAACTCTGCGCGACGTGATGGCTACACATTGTCCTGCTCAGGAACTTTTACCTCACCTTCCTTGAATACTGTCACAACATGATCAGTCTGTGATGGTGATGGAGCGATTCCCCAGATTTCATGAGCATGTTCAAACTTGTGGGTTGTCACCAGCGACTCGTCTTCATCAAAGTCAAGGAGAAGGAGCTGCCATCGCCAGCATGTCACTTGGGAACCCAATCTGCCAATGCTTTGCTTCCCGCATCACACCTCATTGCGTTGTTTCAAATCTTGGGTACCCACAAAAAACCTGCTGCGTTCTTGTTCTGCCAATTGTGCCTTTAGGCAGCGAGCCTGACAAGTGCATCGAGATGCGTTAAGACCCTTGCTTGCTCAACATTTAGACATTATACTCATATTCGTACTTGGTGACTTAGACCATACACACAACCCTCTCCTTCCATGTCGACCCTGCTTTCGCCTGTACAATACTATGGCTCACAGTGGAGTGCTGGGTGATGGCACGAGAATCTCGGTTGAAAAGCGACTGTCAGCACGCGTCGCCTGCAAGACGCGTCAGCAGAGTCTTTAGTGGTCCGTGATCCCGGCCACAAGAAAAACCATATCCCTTGATTGAAGAACAAACGCATGCAAACGATTGTTCATCCTCCATTCAATGAGCCCAAACTTGCGCGCGCATGGGCAGTCTCCCATGCATCGCCATTAAAACAACAGTCCCAATCCAGATGCCTCCAGGAATAGACAGCTATTAATAAAATATCTTTTTTTAAACCTCTGTTGCATTCAGAAATCCTTGCTGCTCCCCCCCCAGAAACCCGATTGCTCAGCCCCCCCCCCCCCCCCAGCACACCAACAACCCTCCGATTAGCCGCTCTTTTTGACCAACATTTTTTCTTCCTACATGTGCTATTTTTGTCCTTGTCTCTGGAAGAGATACTAGTGGTGGCACAGTCACATTTACGGAGCACTTGTGGTCGTTATGTTACTATTTTGGTTTAATGGAACCGTCCAGAACTCAACTTTTGGTGAATATAAAAAGGGCATGTCGGGCCTTTTGTCTTCCTTCCTCAAGTCCTTCTTGTTCATTTCCTCTTGTTTTATATATATTCTCGAGTACTTATCATCATCAGCACAAATGGCCCGCTTGACCTCTTTGCTGTTCCTTGCCGCCCTTGCCTTGACAGGCACCACCGCCAAGCCCTGTGTCAAGACCGACACGCGTTTTGTGGGTCAGAAGGCAACGCTTGTGCAGGCCGCGCAAGCCATTCCCAACATTACCCAACCTCTGCAAGTGAGCGGTACCGCTGAAATCTTGGATGGATGCACTTTTGTTATCCGAAACTTTGTCTACGAGCCCTACACAGACGGTACCGTTTGGTATGGTCGTCGTGGAACTGACGGAGCCACGGGAGTATGTGAGTATTTTGTGTGATGGAGTTACAATTTCCCGCGGACCAGCGCATTTACCATTTTTTTTCTGTTGCTAGTGGCTGCTCGCGGTGTGAACAATGCAAGCACTGGAATTGACAGCGCGCCCTTTACTTTTGTTGATACTGTTGGTGCCGCCTACAGTTGGGATGACTTTGACACACTCGTCCTGTTCAACCCTACCATCAACTTTGAGATGGGCTCTGCTTCGTTCACCGCTCTTCGCCTGAACGCGACTACGACTACAACAACAGCCGTTGCCACATCCACCTCCCTTGTACCGTCCTCCACCACATCGACGACGACGCGTTCTACAACAACGGCTCCCGCCACCAAGACAAGCACTGCTGACAGCCAAAAGAGCTCTGGCTCTGCTGTCGGTGCTGGAGGTTTGGCTGCTGCCGGATTGGCCGCTGCTGCCGCTGTTGCCATGGGTATCTAAGTGCAAAAAGGGTATCCCCTGCTCTATGCAATGTCGTAGATGCAATTAGAATTTAGATGATTTTTAGTGAGCCGTTTTCAAAAAAGGATTTGTTTGTAATACTATCAACATGTTGAGATGTGTCAGCATTTCCTGATCGTACCTGGTCATGTGATGACAGGGAGGCATCCCTGCCCCACTTTCCAGCTTTTTAATTCCAGCTTTTAATTCCTGAATTCCACACAGCAGCGTATGTCTTATTGCCATTAGCCTGATATTAGATTATAGACCATCATTTATCCACTAAACTGAGCTCTAAAACATATTGCAACTCCTCATCATCCTCTTCCGTTCCCCTATTTTGCGAAGAATATCCACCAGTTGGCACGCGCGAAGCCACCTTTACGTTTCCTTGTAATTTATTTCCAGCTTTCTCGCGCACCTCATACCGTTCTGCTACGTGCTCCCACAAAGAAGATCTCGATCCAGAGACGCTGCTAGCGGATCCAGTGCTGCTGCCGTACACCATCAGCCGGCTCCCCCGGCGGCTCTGATTTCCCCATCCTTTGGAGTCGTCCCATGAAGAACAAGTTGTTGATGGATCCGTGGTGGAATCAAGATTCCAGTCCAAGTCTACGTGTGGCTCCTCTGATACCAAATCTTCTTCGTCGTCATTCCGGGGGACGGAATTCTCGTCGAGCAAACTCTGCTCCAAAGCATCCATCAATGCCTTATCATGGCCAGTGTCTTTTTGTTCCTCCAAGGACATGAGCATTGCATAGTTTATCAATTCCTCTTCTGACATGCCGGTGGGCGGATGTACACCATTGATCTTCTGCGCCTGTTTTCTACTCCACTCTTCAGCTTCCCGCTCATATTCCCGCTCCAACCGACTTTCTCGAACCTCATCACGAATTTCCAACCAAGTGTTTTCATGGGCATTGCCGCGAAGTCCACGCGCAGGTCCACGTCGGCCATTTGGGGCGCTGGATTTTTTCTTGCCTTTACCGGACGTGGCAGATGCAGTGGAAGTAACAAAGTCCCATGACTTGACATGGTCGCCGCTCCCAACAATGACTTGATACGGCCCAGCCCAAATACAACGCACCATACGTCGTCCATCCGCTACTCCTCCGCCCCCGACAGCGTTCAATCCATCATTTCCACCACGCGTGCGGCGAACGAGCAATGTTCGGATGCAGCGCCCTGTGAGAATATCAAAAACTTTCGCGCTTCCGTCTTCGGCTCCTGACACGACCTTGAACGCATCTATATGAAGCGCACACACCGATGCCCGGTGGGCATCAATAACATGGACCGGTCTAGCTGTCATCGTCTCGTGTGTGCTGTCCGCCGACAATCTCGGTTGCGGGACGTCCCAAATGGATACGGTGCCAAGAACGTCACCGGTTGCCAAGAGGATCCGATTATCGCCATGTGATGAAGAACCTGGATTCGTCCTGTCCCATGCCGCACTAGAAATCTCAGCAGCATGTCCCCCGATGAAGTTCACAAGCACCTCTCCGGTTCGCACGTTCCATTGCCTAATACTCCCGTCGATATTAGCGGGTGACCCAACAATCCCCAGAGCCGTATCTGCTGTTGGATCATACAGCAGGGAGACTATCTTTGCATCTTCTGTGGTTTGACCGAAACGCAGCACTCTGGAAGCGGGAATAGGCATTTCCAGTGGTGGTGAGCCGTATTCAACACTTGCTAGGTCGAGATCCCACACCAGAAGATCACCATGGTCGGTTCCGGCAAGAACATAGCCTTTCCGGTCGCAAGCTAGTGTGGTGATACCCACGCCTGCCGTGGGTCCTACAGAGCATAGGAATCAATTCTGAGCCCCGAAAGATCCACAACTCACAAATACGTACCTCGGAGGGTTCGGATACATTGGGACTGAGCCACATCCCACACCTTGACGGTGCCATCGTTTCCTCCGCTAATGAAAGCGGAGGGAAGATTAGGCACCCAAGCCAAACAGGTCACAGGCCCCAAGTGGAGCCCCGCAAAACGCCGAACGGTATAATTGATCCTGTCCCTAAAATCAGTTACCAGCGCAACTCCACCCGAAATGTAACCAACGGCAATTCGATGCCTTAAATGGCGTTACTATCAAGAGAAAGCGAGCAAAGCATGCCCAATACCGGTTACCTGTCCAACTGAAGGGCCGCAATTTGTGTGGGAACTCTATTGTCGTTAAAGTAGACAGTGCCTTTCTCCACTCTCCCGGTGGAGGGATGACAAAAGGCCACCATTCCTTGATGAGGAGAAAGTTAGCCTTATGATGGCCATTTGATGAGCTGCTCAGAAGAATTATTCGTACCCTTCTCTAATGATCCACAAGCCATCCTGCCCTCTTCAAAATCTAGGAACACTTGATCTATTTTACCGATACGTGGATCAAATTGGACAACGTGCTTTCCTCGTTGAAAACTCCTAGAGGATGTAATGGAATACAGGCTATAACGCGACGCTCTTCTTCCGGTGACAATATGATATGGATAATACCTTAGAAGTCGCGTGCGTTTCAAATACTCTTTACGCCAGCTAGTTTCCGCTAGACGTCTAGCATTTAAATATTCAGTGTCCCGCGTCCAACAGTGATCATTATCCAAAATATGATGCAAAGAAGGTTAATCTACCTGATGGGAAGACATCCATAGTAGATGTCAAAGGCAGACCGCCAACATCCGTCGTCAGCGATCACTCGATGCCATCGCGAGCAGACTCTGGAGGCTGCTTTCTACAAAGCATCCACTCACTTTAGAGAGCATGCTCCATTTCTACGCCCCACAGACCTGCTGCAATACCATTTCGGTGGGCTCCAAGTTTGCTAGAATGTGAATCAAGAGTTCGTCGGGTAAGAGTGCAATGTAACATTTGCTGAGTAAACGGAAAGTCAAGTTAGTGTAACATTTTTTCATCGCTAATTCCTCTTCGATCCAACCTTGAAGCAAAAGCTCCCGTCTCCCGACGATTTGAGCGTCGTGAGGAGCCCGCATAACCACTTCTCTTCCGAGGTTCAGAATTATCGCGCCAAGTACGGTCGCGCGCCTCTCTGTCCGTTTCGGGCGTTCTTTTCACTATATTGGATTTGCCATCGCTAGTCTCAGTCGATAATTGAACGGTCCTGTCCCGCGTATCAGCTGCGTTTGGCTCTGGGTGACGACTCCACATTGGATCTCCACTAAACGCCAAAGTCCAAACCAGTTCCTCAACACAGCTCGTTGTCGATTACGTGACTTGATCAGCCTGTGGCAAAGTCACATAATGGTAGTCACGTTTACGACCAATCGCGCCCCATTGGCATTTTTTCTGCAATTGCAGCCATTACAAGACACACCCTCCTCCTCCTCCTCAGCCGGTCTCTCCCAGCATCCGTTCTCCAAATTTCGCATTTGGGGTGGAATCAACTGCTCTGACACTCAGGTTACAATGTGAGTTCTCGTCGCTGTCTAACGTATTTGTAGATGTGAAATTCACAGAACACTGGTCATTGCAGGGCAAACCTTCGCACTCAGAAGCGCCTGGCTGCTGCCGTCCTCAAGTGCGGCAAGCGCAAGATCTGGCTTGACCCCAACGAAGTCAACGAGATCTCCAACGCCAACTCCCGTTAGTATTTTGAGAGTATACGTAGAGGGGATGTGGAATGCGCGGAGAATTAAACTTGGTTGGACATTGTAGGTCAAAACATCCGTAAGCTTGCCAAGGATGGTTTGATCATCCGGAAGCCCGTGGCCATGCACTCTCGCTACCGTGTCCGCGAGCGGGCTGCTGCCAAGCGTCTTGGTCGTCACACCGGTCCTGGAAAGCGCCGAGGTAAGGATTTCTCTGTGTTGTTGGACAGGGGGCGAAGAAGACAGACTTACGGGAGTTTGATCAGGTACCGCCGAGGCTCGTATGCCCACGACTGTCCCTTTGGATGCGTCGTATGCGTGTTCTCCGTCGTCTTCTTCGCAAGTACCGGGAGTCTGGCAAGATCGACCGTCACCTGTAAGTCTTGTGGTCCCTATGAGTGATGATTGGGCTTTGAAGCTCATTAGACGGCGTTCCCTTAGGTACCACGAGTTGTACATGAAGGCCAAGGGTAACGTGTTCAAGAACAAGCGTGTGCTTATGGAGTACATCCACAAGGCCAAGGCTGAAAAGACCCGTGTGAAGCTTCTCGAGTATGTTCCGGAATTCTCGCTTGGTGTGTCGTTGGTGGCTTGTAAATTAACTATCATATTCTTACAGGGACCAAGCTGCGGCTCACCGTCAAAAGGCCAAGGCTGCCCGCGAGCGTCGCCAGAACAGGTTGGCTGCGAAGAAGGAGGCTCTTCGCACTGGGTCGGAGGAGACTGCCCCAGCAGAGAAATAAGTTGGGTAGATATCTCGTGCGCGGCTGTGATGGGCAAGAGAGGGCTTGGCATATCTCTTTCTTCTTGTATCATTCTTCTTCGGTCTTAGGTAACATTAATAAATGGGTCATGCCAACCGCAAGTGTTCTTTGACACATTGGTTAACAAATCCAGTTGTAACATTATGCGGATACGATCAGACGTGCGACGATTAGCAATAAGCAATCCAATGTACAGTCTCATTGATGTTATTATTATGTTCTGCATATACATAGCAGCCTACTGACGCTATAACAAGGTACATCCCATCCTCTTCCGCATGGCCACTTCTCCGTTCACTCCTCCTAGTAAGCCCCACTGAATGCTATCTTTTCTTGAAACCATACTTTTTTCTTTCATAAAATAGATCTGTTTTACTGCTCCCCAGATTCACAATCTTCGGACAACCATCCCGCTGATAAAATTGAACAGTAAAACATTAGGAATTCCGCAAGGTGACCACGAAAGTCTGAACCAAAAGGAACTTACGTCTTTCTCTTGCACAACACACTCCTTACAATAGTACGCATCCGAAATTCCCGCCCCACCACAAATAACGCATCGTCCCTGATATGATCCATAATTACACTCATCGCAGATTCGCACCAGATCCGCTGGTCGCACGTAAGAATCACAGATCACGCATTTTCCGTCGCATTTTTCGCATAAACGTCCGATGGCTATTCCTGGTTGCTTTCGGCAAAAGATCAAATCGGGATGATGGCGGGCCATAGTTTACTGTGATGCTGCAAACAGTGTGTTCAGAGACGCTTGGAAAATGTGAGTGAAAGGACAAGGATAGGGAACAGATTGTGGGGTGCGAGCTTTTGAAATGCTGGTAGGGTATTTGGAATCTTGACGTTGCGCAGTCAGTTGTCCTTGTTGCTATAGCAACATATGCATCTTGCCTTTGACCAAGCTGTTTCTTTGATCTCTGTTAACATTTGTTAACAATTAACGCAAATATGAACGATATTGTAACACCTGGACAGCGACTAGCGCACGCTGGCGACTATAAAGGTACTCCACGAACGAAGGACTTTATTGGTCGATTCTTAAGTCTGACCGGTTTTTGTCCGTTCCCTCCGTTTGTCTAGTATCCTCTGGAACATATCAAAAGTGAGTTGTGGGGAGAGCTTGGTAGAACTGTTCTACTGGAATGGCGAGTGGTATCTTTGTCCATTGCCGTTATAGTTGCCGCACGAGCTGGGTTCCGGCTATGGAGCTGATTGACAGAAAGATCACGAAGGGGAAATCCTCACTCGCTCACTCCTGAACGTAGGGACGATTTCATATACGCCTCAGTAGTCGGCATAAGTCAGATATTACCACCAGAAAAAGAAGGCGAAGTAAGTATGTCATTTTGCAACGTCACCCTACACCCACGTCGCTGACTTGTTCGATAAAACGCGAATAGTCTCCAATAATCACCGTAACACGCCACAAAGAATTCAACCCAATACCCGATGTAGGATCTATTGTAACGGGCCGCATCATCCGAGTCAACCAATTCTCTGCAACAATGACCATCATGGTAGTCGGGACAGCACCATGCAAAGAAAACTTTCAAGGCGTCATTCGAGTACAAGATGTGCGAGCAACGGAGCGGGATAAAGTCCAGATCTACAAGAGTTTTAGACCAGGGGATGTCGTGAGGTTGGTCAATAAAGCGGGCACCCATACTCCTATGCAAGTACATAGCTAATAGGGCATGACAACAGAGCCGAAGTGGTTTCGCTTGGTGATGCGAGAAGTTATTATCTTTCGACAGCTAAGAACGAGCTGGGAGTGATATTTGCACAGAGTATGGCCGGATACACCATGATTCCAGTATCATGGGAGGAGATGATTTGCCCAAAGACAAAGGTAAACATCACGATATCCATGGCAGGTGACGGTAAATGGACTTCTACTGACTTTTGTGGAATACATAGGTTGTTGAGCATAGAAAGTGTGCAAAGCCAGAGTCTTGAGACGTTAGGAGGATTTGGGGGACTCAGCGCCGAGTAGCTTAGCCGTATGCACTTTACCAAATAGATATGCGTATTAAGAATGTCAAGATTCTTTCCCATTTCATATAAATGGAGATGCTCACACATGGTAAACGGAAGATCTCTGCACCACTGTTTGATAAGAAGCAGCCGTGCTGTCGCTTTTCGTCGTAAGAAGTGGTGCTCAATTCGATTGAGGTAAGAAAAAGTTTGGTAACTACGGGCGCTGCTCAGATGGACATGCAAGATGATACTTTGGGAACAGTTCGCTCGTGTGAAACGATAAATACAGATGATATTCGAATGCGCCATCCACAGGAGCGATCCGTTCACAGGCCGTCCGACCTGTAACCCCATACTAGCCCATCTAATCATCTCGGTGTTATGTAGCAGGGTGGAAGGAAAATTGTCTAATACTGGCTATTTGGATATGCTATCCACAGTTTCATGCATTTGTTGCGTCTTTGTCGAAGAATGTGATGCTGTCTTCGTCCAGGTCTGATGGCAATTTTATGTCCTTGACCTCTTGGAGGTAATGCTTTTGCAAAGCGTCTCTTACTGCCTAGATTGTGAGGATGCGACCATCAGCACTTATCACACCAGGAGCGGCCCTTGTAATGGATAACTTTGCTTACCCTTGTTTCTGCCATTTCCAACGAGCTGCCGTGCCCCTCCCCAATCTTCTCGACTCCAGAGTAGATTCCCACAATAAATACAGGTGAGCTAGATTGTCGACCGCTTTCCTTTACCAAACTAAAAGAGAGAGCTGATAAGAATACGCGTGGACTGTTGGCCCTTAACATTCCATCAAGTGCTTACCGTGACACCGGTCGGACTTGACCTTTGGCCTTGGTGATTTGTACCAACAGCCGCTTGGGGTTGAGCAACTTCAAGTGTGACTCTATATCCACTGATCGCGACAGGAAGTGAGCATGGACAAACTGTCTCGTAATCTTGGCTCCCTTGTCTTGATACAGCGCCCCGATCAACGCTTGCAAGACTTTCCCCGCTACAAGAGCTTCCCCATTTGCAGATATTTGGCTAGTCTCCTCGCTGTTACCCTATACGGTGAAGCAGAATTAGTTCATACGTCCACAGATCGGTGGCCGGTACTACACGAACCTTCCAGCGCATCACGGTTGGTATCCCGAAATGTTTTCCCAAGCTGGCCAAGGCCTTGTCGCCGATGTAAGCCTTCACCACGCTTTCCACCGACTCCGCTGGCAACTCTGGAAACTTCATGTAGACATGCTCTGTAACATATAGTCCCAATACTTTTCCACCTTCAAGAGGTCGACAAGGCCACTGTCAAAATCTACGAATTTTGAAATAAAGCAGTGGCAAAGGACTTACCCAGATATTGAAGTCGGGAGAATGCTGACTTTGGCCCTGATGGGAAGGACTTGTGGGTGAGTGCCTCGTTCAGCAGTTTATTGTCGGAGAACTGGAATCCCGTCCGTGCCGAAAAGGCTGAGAGTTTGGCGAGGTCTTGGGGGGAGGGTGTAGATGTATATGAAATTGGTCGTGATTGGAGAGTTGTGCATGGCGCTTGCTGACACCACGCTCTTACAACTCGAGTTCGGGAGCCAAGTAAAAGGGTTCGCATAATGACAACGGTGACCTAGGTGGATGGCAGGAAGGTCCCTTGAAGCTGAAGATCGTCGTGTTGCGAGTTTTTGCAATTGCAAGAATGGCCGACGTATTGCCATGGTTACGTCGGTTACCATCCAGTCGACGCGATTTGACCTTTGTCGTTGGTCTTCCCTCATCAATCAATGTACGGACCATAACAATGCTAAAAAGATTTTTTAAATGCACGGCATGTCGTAACCGTGCTGCCTCACCTCGGCTGGCGTCAATAGCGGGGCAAGTACGAAGAATAGCTACCACGGAGCGCAATGACGATTCAGTTTCGATAGGAGAACAATTGCATCGAGCCTTTGCGCCGCTCCTGTCCAAAGACCCACAAACAGGTGGAGCTGCATCCGATGCTTTAATAGACACATCTGACCTTCCAACAGTTGCCCGTTGGACTGTCGCTCCGCGCAAGCGTCCTGTCACTGGTGCCATGGACACGTCAGGGTCAACGGCTGAAGCCCTCCACGCTGCGCTACGTTCTCACAATATTCGTCAGGCTTGGCAAGTATACAAGAACATGTATCGAGCGGGTAAATACGATACCCTTCATGCAGACGATCACAGCACCATACTCGGTTGGTTGACGGCACATACACTTCCCAGCCTTGCTGCTATTCACGCTGCCCGTGTTCTTGCAAATATGCGACGATCTGGCTACCGTCTGGACCTGAGAGATTACCATGCGACGATGTTGTGTCATCTGCGGAATAACGATTTACGTCGTGTGGCTGAGACGTTTAAGGCAATCCGCGCGGACGGTGAACGACCAGACGCACGCGCTTTCAATCTGTTGATTGCTGCATATGGGCAGGGTAAGGATCTACGAGGTGCATTCAGAGCATGGGAACAAATGAAGCGGGAGGTACCGGGGGCGCAGGCCGACATGGACTCTTGGGCCGTCATGATCGAGGCATGTGGTATCTCCAACAGGATGGATGAGGCCGAAAGATTGTGTGATCAGCTGCGAGCTGCAAATGCGTATTCAGATCGTAAGGTCTATGAGGCTATGATACGAGCGTATGGAGTGAACGGAGATCTTGAGAAGGCACTCAAAGTGTTTGGAGAATTGAAAGATGGGCGTGCACGGGAGAATGTAGATTTGGAAACGTACGATGGCATCATTTTGGCATGCGAGGCAGTAGACGATGTGGAAACAGCGCAAGAATTGTGGGATGAATTACGCGAGTTTTGCCGAGAGCATGATCGCCCCTCGCAGAAACGAGCTATTGCGCCCCTTGTGACCACTTTCAACCGCATGCTGTCGCTGTATGCGCGGCATGGCGACGTTGGCCAGTCAGAAGCATTGTTCAAGGAGAGAAGCATGCTGTATCCGGAGGATCTTGCTAGTTATCAACATCTTCTTCGTGCCTACGCATATCGAGAAGAGTGGCAAGGGTGTGTCAAGGTATATGAGAGTATTGTTAAACGAGGGTTCTTGCCGGATATTGAGATAGTGCAGGTGGCCATGCATGCACAGAGTAAGATACGCTAAGTCATTTGTAGCAAATATTTACAAGAGTGTATATAGTACAGACTACGGTTGCCGACACAGGCTTCCGTATTGTTGGCAATTATCACCCCTAGTCCCATCCAAACATCCATTTTCCTATCGTCTTCTGTATTCCCCCAATCTCCCACTCTCTGCGTCCAATCCACAGATCATGTGTCATGTCCAATTTTCCGAACACACTTCCGCCTTTCCACGCCAGCACTCTAGAATCAATGTCGCGCGGGTTTTGCAATAGGCGCGGAGTCAGAGCGGGAGTAGCTCCAGTAGCTGACGCTGCTGCGAGCCTTTCTTTTAATGGCGTTCCTTGGAATACTGTTCCAAGCCGCTCCTCCAGCAATTTCGCCAATCCTGGTACCATTCCCCCGCCGCCCACTACCAGAATCGAAGAGCACAGCTTTCGAACGCGTATTTCTAGGTCGCCATCTTTCATGTCTGCATAAGTTTGCGCGTATAGGCCAACGGAGTGTGCCAACGCTGCATCAAGAGGAAAGGATATCTCAGATAACGTTCCCATGAACCGGCGCCGTCGGAGGAAGTGCATTATCGGTGGTGGTTGAAGTACATCATCCGGTGACTTGGGTGCTTCAGAGAATCCTTTTGTATTTGCTATTGTCACTTCTGGACTTTGCGCAGAATTCCCCCCAGCCTCGTAACGGATTGCTCCTCCTTGCGTCGGACTCGCTAGCTTTGGATCTACTGATAGCACATCGGCAGCAGAGGGTTGATTATCCACCTCGAGGTCTGTTGTATTCGGAATATGACCCTCAGGAAATTTGTCGCTGTCCGCATTTTTCGACTCGCGTATGCGTTTCCCGTTGGTGGCGAGTTCTGCCGGATGGCTGATATAAGAACGGTAGGCTGCGGCTGCTGCAACTCCTGCATTGTGCGGCAATTCATCTCCCTCCGTGTCATCCTCTGCGTTGTAATCCAAATAGGTTTCGCGAAAAGCAACATGCTGTAGCTTTTTGGAGAAGTCAATCACGTAGGGGTGGAACAGGACCTGCGATGAGCCGTTAGCCTCCTTAAGACTTGATATTACAGTTCGGAGCAGTTAATACGCACCCTGGGAGCAGTCACCACCTCATCGTAAACCTTGATCCTGTACAACAGAGTTGGTTGATCGGGAGCGCGAACGCAAAAGTTGCATAGGTTCACGGTCATGTCAATCTGTTTGGCCAGAACATTCAGCTTTGGACATTCCGCTCGCCCATTGCGATAGATAAGCTGGAACCCACCTCATTATTCGTGCAAAACTTTTCCTTCAGTTCGTCTGCAAGGAGCCAATCATACACATTCTTTTTGGGATTGAAATCGGTATACGGAAAAGCACTATTCAATAAAAGTTTCATCAAGAATGCCGTAATGTCATCGCCTCCGTATTTGAGATTGACTCTAATATATCCAACCATCAGTTAAACACACACTCATCTCAAGGGTAGGCTGACTTGCACCCACCTTGTATCTGCAACACACATGCCGTCTTCTACGCATGATATGCTGGTCTTCTGTGCTCCAATATCAATCACGCATGCAGTTGTAATCCCAGCGCCGAATGTGGCAGCCACAGATTCCTTGTTGAGCGATGGCTAGTGTTAGTGAGCGCTCACGAAGCGCACCAGTAACGCTACGGGACATACTTGGAGTGCTGTTACTCCCCGAAATCCCATGTTACGCAGCAGGAGTGTCGTCATTTCACGCACATGTGCTTTACTAAATAAATCCGGCACCAACCACACGACATTGTATGATCCAAATTCAGAACGCAAAATCCCGAGTTCGCTTTCAATAATCTCGCTCCATATAGTCTCCATATCGGCTAGACAACCCCATATTGACGTGTAGTCCGACATATTTAGCATCCCATGCTGGATTGGATAAAAGGCACGATAGACTATTGCTGAATCTGAAGGCTCGTCTTCGTCAAAATTTTGCGGACTCACGATACGCAGAGCCTTTTAATTATCGTCAGTGTGTTGGGTGGATAAATGCGGTCTGGCTCTAGCAGGTCATCGACAGCCGTACCTTTGGCCCGACAATGTAACTCTCTAGATCGTTGAGCTCTGTCCATTCTATTTTATAAGGGTCATTATGATCCGGTATCGTTTCTGGCGTAGCCTGCGAATTGAAGCCCACTACTTGACTATGCGCGTTCGGTACAGCCCGGATCTTCTGCGTTCGCATGCGATGCCGTATATCCTCCTGGATGGGATCATACAAGCCCGGCTCATCCCGAATTGTGTCTGGAAAAGTTTGGGCGATTGCGCCCGGATTGGCAGATCTGGTCTGATGGACCTCTGTGCTGTCTCTGGTTTCGCGAACTTTCCTCACGATAACGTGCGGTACTTCTTTTGGGAACGCATCAGATGCTCTGCCCACGCGAAGATTACGGGAACCGGCATGGATAACAATTATGTCGGAAAAGTTCTCATCTGGCTGGACGGAATCATGGCAATGTGTAAGACTCCCGCAAGGCATCCTATCCCTTACGACTCTGCCGAGACTATCCCCATCGGAATTACGAAAAAGACCTAGAGGTACAGCAACTTACATTCGGTTGGACATTATCGTTAACCTTGTCCGCAACAGCTAACGAGCTCGCGGTTTTGAGGTATGTAGAATGAACGTTCTTGGGGTTCCAATTCGGGTAACCTTGGATCAGTGGGATGGATGTAAACTTTAGCGAGGGTAGGTCGTTAGGTTGTTGGGCGTACATGAGCCGGGAGCAGAGGCGGAACCAAAAAGGACGAAGGAGGAATGCACCAAAGTACAAGGACTCTGCACTGAGAACAGAGTCCAACAAGGGTGACGCGACCGCGTCCGAGCTCTTGTCTACTCAGATATTCTTGTCTTCGCACCTTCGTCCGAGCACCATCTACAGCAGATCTGACCATATGAGAAGTGATACCCATTGTCGAGTACTCTAACTAGCTGCTACCAAGAGGCTTGTACACGCCCAAAACGTTACGATTGTTCCTAGCGGGACAGTACTCCCACTCCTGCTGGGCTTTGCTCGGATTGCTTGGCTGTCAAGCAGGGGATATGCAGCAGTGTAGGGCTGGTCCTAAGTAGAAGGAGCTGTGGAATAGTAGATTGTCATACTAGGTCAAATTCATGGGGGAGACCACAAGGGATGCACATACACTTAGCGAAAGGACAGTACAGCGCAGCTTCATCCACATTATCAATTTTGTAGTGAAGCTAGCCCAAGGCGGTAAGGGTCTTATTCAGGTCACTGACGGAATGGTCTTTGGTCACAAAGAGGAGAAGGAAAGCAATTTATTACCCGTCGTCAGAGTAAGAAGTGGAAAATCAACTGGTCCCAGAGTCGAAGACTCCTCTGTTCCCCTTCCACCAACACAATGCACAAGAAGATGCGCGGCAGAGAGCGCTCCCAAGAAACCGGAAACGTGTGGAAGACTTGACTGGGAGTTGGTGGATTAATTTGGAGCATATGTAAGGAAGTGACTGGAAATGGCGTGAGGTTTTCGAGGGTTGCTGCACACATTTACGCGTTTGGGAATAGTGATGAATGAGGAGGGAGTGGAATGGGATGTAATGCCATTGGCAAAGTTTTCCCATTCGAAGCCTGGAAAAAACGACTAAAAGAAGAAGCATCCGGAAGTAATAAAGGGTGCTCAAAACCGAAGCTCCGCCGTGCCAAGAAGGAAGACCAAAGCACTTATCTCCTGCCCGCTCGCGCGTCGAGATGAAGCAGGAGACGCAGGATGTGAAGCCATGCGGCACAGAGTTATGCAAATACTCTTGATGCCAATAGGCCGGCTGCTAGAAATGACAAGAATGGAACGGACTTCCTCAGGGTTCCGCATCCGGTCTGGGTCAGCATTGTCTGCGAGGCAAATCTGCCCGAAATGCACCTGTAGCTATTGATAATTTGAAGTGCATGTTGGGAGCAGAGACTGAAAGGGCACGATTCAGAAGTGGTACGAGCTTGAAACAAAATCGTTGAGAGAGGGTCTCGCTTTGAATTCGTATTGTTGACCAGAGTGCGGATTGTATTACATTGCGACTGATTGAAGGAGAATCTAGGTGATGAAATCAATATCCATTGGACTCTGTCTTCGCGGCCTTTCTTTCTTTGTTCATTATCGTTATATCGCCGGCGGTGTTGCTGGTACTGGAATCAATCACTAGTCAGTCAGCGACAGATTACCAGGCATCAATTATTGCCATCGGATCAGGCATTGTTGGGGGCAATCTGATGCACCGTTGGAACGGTACTTCCCGTTACGCTGGTAGTCTTGGTCATGATTGCTGGCAAATAGAGGAGGAGAGAGCCTTTTCGGGCTCTTGGACGCCGGTGGCTGGGACCCGCGGATATTCATCTGCCAATACCCTAGGGTGACCGAATCCTCATGATTCGATCGTATGTTTGGGTGCTTCTTGTGGCTCCTTGCGAGCCAGGAAAACACCCGCAAACTTATCTGTGAGGCACCGCTGTATCATCGTTGGCGGACGGAGCTCTCCAATATGTATTTTTATGACATGTTGAAATACGGTTTTACGAAATGATGGTTTTGCGGCCAATGAATGTGATTGTATTTTTGTTCTCAAAACATTGGAATTTGGCACTGTTGGCGTCTCCCTTTGCGTGAACCAGATTGCACTTTTAATTCATAATACAAGCGTTCAACGGCTACCCAAGTATACCCTTTGCAGAAGGCACGAAGTATTTCCCTCGATGTTGACCACGTTTGGGAACGGGTTTTACATGTGTCTCTAAGACAGACATAGCAATCGATGTCCGCCTTACAATACCGATCCATTGAGTAGTAGAAGACGGTAGCAAGTAGAGGGCCACATCTAGCGCTAACTAGTTACTACCTTGAACATTTTCAAACCTGAACCTAACGAATAAGAGTGCCTAACAACAGGATTGGTAGGAGATAAACAAATGGCCGTCCTCATTTGAGTAGTCGACATATAACTTTGTCAATTCATTGATTTATCTTATGTCGAATACAGAATATTATTATTCGCTTGCCTGAACATAAAATTTTTGAGAATTAAAGCATTTGCCTAAAGGTGAGTCCATGTCGATTCTCTGCAACATATTCAGTGCGCCCTTCCTTCCAATGGACCGCCCACAGGAGAAAAGAATACTTGTTTGATCTTTTCGAGACAAGACGTCGGTAAGGATATTACAGATGATTCAGATTGAGGAAAGCATGATCTTATTGCAATGAAGGTGATTATGGACTGGACGAGAGTATCACCCTGCTAACTACGACATACATTCAAGGTAAATGATTTGAAAATCCACGGCTGGAGTGCTAATAGAAACGGAATGTGTTAACATCTTGCGAACCGGATTAAAGAGCAGCTACTAGAATACTATTAGCCAAGTAAGGTAGAAAACATTAACAAAAACAAACAGTCTCTGGTTGCAAGTTATATCGTAGAGGTGATCATCGCAAATGGACAGCGAACGCGACGTGTGTCCGTAAAAGGCAGCACAACTGTCTGGCACGCGCTCTCCCACATGCACTAACAATTCATGGCATGAGCAAATAGTCATTTCTGTCGCTTCTTAACGTTTCCATCTGCCGCAATGGAGTCATATCCTCTGGAATATGTTCTTCACCATGTGCCGCTGATGGCGGTTATGGGTCTCATTGAACCGGATGTCGAGCCGCCGAGTGGGACTACCGACACGCCAAAGAGTTCGTCGCTGAAGAAAGTCCTACTCTCTGTATTGATGGCAAAGAACAACATGAGCATCTGGGATGCAGCAGCCAAGAGAGAAGGCTTCTCTGCTTTTTTTCACGTCACCGTTTTGGACAAGGTACTTTTCACGCTCTTGATGACTCGACCGCATGGCAGGTTGACAAAAGACTTCTGTTCTGATCCTTTACCCAGGCACACGTCTTTCCTCCCCGGAAACTCCAAAGGGCAACACCAGTTCAGCATTCCAATTTGTCTCCTTTAACTCCTGGATCGCCTCTTTATCCTGATGGTCTTATGCTCCCTGCATGGATACAACGGCAGAAAGAAACGAGACCTGCAATAGTTGTGGGTTTCTACGATTTGTGGGAGCGAACAGAAACGCTAGACAATCGTGACCCCTTAGGCGTACAGCAAGCAATGAGCATAGAGCGCGAGCGTGATCTCATACTTTGCGCAGAGATCAACGAAAAGAAGCGAAATGCAACTGATCGGGGCATCAGGTTTGCTGTGGTGCTCATAATAAAGACGAACCCGGCAGGTAGGTCCTCTCAGTACCAAACCCATTCGGACACGGCCCGTGCTCTGGATTTTGATGCATTTAGTGCGCAGATGACCCACATCTTGACGAACGAGTATCTTTCATTCGACGAACCTGTGGGTTGGATCTCAAAAGCTCGTTGTTCGTTCTACCGTCCGCCAGCACAGATCCGCAACAGTTCATTACTATGTACGTAGGGCTAATGTCCTGTATATAGACGAGTGCTTATTTGCTGAGTGCATTTTTGATTCAGGATGCAAAAATCACTGCATGATTCGGCCTGTAGCTACTATCGCGATCATGACAAACGCATAAGGAAGAAAAAAGCGCGACTGCCGCCCATCTCCGCTCGTGCAGTAAGCACGGCGCCGTCTACTTCTGCTGCATCCCTTCCAGGGATGGTCAGCATATCCAGCGCCCAGCAAGCAAAACCACTACCGCCGGCTGGCTGGCACTTACGGTACGAATACAAATTGGCGGTGTTCGCTGAATTCAGACAGGATATGGAGAATGCTATCAAGTACGTGGAAGCTGTGTGACATTGTTTTCAAGCTGCTGATCTCAGAGTCTGTTTAGGCATTATGAGACTGCATATCAATTGTTAATAGAGTTGTTTCACTGTGCCATTTCCGGTGGGGTGCTCGTTCCGGGAGGCGGAGGGTCTGCTCCAAACGATCTCTTGCAACCCTTCACTCCTCGCTGGTTGGAAGCCCGGACGTTGGTCGATTGCATTAATCTAAAGGTCGGTACAAGAGTGAGGTATTAACGGATTGATGTGCTCAAGCTAAGACTCATCCGCAGCGTTGCGACTACCTTAGATTTGCAAACTCCATCTGTACACCGACCGCCCTGTTCCCGCATTACAACAATTAGAGAAGCATCTTACCAATTGCAAAAGCTTCCCCGAATTTGTTGGTCCACCAAGTACTGAGCTAACGTGGGAGGTCTCTCCGGGATTAACTCAATTGGCTAACCTCACCGGCGGTGGGTCATTTGAATACTGGACATGGGTGTCTACGCAGTACGTTTCATGATTTTCACTGGTCAACCTCCGCATCCGCAGACTGAGTCACTTGTATGAATCAGGTATCGCGTCTTTGGGGAGCTTATAGAGTTGGCTACCGGGAAGATTGGGTTACGCTTACCCTTTCCACCGCCGGGCTCGCTACCGGCAGCACACACAGCGACGGGTCAGGCGCAATCTTTCTTGAATACTCTGTCCAACAATAGCATGAATGTCCTCTCTGGCGGAGACGTTCCCGTTGCTGTTTTTGGACCATTCAGTGCCACGAATGCTTCTCTCGTGGTGCAGCATGCAGGATACTATTATTTCCTTGCTGCTCGTTGTGCTGAAGAGCGATGGAAACGCTTTGCAGAAACCGAGAAGGTGAGAAAGGCATTCGCTCGTAAGAATAGGACATATAATAATGATAACCCTAGGCCATTACGTCGGCCCCGCCTCCGCCGCCGTCGGCTGCTACATCCGTCCGAGGCGGACAAGCTCGCCTGGGATCTTTTGGTACTTGCCGTTTATCTTTTGCAATCACGGTTGAACTTGTGTAGGCTGACAAGCGCCACCCGCTAAATGCTCCCTATAGCCGAAATATCTGGGTCACCATTTTCTGCCATGATGCCAAGCTCACCTATGCATGCGCACAATCTCGGTGTGTCACTGGCCTCCGAGCGAAGTGTAGATCACGCTACCTTAGTCATTGAGCTCTTGACAAAGTCTTACGAGCAGTTCAAGAAGCACAGGGCCGGGCGCATGACCCTCTTCCTCGCTTCTGAAATAGCTCGGGTGTATGAGCAAAGTGGAAAGTACGAGATGGCGCTCAAGTTTTTCGAGCGGATAGGAAAAACATATCGAAAAGAGCATTGGCCCAATGTTCTCAAAGATGTCTTGAAATGGAGTGTACAATGTGCCAGAACCTTGGGTCGATGGGATGTCGTGGTTGAGTGCCTCGTGGAGCTGATGAGCGAGCGGATGGCGGGTGGGGCCGAAGGAAATGCCGAGCAGGAAGCTGCTGTACAGGAGCTCATGACCATTTTGCGCGGCGATGGACAAGATATGACCAAGGGACTGAGGGTGGCGGTGGATATGGACCAAATCGATGGTTTCCTACAGTGCAATGTTCAATTTAAGAAACACAGCACGTATGTGGGGGTGTCCGCGCCGTTCCAAGTGGTTTTGACTGCCGCCTCAGCCAGATCACCTCCTATTGCGCTAAGAATTTCAAAAATACATATTGGGTTTTCCGATGCACGGTTCGACCATGTCATTCTTGACAGGGAAGGCGGTGAAAGTAGCCTCTCCTCGTCTGGGCGGAGAGTCAAGTGGCTCGACATTACAAATTGTGAACGAAAGACTCTGGAGGGTGACGACGGTCATGAAGTATGGACGAAGAAAGTTGACTTGGAACTCCTTCCTGGCATGACGCAAGTGTTGGAGGGAGTGGTGATACCAGGAGAGGGGATGGATTTAAAGCTGTCAACAGTGTCAGTTGTGTTGGCGGCTTCGGACGGACAAGTGTCACTAAATTTCAATCTTTCTGAACGGGGGGAAGACACATCGGCAAGGCGCAAATGGTGTGTAATAGATGGCGCTGAATCGATCCCTCGCTGGGTTATGCTTGATGGTTATGGCGAACAAGCAGCACTCAGAGTCATTAGGCGACAGCCAAATCTATCGATTCATTTGACACATGCGCCCCCAGGGTATATTGACGAAGTTTACTGGGTAGTTGTTGAGGTCGTAAATGAAGAAAAGGAGGAAATAGAGGCATATCTTGATCTGGAATTCAGAAGCTCTGGAACGGATGGTGCTGATCCAACAAGTCATATCACGCAAAGGTTCGAAGATATTGCTGGCGAAGCATCATCTCCCGCACAACCTGCCGGAAGCGACAGAAATGCAATATCCGCAATACGTTTAGGCGTTATTCCTTCGCTTTGTCGCGTATCGCAACGCTTCTGGCTTCGCTGCAGGCAAAACGCTGGCGAGCGGGTCATGTACAATACGGTGTACTACCGGACGACTTCGTCCACGGCCACGTTATCGAACACATTTGAAGCCCCTCAGCCATCGACTCATCCAGACCTTTTCTTCCGAAAAAATGAAAGTATCCGATTGAATTTCATTAACGGATTTGAGACAAAGTTCTCAATAAATTCAGAATATGGAATGCCATTTGAGACAACAGAGGCGGGACTGCTGTCGCTGCAGGATGCGGATGGCAGTCTGGAACTAGTTGAGAAACACAGCATAGTCGCCGCGGTCAAATGTGTCGGCCCTTGGGACATGGAAGTCGCGGAAGTAAAATTCATTCCAAGAAATGTTGAGGTACATTATACCATGCGCACTTACAGCGCTTGCCCAATGTAATAATGCGTTGATTTTCCGTAGCAAACACAGGCTCAGCATCCCGGTATTCGCAGCGTGCTAGTCGAAACCGTAAATACGCTGCCCACATCCGCAAACCCCATTGAAAGTAGGTATTTTCCATTCGGTTGTGGCAATAGGGCTGTGCTGGAACAAAATACTTCTTGGCCTGCAGGCTGGAAATCAGGACACGTATGGAACGGAGCGTATCATGCAATGGTTGCGGTCGACCCAGGCGCCGAAGTTGAGGCGATACCCGTCGGGGACATGGTGGTACGATGGCGAAGGTATGTACAGTGGGGATTGCGCACGGGCCCGAGGGCCGTCTTTCTCATGTACTCTCTGTGACAACAGACGGCAAACAGGAGATATCGAACCAGCATGGGCTCAGACAGTACTTACAATACCGGATGTACCCCTTCAGCATAGAGATATATTGATCTGCGTTGGTAAGTTTTCTCTCTAATGTTCCCTTTCCTATCATAACGTCTCCTGATATTGTTGTTTCGCGCCATATCATCGGCAGACATCCCACCGTTGCTGCACCACACAACCCCATTCACCGTCACATACGAGTTGCACAATACATCGCTTGCAATACATCATCTGTCGCTGTCTATGGAAGTCACTGAAGGCTTCGTTTTCAGTGGGTGCAAGCAAACGCACGCGCGAATGCTACCTCTCAGCTCAATGAGAGTGACATACAACTGTGTGCCAATGGTTTGTGGGAAGGCCGCCCTTCCTCGATTAAAAGTTATGGTGATCCCAGAAGGTGCAGAAGAGAAGGAAGGGTCCCCACGGGAGGTGAAGAATGTACATGTTCGGGGCGGGGTGGAAGCCGGGTTGGGACCTGCTGGGGAGCTAATGGTATTTGTGAGGCCGCGGAGCGGTCAGCTATTGGAACGACCGTCCGCAGATACGATGCTATGAGCTTGTCAGTATAGGTAGTGCAAAAATAATATGTTTTGATAATACAGATATCCCATCTTAGAGTACCGCTGATGGCGGACATTTTTCACCCACAAACCATATTACTGAGGGACAATGGGTGATTACCGTACAACGGATGGATCGGACACTTCCCGCATAGGGAACATTAACCAAGGGAATTGTACAGTGATTTCTAGATAGCCTGAGGAATGATGAGCCGAACGCTGGAATTAAAGCGGCTCGGATGTCAAGGACGAATTAGAGGACAGCGGTAGTAACACGAATACTGCGCGCCTCTGGTCTTGGGCGACAAGCGGACGGGGAGACAAGTTTATCGGTCAACAAAAGTATATCGAACTTAGGGTCCATGGGACACATGTATGGATACCTTGGAAAGCTCCAGTTAGAACAGATGATGATAATAATAGTAACCAAGTAGTAATGTGCCTCTTCTCTAATGGGTGCAATCAATCTTATTACTAGTACAATTAATTGTAGAGCTCCTTGTATGAGTCTTGAAATGTGTAGACTTAGAATACCAAGATCTATAGCTGATCTCCATAACACTGGTCATATTTTGCATAACATTACCCTTGCTACACATGCTCCATCTCGAAACTTTTAGTTCTAGTTGTATCGCGGGAATCTAGTTCTACTCTATCTATGAATCTGAAATCACTCTCATCGTTTAAGACATGTCGAGCAGCGAGCCACCGAGCTGTAAAGCAAGTTTCTTGGAGAAATCCGTGTTCCAGTACTTTGCTGCAACGTCCTTTGGAATTGGCGGCAGCGAAGCCAGCTGTCCCTTGATCTCGGCTGCGCGTGCAAGAGCGGTGGTGAGGGTGGCCTGGACTGCGGGAGGTTTGTATCCAGATGGGAAGCTTTCCGTCGTGAACATCCAAGCAATCTGCGCCATGCTAGTGTCTGAATCAGCCAGGCCGTTGTTGGAGCCGAAGAGGTCAAGGATAAAGGCGGCTTCACCCAGAGCAAAGAATTCCGGCATGGATGGATCGACGACGAGTGAGCCGTCGGGGTTGACAGAGAGACGTCCATAGGAGAATTGAGGATTGTACATCTCAGATTGGGTCTCACGAAGATGACGGATGTGGGCCATGGCCGTAGAATTCAGTTCAGTAAAGCCCAAATCCCTGACGTATTGGAGAGAGTTGGCGAAGAGGGTGCGGTTGTAAGAGTAGTTGTCACCTGAGCGGGATGTAGCAAAGTCATTGCGCGAAATGGATGCATCATGCTCCACAACGAATGGGACGTGCTTTTTCAGATCCTCCAAGGCGAAGGGTACGGCGATTCCAGTTACGGGGTTGGACTGGATGGCAAAGACGGTTGCAGTGAAGTCTGGCGAAAAGTTGTAGGCGTCCGACAACGCTTGCTGAAGAATGGGAAGAGTCAGACCCTTGCCGTCTCTGGGTAAGAATCCGTGGTTTGCCAGAATGTTAAGACCGGGACATGGTCCACGAGAGGCGCCAGGAGGCTTGAGGAAGGGGTGGAGGGCAGCAGGGAGTGCGGTAACAGACGCTGCACTTGCAATGAGATACAGGGCGAAGCTCTTCAAGGCCAACATGTTTGCTATTGAATGTGAGTACTTGTGATGACGGTTCTATGAGATCTTGGTACTGGGAGAGAAGGTGGAGATGATGGCCCTCCATTTTATAGACATTTCTCCATTACAGGGACTGAAGTTTTTGCACATGCGGTGTGTTGACATGATGTTTGCTGGTTGGTTTTCTTTCTTTGTGTGCCGCATTCAAAGAGCGAAACAAATACGGCAGTTTATAGTATCTGCGCACTGTCGGCTTTTCGACTCTCCGCCAAACTCCGCTACTTACAGTAATGCCATTCACTGCTGTTTCTATTTTCAACCAAAAACCCTGGAAGAGGAGTTGTTTGTTCGACGCTCGCACCAGCAGCGTGGCGGTTTTTGTTGTCTGAAACTCCACGTCAATGCACGCCGTGGCCCACGGGATATAATCCTGAATGGTGAAGAAGGACTTGTTTATTTTTCATCTTTGAAAGAAAACGTTTGTTTGGAGGACGTTTGTGCAGCGTCTGTGTCGATTCAGCGCGTTGGTTTCATCGCCCAGACGACCCTAATGTGCGACAGCGGCGAGTTCTTTCGATTGTTCCAGCAGGTCAACAGCCGTCAAAGCAAATAAAGGATCTTTGTTGACTTCAACCGACGGCGTGCAAGGAAAGAAGAATTGGAATCCACAAACGTTGTAAATCTTGCGTTAGCGCTAACTCAAATCGAGATAATAACTTTGTAAACACTGTCTCCCAAGGAGAATTCAACCATGCATTTTCTGTGTCGTGAATGTGTGCTTATTGCATCTGCAGTGGTGATAGCATGAGTTAAGATTTTGACTAGTGTTCACTGTTGCAACACCTCCAAATTCTTAAACCATCACATCCGTCCAGTCCGAAAATCTATTGTAATCTCACATAAATATTTCGTTTGTTTTACAGTATGTTTTTCAAGTTTTAAATACAGATTCAATTCACCAGGGGGCAGTGCATGCACACGTCAGCAGCACCCATCAATATCAGTAAAACATGGCTTCGAACTCGAAGCGAGGATCATCGGCGTGTTGGACAATCTCCTCAATCTGCCAATGGCCGACGGCGTTCACCTTCCTAGAACGGTTGCAACTTGTAGTTCTGTTTCTTTGAGACTACGTGAAATCATAAATGTCTGAAGTTTTGTCTGTTGATGGTGCATTGCCCTGGATAGAATTTCTGGAACCTCTAGATTCCTTAATTCTTGCACCGTAAATAACGTCGAGAGCAGTGGCTTGGGACAACAGAGAAGGGTGTGTTACAAATCACTGACGGACATTCGCCGTTAACTAAAGAGACTCCTTGGAATGGTGCCGAGTAGGGAGGACCTTTGCCGATTCCTTAATAACTATGTAGAGCAAAACAAGGTATAACCTGACCTTTGATTTCACATGACAAGTGATAAAAAGAAAGCACCTTACATAGGTCAATTGTAACATTGGACTGTTAGTGCCTTGTTGGTGTAGGAACGTCAAACTATGGCCTTTTATGGCCTTTTACAGCTACTGAGGATGCAGGCAGTAACTAACGGCATCTTCGTAAAGCTTTTGCCAGCGCGATCGAGTATGGCTGCACTGCGCTTCCTGGTGTAAGGCAGCTCTACCAGGGTTGCCAGATGACCAACGCAAAGAGATATTTCCTAGACTACCAGTAACTTGCAGTATATACAATACAGTTACTTTTGTGCAGGATTCCTCATCTGCCGAAAAAACCAAGCTCCCAGGATCGAGAAGCATTCTGCAGCAATGAAGATCTAACGATGACTGCAGCTTCCAATTGGCTCTTGCTCTCTTTTCATGTTGACGAAGGTTGCAAAATTCACAACCTCAAGCCTGAGCCCACTGCTTTTTATCCTTCCTACGATTCTAATCCTGCACAAAATACCAACAGACTTGTCTCATGCATCCGATGTTGTGACCCCCTCCTTCTCCTCTGTTCTTTGATGAAAGATGTGATGATGAATTTAGAAAAATCCGTATCATGGACGGTTGATAACCTACTGGAACTGAAGTGAACTTACGCTTACCGAATTATTAGCAAACCCGATTTGAATTGATGACTCATTGTTCGACTTCCGCAAGATCGTGAACCAACTCAACATTCAGTTCACCATCTTATCGAGCAATGTCGTCAAGTACACTGCCCGCGTATCCTCCACCGCTCGCGCAGGACCAGCTTGATGAGCTGAAGGACCATGCAGTGGACTGGGCTTTGGCTCATGGCTTCGTCGTCCGTCCCCCACCATCGTCAGTAGGAAACCAGACTATTCCCGTCGTCACTCATGCACCTTTTGCCCTCTTTCCGTCTCCATTTCCGCGGCGGTGCTACGAACAAGCGTTGAAACTACAGCCGCTTTTCAATGCCTTAGTGGAGAGTGTGGCCAATGATGATTTGTTTCTGCGCGAAACGCTTGAGAGGTGTGAAATACTCCCGAAACTTTTCTAGACCGCCAAGCCCATTTCACTTTCTTACACACTTCTTGCCCTCAACTCATGCCCATCTCGACAGTCTTTCCAAAGTCGACGATTTTGTTGGCCGGCTCTATGATATTTATAAGCATGTCCAGCAGGAAGGAGTAGCACAGGTACATAACCATAACCGCGCGTTGAACGTAATTATCACCTCTCTGATATGGCTGCATGTGAAGCCAATAACCCTTGGACTTCATAGATCCGACTACCTTCTTCATGTTCCCTTGGATGCACCGCCAAAAACTGAGCCTGTGCTCCAGCAAGTGGAACTGAACACTATTGCCTCCTCGTTCTCGAGCCTGTCTCATTTGGCTGGCGATTTGCACAAGTAATGTGTAAATACGTTCCCGCCACTGATGGAGGATTTGATAACTCATCTTCGCACTCACCATCAGCTTCTTGGTGAATCGAACCAACTACTTCAATGATTCGTCGTTGCCGTCCCCAGATATTACTCTTTCTGCTCTCCCTCGTAATTCATCAATCAAAGACATTGCCAAGGGCATAGCAAAGGCTTGGAGCCTTTATGGCTCAGCGAGGTACTGAAGTAACACATCGATTAGGACAAGGTGCTCTCCAACTGATACACATAAATGTCACGTTCATGTGCAGCGCTGTCGTCATCATGATTGTGCAACCAGGGGAAAGAAACGCATTCGATCAAAGATGGATTGAATACAATCTCTTCTACGAGTATGTTCGATAGGATGCGGTTTGGATCTGAAGCTGTTGGGGCAACCGATTGACATTTGGCCTCTACAGGCACAAGATCCGGTTAATACGTTGCACGTTAGCTGAGATTGCGGATCGCGGCACGCTTCAGGGTGATCAAAGAAAGTTGTTCGTGTAAGTGGAGGTCCTTCGACATCGGCATCCGCATTATACCAACTCGTGGGACAGTGGACAATCGGAAGTTGCAGTTACCTACTTTCGTGCCGGTTACGCACCCACTGATTTTCCCTCCCAAAAGGTCGTGTTCCTCCTTATGCATCTTAAGCTAAAGATGTAAACTCAAATGGTGATGTCAATATAGGAATGGGACGCGCGTCTTTTGATCGAACGGTCTCGCTCTGTAAAATGCCCAAATATTGCGTACCATCTTGTTGGTACAAAGAAGGTACAGCAGATTTTGGCCAAACCAGGGTTGCTGGAAAGGTGAGATCTTGTGTCATGTCATCTAAGGATAAGCAGCTTATCTTTAGTGAGCTAGGTTTGTGCCTGACGCAAGGCACGCCAAAATGGTGCGGGATTCTTTCACCGGATTGTATTCGCTGGATGGCTCCCCAGCAGGCGAAGCTGCCGCAAAAATGGCACTGGAAAATCCAGAAGGATTTGTCATGAAGCCTCAGCGAGAGGGTGGAGGTAGAGTCCAGTGAATATTTCGGTACAGGAATGCAACTATAAGCTGAGCAATTTCTTTTTAGGTAACAACATTTACGGAGAAGATATTCCGAAAGCTCTGTCCAAAATGAGCGTGTCCGAACGAAATGCGTATATTCTCATGGATTTGATCAGGCCACCTCCGCTCGAAAACATCATGGTGCGGCAAGGCCAATTGATTAAGGGAGAGGTAGTAAGCGAACTTGGCATATATGGCCTGTGGGTCAGGTGCGTATGGTGGACGCCTATTGGTCACTCCTGCAAAAGACGCCTGAATGACTTTTGCCTCATTTTAATAGCGACGGTTCTGTTGTGCACATGAATGAGACCGGAGGTCATCTCCTTCGGACAAAAGCTTCGACGTCACATGAAGGAGGTGTTGCCGCTGGTTTCGCGGTATTAGATAGTCCTTTGCTCATCTAGAATAGAGATTCGCCACGAGATATTGTATGAAGACAATGATATTAGGAAACATGCAAAAGTTAGCTAGTTGATTTGAGTTGTCTGGCCCTCCTTAGCGGCCTCACTATATCCGGATGTCACGCTATCTGCTATGCTAGGTAAAGGTATGAAGCCCAATTCCTTTCGTAGCTCGTCCAATGGACGATGCATATGCTCTTCGTAATAAATGTTCAATAGAAATTGACAACTACTACCGCATTGCACCGCCCATGGGACATAATGAGAAAACAGCACCTCCCGTTCTGTCGATGTCAAACGCAAAGGTCCAACGAACGCACTAAGCATTGCGACAGGAAAGCCACTCTGCACAAACTCTAGCCATTTTAGTCCAATCTCTGCTTCGATTGTTGTCGGGAGACCGGTGAGGGTGTGCCAAAAGTCATGAACCTCACGATACCGCTGCATCACGTACGCTAGCTCGGTATTTCCTATAAATTTGACCTGCATCGTGATCGATGTGAACTTTTATTCATTGAACAAGCCTAGACTATTGACTTACTGGTACTCTCGTGTCGGGCGACACATGTTCGGTATCCAAAAAACGTACATATTCCCGCCCAAACGTGCCATCCGGCAAACCGCGCAGCCGATCTAGATCCAGCGTTGTAGTATTGATTACAGGCCTCTCGCGCAATATACGGCGTCCTACGGGATGAACGAGCATCTTATCCCGTGCACGTGCCAGAAAGTACGGACCAGTTGCTTCTCCAAGATAGGCAACCGTTTCTATTTTGCAGTGAACATAACATGCGGTTGAGACACTTTTATAGGGCACTGCGCCGAGCAGTGAGATTCAATCGTACCTTGACGTGTCGGGTCGGCCATCGCACCAAATGCCGAGGACACTGCTATCCAAGTCCGTTCCAAGAGTCCTGGATCACGTCTGTGTTCAGTATTGCTCGAGTTTGCGGGGCCATATGTGCCGTGCGCCCGTCGCGAAGATTGACAGGTGATCGGCAATCGCAAGCTCCAAGGTAGGTGTCGCGGCGAGCATAATGTTTTATGACAACGGAGCAGCATTTTGGTCATCTGCCATGTCTCTCATCCCATCACCGCAACAGCGTGCTTAGCTTCGAAGATCCATCTAAGCCACGCGACTCGTAACGCGGTCCATCCCCGACAAGCATTTGAGCGCGCATGCAATAGGAAGTCTGCAGTCAATGAGTCGAAACGTTAGATGGATAACCGGTAAGCAATGTTCGCTTCTATGGTATTTGGCATTGTGAATTGACGTATTGATCGGATCGTCAAGATATTGATAAGTCATGTCTCATTACAAATTTCGACAAAAGAGGATGGCACCGAGGAACAGAAGGTGAGGAATCAAAGGACAGCAATTAGAAGGTCGTTTGTTAAAAGTGAATTTTTGATAGATGACTGGAACTTCTTTTGGGCAAGTAAGTTTACACAATTTGTATTAAATATCTCTTGGAACGTATCATGTACCAACATCCAGTCATGATGGGCAAAAGATGTATACAACTTCCGAACAATCATGTCGCCTGAATCTGGATATCGCCTGGCTGAGAACCAGTAGGTATCAACTCTTGTTATGAAACGCTGTATGCAGTCGCTCACTGAAATGTCTACAGAATCATCAACCATTTCCCAAACCACCAGGAGCTGACTAAAAAGGATTTGATGGTGAAGAATATCAAGCGGTACCGAAAAGAATTGGAGAGAGACAAGGCAAATAATTCAGACAAAGCGCTGGCGCTTGAGACGAAGTATCCTTACCTAGGTAAAATGCTGTGTCAGTTCTCAACGATAAGCGGGAAAGTGACACGTTTTGGCGCATCAAGACTTCCTGCCCGTTACGTACACCCTTCCGGGCGACTACAATCTATTCGCGGAAGAGTTTCGCAAGAATCCTTCCAGTGTTTGGATTATGAAACCCACCGACAAAGCAAGAGGCATTGGAATCTTTATTATAAACAGACTCCAGCAGATTAAAAAGTGGTCCAGGGATAACAAGATGCAGTGAGCATTGTCTATTTTGATTTCTGATAATACCCTGACTGTGACACGGAAGATATGTTAGATGGTCCTACGCAAATTGTAAGGACACTTATGTGGTCTCCCGGTACATCGACAACCCCTTGTTGATCGGAGGGAAGAAATTCGATCTGCGGATGTAGTGAGTATCCAGCTATCCCAATTTCCTTTCACTATTGCCCCAACGTGCTCTGAGTACCCTGAAATAGCGTTCTAGTTACCTCATGGCGTCCTTTGGTGGCATATAAATATACACAAGGGTTTACGAGGTTCTGTGCTGTCAAGTATACGTCCGACGTGGAGGACCTTGACAACAACTTTATGCATCTCACTAACGTGTCGATTCAAAAGTATGGGGTTAGTACATTATTTCCACTTTCTATGATGCACTGTTTGCATGGCCTGGCATTGTAAGCCAATAATCAGGGTCTTACAACCTTCATAGGAAGACTATAACGAAATCAATGGTGGAAAGTGGAGTCTCAAAAATCTTCTACTGTACCTCCAAGCAACCCGTGGCCGAGCCATCACATCAAAACTGAATGATGAAATTGATTCAATCATCATGCATTCTCTACGAGCTGTTCAGAATCTGATAACAAACGATAAACATTGTTTCGAATGCTATGGTTACGATATCATCATTGATGCGGATCTTAGGCCTTGGTTGATTGAAGTGAATGCGTCACCATCTTTGTCAGCCACTACGGCGAGTGATAAATTGATGAAAGTATGTCGGGAAATTGTAATGTGCTACGTTTTGTGCTCGGATGCTTGTCCTATATCTGATGTCACGGTGCTTCTTTTTTATTTAGCAATGCCTCATCGATGACATCCTAAATATTGTTGTTCCCGAAGACTTTCCCGAGTACGTATCGTAATGCATATTGTGCCTGAGAGCAGGCATGCTGACAGCTTTTTACAGTCTTAAAGGTCAACGAGGGGGAGTTGCTTTGATGAAGGATAAAAAGAGCTGGGGCGAGTTTGTTCTCTTGCCAGATGTATCGTCTGATAGACCAAAGTCTGCATTGAAAAGCAATAAAGCCAAGATGCGGTGAAGCAGTCCCACAGGCCCATTGACCGTCTGTATTGCGACAGACCTGTCTGTTCAGATCTTAAATTTTGTCGAATAATGCAATATATTATGTGCAATGTGCCGTCAAGTAAGATTCTTTCACCACCCAATGCCTATTTCTAATTCTCCCACTACTCTAGTTTGCGTCCTTCCCTGACCCACCCTGCAAGTTCTCCTCATGTTGCTTCAATGTAGACAATAGGGTTTGTGGTGATCGCTGCAATAAACCAACCAGAGTTTGGGCAGGTTGACTCAATATTCCCGCCAGTTCTGCCCGCAGCTGACCCAAAGAGGGAAGCTTCACAACTTCCGACAAAAGATCCGCCGTCAGCACTCCTCCGTCGAACTTGGCACCGACTACCAACAGTTTAGATTTATACTTCTTCGCAACCTCCGTGAAGTCCTTTGCCAAGGTTGGTCGGTCTTCGTCCGTTGCATTAGAAAATGCTACACAGCATGGCCCAGCCAGTAGCATTTCCAACTTTCTCAAGTCCCCCTCATTCCCTTCTGCTGCTTTCAACGACGCCGCGCGATCTCTAATAACAGCCCCAAAAATGTTGTTACGGATGGTTGCTATTACGAAACCTTTCTCCCGAAAGTCGGACTTCAGCGCACTGTACTCCTGTGCTGTCAAGTTGTTGTTCTGCATCACAAAAACAGCTCGAGACGATAGAACTTCCTGGTACTGCTCGAATAGGAATAGTCGACGCAAGTCCACAGGATTTCCGCGTCGAGTTCGCTTAGGGTTGGCCAAAACCTGTCTCGCCCGCTCAGGTTGCAGAATTCCACCGACGGTTGCATCTGCAGCAGGGAAGTGAGTCAGACCAGACTTTTTTCAACGTATCGATTGATCGCTATCGTGAAGCCCCGGCATTCTTCCATACTTACAGCTTCGGACTGTTCCTGCTCGGCAAGCTGCTCTTGGAATAAGACTGGTATAGGAGCATTCACACAATAAATAAACGCTTGCATGATACATTGCTCGTCACGACCAGACCATATTCTTACAATTTGAGTTGGAACATTTCGTCGACGACTGAGAGGCAAAACTATCGTCGTTTGCTAAACTTCACTGATACATTTATAAAGAAAGTAGACAGTGGTCAGGAACGGCATGTCGTGGCGCATGGCTTGCCCAACCACTCTGGGCACGAGCACCCACCTCGAAACTGTCCAAGGTTCGCTTAAGGATTCCTAAAGCCAGGAGGGCATGCGGAGGATTTTGTTGATCTCTGTTCCTTCGCACTGGGGTCTTCTGCCAGATTCGCGCCTCCACGTGGTTTCGCGACTATGGCAACTGCAATGGATCTTATGCAACGCTTTCAGAGCAGACACGTCTGGCAAACGAAATTGCGGTCATCCGTCAACAATGGCCGACCAGGCGGCGAACCAGGCGATAATGTTGCTCAATGCAGCAAGGACGTTACAAGACATTGGTCAACGAGTCACAGTTCTACATCAGCTTCATGAAGTCCTGAAACGAGAACCTGCACTACTCGCGACTTTCTTTCCTATTGCTCTGGGATTGGCTGTGGATCCGTCTGCCGACTTGCGCGTAGGTGTCTTGAGGTTAATCGAGGATACCACCTGTCGTATGACTGTACCGGATGAAGCTAGAATGCTTGGTAGGTTGAAGCTCCCCAAGTGGCGGGTGTCCAAGATGTATCTGTCCCCCATATTCCCATAGTCTCGAAGCTCTGTTGTTTCTGCCAAATTATCCAATCTTTAAATTAAGCCTTTTTCTACAGTTGCAGCACGTAGTGTAGAGGCTCTCACATTCCTTATGACCGACGAGAATCCCAATGTTATTAAAAGAATTGTGCGATGTGCCACCAGCATTTATCCATTCATATTTAAATGGATGTGAGTAATTGTCGAGTTTGAAAGGAGCAAGGAAGGAAGTAGAACTTATGAATGCATGCTGAACACACATTTGGTACGGAAACAAGGTGCAAGCTACCGGCAGATCAGGCGACATGGCAAGGAATTGCAGGGCTGAAAGTAAAGCTTTTTGCTCTGTTGGGGCATTCCAATGACGGTGTAAAGGAAGGTGTCGTGCGATTTCTACATAAGCTCATCATGGTGCAGTCTCCGAAAGATGCGTCCGTGGTAAGTATCCCTCTTCAGTCCGCCCCTGAATCCTCCATTGGCTGAGATTTCGAAAATACCTCATCATATGTCAGGTCGCCATAGGGACCGACAGTGTGTCCATCGATCTGTGTCCACCACAACACCCATTTATAAACATTCAGGAACTGAATGCCGAAGCTGTCGGCTTGTTCAATAGAATGCAAAGTTTCATTTCTATACCTGGCGTGTAAGTCTCCTGTTTCTCGTTAAATGCTGTGTCCATTGTGGGTGGCCTGGCCTATCTGGGCTTACATGATGTCTATTTATGACCGAAAATATCGAAATTATCATTGGGCCACTTCACAACCTGGTGTTCATTTGTTCTGACACGGGCCCTCTCTCGATTTAGCTCGGCTGGACCCATCACCGCGAACCTTAACTGTATGCTTGGATTAACAAGAGCTCGGCCGCAGTACCTACAGCCAGTCATCACCACGCTTGTGCAGTGGGTGAACACTCCGTCCACTACGCTCACCTTGGTACAGAGAAGAAGTGTCGAACGTACTATTAAGATCGTCCTCATGTCTGCTCTAAGGTCGGCAGAATATATTGCTCGTTAGAAGTCTGGTTAGCAGATATCTTTGCTCACATTATCCTTTTAGATCACCTGCCGCCGCTCCGTATGCCAATATCTTGACAGATGCCCTGGTGAAACTTGGCACGAAAAGTCACGAAATTCAGCAAGCAAGACGACGTGAACTAAAGCGATCAGCTCCACCATCAACGCCAGAGGTGTTGTTCGACCCAAAACGACAGCGCACCAGCGGTGTACCGCAGCCAAGCACGCAACTTGATGCCACCTGGAATACCACAAATGAAGCATTCCCGCAAGATGAAGCTCTGCAATTGGCCACGCAGATGTTGAATACCATAAACGCCAATTCATTGTCGCCAAACATCATTGCTGAGCTTGTGGTCCAAACACTTGCTTCCTGTACGACGCCTCGATGGGAACAGGGTGTTATGGTACGTGCCCGTGAGATCAGTTTGACTTACTCTTCCTGCTCACCTTACCGAATGTTTATTTTACAGAGATTTAAGCAAGTCAGCGGATTGGTGTCTCAAGCTTCCGTACAACCTCCGGTAGCTGCCCCAAGCCGAGATCCACGGAGAGATCCCCGAATGATGGATTCTCAGCAATGTTTGGAATCGACACCCTCAACGTTATCCGAAAATGAAAACGGAGCAAGTACCGAGACCTCACTTGCAAAGGACGAAGAGCTGCCGTTGAAGTCGGATTTTCCCGGAGACTCTTCTCTGTCAGGAAGAGGGGAGGACGAAAACCTTGCAAAGTTACGCGCAGGGTCACCTAGCCAAATGAATGTCTTGCCTAGTGACCAGTCCGAGGATCACGATCACTTGTCAGATTTAGCAGCTTTCGAAAGCTCTGCTCGGGCAATAGTCCTTGATTTATCAAATGCTGAGCTACCTGAACTCAGCGCGGATGAACGGAGACGACTGGCAAATGACGCAGTGAAGCGCATCTTAAGTCTTGAACCGACGTTTTCATCGCAAGTTGCGATATCAACAGTCTCTGGCGCGCCCGGTGCACAGTCCTCAGGACAGTCGTCAGCCGGGCCTTTTAGTCTATCTGCTGCCAAGACTGGATGGATGCTGGTACTTTGTCGATTAACAACGGCGCTCTCTGATGGACACCCAGTGGCTAATGAGTCTGAGGAAACCAATACTGCGAGCGGACGGGTATCGGATGAGATGAAGGGTATTATCATGGAAAGCTTGCTGGAAGACTTCCGGGGAAGGTCCGTATGTTCTGTTGATTCGATGCTATGAGTTGTCCTACAATTTGCTTTTGTTCCAGGCTTGAGCTCGCCGTAATATGGCTTCATCACCTCTGGTTAGAAGATGAACATCGAACACGGGCACAGAACGCAGAACCCTTGGATGCTTCATCGAAACAGTATCCGATCTGGTTTCATCGAATCCTTGACAAAATCAGCACCACACTTGACCCGAAGGACAAAACTTTTGCCAAGTTTCTGATTGATGTTCCGGAAGTGACTGAAGAGGCCATCCACCGTGTGGTGAAAGGATATTGTGATGATCACGAAAGGTATGAAGGACATTGTTTTTGACGAGACGATACCGATTTTGATGTCACCCAATAGGATGCCATTGGGTCTTTTCACACTTCAAGGTCTAATAAATCACCGCCCGGCTGTAAGAGCGGAATGCTTACAACTTCTTTTAGAATATGCACTCCATCCCAGTACGTGGTCAAGTTGTGTTCGGTGATATGACGATTCACTGACTCGTTCACATTCCTGGTACAGCGAGATTGACCCGTTCCACAGCTATTGTAATGTGTAAACGATTCTTTACTGACCATCGCACGATCGGCCCAAAAGTTGAGGAATTTGCGCTGGAAGCCATTCGAGCTCTTTTGGGTCCACCTCAAGTTGGCATTGTGCATACAGAATCAACTGAAAGTGATGCCAATGGTGTTGAAGAAGACAAAGGCGGTGAAGATGATGATATGGACGTTAAAGAAGAGAAGGATGGGGTTCAGGATGCCGAAAGGCGTACATCGAATGGAGATATCACCCCAGATGATTGGAAAGAAGACGATGTTGTTAGACGACTAGAGCTCTATTTTGCACTTTGCAGCAAAAAGCATGAGCTGCTGCTGGAGTTGTTTAAGCTGTACAAGGACTTCCACATCTCTGTCCAGCGTGCAGTGCGAAAAAATATCCCGCCGCTTATCAAAGCACTTTCTGCACAACCAGCGCGTTTGCTACCCATCATTAACGCATTCCCAGAAGGGTCCGACTGGCTCGTTTTACGAATGGTGACTACCATGACCGAAAAACATCCGCCTTCACCTCAACTCGTCACTGCAGTTTGGAATGTCTTTGCTCAAAAGAATCTGGATGCACGATTCCTTATACCCATATTGTCAGGACTTGGGAGGGTATGCATTTCTTTGTCCTTTTTTGCATTATTTTTCTCATATTTGTTCCCCCTATGCTCTAGCCCAAAATTTTGCTATATCTGCCTCGGATAGTACAGCTTCTCGACGGAAGTGAAAAACAACGGGCTTTGGTAAAGGACGCTTTCTTGCGGCTTGTCGATAGTCCAAGCCTGCAAAATGCTGCCGCTGCATCAGCAGGAACAGGTGCAGGCCCAGCGGTAAGTACAAATGGCGGCGACCGAGCGGCTCAACCAGGTGGAGGGGGCGCAGGGCCACCTCTCACACCTTCCGAGTTGCTTGTTGCTTTACATAACATGGAGGAAACCGTGGGACTCAAAAGGGCGGTCGAAGGTGCGTGACCCCTAAATTTGCAACACCAATCCATAGCCCGTGCGCTGTCGAGTAGGCTTGGATTTAATATCTTTCTTCATTAGCCACTACCATCTGCTTCACATGCCAGAACGTCTTCAAGGGAGAGGTGCTTGCAGTTGTGTTGCAGCAACTGGTGGACCAGTCGAAGCTTCCCACGCTCTTCATGCGCACTGTTATACAAAGCGTCAATCAGTATCCTGCACTAGTGAATTTTGTCACTAGTATCCTTTTGAAACTGATCAACAAGAAAGTGTGGAGTGCTCCGAAGCTGTGGGAGGGATTTATACGTTGCTGTACGGTGAGTACTGGCTTTTTGCATTTGTTTGTTTGGAAAATGGTGAGAATCCCGGCGCCCTTGAACGAGCTGGTGCCACGGGGGACAGGTACTGTGGGCGGAGAGGTTGTTTCCTATCAAATGTATGCAGTCAGAATACATCATGAACGCCAAAGCAATGCTTGGTTGGTTCAAATTCATTGCAAATGGATCCTATTGTTGAGACGAAGTTTGGCCTGGAGGACATTGTGGTGACACAAACTCACGTGGCTATAGCTTGAATCACGTGGGTATATGGATTAGCCACTCATGTTTTCCTTCCTACTTTTGTGGTAGATTATCTTTCCGGCATCCATCCAAGTACTACAAAGCCTACCACGACCGCATGTAGCAGATGCCTTGAAACGATCTCCAAAATTGAAAGCAGCATTGCAAGCTCATATTGCGCAATTAGAGCCAGAACAAAAGGCGAGGAGGGAAATACAGATATTTGTGTCGCTGGTAGAGAGTGGGGCACCAGATGAGATGGAGCAAGTGGGCACAGAGCATGAACCTAAACAAGAAGTGGTGGAGGTAAAAGAGGAGGGGAATGATGAGAAACGATGACATTGACGCAAGGGACTCCGCTTTGCATGTACATTTTAAACGCAAGAGCATACTGTAGCGTCAGTAAATAATATTCGCTGTCAACCTTTCTGAATATAGGAATAATCTGAGTATAGATGAGACCATCCACAGGAACGGCATGCTATTGGAAAATGGACATCAAGGACAGTCCATGGTGTATCCTAGATTTCATTTACCCTAATTTGAGACTAATGTGGCACAGCAGGTTGAGATCTGCAAGAGAGAAGGACTTGGGTGGGTTGGCCTTTGCTTTGACAGTGAGATTTAACTGGACTCCGGGCTTCTGTGCATTTCGTCCGGCGTATCTTGAGAACGTTGTCGGCGACTGTTGTTCCAGCTAGAATTGTCGTGGGTGACGCCGTCACACTGGTACCGAAAGTTCAACCTTCATTCTTGACAGAAATGGAGACGCACGAGGCGATACTGATAAAACAAGGAGCCGAAGCGGTGCGTTCATTCTACGATTCACTCTAGAAACGAGAGGAAGTGCTGATTATATGTCCCATTAGAGGGTGTACAAGATGCCGTTTGGCGAGGGACGATGCGCGATCGTCAAGGAGCGATTCAAAAAAGCGTATAGGCATCCTGTTCTCGATGAAAAGTTGACGGCTCGCCGAGTGATACAGGTGAAGAGGGATGACTAAAGTGACCGTAGCCAACCGTATATTCATCTGAGATGAATGTAGGAAGCCCGATGCCTGCAACGGCTGCGAAGAGCCGGTGTAGATACCCCGACGGTGTACATGGTCGATACCCCAAATAGCCTCATATATATGGAGTACGTAGACGGTTCAAGTGTCCGGGATTACATAAATAGTAGAGCACCGATGAACGATGATGATGGTAAGGCAGAGACGGTTGGCGTTCTTGACGGAGAATTAGGGCTAAGGTCAATTGGTCACAGAGCGACTGCTTGCGCAAAGCATTGGAAAAAGCCTGGCAGTCATGCATGACCTGGACATTGTTCACGGGGACTTGACAACTTCTAACATGATAGTGCGAGAAGGTTCCCAGTCATTGGTAAGACCAGTTTGATATACGTTCTTCATTGGGATGCAGTTGACCAACTTGGTCCTTGTAGGTGTTAATTGACTTTGGCCTGAGCATGGTGTCATCAATGGTGGAGGACAAGGCTGTAGATTTGTACGTATTGGAAAGAGCAATGATTAGCACACACCCGGATACAGAAGGAATGGTGAGTTTATTCAATAGCGTTTTTGGCTCTCGACATGCAATTTATCGTAATTTACCTGTACTGCATTAGTTCCAATGTATTTTGGACACATATGGCAAGTCCTCAAAAGGTGGCAAGGCCGTGAGAAAAAAACTGGAAGAAGGTATGGGCCTTTGCAATTGGGTGAAAACTCCTCAAATCTCTGATTGGAACTGCCTACGCGTGATCTAGTACGAAGAAGAGGACGCAAACGAACCGCTTTCGGATAGATGTTGTCCACATCCAACCTAGGTTACTATCAACAGCTGGCTACAATGGCAGTCTATTAGATCGTCTTTTTTTTTTTTCTTTGCCTCGGGACCATATCCGAAAATTGCAACACAATGCATATGGTTTTGTAGCAATGAGACGCCAAACGCGAGTAACTCATCATACCATCATGATTGTATTTCATCGGAACGTTCTTTTCATAACACAAAATGCCCCGAATGAAAAAAATAAAATATAAACGACCAGTCATATTTCAATCTCGCAGTTTTCAAGTCACTTCTAGTCATCTAACTGGCACAATCACCATGCCATTAGCCCACATGGCTTCTTACCATAAAAGGAAAGTGTGTGGAAGCTCAAAGAAGCAATACCTGCGCCACATGCAAAAAAAAGCGCAGTCGCCCTCGCCTATAAAAGAGCGCGTTTCCCCATCCCCCCCGCTTCTTCTTTATCCTTGCACAGGGGCAATACCTTCAGCAGTGAAGTCTCGACTGAGCTAAGGTTATTGACTAATTGAAAACTTACCAATTACCCGTGGTGGGGCCACTGGCCACACCCAATTTTTGGCACCCTCTCACTATGAGAATTTATATTTAAAGGAAGAAATTCGTATTGGAAGTTCTTAATGTCCATGGCATATGGGAAATAATATTGGATGGGATATGGCTGCATTGGAATCAGCGGCAGGTCGGATCCAGTGGCATAGCACGTGATACGCAAGCTTCCAGAATGCGCAGTAGTTGCAAGTGGTTCCGCTTGACGGCCACTCCACACCAGACTCTGTGCTCAACGAAAAGCATCCTCTTCTTTTCATCCTGCAGGTAATTGCGTTTCCGCAAAAGACTTGTAAAACTCTTAATAGGCCACGCTTGGCTCACACTTTCTTGTCAGCGCGCATCTACCTAAACCATGAACGGCAACGGAAATCACAGCCAAGAGGTATATAGTTGAACTCGACTTTGCAGGAAAGCTTTAGACGTTGCATTGACTTTTGATGGCTATCTGTCGCATCTCTCACCTGTCTCTAGCGCTATCTTATCTTTGGTGCGAACGGATGGATCGCAGGATTGTTGAAGGAGCTGTTGGAGAAGCAAGGCAAGGAGGTGAAGGGCACCCTTGTCAGACTGGAAGAGAGAGAGGCGGTCTGCAAGTGAGTTGGTGTGCAGCAAAGGGCCAAGAGAATGCTTGGGCGCTGACAATGTAATGTCCTGTGATTCGCAGAGAACTGGACGCCTACAAGCCAACGCGCGTCTTCAACTGCGCGGGAGTAACAGGTCGACCAAACGTCGATTGGTGCGAAGACAATAAGCAGGCCACTATTCGTAGCAATGTGATTGGAACGCTCAATCTCGCGGATTGCTGTTTCCTGAGAGGAATCCACATGACAAACTTTGCGACCGGTGAGAAAAAGCGACACGTTTGGGTCAGATGTTCGTTATCTTGACCCTCTCTACCTTAGGATGTATTTACACCTACGATGAAAAGCACAAGGAACACGGTGTCGGATACACCGAAGAAGACGAACCCAACTTTGCTGGATCTTACTACAGCTTCACCAAGGCTATGGTGGAGAAGGTAAGGAATGATCTTTCTATAGTGTTACGCGAGCTGTTCTGACGCTATTTATCGGCTTTTCAGATGATCAAGGCCTACGATAATGTCTTGACACTTCGGCTTCGTATGCCCGTATCAGATGACCTGAATCCTAGAAACTTTGTCACCAAGATTACAAAGTAAGTTATTCCCATGGTCACATACCTTTGGTATACTTCCTAAGGACTCATCAATGTCAATGAATAGGTACGAGCGAGTAGTGGACGTTCCCAACTCCAACACTATCCTCCACGATCTCCTTCCCGCGTCGATTGTAATGGCGGAAAATAAATTGACCGGTGTCTTCAACTTCACGAACCCAGGTGCCATTTCGCACAACGAAGTGCTTGCGCTCTACAAGAAGCATGTAGACCCCAACTTCACGTGGAAGAATTTCACAGTGGAAGAGCAGAGCAAGATCCTCAAGGCGGGCAGAAGTAACTGCGAATTGGACACAACCAAGTTGACAACTACGTTGGCAAAGTTTGGTATTACGGTTCCTGAGATTCACGAAGCGTACGATGCATGCTTCCAGCGCATGGCGGCGAACTTGAAAGCTGCTAAATAGTTTGATAAGGCGTGCTGCAAAGGATGAGTAGGGTTATGTCAAGTAGACGAAACCAGGGATCCTGCAATGTTATTTTCGTAGATAGGAACGCTCTTAACTTTGTACTTGTTTCTTAATGAAAGAGTGAGGACGCATCAGCAGATTCAATGGACGAAAATTGATACAAATGTTCTACCAACTCCCTACTCTAGCCTAGAATCCCTTGTTTGCTAGCATAGTAGCAATTTCAAGATACAACTCAATGGCGTTGAATTTGCTCTCTTCGATCTGATCCTTTAGTTCTTCCTTCTTCGCTTGAGTGTGCTCTACCAGATCTTTTCCAATCTCTTTGGCTTTCTTCTGGAGTTGAGTATGTGCCTTTCGCACGTCCTGACCTTTGACCTCTGTGCCTTGCTTTAGAGCCTCTTCAACCTTCTCGACGGCATCCAAATTCTTTACCACCGTTTCCCATCTCCAAGTATTCAGCAGATTAATCAAATCAATGTGGTCCGCTTTCAATGTTTTAATGTACTCTCCCCATTGCGCGGACTTTACACTCACCAAACCGTCATTGATGCCCTCTACTGCCATGAGGTATTCGAATGTGAATCTAAGAGGATAAACGAATGGCTTTTGGTAAATGCTTTCCGTTCCGTCGGCTCCGTAAGAAAAGTAGGCAACGCTGGGATCATTAGGTGTGGCAGGGTTGAACGTGTTGTTGACATACGAAGGTGTAAGATCTATGAAAGCGCGAATGTCGAGACTCGTGGATCGGTATAACGTTGATATCAGAGGTTCGAGGAGACTAGATATGAATGGGAGTGAAGCAATGGACGACCCATGGTGAGGTGTGCCTATTGTAGTCAGCGACTTGCGGCACCACACTATCATAAGTCCATATTCTTTAATGCACGGAAGAGACGGTGTTCATCCTTACGCTGACGTTAAACTTGGGCCGGGAGTGGTCCGCCTTGAGGAGCTGGCTAATCATATATCGACAATCCAGTCCGCCCTGCAGGTAACGCCGTAATGAGACGTTCGCTCCCAGTTTTGTCTTACAACCCACACCTGAAACGCACCATGGAGTGGGCAACTAAATTCACAGTGTTCCCTTCCGGCACTTTCGCTTCCAACACCTCTTTCAAGACTCTCGCTCTGACGCTGACATCTGCAGCTCTCGGTACCCGTGTTATTAACACATCACATCCAATCGTTGACAACGCCTCCTTTATTCCGCGCCAGTAGTGAAGACGAAGGAATGTCGGGCCTAGACTGGCAAAGGGTTAATATTTCGAACGCTTGGTGTCGAACAGGAGGAGTCGCGACTTACCCATCATGTCAAAGCCAAGTAGACCTGAAATGCAAAGAACAATTTAACATGGAATGTGTCGAGCATGATCGGCTGCCACCATACATGCCATGACATAGAACTATTGTATTTCTGGGCGCTTTGTACTTGTGCCAGGGGACGACCTTCTGCCGTGGATCGTCATGGACGTCTTTGCAAACTCTTGCCGATGCATGGAGATAACAGATATGGTGCCCAAAAGGAGCCTTCTTGGGATATCCACTAACTTGAAGCAGGCGAAAGGACGCCATTTCTTTGTGGGCGAGATGTGTGTGGGAAGCGATCTGTCGGTTTACTGTGACGTCGCATGATCAGGTAATCAAAACGATCGCGTCTCAGTTTTCGTTTACCATCTTCTTTTACACAACTGTAGGCTGAAGCGACTCTATAACGGGGCTTTGTGTGAATCGACCTGTCGGTTAGGTTAATTGACGTGGACGACAGGGTCACCTTGCCCGATGTGCCATCGACCTATATCTATTCCATCATGCGGACAAATGTGTCTCACAAGCAAGGGTTTGAATGCTCTCCCTTCCCCAACATTCACATCAAGATATAGAGCTTTGACAACCAGATTTCTTTGAAGCCCGTTTGCCAGGATTTCACCGTTTCATTACTTGTGTTGTTCTTGTACACGGGTCAAGTAGCGAGGATCGATCCAACTCAAACTGCTCACAAAGCAGCGATTAGGCTAACACACAAATAGTATCGATTGTTTTGCTAGGTAATACGACCAAGTTTTGGACGTGCCCATCATTCCTTGTCCTATTAGTCCTGGTAGCATCACCTAATGTTTGTACCTTACTACAGTAGCGCAGGCGGGGCAGGTCCAAAGCCAATATCACCTAGCATTTCAGACTCACTACGCTGCAGAGTACAGAACATGGCTAAATTGACCCACTTCATTCATCTGCGAGGAATTCTACATAAGGCCTATGTAGCCGTCAAATGAAAAGACCTCTTGGCTCTTTCTATTTGTACTGTATTTGTAACAATGATAGATAAGTAAATGTTGGAGAATGCTTACATGTGTGGTTTACAACTCGTCTACCGCCTGTGCCACACCACTTGTCTCAAAAGCCTTAACCAGCGCCCGGTGCCTCGCCTCGACGGGCACTACACCCAGTTCTGAAGCCTCCCTCGCCAGCTTTGTCACAAGCTCCTTATCCACTTCATTGCCCTCTTCTAATACTCCCAACCCTTTGAAGAGAGCGTCAAATGTTGCAGCATCTGGCTTCAAACCGTTTTCCTTCAACGTGTCATATACATTTAACGCTCCTTTCTGATCCCCCTTGATTGCGAATGCATTGATCAAAGCCGTATGTGCGCCTGTCTGGGGTTTGTGTCCAGTCGCTTGCATCGCCTCCAACGCCTTTTCCGCCCCTGCCACATCGCCGTTCAGAGCATGCGCTGCAATGGCAAATACATGGGCACCTGTTGACGTCGCAAAAGGTAAATCTTTTCCGTGAAGGTTATATAGCGCTAATGCCGTGGCGGGCTGGGGATGTTCAACTCTGTGTACTAGAGTCTCCATCAATCTGGCAATAAGGGGCGGTTGGGCGGATGCACGGATATCAGCCAGTTTCAACATATCGCAGATATATGCAGGTGCGTTGCCCACAAGGTCAGATGCAAGGGGGACGAGGACGTTGGGTGACACATATGTGGCATGTCTTCGCAAGAGCTCTCCGAGCTTACGCCATCCCAAATCTGCCTGCCCGTTCGTTGTATAAGCCTCAATGAGCGCGCCGTACATGGCAAAAGTAGGGGTGAAATTTTCGACGAGTTCCTTTTTGTAAAAGAATTTGCTTGCGCCAGCAACATCTTTTGCTTTTCCATGCACTTGAATCAGATAGGTGTACGTTTCCGGTGAGGCCTCAACACCTGCCTCTCGCATTTTGCGATAGAACGCAACGGCGTCGCCAACATTGCCCTTGACAGCGTGAGCACGGATCATAGCAGTGTATGCTGCGGTTCCCTTTCTGAGGTTGCGTTTCTCGATCTCGTTAAAGTACTTGGTGGCAGACGATATACGTCCTCGCTTGGCGAATGCATCAATCAGACAACTGATCACCCGTTCTGTTGGTGGAATCTCGGCAGCGAGCATTCTCTCGTACGTAGCCACAGCTTCGACGGGGGTACCATAGTGTGCTTGTCCTCGAATCACAGATGCAAAATTCTCAGGCGATGGTTTCATGCCCTTCTCAGTCATACGGTGAAGAAGGCGGGCAGCTGCCTCCGGTCGCTCCCGCAGCGCAAGAACGTCAACAAGTGCATCGTAAATCTTACGTACATCTTCTCCAAGATCCGCGGCCAAGGCTGTTCTTGCGTATCGAACAGCTGCCGACACATCCCCTTTGAGCCCAAGAACCTTCACCATTGCCGCCTCGGTCTCAGCCGTGATCGCCACTCCTGCCTTTGTTAGCTCCGTGTGAATCTCATACGCCTTTTCTACACCGCGATATCTTTGAAACTTGGTGGTGTGTATGCCGATAGTGCGGATCAGACCAGCAAAGTCTTGGGGTTGAAGCTCACGCAGAACTCCGCGCTCACGGCAGGCCTCATAGGCATTGACCACCGCGTACGTTCTCTGAAGAGCAATTGCGTTTTGCAGCACTATGACAGGGTTGGCTTCGGTGTTTTTGAGATCAGTGGGCTGTGCAACGGTGCTCGTCTCCTTTGGTCGTCGAGCACGGACGACACGACGGACGGAGGTGGTAACAGGGCGGGCATGGAGGGAGTGAGGGCGACTTTCAGAGATTGTAGCTAGGACTGAGAATGCTGGTCGTGCTCTAATGAGCAGCAGGCCTCGCTGGGCGGACCGTAGGAAAGACATGAATGGTTTTCAGGGACTGGGAGAGATCACCAGCAAGCTCAACTGTTGACTGGCCTAGCAACGACTTGGTCGTTGTCAAGGAAGCTTCCAGATGGCACAGTCATATAATTGGCATCATGCGTGAGGTTGAACATCAAGTGAACGAAGTCTCGGTCGATATACTCCCGGAAGAAAGAATGCATTGGAGAGGTTGAACCTTGGAGTTTATGAATGTCTTGACGAAGAGATGGCGGATGACACCTTGACGCCTGCTCGGGGGCGAATCACAGAATGCAGCTTCCTGATTGAGTATTTTACGTGTATTCAACTTCTAAAAGGTTGAAGGGACTACGAGGGTTCCGGCCATTAGATGACAATCGATGCATCAGAACGGCCTCGGGCTCCAACGACAATCTCTACTTCCCTCCATCTGTAATCAGTAGTGACGTTGCGCAAGCGAATGCGATGCTGGTATGACTCATTGCACGTGATGATGCAAATTCCTGGCCGAACATAATGGGTTTAATCCCAAGATCATTTGCGGCGACGGCTTCTTCGTCATGGCATCGAAAGATAAAGAGCCCATTCGGAATACGGATGCCCCTCCGCGCTCCGTCGTGGTCGGGTTCGATGCCCCCTCACCATCGCGATCTGTACGTAGAGTTCTGCGGTTATATCTGGCTGGAGTTTGTTGGGAGTTTTAATATCGCTTTACAGGTCGAGCCCTCACGGAGACCGTCAAAGGCAGATGCTGCAGGAATAGGCAAACCAAGGTTAGCGCGCAGACTGAACTGAGGAGCGAGCTTATCACCTTAGTAATACCTGCATTATTAAGTCGGACATCCTCTGCCAATGACGCTGAACTGTCTGCGGAGCTGGCGAAAAAAGGGGGAGAAGGGAGCCAAAACCCAGCGAAAAAGTCACAGAAGGAAATGACGAAAGCTGAGAGGAGGGAGTTGCAGGTGTGTCTTGCGCTGATTAAGACATGGGACGTTGCTCTTGTGCAGACGACATGGATTATTTGTTGTAGGAACGTCAAAGAGCGGAAAAGAAAGCGCGGGAGGCGGCTGGTATACCGAAACGACTGCCGAAACCGAAACAAGGCGGTGGAACGCCTGGTCAGACAGCAGCAGCAGGGTTTGCTGCACATAACGCACAGAATTCGCAGCCCGATATGAAGCAGCCATCCCCAAATGCAGCAGTATTACGAGTTGCTTCATCTATGCGGCTTGATGATCCCCGCAAACGTTCAAAAGCCCAAAAGCAGCAACCTGTAAACCGTCAGATTGCGCGCAAGCCTGTTGGTCTGTTCTCCCATCTTCCACAATACGAAAAGCATGATAACATGCAAGCACGATTGAAGAAGCAGGAAAATATCCACCCTGCGGTTTTAACATTAGGATTAAGATTTGCAGAATTTGTAATTGCAGGCGGGAATGCACGATGCATGGCCATGCTCCAGGCTTTTAAAAAGGTATTATCATACTGGTTTGCATCTATATCTCCTCATGGCAATATTAATCCCTGTGAAGGTCATATCTGATTATGTGACTCCTGTTGGAATGTCTCTTCCACGACACCTACCCTCTGTTATTAGCAAGCAAGTTGATTTCCTCAGCAACACACGTGTACTGGCAGCCAGTATGAAAACCGCCATCAGGGAACTGAAGAAGGAAATCTCGATATCATCCCCAGACACGCCTGATGAAGATGTAATGGCTCTATACTGCATACGAAAGAGCGATGGTCTGACACTTTGCGGTTTCTAGGCCAAGACGTATTTGATTGGTAAAATCGATGAGTTCATCGTGGAAAGGATCATTACGGCAGGACGGGCGATCGCAGAAGAGGCTTTAGAGCAAAAGAAAAGCATCAAAGACGGGGATGTCATTTTGACATTCGGAAGGCAAGTGGTCCATTTGATAGAGTGTTGATATGAAACGCAGGAGCTACAATCTTACATGGATATCCACATTAGATCATCAGTGGTCCTGCAACTTCTGTTGGCTGCCCATGCCAGAGGAATTAATTTCAAGGTCATCGTTGCCGACGGACGGCCAAAGTTGGAAGGTTTGTTCATGGTCATTCCAGATGCGGTTTTGTCTGTCTTCTGATTATCCCCAATTACTTGCTACTAGGAAAAGAAATATTAAAGTCGTTGGTTCACGCCGGAATTAGCTGTGCATACGTCTTCTGCACAGCGGTTCCCCTATTAATGAAGGAGGTCGGTCAAAGAATTGGGATGATGAAGCCATCCTCTACGCTTGTCATCTGATCTCATGTTGGTTCAGGTGACGAAAGTCATAATCGGTGCTAGTGCGGTGCTCGCAAACGGGGCAGTTCTTTCACGGGTTGGGACGTCTGTGGTCTGCAATGCAGCCAAAGAACTGCAGGTTCCCGTCATTGTATTGTGTGAGAGTTACAAGTTCTCAGAAGAAGTGCGACTTGATTCCTTTACCTGGAATGAAATTGGTCTGTTACCTAGTTGTCTCTTGGTCCCTTCTTCTGTTGACTTAGATTTCCTACTACAGGTAACCCAGATGAACTGGTAGACGTTTCGAACCGAGCACCATCAGAACACGCCTTCAACGCATCTACAGGTGGCTTTCAATCCGATGAAGCAGGTGTCATCGGTTGCTGGCGATCCGTGGATAAGCTTAAACTCTTGAATCTCCACTACGATGTGACACCTGCACATTTTGTCACTGCCTTGATATGCGAACATGGAACTGTGCCAAGTACTTGTGCATTGACGATTGCCCGGCTTGCGGCCGAGAAGAGCGCATAAAAGAGTTATTGTTTTGCATGTACATGAGAGGGATGGGAGTGATTGGTCGGTTTTTTTGCACAGTGCCTAGGCAGGCGTTACAATACATAAACACTACACCACTAGACCATCATTCCATCCGCTGCACATTATGTCTATCTTGAATCGAGCAATGATTTATTATTATGTGAGCTCCGGAGTCGTAAGGCGGACTACCACAAGTAGGGTTTCGACCTGATAATGGCAGCCCAAGGGCCTTATAAACTCCGTAAGAGAGCTGGCGTTCTCGATACTGGAAAGACAGATGCGAGCAGGTTTATTACCGTTGAACACCCGCTAAAAAGTTGATAGCTACAAGTAACTTGTATGCCAGTGAAGGCAGTAGCGCTCCGCCATAGGCATTTACTGCATAGTCTGAGATGATGACATAGGACGATGAGATTTAAAAGTCCAGGATGGGCAGCTTGTCTATCGACCAAATAATAAGTGCTCATTGCCATGAAGCGAGAAAATAGAATAATGGGTAAAGGCTGCACCATTTATTGAAAATATATAGGGACTCAGTACACCTCACCAAACCCTGTTGGATCTTTTCTTTCCTGCACGCTGTACCTAATATCGTCTGTCTAAGCACGCATACAAAGTAACACATCGACCTTGTCTCTCAGTCATTGATTTGGTTGCATTACGTCCCAACCGATGTCCCATGATAAACAAAATGCAACTCTCTCCCATAGGTTGGTTCTGCGTGAACCACAGTACCGCACCTCAAGGTACCACAGATGCCCAGGACAATATTAAACCCTCCCATGGAAATCATATGCTGGATGCCCAAGGTACTGCAAGATAATATCAAACATTCCCGTGGAAACGTACATCCTGGCATCCATGGGAGGGCAAGACAATATCAATGCATGAGCTCACATAATCTCAGCCAAGGGTCGGTTGCTCGCTGTGACCCAAGGCACTGCAAGACAATATCAAACATGCCCATGGAAACGTACGTCGTGGCATCCATGGGAGGGCAAGACAATATCAACGCATAAACTCACATAATCTCAGCCAAGGGTCAGTTGCTCGCTTTGACCCAAGGCACTGCAAGACAATATCAAACCCGCCCGCCCGTGGAGCTCATGTAACCTCGGCAACCATGGGATGGCACGACAATATCAAAGCCTCCCATGGAACTCAGATACCCTCAGCTTGGGACACTTTTGCCCGGTGGGGACAGTTTCGCGTCAGCATTTGGGGAGGTCCTGCTCCGTGTCAAAACCGCTGTTTCTCGGCTACTGAGCGTTGTAATCCATGCGTTCCGCCTTTGAATGCACACGCTTGTTGGACAAGTGCCCTTCTCTCGCAATAGCTGTAGCAACGATTACCTTTTAAAAGGGCCTCGGTGGTTAAACCTCGGAAATAACGTCTGATATACCAGAGTATGTTTTCAGCAGTTCTCAACCCTACCAAACTCACGGGGGATTTTTGTGGCCTCGCTCACCCCCAAAAAAACGTCGGAGTTGAGCTGTCGCTTTCCCTCGAGAAATGCTTTGGAAAGGGCCCGAGGGGAAGGAAGAAGGAGGTTTCCAAATAGAGTCGCGTCATCATGTAATCAAAAGTCCGAGAACGTTCATTATTTTCCCACGTCCAATTCCTCGCTGTTTTCAACCATTTTTTGTTATATTTTTATTCTGACAGCAGTACAAAAGCCGTTCTGCTCGCTTTTAACCTTGTCCTGGTCGTCACTGTCGTCGTCGTCGTCGTCGTCGTCGTTGCCGTGCGGGTTCATATGTGCGACTGCGCTGTCCACGCGCGAGCGTTCTAAAGGCTGACGCGATGTCCCCTTCCATCTCTTTGCCCCCTGAGATCTTCTTCATAATGACAACGCCAATTATCCCCTGCACGTTTCTCTTTTTTCTCTTTGGACTTGCATGCCGCAATTTGAGTGACGTTTTTCCTTTTTTCCTTTCTGCTTCTGAGGTCTATAAAAAGGCAGCGCTTTTTCCTCCCCCCCCCCCCCCCACCGTACTCTCAGCTCATCGCACACTCGCTCTTCGAGATAGTCTTATCACGCCATCTGCCATCGCCCATTCTTATCAACTATATTCACCTCCCGGGTCCTCCCGGGTTGTCTACACTGTCTGCGCGCCGCTGCGCTTAACCAACACGACCTCAACGCGACTTGTCTACAGTGTCTGGCACTGGCAACTCGGCTCCCAGCCTGTGTCCCTCTCATCATCCAGTATCGACGCTCCAAGTCTTCCGCCTCATCCCTTCTCTGCGGCCTGGGATGCCTATTATCGCCATCCTCTTCCTTGTTGCTGGGCATCGACCTTTCTATCCCTGGCCCGCCAGTATCCATTCTCGACGCTCTAAGTCTTCCTCCTCATCCCTTCTCTGCGGCCTGGGATGCCTATTATCACCATCCTCTTCCTTGTTGCTGGGCATCGACCTTTCTATCCCTGGCCTGCCAGTATCCATTCGCGACGCTCTAAGTCTTCCTCCTCATCCCTTCTCTACGGCCGGAGATGTCTATTATCACCATCCTCTTCCTTGTTGCTGGGCATCGACCTTTCTATCCCTGGCCCGCCAGTATCCATTCTCTTCATCCTAGGAGGCTTCGCCACCGATCAAGATCATCGATTTTCCGTTCCCGACAGGTCTTCGGAAGGAACCATCGGCGTGTTCTCACCTTGAGTTTCCTCTTGCTGAGCATCGATCTTTCTATTCCAGGCCGGCCAGCATCCATTCTCTTCATCTTCGGAGGCTTTGGCACCGATCAAGATCATCGACTTTCTGCTTTCCGACAGGTCTTCGGAAGGAACCATCGGCGTGATTCTCACCTTGAGGTATGTCTTTGGATTCGACTACTTGCTCATACTCGTCACATTGTTCACAACATCCTGGACATCACAGTGATCCAGTCTCCGACCTTTCCCATCTCGACATCGACTGGTCTGGGGTATGACATTAAAACTACCCTCGGCGTGTGGCAGGGCGTCGTCAAAAAGAAGTGCGAAACCGCCGGCGGTTGGCACGTCGTCAAACAAGAAAAAGGCCCGGCGTGTGTGGGCGTCGTCAAAGAGAAGTGCGAAACCACCGGCGGTTGGCACGTCTTCAAACAAGAAAAAGGCCCGGCGTGTGTGGGCGTCGTCAAAGAGAAGTGCGAAACCACCGGCGGTTGGCACGTCGTCAAACAAGAAAAAGGCCCGGCGTGTGTGGGCGTCGTCAAAGAGAGGTGCGAAACCACCGGCGGTTGGCCCACGTCGTCAAACAAGAAAAAGGCCCGGCGCGGGTGGTTAGGGAGAACGTGTCGTCAAACAAGTAAAGGCAGGGTGGACTCCCAGTCGAGGTACGTTCAAATTTCGAGGTAATATCGCAAAAGGTTGTGAACATACTGTCATGAAGGGAAACAGCGTGTGGTGCGGGAGAACTCCATATCATTGCTGCGCTGAGCTTGCCGGATGTCAAGGATGTGGGACGGTTACAACTAACGGAAAAGTGACAAGATTGTTCTTCGGCTCTATTGGATTGTCTGCCCTGTGCCGTGGACGGCAGATGGTACGTGCTGTTTTTCGAACTTCTCAATTCTTCATATGATCTTGACCAAGTGAAGATCTCTACGTGCAGTGGCTGTGGACATGACGTTTCGGTTCGCGTTAAGGCATATCCATTTCATGAGTATTGAAGGGAATGTCGATATGCGCTTTTCATTCCCTGGGTTTTCGCTAATCACTGGCTCTGCCAAGGAGGGTTTTTCGACAGCATCGCATCTTCCCTCTAAGTAGCGTTAAAAACGCAGAAGTCGCTCGTTGCGTTTTTTCCGTCAATCTATTTCTTAGTCACCTTTTTGTGCGGCTGAGCATCTAGAGTACAGCGAAAGTTGCCCGTGCTGATGGCGATTAATTACTCGCTGCTCTGTCCTTTTTGGAGTCCGGAACAAGATGTAAGAGATGCCTCGACAATCTGAAAATACACTGACACGGAATCAAATAAAGGACCTGATGGCAGCGACAGAAGACGCTGACGGCCGTGTGTCTGCACCCAGACGACGGGCCCCATCAACCCACCAACGTCGTCCCGTTCTTGAACAGACATCTCACTTTCTCGGGTGCTCATGGAATAGGACGTACAGTTCAGGCGGCCACTCTACTTTCTGGGGGCCAAACCAATGAACAGTGAAACACGTCAAATATCATGTAGGTGCCAGCGGGATTTCTATCTAATGGTCGTTACAGATACTGCTATAAGAATCATCGTAGCGCCTAGATAAAGCAGGGACGTTTTTTGCTAACCCGAATATTTTTTGTCGGCAGCGTGAGGAGGGGCATCGTTAATTGAACTTGATAACATTTTGTCGCCTCTTCAACTGAATTAATTCGTCAATCATGAAGAGCAAAGTCGCAGTCTTTGTATTCGCTGACTTGCAGTCGATCAATATTTTCTAGGGACATCCTGACAAACGGTACGTAGAGTCTGGGACGTCTCTTGGCGGGTCTCTTTGACACGTCGATCAGAAGTGAGAGTAACGCGAAACGCGTGTGGACATGACTGGTAGTGTATGTCCGATGATGTCGGACAAACCAATATCTGCGCCGCTCGTCGGCAACTGACGGCGGTTGTAAACGAAATGCACGGCAGTGAGCGTGGGCATGTTTTGGTTGCCACCCGTGAAGGAGGCCGCCTGCTACGCCGTGCGAGGGAAAAATGCTTCCATCTTTCCCCCTCGCAGGTTATTAATGTGTTAAAACCACTTGTAATGTTCCACTGTAATGGGATCGATCCAATATTCAATCGTATGAGGTTGCCTGATTGATACGAGTCCAGCTATTTTACTTTGCATACCACCATGGATATCGACCCCAGCATCACCTTTGCGGATGCTTCAGGTCCCCAGGTTGCGATTCGGGAGATAACAAAGACCACAGTTAGCTTTGTTTTAAGCAATACGGAATTAGCTCTTGCCAATGCTTTGCGACGGGTAATGATCGCTGAGGTGCCTACAATGGCAATCGATTTGGTCGAGATCGAGGCGAATACGGTACGTTGATGAGGGCATAATTACTAGGTGGAGTTGTTCAGCGCTGGAGGGGAGAAACAGAGCTGTTCTTCTGGAGGAGCTTGGTCGCGCCAATGCATTTGCATCCAGTCTGGCTAACCAGTAAAATATCCCACCGTAGACGGTCCTCTCAGATGAGTTCATTGCTCACCGATTAGGCTTGATACCGCTTGTCTCTACGGACGTCAAGCGTATAAATTACACCCGCGACTGCTCCTGCACTCAGTACTGCGATAGATGTTCTGTCGAATTCAAACTCAATGTATCCTGCCAGAACGATCCGACCCGCGAGGTTCATTCCCGCGATCTTATCTCAAGTCATCCCACCATTGTACCGTACCTGGAAACACCTGATGACAAGGGTGTATTGCTGGTGAAACTTAAGAGGGGGGAGGATTTACGAATACGCTGTATAGCGAAGAAGGGAACAGCGAAGGAACATGCAAAGTGGGCACCCTGCACGGGTATTGCTTTCGAGTATGATCCGCATAACAAATTGCGGCATACAACGTATTGGTATGAGGAGGATATGAAGGGAGAATGGCCAAAGAGTGCACATGCGGATGAGGAGCCAGAACCCAAAGACGGTGAACCATTTGATTACAAAGCGAAACCGGATAGGTTTTATTTCACAGTAGAGTCTACGGGAGCATTGGAGCCAAGAGATATTGTGGTGGGAGCGCTGGATGTCTTGCGATCGAAACTGGCGCAGCTGCAGCTTGCGCTGCAAAGTATAGCAAATGAGCAAGGCGAGGTGGCAATTCCAGTAGATGATGCAGTCCCAGGTGGATATTATTAATGAAATTTGGATGAAGTCTATTGTGTGCTGCATGGGCCCAAAGACACATGCTGTGTCCGATAATCTGCGATGAAGATGTCACCTCGCGCAAATATTGTGTTGAAGTCCGTAAGAATTTGGCGATTGAGCATCAGTGATATTATGTTATCGTATGTTATGTTACTGTCTATCCATATACTGCGATTTATTACTTTAGGTTGGAGTCAACCTTCCAGTGAGACTCTTGATGATAGGCTTAGTGATCGACGCACTCCCGTCATACTCGCACTATTCTGTACCAAACACTCTCACGGTGCATTCTTCCGACTGTACCGGATTTGTCATCTCTTGTGTCGTCTCTAAAACCTTGCAATACTATAGAATATTAAGGGATATCGAAACGCCACCATCGAGATGAGCTATTATTCTCGCAGTACTTCACCCTGGTTGACCAACGTTGCCCAGGTGGGCACGTTCCCAGATATCCACCAAAGTAAGCGATATTTTCTCAACAGCTAATAGATCCCCTGGAAGAAAGCATTAGAAGCGCCGATTAGCCGCGGACTGTTTGTTAAGTTGGCACAGTCGAATATGGTATGATAGTGTGCAGCCTTCACTGAATATAGAATAATGGGTTGCAGGTGAGCTTCTTGCCTAAGATCGGGATCATTGGCACATCCACTGGTAATACAGGAGCAAGGAACAAGCACAAGCCAGGATGGTTGGCATAAAAACATATGACGGCCATCCAATGACGCTGGACATCAGCATTAACCTATGGCTTCTAGTCCACATTGTTGATCGCTGCGACAGGATCTCCGGACAGGTCACAGTACCGAACGACAAAACTTACATGTATTTCATGTGTTGATGTGTCATTGCCATCCAACCATGATGGTAAATGAGCAGAATGCAAAGATCTTTCGGTAGCCGTTGGCGGAGGGTCTCCGTGTCGATGCACCGTTCTGGGTGTTGGAGGGTACAATGACATGATCTTGTTTCAGAAGATCAAATGATGACAAAATAACCCCCAAAGGTCGCTGATCTGGTTGAGACAAACTGGTAATAATTATTTGCAGAACGAACGAACGCTGGGAGAACATTGAAGGTGGAGGTTTCAGGCTGACCGGCGCAGCGGAGGGTAAAAATCGGTGGTGCTGCCGATGTGACAGCACTTTCGAGCCATGAGCAATTCCCATCGTCTGGGTGTGTGCTATTGTCGTCTCCAATAACTGCCGATTTACTTTCTAAACGTACCTTACACGCTCATCTTACTGTTGTAGTTCGCAAGTCGCCAGTATGAAGATTTTCTTGTTTGCCGCTCTCAGCGTGGTTATTGGCATCTTCTGTGCTACTACTTCATATGCGGCCCCGCCTCATGTACCTCTGGTATCTTCATGCTTTTGATTTGTTTAGACTTCCTTGTGCGCTAAACGCCCTTCGCCCCTGATTTTCATATAGATCCATGCAGCAGGTCTCGGCCACCCTGTTAATCATCGACCCGGCAGAGCCAAGGCCGATGTTGCTGGTTATCGGTACCCTGTGCAAAAAAATCAAGTGCAGAACAGCGGACTGCAGCAGGAGCAGAAGAATAAGAATAACTTTGCGAATCAGCAGAAGAACTTTGATCATCTCCGTAATCAGCACAAGCACCAAGATGTCGCTCAGCAAACTGATCAAACCGATGTTGACGGACAGTGTATCATGACCTATGAGAACTGGTATATATGCCTTTGTGATATCATCTTCACTTTCAGCGGTCTGCACTGCTAAAGATCACTATTTTCCAAGGAATAATTATGTCGATTGGGATCTGCAACAAGCCAAACAAAACTTCAAAGACATGAAGAAAAAGGCGCAGAATAATTTGAGTAACGATGAAATCAACCAACTAAAGAAGTTGGCTGAACGTAACCGCAATGCCCTAGGACAGCAGCAATGCGTTCTCACCTACAATCAACTACAGATTTACGAGCGGTTCGTGTTCTCCGCAAAATGGTAAATGTTTCTGTATCAACTAACAACAACTACAGTCAAGCCAAGGCTCGCGACCAGTATGATAGAGTTCAGGGAAACCAGAAATCGACAAAGAAGGACGGTAACAAGTACTCTAACAACAACATCCAGCAACAGCAGACCGACGCTGGGAACTTTGACTACCAACTTGGTATAATGGAGTAAGTACATTTCCACGCTGCGTGATATGGTATTCTGAACCTGATCTTCAAATTGCGACACTAAGTCGCTTCTGTCTTGTCACCTACAATGCGCAATGGCAAAACCTCGACAATGAGCTCACAGCCGATCGCAAAACTACCCAGAAACTGCTGGATTATGCCAAAAATAAAGGCCAAGAATACTACAACATCAAGCAACCTAAACCGGACGGATACGAGAATCAGCAAAAGAACCAGAAAAATCAAAATGATCAATATCTCAACCGAGCCTGCATGGTTTTTGACTTTCAGATCAATTTGTATACGCAATGGCTCGCCAACTACGGCATCAATCTGGGGAAGAATATTTGACTAAAAAGTCCACTGACGACGCGGTGGGAAGAGTGCGGATAGTCGTAGTTGCTAGTTCTCTTGGTCTATTCATAGCCATATGTAGTAAACGATATCTAGTAAAGTGCACCATCTAGTGGAGTATTCAAATGATTCAGTACTTTTGTCGTGGTGAAAGCCTTGAGCTGTTGCATAACATGATTCCATCCACATCGAATGCCACTCGAATGGCCTAAGGCCCTGCGAATAGGTTGGGAACTGGAATTACGTGTTTAGTTCAGTGGCAATCTTACCTGCGCGACATCCGATTCTTACAATTGACTGTATATTGAAGAAAGCAAAGTAGGAACATGGTCTTAGAAGCAACCGTCTTGGTGTACGTAGACGCAAAATTTGGGCGCCGTAGTTTGATTTGCAAATAAATTCTTGGTACCTTAGGTTGGATAACTCGGAATGGATGCGCAACGGCGACTACACTCCGACGCGGATGGAAGCGCAAAGCGATGCTGTAACGTTTCTCTTCAATGCAAAAACACAGTCAAATCCTGAAAACACTGTTGGTCTTATGACTATGGCGGGCAAAAGGTACGCCTTTGTATTGCGTATGGCCGCGGCATTCGAAAGCGACAGAGTCTCACGCGACTGACAACAGCCCCGAAGTGTTGGTGACCCTGACGCCCGATATTGGAAAAATTTTGACGGCCTTGCACAATATACGAATTGCGGGTAAGGTTAACCTTTCCACTGGCGTCCAGATTGCACAGGTAACGTTTACGGGTTCCACGAGTGTGTCGAGTACTTGACAGAGTGCTTAGAGTACTCACGCCGTGATTACTGTTAGCTCGCATTGAAACATCGACAGAACAAAAATCAGCGCCAACGTATTGTCGTATTTGTTGGTAGCCCACTAGAAGAAGATGAGAAAACTCTTGTCCGACTTGGCAAGAAATTGAAGAAGAACAATGTTGCGGTGGATATTGTCAACTTTGGAGAGGAGTCGGAGAATACCCAAAAATTGGAAGCCTTCGTGGCTGCTGTTAACAGCAACGACAATAGGTAGAGCTGGACGAATTCTGGGGATTCGGAGATAACGCGTGACGTGCTGACCGCTTCCTGAACAAATCAGTCATTTGGTTTCCATCCCTCCTGGACCACACATTCTTAGCGATGTTCTTCTTACATCACCTATTGTTGCTGGAGAAGACGGGGCGCCACCGGGTTTTGCTTCTGGAAGTGGCTTTGAATTTGGTGTTGACCCGAATTTGGATCCCGAATTGGCTTTGGTGCGTCTAGACGTCAGCAGCTCGAGCTGTATGTCGACTCGTTCTTCTAATCTGAGCTACTCAACGACAGGCACTACGGATATCTATGGAGGAGGAAAGGGCACGACAGGAGGCGGCAAACCGAGGAGGGGCTGAAGGTGCAGCTGGGGGCGATGCAATGGTAGTAGATTCAGCCTTCAGCGCTCCAACAACCGCAGCAGGAGGTTCTACAGAGGAGGAGGACATGCTTCAACAAGCTCTTGCTATGTCTATGGGACAACAGCCAGGGGTATGTGGAATGTGAAATTATTAGCTCACCCATGGGGAAAGCTGACGCGTGTGGCACATAGGGTGCAGCTATGGACGTTGAATTGTCTGAAGAAGAACAAATGGCGCGGGCCATTGCAATGTCCATGAGCCAGGTAATGCAGAGACTTTTTCAACAGTCGAAATTGACATTTAACCGTCCCTTGATTGATGACACAGGGAGGTGACCAAGCAGCGGACATGAATTCAATCATAAGCTCTTTGCCGGGTGTCAACATGGACGATCCTCGACTTCGTGCCGCGCTAGAGGGTGGTTCAAAGGCTGAAGAGAAAAAGGATGGAGAGGACAAGAACAAAAAATGAGATAGTGTATCTATAACTGCCCATCAGAATCAGTAATCTCCTGCAAACAAAAAGGAAAAACCATATATCTGACTCTAGCCAACATTGATTGTCATCGACCACCCGCATCTCAACATGTAGATATCGACAATTCAGCGTGTCCAGAAAGTCGATAACGCTGTGCGAACAGGCTCTCCTAGTCCCACCGCTAGCCATTGAGTCTACCTTTAACCTGGGGGGTAAAACAGTGCAAGCTGTAGGGAATTCAAGAAGCAACGAGGTTTCGACGTGGTAAGGCAACCACTAAGATATGCGTGAACGGGTGGGGTTGCTTCTACTTGAAGTCGAAACATATCAGTAAGCAGCTGCGCTCTCTAGGTGCGTACCTGTGATCACGGGCAGTCTGACCATAGCAGCTTGCATGTCGAAAGGGGAAGGATGAGACCACTCCTCCAGTGAGTTGATCTCAATCAAAGAGTTAGATGATCGGTGTAGATGGATGGGATTCAGAAGAGAGGGATGGCTCTTTATATTCCATAAGAAGGTGCGATTGTCACGACAGCGACAATGAACAGAACATGAAAGCTGATTGGAATATGGACCCGTTATTGCGTGATGACTAATCTCCACCTTTCAAGAACTAACCGCGCGACTAAGCGTACATTCGAATGAACCATGAATTTTTCGTTGCGATGTCCCAGTTTCGCAACTGAATGAGTTGTTGGGCATTTGTGTTTTACGACGCACATTTTCTTACAGGCCGAATCATCTGGTTGCGTCCCTATCACACCCTTGGCATACCATTTTGAGGACAAACGCAGCCGACATGGTAAGGAATGATGAGAAGGATGATCATGGCCCAGCAGGCTATTATTGGCGGCAGCCATCCACCGTTACCACTGGCGATTCACATATGCTTCACAGCGTCCCATTCTTTTACACGGACATACTCGGTCGTTGACCAAAATCAAATATAACCGCGACGGTGATCTCCTTTTTTCGACTTTCAAAAGACAACAAGCCAAACGTCTGGTTTTCTCATAATGGCGAGCGTCTCGGAAGTTACAATGGACACAACGGAGCTGTATGGGATTTGGACGTTAGCTGTGAGTTGCCACGCCGGGAATACCTGGCTCGACAGTTGCTATGGAAAGCTTGTTGAGTGGAGGCCAGTCGCTTACTTATCCTCATTAGACGACAGCACTCGACTATTGACGGGATCAGCCGATAACAGCTGCAGACTCTGGGAGGTTCAAACCGGACGGCAACTTTTCCAATGGAATACGCGGACGGCAGTGAGAGCAGTGCAATTTGCACAGGGAAACCGGATGGCATTGTACGTCACGGATGCTACGATGGGCCAGCCTTCAACAATCTGGATCGTCCCAGTCGAGGAGGATCTCGAGAACCGTATGTGTATCGCTTTCAGATGCGGATTTGGCTACGATACTTATGCTCTATCAACAACAGAAACTGACGAGTTTATTCGCAAAATCGTAATTACCGGTCCCAAAGCCACCGTTGCATCATGGGGTGATTTGAACAAAACTATTTACACGGGTCACGAAGATGGAACCATTACAATTTGGGATGCAGAGGTAATTCGGACCGAGCGATTGTGTTTTAAAGCTATCGATGTATTAAATCCTTGTCGTGTGACAGACTGGAGAGAAGATAAAGTCCGTAAAAAGCCACACAGAATCGATCTCCGATATGCAATGGTCCAAGGATTTCGGTTACTTCATTACAGCCTCGAAGGATCAGACTTCGAAGATCTTTGACGGAAAGACCCTTAAAGTGATGAAGACATACACAACGGAGCGTCCCGTGAACTCAGCTTCATTGTCTCCAATCCGACCTCACGTAAGTTGAAGTACCATTGCAGAGTTGTCGTACGGCTCGGTAACACGCAGTGTTTTTGCTCTTTGTAGATTATGCTCGGTGGTGGTCAGGAGGCGATGAATGTGACCACAACTGGGGCCAAGCAAGGAAAGTTCGAAGTTCGGTAAGTTCACATGATCTCCCTTATATGGCCGATCTGGAGGGTGGGCCAGTCGCATGATTCCACTAACCGCGTTACTATCTACAATTAGCTTTTTCCACTTACCTTTCGAGGAAGAGATTGGTCGAGTGAAGGGACATTTCGGTCCGATCAACACTCTGGCATTCCACCCTGATGGCCGAAGGTATGAGATGGCGGTAGCAAGCTAGGATAACCTGTTTATGATGCTGACTTCCGATACGCAGTTTTGCAAGCGGTGGTGAAGACGGTTTCGTTCGACTCCATCATTTCGACGAGGATTACTTTACATTCAAGTACGTGTCCAACACTCCTCGATATTGTGAGTCGCATTTCTAAGATCCGTTCCTTCTGAATAGATACGAAGAGGAAACCCTTGAGTAAGCATCCCGCCTTTTTGTATTTATAATGTTCTTGGATAAGGAGCCGCGGGGGAGCTGTACATAGGGGAAACAGGCATTTCCCACTGAAACGAGTTACCCGGTTGGTGTCACTTGAAAGCCTGGGTCGTGGGCCATGCAGGAGGTCTCAATACACACGTTTAGAAGGAATATATACTTGTCGTGATAATGATTAGGGTTATTGGCTTGAGCTCACACCTGGTATATAATACCATAACTGGTGTGGTGGCGATCGCATATACCATTCTATCATCTGCACATGAAACAGTTCTAGGAAGTACTTTCTCCTACTCTGCGCTATCCAGACGCATGTACTTTTTGTAGCCAACCTTTGAGACTATGTCTAAAGTACTGGTTTGCGACTCCACCTATCCCAAACGCCGCAAAAATCCGGCCAATTCTGGCACTGGTCGATTTAGCATATTCTCTTGCAATAAAGGTACCCCGCTCAGAAGCTTTCGCCGCTGGTCGGTTGTATAGGTCCATTCCTAGAAGATGCATGGGAGTTGATACAAACTGTACTGCACACGGTGTCAACAGCTGAGCAGCAATATCCGCCGGCCGCTTGTCTATTCCCCATGATGTTGTCATTTTCTGCGACAAGATGGAGGGCAGATTGAATGATGCGAAGATCGTCAAACAGTCTCGGCTCGTGTACAATGCAAAGGAAGACCAAGGTACTGGTCTCGCCTTACCGCTACCAAACCATCTAGTGAAACAGACGTCTTTTGCGACACACAGGCCGACGTTTGCTATACTGGTGCCGACAAACTTTGGATAGAACCAGTCCCATCCTTCATAATCGCATACGGATTGTATTGTGTTGGCAGTAAGGTAGGTTCCAGCGTACACTCCAAACATGAAGAGGCAGGCAGGCTGCCGGATAAAATGAAATGGACGAGTGAGGAGATTTCTCGTGCCTGTGGCTAGTCCTGCGACAAGGGGTTCGGTGCCAGATGCGTTGCGGAAAATGGCACTGTCGATGATAGTTATGATGGGCGCGACAAGGCCTGCTGAAGCAAATGCCGAAGCTGCTTCGGCGGCGAGGGTATGTGACAGTGGAACGTGTTCATGATGAAGGGTTGCCGACGATGACTGCGAGTCCGTGGAGCGCGACCCTGTTGATATTACGTCGGAGTCGCTCCCAGGTTTGGCCGTCGACATGTCCTTGACTTGGGAGGACAGGCAAGCGCTCAGGGAACGTTTAGGAGAGATCAAACGGAATGGTGGAAAGAAAACGTGTGCAAGTTAGTCCCACAACTCCGCGTCGCGTCAGCAACTTTGGCGATTTTCGTGGCGTCCTTATCGAGTTGTTGTTCACGACGTAATGTCTGTTCCTTGCACCGATGGTACACTGCGGCCCGTTCAAGTCGCAAAGCACATGCTTTCGCGCCTTCTATACCCTAACCCCGTCTGCTTCCTCACCACCGTCGCTCCACAAACTTCGTCGTCCGACGGCAATGACGCGAACGCAGTGTGTGGATGGAGGCGAAATATCATGACGATCTCATGGTTAACACCTTTGGATAACCACGTATGATTGCTTAATAATGTGTGCCTTGATTGATATTCCATTGGTCGATGCTGAATGGATACTTCGTGTTCGTCGGCGGGAACGGACTTTTCATCCACATACTAGGGACACTTTATATGTTCAATGAAATCCACACGATATTCGCATACCATGTTGCTATCGACCAATGTCTTTGGTAAGCTCACATAAAACGGGCTCGAGTGCTTGCTAATTGGTCATCGTATGCTGGCGCTTAACTTCTTTGTTAAGTACTAAATGTGCCGGTGAAAGGAATGGAGAGTCTTGTCACTGCCGTAGGAGCTTGTTCAGGTGCCGTCGTTGGTGATAAATTTGACCACCTGAACATTCAAATCTGTGCTCCTGGCTGGATAAGTGACGGAGAATGGCCTTCCAGTTCCTCGAAGACCTCACTTGAACAAGCCCCGCCATCGACGCCAAAATCTGCGAAACAAAAAGCTATTCCCACACACCACCCTGTCCTGGCCATCCCATCTTGCGCGGCACACTTGATATGTCGTGTTGAGGAGCGGCAAGAACGATATGGACATGATATACTATATTGCGTCATAGATCAAGGATTTGTGAAGCAAGAGTATTGGGATGGGCGAAACTTTGCACCGACTTCCGAGAGTGTTCCACCTTTTCTCAGTTTTCTGGGAACAAAGCGATTTGCCTATACTGTGCCTGCAGTCACTGCAACGTAATATTGGACTGGCGATGATAGGGAATCATCTGTTTTTGTAGTTACACATGCCCCTCTGAACTCGCCTTACAGATCGCCCGTTTGACACTGCATCTGCCATATTTGTAAACATAAATCGGGAAAAGCATGTACATACGTGAAGGAATTCCGATCCTCAACACTCTATTTACAATCACTCTCTGCACATGTATATCTACCTTAAAACTGATCAAGCTTCGTAACTATACCAACACGAACAGCTTGATCAAACGCAGCGAAAACGCATAAACCTTGCTTATCTGGACTCCAGTCGAATGCAGCAACCGGCTGCTCCGCGACATGTGCATCGTTAATAAGATCAACACTGCCCGCCACTCCCTCTGAAACACCCTTCGCGTCCTTTTTGGAACGCTGCCCTGGATAGTTACTGCGGAGGCACATGTTAGACATCGTGTGAACTCTGGGGGAGGCAGCATCGATTACTTACTACTTGTAAAGATTCAGCGACCCATTTCCACCTGATGTCACAAATATATCCCGATTTTGTGGAAGATGTCGTACCGTCCATATCGTAGTGCTGTGCGGTGCCTTCTCGGTCACGCTGGCGAAGCCCTTTTCCGGATGCTGTGTTCGCAAATCGAACGCGGTAAAGCTTGATTCCAAGGTGCTAACAACCATCTTGTTCATGGGGATATCCTTGCGATCAAAGTCTATCGAGCAGACCTGGGTAAATGTGCCATCGTTAGAGTTGTTCAAGGTAGAAGTGTCGGGATACAAGAACTGCACGTACCCCGTTCTTCACGTTGGTTTCCCAAAGCAGAGACATGGCGCGGAGGTCAAACATCTTCACGTCTCCGTTTTCATACCCCGCGCAAACGACTCGCTCTTCATCATTATAAGAATTGCCTGTTTAATTGACGCGGTTAGGAAGATCAGATAGGATTCGTACCTAATCAACAGCGTAACCAACCAAATGCCACCGCCCATGTATCATGCACCACTTCGCCTTCCGCTGGCGCAATCTTTGCAACAGGCTTGTCCTTTTGACGAACGTCCCAAATCTTTACCGCACCTGCACTAACGAATCCATGGTCAGCCCATCCAACCCTCTTCCGTCGCCAACATTTCAAATAACAAGACGAACCATCCCTACTCCCGGTGGCAAGTTCCGGTGGTCCTTTTTGTGCACCGGCGCCACCACAGCCGTCTATGCAGTTGATGATTTGCTCGTGTGCACGCACAGTGAACACCGGCAGCTCGGTCCGCTCTAAATCCCATACAGAGAGACGTCCCTCAAAATCGCCAGTTGCAAAATGTCGGTTGTTGATAGATGATGCGCCGAAAGTGCCGCATTTAAAGGCGTGCTGCTTTTCTGTCTGCCAGATGTACGGTAATAGATCAGCCAATCATTTATTCTTTGCTTCGCATAGTGGCCGAAACAAACTTCTTCAGCTTGGCCCTCAAAGACACAACCAACTTGCTAGTCCTCGTCACATCAAGAACTCACCTCGTGTACCAAGTTAACATCACCGTGCTCCAGTTCGAACACTTGCAGCGCACCCGTCCCCCGCGCATGCTGCCCCAGCACCACGAAACGCGCCGACAGTGGCACCCATTTTACGTCGTACGCTGTATATGTAAGGGACTTTTGAACGTGAGTTATGATTTGGGGTTTGTCGAGCGTCATCGTGTGGAGATCTACTGCGGAAAAAGGTCGCTGTCGTGAGCAACGACTTTCGCGTACTGGATTGCTTAGTCATGTGGCACTTTCCGCTTACGTTACTACAAGGCGACCTGGTGTCAATGTCATTTCTCGTACTTTCCTCGTCGTCCTTCTCATTTCAGTCAAGCAATATTTTGCGAATCTCGGAAGAGATTTGGAATTCCAAAGGCGCAAAACAGAGGAGCCAAGTCACCGCGCGCGCAAGTTTCGGCTGAGGCTGTCGTATATAGGAAAAAAGTGTAGCATCTCACATCGGAACGTGTACTTTCTGCCATCATGGCATCTGCCTCGCCTGGAAGGCAGATGCTACTTTCCATTTTATGTATCTCTGGGACATGTACATCGGACCTTTCATTCATCATTTTGTGCGTAGCAGCACGGCCAACATTTCTTCGAAATATTCAAAAAGGTCGTTGTTGACTCTTCCCGACTAAGTATGTCCTGCAAGTGGGATAAAGCATTGGATGGCATTGGATTTGCAACGCTTTGTAAGTTGACGAGTGAATCCGAATCGCTCCTGCATAATAGCGTGGCTTGGATGTGATGATTAAGCATCGATATGGCGCGACTTTCCACAGCTGCTGGCCTTGACTCCATTTCGCCCACCAGATCTTACACGGTATTAACATTCGCAAGACATTGACAGTTGCCCTCTCAAGCGTCCTGTCTGTGTTTAATCGCAAACTGGACTGCAAACCGGCATCGGAGTCATGTCGCCGACAGTCCATCCAGTTGCTGCTCGGGGATTCACCTTGCAGTCAGAGGCATACGAGGCCGCTCGTCCGTCGTATCCCGCTTCGGCAATATCTTTCATCGTTAACACTGCGCTCCCTTTTCTCTCTAGCCCCGGAGCACAAGTTCTTGACCTAGCTGCGGGAACCGGAAAGCTTACTCGGCTTCTTGCAGAGCTACCGCTTGGGCGGCTGGAGGCTGTCGAGCCAGCAGAGGGTATGCGGGAACAATTTACAAAAGTCCTGCCTAATGTACCCATTCACGATGGAAATTCTCACGCTATTCCCTTCTCGGACGGGACGTTTGATGCCGTTTTCGTCGCTCAGGTACTAATGTTCATCACAACGCCATGTTTGCGAGTTCCTTGACACTCGACCTCCTAGGCCTTTCATTGGTTTGCTGATATCAAAAGTCTGCAAGAAATTGGAAGAGTTCTCAAGCAAAATGGGGGTTGTGTTCTAATATGGAACATGGAGGAACCGGAAGGGTTGCTCGGTAGAATCAAGAAAACTCATGAACAGTACGAAAGCGGAACTCCCCAGTATAGGCTGGGATTGTGGAGGGAGGTTTTTCACAATGATCGCGAGGAATTTTTGCAGATCTTCGAACCTATACAGGAGAGGGTCTTCACTAATAGCATTACATGCACGGCGGATGGCATTTGGACGAGGATACTAAGTAGGAGTTATGTAGCTTGTTTGGACAAGGACACGCAACAACAGCTAGAACAGGAAGTTCGTCATATGTTGCAAAGTCCGGAAATAGGTTGGAGAGAGCGGGAAGCTGTAGATGGGACCAAAGAGATGGTTGTAGATATTCCTTTGAGAACGACAGTAGTGTGGTTTGTCAAGCGTAGTAGACAGTATGGATCTGTAAATATCAATTGGTGAAAGCCAGCGCTGAAATTGGTTACAAAGCCCTCGCGTTTGGTGAGCCCGACGCGTTTGTCGTCCTTCTCTCCAGTTCCATTTCATTCTGTAGATCTCGAGGATATTCAACACATTAAGTTTTATACAGTTCCTGGTTCCTATCAGAACTGCACCGAGTCACCTCCTTCCAATAATAAGATTAAGCTGCTAGCCATGGTCTGCATCACACTGAAGAAGGGTGAGGAGCCTCAGTTCCTGTTTGAGGCCCCAGCTGTTACTCCACTGTCCGATCTTGTGCCGCAACTTGCAAAGCTGTACAACTATCGTCTGCGCTTGAAAAGATTGATTGATGGTATGAGCGGCATTGTGTGCGTCTGCACTGTGATTTCAAGGATAATGATAGTAGCATCCCGTCAGCCACGGAGGACCTCGTTGAGTATGGTCTTATGAAACCAGAAAATGAACAGGGATACGATGAGGAGCAGTTAGAGCAGTTGGCAAAGAACAAAGAGCCCTCAGCTAAGCAGGAAATTCTAAAAGATGGTGTCAAGATCCTGCTCAACCCTGACCCGACTGGCCGACGGACGGGAGAAGGTAATTCATGAGGAGAACAATGACTTCTTAGAGTTGTCATTATGCCCTTTTGTTTACCAATATCAATCTGTAGCACCCAATGAAGAGATTGCCCAAGTCGTCCGGAAGACGCTGACGAATGCAAAAGCATGTCTATCACCTGTATGACGGCCGTGTTGTGTCCTCTAACTATCTCCCCAGGGGCATTCTAGCTCATTTAACGTCTGCCTAGGATCTTATAAAGTCCAACAAGTGTCTAACGGAGGAAATTCTAGACGAGGCTCTTCAAAATATTCGCGGTGCGATAACAATTGCGTGGCCTATGGGACTACCGGAATGGGAACCGGTGAAGGACATCTTGGACGATAAAGAAGACTTGACTGGCACACAGGTGTGTTTTCCTTGCTTCACGTCCGAAGAAAAAGCCAATCAAAGGTAATCGTCGCATGAACATTGCAGGCCTCAAAAGAAGTCATAGATCCAGCGTCCGCGTCGATATGGTGGGCTGCCAAAGAACTTCAGCGGGACAAAAAACTCTTGGATTACGTGGGACGAAACGATAAAACAAAGATTATTGCTAAAATCCAAAAGGTTCATATTGTCATAAAGGGTCCCTGACGAATTTATTCCAACTTCTCCATCTCGTTGCAGAAAGGACAAGGTCCACCACTTCGTGAAGCACCCATGACCGAAGAAGCACAAAAACAAATGATGGCATATTATTACCGAAAGCAGGAAGAGAATAAAAAATTGATGGAAAATGATGAGGACGACTATCTGCATTCGCCGTGGGCGAATCCAAAGCATTTGAAGTCCACGTTCAACGGCGTGGGAAATGTGTCATGGAAGCCACGATAAATGCTTGTAACAATTTGCTTGTCCCGGTGTGGAAACTGTCAGAGATTTAAGTATGCAGATTTGGAGCCGGCAACTGTACCATTGTATCATCTCAACTGCTTAAGATAATGATATAAAGGTCAAGCGAGTAACCAAAATGCTATGATTATATCTACACAATGAAGCTAGTAAAGCTGGAAATAACACTATCTAAAAGAGACCCAAATCCACTCAGAAAGCAATAGTCCTAACGCATATAGATCGAAACAGCAACAAAATAAAAATAATAGTAGGAATAACCGAGGTCCATGTCAAATGCAACGAAACCACTCCATGTCAATATACGCCACGTCGCTCTTGCCGACATTACGCTTCTTCGGCAACTACGGCTGCGCCATTTACACACAAATCTTCAAAGAAGCGAACTTTTGGCTTGATACTCGGGCAAAGTATCAGTGCAGTATAGGGATCTGTACGCAGGACTTTCATAGATTCCAAAGACTGGACACTTGGACGTTCCTCAAGCCCTCTCCGTAGTGTCGTGAATAGGATACATTTCCGCAGGACTTCGCGTGCCGTCCAGTGAGCAACACGTATGGGATTATTAATGTACCCAACATCGTCCTGGCGGAATGGCATAGTGCGAAGGATATTCCATTCAACCAGGTCTTTGCGGGTAGGACGTTGGGGGTAAACGAAGAGACGGCTGGATACACGGTGGCGGTTACGAAGGACGATGTATCTGCGCCAGAGGATTTTGTCAGAAGCTTGGCGGCGCAGCAAGTGATTGACCCGGCATAAGGTCCGGAGGTCGGTATCCTCTACAAACTTGATAAAGAGTCGTTTCAGCCCTGGCAGCCCTGGCGCAACTTGTCCATGTATTTCTTTACTTACAGTCATTATGTATGCCCAGAGCTCTTCGGGAATGTTCATTGCAGTAACCTCAGTCAACTCATTTTCGCTTTCTTTCTTTTCGCCAAGCTCTTCCATAGAAGCCGAGCGATAGCGCTTGAGGGCCTGAGTAGTCTCTTCGCCACCGCTCGCCATGCTCGCCGTGCTCTGTAGGAACTCTAGAGACCTCTTACTACCAAGAAAGAAAGGGAAAGGGACAAGTAAAAATAGGCAGTTGAGAGAATGTAACTACAGCAAATTAACTACAGCAAAAAGAGTTAGAGTAATGGTGGCTGTTAGTGGATGGAGTATTCTACAGTGCCAAGCAATTGCGGAGGAAAAACAAATCCGACATGGAAGAGGAAAACCCAGAAGCAGGTCAGCAGTTTGTGTTTCGAGGCGCCAAGTGATTCCGTAACGGTGCGTCAGCGCGTTTGACGCGCTCCTTTTGATTACGAAATCGAGATCGATGGGTGATGGCTCAGTGACTTGTTTTCGGGTAAAAAGTCAGCACGACTGGACCGCCTTCGTTTACGCACAGCGCCGAAATCAAAACGAACAGCGTTTTTTCGCCAATTGTAGAGACTTGACCAAAATCAATCAGCATGGCGAGCACGTTGGGCACGTATGCCGCACCTCTTGTCAACGATGCAGCCCGGGATCTGGCTGACTCTATCATCATCGCTGTGAATACTACATTTACCGTTGCCTCTCGAGTCTACAGCTCTATTCCCGGCAGTAGAATCTTTGCGAAATATGTGAAGGCTTCCTACCAAAATGACCCCTATCGTACGCTACTGGAGATTTGCCTAGTGATTTTCATGATATGGTACTTTGGCGGGAAAAAACACAAGCCTGGAGATGACGAGCTGCAACTAACTGAGAAGGTGCGGCACTCTGTTAACAAAACGAATTGAGAAAATGTGGACTGATAAAGATAGCAGGAGATTCAAGAGCTGATCGACGAATGGGAGCCTGAACCACTTGTTCCACCCCTTACGGAAGCCCAGCGTACCGAGCTGGACAAGATCCCGGTTATTTCTGGGTCGGTAGAACACATTCATGATATAAGACGTTGTCTCGTCTCTTCTGTATCTGACTTTTGTACACCAAAGGTCATCGGGATCAAAGCTGAAGCTCGTTGACGGGAGAGAACGCATCAATTTGGCCAGCTTTAATTTCTTAGGTGCCTTGAATAATGAATCAACCAAGGTAAGTTTAATATTGAAAAGAACACGGGTATTTATTTCTCAATGGCTTCCATCACAGGACAAAGCCATTGAGGCCTTGCGCAAATATGGAGTCGGCAGTTGCGGACCATGTGGTTTCTACGGCACCATTGATGTTCATATTGAGCTTGAGCAAGAGATTGCAAAGTTTATTGGAGCCGATGCTGCCATCGTTTACTCGCAAGGGTTCTCCACGATTGCCAGCGTCATCCCAGCCTTTGCAAAGCGTGGGGATATTATTGTCGCGTATGTAGAAACATCACATATGACATTGGAGGAAATGTTTACTTACCGGACGTCTTACCAGTGATGCGGGCGTGAGTTTTGCTGTGCAAAAGGGTCTCCAGATTTCCCGAAGCACCGTCAAGTACTTCAAACACAATGACATGGAGGATCTTGAAAAAGTCTTGGAGGGTATTCAACGGGACCAAATCGAAGTATGAAAATCGCTATTGAACTATGGTTGACATGAAAAACAGCTGATGGTGGTGTAACGGCCAACTATAGAAAAAGAAACCTCTTACTCGGCGCTTCATTGTTGCAGAAGGGCTCTATGCGAACCACGGCGATATCTGTCCTTTACCCAAATTGGTAAGATTACCGTGGCGGGGAGCTACACATTGGAATTGTCTCTAACCCAATGTATTTGCAGCTGGAGTTGAAGAACAAATACAAGTACCGCCTAATCTTGGAAGAAAGCTTCTCTCTTGGTGTTTTAGGAACTCGTGGTGCGGGTGTTTGTGATCACTTTGGAGTATCGGTAGGTTGACGACGTGAGGACCACTTCTACTAGAATACTCCGTTGACGTTTGGCTTTCAGGGTAAAGAAGTAGACATTATTGCTGCCACTTTCTCCAACGCTTTAAGTTCGTCTGGTGGATTCTGTTGCGGAAGTAAGGAGATCGTTGAGCACCAACGACTTGGAGGGCAAGCGTATGTCTTCTCTGCGTCTCTTCCAGCCATGTTGGCGGTTGCCGCCGTCGAAGGAATCAAATATGCTGAGAGCCACCCAGAAGCGCTTGCTCGTCTCCGTGAAAATGCTGTTGTTATGCGCAGCACTCTTCTCAAGAATGTCCAGCAGGTGCAATGTGGTGGGGTGGAAGATTCGCCCGTTGTGCACCTCCGGTTGCGGGACCATCGCTTCCGTAATAGGGAGGATGAAGAACAAGCTTTGCAGGAGGTTGTTGATGAAGCGTTGCGCAACGGCGTGCTAATAACGCGGGCAAAATACGTGAACGATCAGGAACTCTTCCTACCTCCCCCCAGCATTCGAATTGCCGTGACTGCTGGTCATAGTCGTAAAGAGGTGGAAAAGGCTGCAGCCATCATTGCGACTGCAGTCAAGAAGGTGTTGAAAGGCAGAAAGTAATACCTACGACCATTTATGTAATTTTATTTGAAATAGATTGCTTGTATGAAGCATATGCTGAGAAAGCTATACACCGTCGCGAAAAGTCAGAAATAGAATATTATTTGAAATGGATTGTTGTGTGAAGCACATGTCGAGTCACTATACACACACTGGTCTCGAAGGGCATCAATTGCATACAAAGGTTGCACCTCGTCCGAGTCCAGGTACACCCTACCAGCGTCCGCCTCTATATCTGCCGCGCACCTTGAAATACCAATAAGCCAATCCGGCCGCGGCCCCTCCAATATGCGCCGCACTATCAGTACGTCCTGACGATCCTGTGTAGCTTCGATATATATCATACGCCACAAACCCACCAATTGCTACCGCAGCCGGAATCGGAATGACCATAAACAGATAAACCGGTACCGTGGGGTATGTTGCAGCAAACAATATCGTACAACCCGTGATAGCACCGCTAGCACCGTGAGTTGCAGTGAACTGCCTCTTTGGTACTCCCCACGCATTTCGACGAGTGGACATGGTACTGTGGAGGAGCGATGCCACCGATGAAGCCAATCCCGCGGCAACATACAAAAAGATAAATTGGCGGGGTCCAATGATATCAATCACCTAACGTAGACAGATACGGTAAATGGCGTGCAACCAGTTCGTAGACATGCTTGTGTTAAACGACTTACGGGAGGACCAAAAGAGTACAAGACAAACATGTTGACAAACATGTCTACCACCGAAAATTACGCATAAATAAACCCTGTGCATGTAAGCTTTCACAAGGAGGATACTTACGCCAAAGCTCATTATGACTGAAGTTCGCCGTCAACATCGTCCACCATCGTTTATGAACAAATACATTCTCGTAACCAACCAAAAAGTTGTTGCTCAGGAACTGATAGAGTCGCTGGTCACCATACGCTTTGGCATTCCCGACTGCATACTGCCATAGGAGGAATACTGTGGAGCAAGTTATGACCATGATATAAGAGGAATTTGGCCATTTTCAACGTAAATACCTGCAACATTAATGCCAATCAGGCCGTATATGACATTTTGGCTATTTAAATACTTGTCCGCATTTCTGCCAAAGTTCGACCAAGAGCCACCAGATCCAGTTGACTTCGCATTGGTTGGTTGATACCAGTTGGTCCGTACCATTCGACGCTGACTCAACCTGAATTGCGATGCAACTGCATTCCAGACGTTTCTTTGCTGGTTGGGGGCCTTTAAACACGAAAACCAAGGAGAAGGAAAACCGCTATGGATTGAACTTTGTTGAGTAAGCACACGTCGGACCAGGCCAGGAAGGAAGCAGGAAGCACGGGGCAGTTCAGGTGGGGAGAAGGCTCGTTGAAAGATTACATGTGACAATGGTCGAGATTGCGGTGTGAGCCCTGGATGGATGGGCAACCGCGCTTGACGAACAAGAGTTGGTGAGAAAGTTGTACATGCAAATATTCGTCCGCCAGCAGCATGGAAGCGGCTCACAGATGGAAATGCCCTAATGGTCCACATTGTTGCGGTGAAGGGCGTGCAAGATGCCTTTCACCTGCCCAACGTTGATGGGCAACCTGCCTTCTCAACCTTTTAACGTAATTATCCATAGCACATTCATGTGGCACAGTCATCCAGAAATGGGGGACGCAATGGCAATTCTACAGTGTTACGAAAGGACCGAGATAATATTACATTTGAAGAAAGGGGTACCATCCCTCCTACACCCAGAAGCCGTACATCCCCACTATGCCAATGAACACAACCCATCTCAAACAGTAGCTTATTTCGCCTTGTCGGCCTTGGTACCTCGGAGAAGACCAGTACGACGGGCAGCAATGAGACCGACCTTTTGACCAGGGGGGGCGTGGCGAGAGACGGTAGATGCGTGACCGATGTGCTGGTGGTTACCACCACCGTGGGGGTGATCCACGGGGTTCATAGCAACACCACGAGTACGAGGCCATGCGTTGCGCTTGGCCCGGTACTTGAAGTGCGCACGACCAGCCTTGAGAAGGGGCTTGTCAACAATACCACCAGCAGCGATGATACCGACAGCAGCACGGCAGCCACTGTCGAGAACCTTCTTGGCTCCAGAGGGGAGCTTCACACGGGTCTTTCCATCATCGGGGTTGTGACCGATAACGGTAGCGTAGTTACCAGCGCAACGAGCGATCGCTCCACGGTCACCAGCCTTCTCCTCGAGGTTACAGATAACGGTACCTTCGGGCATGGAACCGAGGGGAAGGACGTTGCCGACAGTAAGGGCGGCTACAGGCAACGCAAAGTTTAACAACGTGACCTGGCATACCGAACCAATCCCCACACTTCAAGCTCACCCTTCTTTCCACAGTAGATGAACTGGCCCGTAAACATGCCCTCGGTGGCAATGAAGGTCTCCTCCCTTTGCTTGTAGCGGTAAGGGTCACGGAAGATAACCTTGGCAAGAGGAGCACCACGTCCAGGGTCGTGGATGATCTCCTTTACGAGACCACGAATGTAACCATGCCTATGCACAAATGTAAGTGATCAATGTCCTTGACATGGGACGCTAATGCGACGAACCTTTCGGCAAAGTCCTGGGTACGGTGCTTGGCGGCGCCCTTCCTGTGCTTGGTGTGGGACTTGAAAATACCACCAGCACCCTTACGCTGCGCTCTGATGACACGGCCCATTGCGCACTTTTTACAAGAGGGATTGCCGGTATGGGGAGAGAGAAAGACCAAAACAAACAAGCGAAGCGCTTCTCGTTTTTTTTTCGGTCAGCTGGCACGTGATTTGGTACATTCCATATATAGCTATATTGACATTTACAGCCACCGAGTCTCCTACGCCATACACAGTCGTAGCAGACCAGCAACAGCTGCATACTATCAGTCTGACTGCACCAAGTACCTTGCACCTACTGGTGTCCCAGATTCTAGGTAAATCTCTCGAGCAGATGATTTGCTCTCATTATCGTGATGATGGCCCTCCAGAACGTCGCGCTGGAATGCCGGCATTGGGACATGAGGCTCAAGCAAAAGGAGTTGTCACCCCCCATCCTTGTCCTTTCTGACGGTATCCTTTTGATAGTGCATAGGATGGAGAAATCACCACATAATGGTCATGCCACGTGATCTTTCAAATGAGGATCTTGTCGGCTCCATCCGGCTGTGGTTTGCTGAGGCAAGCAAAAGTTCAGCGCGTTTGCAGTCGTCTTTGCATGGGATCGGTCCAAAGAAACAGTATATTTTCGCTTCGATGACTCCAGCAGCACCAGATCCAGACTCGTATTTGTCTCGTCTTAGCAGTCTCTCATGTCCGATAGACTCTCCGCTTGTTGCAGCCGCCCCTGTGGCCGTCGCCATCGGTGGTTCCATACACGACGTGAACCTTGCCGACTCGAGCATTTATGCACCAGATGCAACGGCTGAAAAGGGACTGGCACAAACGGTGGCATATGCAGTGAAAGAAGCTGGATATCTGGCTAAAATGGTGAGTACCAAATGGTCGACTAACAGCGCTTCTTATCGACAAATGTTGTGGCGAACGGAGTCCAGCATTGGGGATCATATCATCTTCATACAGCACTCGTAAATGCGGCGAATATTTACCTGACACAATTTGTAGAATGCTCTCCTTGAGGAAGGACAAAAACTGCTGGCAAGCTTGTACTCATATCGTAGCTGTAGCCGAGCGATTCCGCAGGTTGGTGACTTTTTTTCCACTGATGACATTGAGAAAATATCAATTAATAGCCCAATTCAGGTCCAAAGCAACGAGCAGGCAAATCGATTGGAGATATATCAGCGAACATATGAAGTCCTTCAACCAGAGGTGGACAAGATGCAGAAATTTATGGCATTTCGGGATGCCGCTATTGCTGGTGTAACAGACGTCTTTGCCGAAATGGTTCCCGAGATGCGGGACAGAGATTTCTTCCCAAGTGCAGACTTCTTGGAGACCTGTGCTCAAGTGTTGGATATGTTTGTCGTTATGGATGCGATGAAAAACATTAAAGGATCTATGAACAATGATTTTTCGATGTACAGAAGGTTAGTTAATGACATTGTAATAAGTTGTGGAGGCTAGTCTCACCAAGAAATGGATGCCAACCTACACGTAGAGCTGTTCAAAGCGCGAATCGTAACGTGAGCGAAGATGACACCATTATGCAGCACAAACTGTATTCCTTCTTGGCGAATCAAGACCAGTACTCCTCAGAACTGAAGAACTCACTCTCCAAACTTTCATCGACATATGAAGACATCATTACAGATATGATCGAAAATTGCGCCGATCGTATCGAGAGCGGGCAGTATCTTCTCCCGAAGACAAAATATATGTATTATAGGGTATGAAGACTACGTTTTTGTAAGTTCAGCATTTTCCAAGAGCTTGAATGGATCGATGCATATATAGGCAATATCATTTGGCTTGTATTTATTGGATAAAGAAGGAGAGGAACATGATATTACTCGACGAAAGAAGTTCAAGCTTGACCGATTTGGAAAGATTTTGAAGGTAGAAACAAAAGCTCTTTGGACGGATTTGTTTAATCATAGTCCTCAAATACCGTTCTCCTGTTTAGGCCTGCCCAGTGGTCCCTCTCTTTGCCGATCAGTACGTCAGCTTATCTACCATATACAGCAAAGCACCTCATCTCAGCAATACGAAATGGGAAGAGGCAGAAGAAGCAGGAAAGGCCAATCTTGCCCGATCGTACAGCCTTGTCAATCATATCGATGTGGCAAGAGCAGAGTACATAGAATACGTTGCGCTATTTAAGCGCACGATCAATGCTGTAGGTCATTTGCATTATCCAATTGTGCTGCTGCAATCATTGAGTATTGTTCAATATGTCAATATAGTTGCGACCGTCAGACGGAACGAACGCGGCCATACCACAAGAGCATTGCACAACTGTCTATAATATTGTTCTACAAGGGCTCAAGACGCTTGCACAGTGCACAACAGCTGTCTTGGAGCAGGTAAGTATCCCATCTACGGCACAACATCAATGTTCCCTGCTCATGATCTCCATTCTAGAGTGCCTGGAAATACGCCAATCCAGTTAACCCACAGATTGCTCGCCATATACCTAATGAGGCACTTTCCTATGAGCTGGTTCGTTGTCAGACATGCCTAGGCTCCTCATTTCATGATTTCACGGTCTCAACGTTCTTGTTTGGCCCAGGCTGTTCGTTTCAATTACAGTGCAGAGGAGAAACGAGCGCTCATTGAGGTAAGGAACCTCTTCACCATTTTTTACGATGTATGGAACCTCAAACTTTGTCTAGTACATAGCTATGATCAAAAATCTTTCCTCCATGCTCTTGAGTCTGGACAGAGCATTCCTAGTGGCTATCAATCATCAGATTTACATGGATGTTCAAGACTTTGCCCGAAACCATATTAGCGATTTCTTCGTCCACGCCAGTAAGAAGAAACGCCCGGTGGCAGCGTATGTATTTTGCGTCGGAATCGACCATATTTCAAAGAACGCTAGCTTTATAATACCTGCTGTCTGGTTCATTAGGATAATCAAGCATTTGCGGGATATCGCATTTGACGGCCCGCCATGGGACGACGATGCCGCCGGTCGGGGTAAGAAGGACACTAAAAGTTCTGCTGGAGACACGCACGACAGTGCACCGCGGGCAAATCCCCTCGCACCATCGCTGGTAAGTGTCTGGCTGAAATGCCACAAAGATATTTTTGACCAAATTTTTTGTGTTGTGGATCCGTGCAGCTCCAAATCGTTCGCTTGGTTCTAAACTCCTGCTTCAACGAAAAAGCCAAGGGAATGAAAGGTGGTCTCATGCGAGAGAAAGACTTTAAGGATTCCCAGGCAAACGAGGTCCAAGAGTTCCTCAACCGAAGTAGGATGTACCTTCCGATGCTGGACTTGGAAGGTACGATTTGTATAAGGCCCAGACGTCATGTAACTTTCCATTGACCTTGAAACCGTTTTTATGGCAGGTACCGTCCGTCAACTGTCAGATCTGTCAGATCTATGGTTCAAGGAATTCTATCTGGAACTTAGTAAAAAAGTCCAGGTAGTGCCCGACCTTGCATTTCGTGATGCTCACCGATACTGAGAGCTGCTTTACCTAGTTTCCTATCAGTATGTCTTTACCCTGGATTTTGACGGAATATATTCTCCATTCCAACGATGCGGAGATGATACAGTATGTTGTGGCACAATCCAGGAAATCTTTGCAGAACGTGCAGAAATTATCTGATATGGTGATAACTGTCATCATCCAGATATGTTTTCTATCCATTTGAGCTTTATAACGATGCTGCATATCGGACTTTATATCATTTGAAAAGCAAGTTCATTTACGACGAGATTAACGCCGAGGTATGAACCATATCTACCCCAGTAGCACGTCTGAGAAAGTTATTTACATGTCGTGCCGCCTGTAGGTCAGCCTCTGTTTCGATCAATTGATCTTCAAACTGAGCGAGAAAATCTTCTTACATTATAAGAAGGCTGCATCATGGTAAAGGAACATACTTTAAATAAAGCTGCAGGTATGAAACATACTAAACAATTTTGGGCGCCGATGACGAAACAGCATTGTCCTGGCTGCAGATCTAAAGACCGAGACAGATCTTGCTCACATGGGTCTTGTTCTCGAAGCATACGACGGAATTCTGGCACAAAAGAACTATCAGGTAATAGACGAGTTCAAATCTAAGTGCTCTGTCCTTGGTTACTTATGATTTTGGCCGTTACAGCTACTCGGCCGCTCATTAAACATGTGGGAGCCCATTGGACAATGGATGAACCACCATCTCCGAAAGAGCATCGATACAGCCATTTGCCGGTATGAAGGGAGCGATCTGACATATATAACAGTGAGTATAAGTGCATAAGGTATTGACGCCTTCCGAGTGCCTGACAGAAGACCTTACGCATTACAATAGGATCTGGATACTCTGCTTCGGAGCGCTCGGATGACCCACCAGCTACTATCTCGGCGCATAATTTTGGATAATTTTGACGACATGCTAGCAGAAGTCGACGAATCCGTGTCTATAGCAGCCGTAAACGGACGTATCATATCGCATACCCTCAATCAACTCGTCAACGACTTCATCCCGAACTATTGCTTCAACAGTGTAACCAACAGGCAAGCTGCACAGCCGCTCACGTACTGTCAGACTGGGAACTCACTCATAATGAATACAGGTTCTTACGAGGACCTGTCGCATTTGTACCCGAGGCATCTAGGCACAGCTTTCCAAAAGCACCTCCAATCTATCTGTATGGCTCAAAGGTTGCAATTGAGACAGTCTCATTTTCAAATTTATGTTTACCTGACTGACACAATGGCGGGAATTAGGCGCTTTCAGTAGCTTTTAGTGCACAAAATGCTTTACTGAAGGAATTCATTGGGGAACCACACTTCAAGACCATAACTCGATGGACGGGGAAGCATGGAGTACCCGTCATCATAACGGAGCTTTCGAAGCACATCGACTCCATAGTAAGTGATAGCCTGCCTTAAAGGAAGTTCCGTCCCATGCTAAGTGTTATTTTGCACGGCATCAGGTCAAAAACACCATGACGGCGTACATCGGTGTCATATCAAAAGGAACTCCCCAAACAATGAAACTGCCGTTGTTTGAATACGGAACGGCTGGTAAGTAGTCTTCTTCAATCTTTATAGATGTTGTCAATCTAAGAATCGTTAATGTTGTCTCCGCTACAGGGACATTCGAGTACTTCGCTGCACATCTTAAGCCACTGATAACATATCCGGCTTTAAAGTCAGATGTACTACAGGCTTTTCGGGAGGCCGGAAACACTGTTCTGACGGTTAAATTCTTGGAGGACGTTCTGGTAAATGCTATCTCTGTGGTAAAATCACAAGCAATCTCTAAAGATCGTTTACTACAGGCGATAGACGGGCCATTCCAAGATATGCAAACCTTGGACTTTGTTCCCCAAGCCCCCGGTAAGTGAGTGCCATGATGCCATGTTAGGTGATCATCATTAATCTTGGCGGAACGGTAGATTCCAGGGCAACCGCTTACTCCAAGCTCAGAGATTTTGATGAAGTGTTTGAGTCTCACAATTATGCCACGGTGGGTATCATGTACACTGAAGTTGCTGGCGCTGAACAAAATCCCTAACTTTAACCTGGCAGCCATACCGAACCTGGGTGGAACGTACTGACGTTCTTTATGCTCCATCCCCCCCAAAAGCACTGATGAGCCCATTTTTGGAACACTTGCGTGAAACCCTCGATTCCGTTGCGGACGAGTGGCAGGCTGATGGTCATCTAGAAAATCCACGCGCGTTTTTCAGAATTTGGAGTGCTCTTCAATTCACATTTTGTGTACCAAGCGTCGGAGAAGGGAGACTTGTCAGGTAGGGCTTATATTGATGCAGCCTTCCATAAAAAGATGGGTTAGCTAAGGGTAATGATTGTCCGGTGGAATGATAGGGAGCTCTTTGGCGAAGGTCTTTCATGGGCAGGGTAAGTCGTTTAAGATGCATCTCCTTTGTAAAGGTGAACTCCCTTTAGGTTAACTGCATTTACACTCTTAACAGATGCACCTTTATCCATCTGCTGAACCAGACCGACGTATATACTGCCTTTGACTTCAACAACCACTGTCTATCGGTACAACGCGCCGATCGAAAGGCTGCACATTTGACATTCGGCTTTGGACAATACGGAGGTGCGATAGGGGTTACCGGAGCGAACGAAAAAGCAGCTGGAACTCCGGATTCGGCAAGTTTGTCCCCTACGTCTGCAACCGCAGCAACAGCCATTGGACTCCGACAGGATGTCGTACAGTTCTTGGAGAGTGCGTCCTTCTACCAAAATGTGAACGAAGAAGTCTTTGCGACTTTGATGGGAATGGAGGCCGTGGCATGAGGACAACTGAACACCGGTATTCGCATGTTAGGGAAGGGAAATTGATAGGAGTGTTAAAGTATGCATTTATTATTATGTTTCACGTTAAAACCATTTTCTTTACGGACGGGCACATGTGACTATAGCATGAATCCAATGTTCAGATTTCGTTGACCAGTTCCATAGTACATGGACCCCCACTTGGGCGGATTAGCCGTGTGAAAGAACACGTATCCGGGCCATAAGAGGCTGCGAAGAATTGCTACTGATCCAGTGCGCTCTGTTTGACATGACCATACTCCTAGTACCAATCAACCATGAGTTCAAACAAAGTCAGCTCAAATGTGCCAAAGGAAAACGTACCCTTCGGCTCATCGTTGGCAATGGTCTCAAATATATCAATAGATTCGTCGAATGCATCGGCTCTCTCTTGTAATGTCCGCTTGTTTATGTCGAAACCCTCGCGGAAGTGTAGATAGTGCGTTAACTGGCTGAGCTCGCCTTTTGGGATCCCTGTTGAAAGCATTCCTTGGGTCAGACAGCCAAAGAAACACCGGCGACAGGAGGCATCTACCTGAGAAATTGACATTTTTCTGCAGTTGATGCAAGGTATCTCTGTAATATGCTCCACGAGGGACAATTTCGGTCTCGTAATTAATGAGGGCTACGGTTCCAGAAAGCCGCTTCTCTTCGTTGATTGTCTTTTCCTAAACCACTTCCAATCAGTGAATTGCTTAGATACTGCAGATCAGCAAGTAATATCCACCTCAGCGCCTTCTTCTGGTTCTTCGCCTGAACAATTTTACTCATATTAGAAAAATGCCTTGACCAAATGCGGAAACACAAGTCAGCAACCCACCCAATGAGTACTCAAAAGCCGGATCACCGGTGAAGCGTCCGTGGACCTGACTAATACGATCCATATCCGACGATGGAACGTCAGGCAGTTGCAGCCAATTCACAAGATCAATGCTAAGGTCGGTATTGAAGTCATCAGGAAAATTCCTCCCTCCCCCAATACTGGGTACAGTATCAGATCACCGGTTGGACCGACATACCTATAGTAGAACTTTCGGGAAAAAAGGTTGTCTTTGGTCGCCTGGGCGATAAAATAGTCTCTCTGTACTCCAAGGATCTTTCCCCATAACCAGATCTCTTCAAGCTTCTCTTGCTCTTTCTTGACCTGGAGCGAAGATTGAATGGCAGCTTTCTCCTCAGTATTGAGGGTGAACCCCACCAGCGTAAGGTATGGTAAATCATCTAAATTGATAAAGGACATTTTGAAGACGGGCTGGGTGCAGAAAGCAGAGAGGTGAGCAGGAAATTGACGCGTACCCAAGCCTTATGTAATCAGTAAAGCCAGCATAGCGCTGACTACTATCAAGTGGATTTTGGCCACTTCATTTCTGACTTTAGCAATGGAATGGCATTAAGGCTGCAACGCTGTAATGTTCTATTTCTCATTTTATACTCATGTGATATAAAAGCTGTGAAATTCCAGATGTGGTTCATTGTATGCTGATATTTTTATAATACTAGCATCTACTAGAGTGCTCTATAAGGGAATCGTATCTACTAGAATAACAATTATTTCTTTGCACCCTAGTTCAGAGGTATACTCTGAGGAAATTGAAAACGATTAGAGGAATACGATTGCCGCTTGACCTGCTTTAATCGATCGTACGCCGCTCCATAATACGCTTGTTGCCGGTTCGGGAGCCCCTTGTCAATAGAGTTTTGGTACGCTGGAACAGTATTTGTTTTGTACTCTTTACGGTATAGAGTAGCCAGATTACCGTAGAAGTTGTTAATCCAGGTAGGACACGTCGGGCAATCGGAGTTACCTGGGGGAGCATTCAGATTCCCCATTCAACTACTATCTCAATGCCAAACAGCTCATTGCGATGAATGAAAGCAGTCTCGGAAACAGGAACATTGCTGACTTATCCACCCCAAAGATCGATGATGATATAAGCTCCGGTCAAGCCTCTCGGTATTGAACAGAGGTATTTGTTCATGATCTGTACAGTTTGCCCGCTGAAAGGAGCACTGTAGAATAATAAGTTGCCTTTAATGCACTTTGCGTCCTGAACAAAGGGGTGTTGCATGCCTGCCGGCTTTGTGGTGTCCATCCAAGTAAAACGAAGTAACGCATCCATAAGCGACTGCTGCCGTACATCTGAGGCAGAAGGTTGCGACCCTACAGCGTCTATAAAGCCCTTTAAAATCCCGTTGAGGTTTGACTTTGGATCGAGGTATAGTCCTTGCAGCTCCAAGGATCCTGCAGAATTCCAGTTCAATTCAGTTGTCAGATCGTTCGTCGCCTTTGGGCCCCATGTGTTATAGGCAGCAAGCACGGCGCGGTGTTGACTGGCGGGCCAACTAAATGTAAACGAAGTCACAGCGTCCGTATTGGGCACGGTTTGTAAGGCGATCTTGAATGATGTTATGATCCCCAAAGATCCTGAAGCAGCAGAAGATAATTGAGCATAGTTGCTTCAAGCCTCAACGTTCCTGTCTCCTGCACGTTACCTCCACCAACTCCACAAAGTTGCCCAAAATAATTTGGGTTCTGATTTTTATTTGCTACTAGCATGTCTCCCTTTGCGCTGACCATTGTGATTTCCAAAGCTTGATCGGCAGCCACTCCATATTTTACGCCCAAAGAGCCCGTATCCACCGTGTAGCGTTAGACCTCCCACACCTACGGTAGGACAGGTACCACCTGGAAAAGCATATTTTTCCTGCCGTCCATAACTTGTAATAGAGCGGGGCAAGCATGTTTCCATTACCGACAACGGCTGTACGGGTATTCTTATCGACGGATACTGAATACAGCTTGTACAAGTCCACAAGTAGAGCTCCATTCTTCCCACCTTGCGAGTACCCTTCGTAAGAGTGGCCACTAGATCGGGGAGCTATCGTCATGTTGTTTTGCGTTCGCACACATTACGGCAGTTTGAATGTGTTTCTCCTTCGTTGGGATGAATATTGCCGCGGGTTTATAGGTGAAGCGGTAGTCTTGTCCAAGTGAAGCTTTTGGGTATGTCGGATCTGAAGGTGCGATTACCTTGGAACCATCTTGAATACCAGAAATAGTTGTATAAGCTGGCCAAATGTGCATGGTGCGCCAGGAAAAAGACAAGCCAAAGTGGCCACGACAAGACGCATGTTATGTCTCCTCCCAGAGATCGGCGCAGATTCAGAGATATGCGAGCCCGCACAGAAGGAGTTGGTATGCCTGATCTACTTTATTGACGATTAACAAGAGTTGGATCCTCTGATCGCTGTAAGCAGCATTGTACAGCCATGAGTGGTCGCTGAGTTCCGATTTTTCTAATCTCTTTTCTTTGTGCTGCGTGCTGCCGCACCGACCCTTTTATTTTGTCTTCAACAAGAAGACCATGCGTGTCGTCCTGCACGAATTCGGGAGCTGACTTTTAGCGTTCGTCAGTGTAGATAAAGTTGCTGCGAGATGGACGTTGAGATCGGAGTATCGCTCCCGGCGGTGAAAACGCGAGGATGGCACAGTTAGAGATGATGTCACTCCCAACGAGTGACGTCCAACAAGTTGCCGGCAACTACTTAAAGCAAACCTTTTTTGACGGGGAGAGCTTCACTTGCCCTTCTTGTCGGTGCAAGTTCTATCCTCGTCCAGTACAAATGTCAGCTCAACCAGGAGGACATACATTTCGCGTCTGGGCACCGGATGCCCCTTCTGTAACGTTGGTGTTGGGCGCTGGGGACCAAGCCAAGTCCATCCCCATGAAGAAAGTAGATGTCCCATCTGCACGTAGTCAAGGATGGTGGGAGGCAGTTGTCAAGGGTGCAGGACACGGTTCCGACTATGGATTTCTGGTAGAGAAGAACAAATATAACGTCGACAAACCTTTACCGGACCCTCGAGGTTTCTGGCTTCCTACAAGCGTTCACGGACCCTCACGAGTTTACAATCATGATCAATTCAAATGGACAGACAAAACATGGAGAGGCGTGCCTCTGGCAGGGTAAGCTAATTGTTGGCCGGCTCCACTGGAAAATAACATTGACACATCCTCAGATCAGTGCTGTACGAGCTGCACGTCGGTACTTTTAGCGAGGAAGGCACCTTTGATGGTGCCATAAAGAAATTGGATCATCTCGTAAATCTAGGAATAGATGCAATTGAATTGCTCCCTTGCAACGCATTTCCTGGTCAATGGAACTGGGGATATGATGGGGTTGGCTTGTACGCGGTCCAAGAGTCATACGGTGGTCCCGACGGCCTGAAACGCCTCGTCGATGCTTGCCACGCTAGAGGTATTGGAGTTATAATGGACGTGGTATATAACCACCTTGGTCCCGATGGCAATTATTTGGAGTGCTTTGGTCCGTACTTTAGTACAAAGTCCAATTCATGGGGGACTTCAGTCAATTTGGACGGGCCATGGTCGGATGAGGTGCGGAGCTTCTTCATCGACAATGCTTTGATGTGGTTGGAGCATTATCACATCGATGGTCTTCGATTGGACGCCGTCCACGCTTTACTTGATACAAGCGCAACCCATTTCCTCGAGGATCTCGCCAATCATGTACGCAATCTGAGTGCACGTCTTCGAAAGCCTCTGTTCCTCATCGCGGAGTCGGATCTCAATGATCCAAGGTTGATCAAAAGCCCTGAAGCCGGTGGATATGGTCTCGATGCGCAGTGGGCCGATGACGTTCACCATTCGCTCCATGCACTCCTTACTGGAGAACGGCAAGGATACTATGGTGACTTTGGTTCGCTAGAGGTGATGGCGAAAGCACTCCGTGGTGGATTTGTGCATGATGGGGAATGGTCCTCCTTTCGCAAGCGAAAATACGGTCGACCAATTCCCACTACCGTACCTACATCCCGCTTGGTGGTATTCTTGCAAGATCATGACCAGGTGCATATTCATCTCTCTTCTTTTCACGTTCGTAAGTGATACTGACTCGCACCTCGCCAGATTGGTAATCGCGCTGTTGGAGACCGCATTTCGGAGCATCTTAACGACAACCTTCTTCGTATCGGAGCAGCGTTGCTTTTGATGTCACCATTCACCCCTATGCTGTTTCAAGGTGAAGAGTGGGGAGCAAAAACACCTTTCCAGTTTTTTACCAATCATAATAAGGAGCTGGGGGAGCTCGTCAAGAAAGGTCGTCGAGCAGAGTTCGCTGAGCACGGATGGAACACGGAGGATGTTCCTGACCCGCAGGATCCCGAAACTTTCAAGCGAAGCAAGCTGAACTGGAATGAACCTACTCAAAACAAACACGCTTCTCTCTTGGATTGGTATAAGTCCCTCATTCATCTCAGGAGGAGCGTACCGGAAATTGCCAAAGTCGATGAATTTGGGCAGATTGAATGCGAAGTTGATGAGGAAGCGAAATGGCTGGTTCTTAGGAGAAGCGAAAAAGTGGCAACCGTGGTCAATCTAGGAAAGAAAGAACAAACTATTCCAGTGATCGGAGACGGGCATAACGGACGGAAGCAGATTGGCGACATTCTCTTGTCGCATGGGTCGTACGAGGTGAAAGGCGCTGCTCTGACGCTCGGACCAGAGTCTGTAGCAATTGTCAGAATTCGGGGGTAAACAGAGGATAACATTATAATATGTACAGGCCATCATGGATGCTCCGCATTATAAATAAATATTACGGTTCTGCTAAGGCTCGCTGTCGTTAGGATACGTAATCCGGCAGGTAGCTAAGAGTTTACATCAGACCGCTCTTAAACACAATAGGCCAGCATTCCAGTGTTTTAGAGTTCACCAGAACTAATGTACCCGACTCGGCAAAGGATGGTATTAGTACTATGCGGGTTTTGCTGCCCTTAGCGTCTATGATTGCAAATGCGTAAGCCAAGAAAACCTATCTGTAGCACTCATGATACTGGTACCTTCCACCAAACTAGTTTCATATGCCGGTTGATTACCAATGAAATAAAGGTGAGGAGGATGTTTGATGACGAACGGATCCGTATCCTTATAAGGATGGCACCCTACAATGTTGACCTGTCAGTAATTGCCCAGCTCGATAGAAATTATGCACAGTCTACAAACATAGGGTATCAGGAGCCGTCGGCGCTAAATGCGCCCATCGCAATGTATTTTCCGCCATTGACAGGCGATCTTCGGACGTTACAAATCGGAAAATGTCGTCGATGTTCTGTCCAGACGTGCCCAGTACACTGCACAAATGATGTGGTTCAAGTCCGAGCTTGAAAAATGACTCTCGCGCTGGCAACTCACCTAAGGCCCCCAATCTCTGCAGAATAGGGATTCGTGACCGTATTGAAAGTGGAAAATTTCGAAGCATTGGGGAAAATAGCAAAGTGGATAGGCTGCTGCGGCAGCGAGCAATTGGCGGGATCAGTTTCACCCGGAAGGATGTCAACATCAAGGTTCTCGCACAGTTGTGAGAGCACAGTATCCACTACATGTAACGGCTCTTTCCTAGTGGCCGTGCTTTCTGAGCCGTATTTGTTTCTTGACTGAATGGGCAAGGCAAAATTGATGTTCAACAAAGGTGCCAACCCCTTATACACGCCAGTACTTACGGGACGCTTTTCCTCCTCGACCAGTTTGGGTTTTGCCACAGAATTTCCCGCCAGTATTAGGCGAGTGATGCATGAAGCAGTACGTTGTTCCTAAAAAATAGTGTTCAGTGTGAAAAGTAGCAACAATATCAGCACCCGTCCTATTCAGCCTACCCTTTCGCTTCCTAATTCGCCAGCAAGAAAATCAGACAGCAGTTCCAACTCCAAGTTGAAGGTCTCATCACCCACGCTAAGACCAGACGCAATGGCAATGAACGTGTCTCCTATTACAGACCGAATCAGTCCAGGGCTCCATGCTGTAAGATCTTTCGTAAAGCACCTTCACTCGGGGGCAGCGTAGGCTGTGGTGCCAGTTGTGGATAACATATATCAATCACTTCAAAATCACCACTCGCATTCTCGCAACCAAGAACAGCTACAATAATGCCTAGAAGATTTCGATGTCAATTAACATATCCTTGGCGCGGTTATAAATTTGTGTTTGCCGTAGTCATCACACCTGTGACGAGCATTGTGTCTTTCAAAATCTCTCCAGTCAGCTTTACCCGCCCCGATTCGTCTTCCAGTACCACCTCATCTTCATCACTAGCGTACTTGCTTCTTGGTGGAGGCGCAATAACCCAATGCTACAACAATTCACATAAACAATTGCTTTGTGCCATTTGCACACCCTGAATAAACTGACCTCTTGTGTAACTTCATCCAAAATGTTCGGTTTTAAGGGCATATCAACGTAAATGGTACCCGCTATGTAGCACACTTCTCCGGGCCGGACATCCAGCGCTCTGGGAATATGTGGTGGACTGGCTATCCTTTCAAAATTGAGCGCGTGGTACGACTGTCTCCAATATTACAAAGTCCGGAAGTACCTCCAGCTCTTGCCCATCGTTCTTTTGCAGCAGAAAGGACCTTTGGCCGGAGCATGTTGAGTCTGCTGAAATAGATGCCCGCATACTGTTGTGTGTAAACTCGTTCTTTGACAATGAACTTGTCGCATGTGTTGAGACTGTGACATGATTTTCGCTCGAAAGTGATGGTGTCTTCCTGTGAAGTGGAGGAAGCGGGTCGAAACATGGTTTCACTAGAACGAAGGCAAGGTCAAAGACGTAGAAATGCAAAGGTCTGCGAGATCACTCCAATAACATTGATACGAACTCGGCAGCATGCTCGACATCAGAGTCGAAGGACATCGCGGTTGACTCCACGGCCGTAAGCATATAGTATATTTGGAGATTAAAGCAGCCTGAATCCTGCACGCCAGCGTCACGCCAATAGGAAAACCACCGGATGGGAAGATGATCTTGTGGGAATGCGAGAGGAGAGTCCGGACGATGGGACGTGCATGCTATGGCAACAGCAGGGGCACAGCATCCACCGTGAGATTGTCCTCGCGCGTTTCGTACGCCCTACACAGAAGGGTGTTCGACATATACGATGGTGGGGCCACATCCCATCAGGAGAAGGGGTAGCCGCTGCTGAACGGCATCGAGTTGTCCTGGCCAGCCGCCCAATGTCTAGCGCACCCTTCCCATCACACTTTGCACGCTCTCTTTCGCTTGCCAAAGCCCGTCGAACTGGTCAGTTGGACGACATTTCGGAAAAGGCGCCCAAGGCAGAAGGCAAAGTACGAACGAAGTCAGTGAGTTTGTTTAGAAATATCAAGAAATTTTGTCAGAAATTGCGTCAGAAGTCGGCTTCCGGGGGACAAGCCAAGAGATGGAGTCTTTTCAAAGGGCCCGGAAGTTTTCGGCCAGAGAGCGTCGTGATACATGAAGCCAATGTAAGCGAGCCTTATAGTCCATCCTATCTGAAATCAAGGGAAATGGGAGAAGTTGGCAGGCCTTGTGAACCTGACTTCATGGACACGCCCAATCCGATTTCTGCACGAGAATCGGTCGTTGAACGCGCGCTTCTAAACGGACAATGTGCGGCATCTTTCAGTTCGACAGGAAGACGTCCCGTGAGTTGGCATCACTTCTACAAAATCAAATATATTATGTCATGACTTAGATTTGCACTCCGTTTCGTTGGACAAAGGTGTCTTATTCACATCGGCGGCCATCCGTGAAAGCGGTCAAGCACTTGTCCTATATCCAGCCTCAGAGATATGTGTGTGTTCCGGGTAGTCACGACATACTGAAAAATCCGGAGACCTCGGCTATACTGTCGCGAAATGATTCTACGCCTCGTTTTTCGATTGACTCGGAAGCATCGCTTCATGCGCATTGTGACAGCTTATCTGTTGTGGATTCATTGGTGACATCAACGCCTTCCTCGTCTGCATCAGCGAGGCTGGATGCGCAGGTGCAAGCTTTGGATGGTGCATTCTCGCGTATCAGGGCCGCTCAAAATCTAAAGAAGGAAGATCTGGATGGTCAAAATCGGAGAAGATCTCTTGGGGAGCATCTAGGAGCCGACAGCTATGAAGGACGGGGGTCCCTGGAGGTGGAGACTGGTGGACCTTCACTAGAGCTCGTGACCGATTGCCATCAGCCATACCATGGACGCACAGATGCTGTATCGGGGACAAGGGCAATTCAGTCGGTCATGTATCTTCCGCGTGCCATGTTGCCAACCTTGCAAGGAACCGTGGAGGGAGGTGATAGTAAAGAATGGTACTCGTCCAACACTTTGGATTCCTTGTATTTGGATTTCAAAGATCTGTCGCTTGATCAGCTGGCCCACAAATATTCCCCAGATGGGTTGAGTGCTCACCCTGGATTTAGAGCAAGTGTTGCGTGAAGGCAACCTTTCTCTGCTTGTATCATATCTCTTTTCTGTATCTATTGCTTATGTGTATTTACCAAACAAGGTGTCCTTGTCATGATTGCAATCTATTGCAAGTTAGCATTGTGGCCTTTGAGCCTAAGACTCGGCCAGCGCCTTTTCCCCAACCGTTGATGGTACAATTATAGACTGCCAAACATCCAGCCCTTGGACTGACGTCGTTATCCTCGACCTCTTTGGGAAAGGCTCCAGCACTTCCAACGTTGACCGGTATCCACGGTGCAGGATGTCTCCGGTTTTCCTGGAGTTGGGGGCTTGCTGAAACCTATGCTGGCCAATCTTGATCGATTACTTTTGCTCATGCCAGCCTCCGGTGGGAGGTGGAGATGTATCGGGGCCTTAGGTCGCGTAGCAGCATGTGCCCAATGGCTTTCTTTCTGCCTACGTACTTCGATAACTGACATGTTAAGGCTTAGGTCTCTGCCACTGTAACGGCTCACGACCTCTCGCTCAGTGCTGATGTCGCAAAGGTGAGCTTGGTTTGTGTCTCGGTTTCTAAAGCGCTGGAAGCCGTGAGTCGCATCCACGCACTAAGTTGCATAAGTTCATGCTTCGCCTGGCAGGAAAGCTAAAGATTTCAGCAATGAATCCTTTGCAATGTACATTGAACTGGGCGTTCACCTCTGTCCGTTCCAGATACGCTGCTCGAGGGTCCGATATGCTGCCGAAAATACACCTCAGCCGCGTCGCTATATCTGCTACAATGTTCTATACAAATGTCGACGTTGGCAACAGCACCAGGTTATTCGGTTACTAGCCATCTAAAATAGAGCTTGTTGTCTACTTACACTTTGGTCCTTTAGGTCGTCGATATTTCCAACTGCGAGGCTGAAGATCTTCACCAGCGCTGTGAGCTCTGTATACTCTTCCTTGTCGCGCGCCGTACTGTATTTGGCTACCGAAAACACTGAATACCTGGACACCTTCGCCCACACAGTCCCTAATGAAGTTATGCCGACATCGGCAGGAGAGGGGATGTCCTCACATTGTTCACTTCGCAGGATCAACAGCCTTGCCAATTGGCGTCGAATTTCGCGCGCCGCTGCCGATTTGGAGGCCGCCCAATTGAAGACGGAGACCACCCAAACATGATGGGATGACTTACTGCCAGCAAACTCGGCAAGTCGAATGCATACAGTTCCGCAAAGTGTAGGCCATCCTTCATTGATCTTCAGGGCATTGCAGAGATCTGCAACCGTGTCTCCAATTGTATCGGCATAAGCCAGCTGAACTCTCGAATCAGTCGACAAGATGGCTACTATATGAAGGGCATTGAGAAGATCGTTGGACGAATACAGAGAAGGCCTTATCGATAAATATATCAGCTATGGGAAGATCACAAAACGCGGAATGGGCTTATCCTACCGTTGCCTAGCGCAGATGCCTAAAACAGTCATCAATATTCGTATCTTGGCGAGAATAAACGACACGTCCTGAAGAGAACTTCCTTCGGCCTCGACCTTGACGTCGCGATGCTTAATGAAAGACCCAAGGCATGGTCGCGCATTGTCATCCAAGAGCTCCGGGGGGCAACCAAATTGGCGCAGCATTTCGCCGAGCGCATTGATAGTTAAAATCCACCCACTTGAATTTGTCCGCTGATACGGTTGACTTGTAAGCTCCTGATCCCATCAAGGCATTTGTGCTGAGATGCTATCGAACTCACATTGTGGATACGCGTGAAATTCTGACAAGCGAGATCCGCCAGCTGGCGATCCGTTTCATAACAGGCTGAAAGAAGCGCATAGCATTAGACAAAACCGTAATAGCGTGTCTGCTTGCTTCTGCAGGATTTTACCTGTACTAAACAACCAATCGAGTACAACGACCGCACAATCCGGCTTTCTGTGAACTAGATGGCTCATGACACTACCCCGTAACAACGTGGCCGCTTTCACCTTGTCTGAAATGGAAGGTTGTCGTAAGGAAGTGACACCTGTAACGTAGTACACGGACCGGAACTATTTAGGAGATACCTGTTAACGACTCCGATAAACATGCTGGCAGGACCGCAGTTCGCAAGGGCTGCAAAGTACGCGTTGGCATCTGTACGGCTATGTTATTCGAGAAGAGTGAAGCCAAACATTGCGTGACCTAAAGAGAAACTTACTACTACGGACTGCAATATTGCAACAGACATCTCCTGCTCGGGCCCGTCGGGTTTCGAAAGCATCTACAAAGAGAGTCAATCATCCTGCAAACACAGAGCCTGTCAACCACGATAACTCACAGAATTGACGATTTCGCCAGTCTCCTGGCCCAAAACTCGATTCGACATTACACCCAGATCCAATGCACTAGATTTGTCTTCATCCTAAGTATTGGCTTCTGTGAGACGACAACCCACTTTATCCACACCGGTTGACCTACTTTGACAACTTGTTCCAGTAACCTCTCATGCTCAAGTCGTCTGTTCTCCTGCTTCCGCTTGTCTTTCAGAAGATAGTCCAAACTGAACATGGGCTTACGCTTCATTGCTGTTGCGCCTGCCCGATATCCGGGTGAAGAATTTGTCTCCGTCCGATGCGCATGGGAAAATAGGTTCTGGTCTTGGAAGGGGTCGAGAGGTGGCGGCGCATAGTTCACATGTCGTTTCGCGCGAGAAGAGCGTCTTTGATCACAAATGACGGGCATATTTGATCAGTTCTACGTATCAAAGACTGGCCGCAGTACAATGGTAGACATTTACCGTTGTTCGGTTTCCAGATGGATGCTGTTTGGCAAGAGTAGCTCTTCGTCGTCGTCATCATCGTCGTTGTTGCCACGTCCTATGACGGGATCTGTGGCGTAGCCGAGCTCAACCTCATTCTTCAGCGTAAGTGAGGTCTCACCGAAGCTGTCAGCAGCTTTCGATCGATCATGCCGGCTGGTCCTCTCATCGAGTCTCCGATGAGATGGATTTGAAACTGACGGACCCTCCACCACAAGTTGATTGCGGCCGGTCTCGCTATTATCCACATCGGCTGACAAAGGTAGTACTTCGACTCTGGATGCTATTACACCCGGAATGATCGCAATGGTAGGAGATAGAGCCATGCCGTCTGTCAGCATTTCGCTTTCATCCTCTAAGGTTGCAACCTCCTTCCCTGTTACTGAATATCGGGCGGCCAATGGATCCGAGCTGCTGCCATCTTCATTTTTTACACGTTGCTGCCCGTCATCCATGATCCCGACTGTTTCCCGCCTAGCGCGTTTTGAGCTGTTTTCCGCCAGTTCATCTGTCCGCGTCAAAATGACGATGTTGTTCCCACGACATTGTTGCTCGGTTGCAGCGGTGTGTCCTGTCAACGTCTGGAAATTACCATTGCCTTGTTGAGTCAGTGAAACGTTCAACATATGAGCTGGACATGCAAGGTCTATTTCAGGTAATGCCAAAAAGCGGATAACAACGCACCAGTACGGTCAACGCTCTGGTGGTGGACTTGCTTTCGAACTATTATGTTATTGACTGTCAGGTACGGCAAATTACGTTAGAAACACATACCTGTGGATTCGGTCGGTGTCTCGCTTGGACACTTTGAGAAGTACTTGGTAATTAACGCATTCCTGTTTAGGTATGAAAGCTTAAGTTGCCGGCAGAGGGGGCCAGCCAAAGCTAGAATCGAGCACTATACACTTACCCTTTTGGGGGCGGGATATGCTCGTAATAGGAGGTCAAAGGCTTCATGCTAGAAAACAAAATGGGCCAATAAGGCTTTACTACCGAAGCACGAAAGAATGGCCCTCCCACCATCTCCTTACTTTTTGCTCGCGTTTGGTCTAATCTTTTTGTTCCTCTGCATATTGATTCACAAATCAATAGAGCGGGAATAGCACATATGGCAGCAACGGGTAATGCAATCACTCTTGGCGTGCACAGAAGAGGATCTGGGAATGGTGCTAGTTGAAGGATGATGAGATCTGTCAATTGAAAGAATGTCCGAACAGTTCAAAGTCTTTATGCACTTGAACCGGCTTGATACGTGACCTCCATGGAATAGTCCGTGCTTACATTCCCACTGCCTCACCAATAGTTCAACTTTCCACTTGGCGCGTTTGAGTTTATTTACTTGCCTTTCAAGCTTTTGTGATCTTTTGATCCCGTTTCTGAGCACTAGTGGAGGAGGTAGAGCCAATATGTCGAGCACAGGGCATTATGCAAAGCCGGGTACAGTACTGGAATGATCTCCTTGGTCTTTCTGCTATTGTCTAACTCTATACCAGGTCCCCCAGCGAGTGCGTTGTCTGCAGCTCAACACGCCAGTTCCTATTTCCTTTCCAGCTCGTCTTCCTCCATTTCCGTCCCCTCTTTCGCTTTGGCGTCAGCCTCTCCCTCTCTCGTGAGTCCCCTAACATCACCAATGAATACGATGCTCTCCCCCGCCACACATCCTGGAGATTACCTGTCACCGCAAAATCCTCCTTTTAGTCCACCTTTTGCGAGCCCTTCTGAAAGTCCAATAGATGAAAGTCCTAGGACAAAAGCTAATAATGGCACAACAAGAGAAAATGTAAGCAACCTGAGCGGAAGTCAGTGCATTCTGGCTTTTCAGTTAGTTAGAAAGTGGTGTGAGTTCAGAAGGCATGTGGCTGACTGTGTACTTCCGTATTCTGACGATTCTCGGTAATATTCAAGTTCGTTCACAAGCTACACAAGTAAGATAGTGGGGTTTATCCTTAACTACGGGCGTCGACATTGATCATCTCTGCACGCAGCATGGTAATAGACAAGCAGTATCAGCACCTCATCAGTTGGAACTACTCTGGTACCTCCTTCATCGTGTGCAACGTATTGGAATTTTCTCGTGAAGTCTTGCCAAAACGTGGGTATTGACGAAATGATCGCCGCATACTTCCGAATCTCCCTATGTAACACACCCGCCCTTCTTTGAACAGACTTCAAGCATAATAACTTCTCCAGCTTTGTGCGGCAGTTGAACATGTATGGTTTTCATAAAGTCAACAAATCACCTCGTGGGAGCCGAACGCTGGCGGAGAATCAAGTGTGGGAGTTTTCGCATCCTAAATTTCTCCGTGATCGACCACAACTTTTGGATGAGATTAAGAGGAAATCTGTAGAGTCGGAAACATTCAGGCGCGAGACAGGAGATATTCAAGCTCAGATGCAGATAATGCATCTCAATCAAGCGGACATGATGCAGCAGTTACAACGATTGCAAGAGAACTTCACGGAACTCATGCGGGAATTTGCTGAAAGTCGACGAAAGCAGGTTATCCAGCAACAGATGATGAAAAACATGATGGAGTTCATGAAACAGCAGTACATTCAACAACAGCAACAACAACAACAACAACAGCAACAGCAACAGCAACAGCACGAGCAGCAGCGATCTCTCCCCTCGTCCCAGCACCCGCAGCACCAATCACAGCGTACGTGCCACAATTGAAATTACAGTTGGTCATATTCTATCGAAAGGCTGACACTTTTTACTGGACTAAATAAGCAATACTTCCTCTCGAATTCGACATGGCCTTCATGGATCCACAATTAATGGGCGGGTCAACAGCAACATGCTTCAGCTCCGGTACGGCTACTATGATTGATCGCCAATATTCCTATTCCCGCAACATGCCGCGAACGCGACCCGCTCATCATCCTTCACCTTAGGTTCAACGATCGTTAAGCAGGAGTTTGTAAACCAGGAAGGAGGGAGCCCTAGTGGGGGAAACATGGGTGGATCTGGCGGTTCCGTTGGTGAAGGTATGCGTAATGGTGGAGTCGGGAATACCTTAGTCAATCCAAGCTACATTCAACGGACACCCTGGACCGCCGCCTTAAATACACCTTTACCGCCAAGCCCAGCCCCAGGGACCCCGATGGATCGCGCCACAGAGAGTGATCGACGACTACCATCGGCATTGGGTGTGTTGGGTATGGACGAGGAGGACATGGACGGTCTTTTAGATATGTCGCATGATTTCGGGGACGAATTTGGAGACCCTCTAGAAGGTCTCAGATCAACGTAGATTTTGTACCATAACTCGCTGCTCACATGAATGTGGTGCTGATATGCGAAGAGGCTTGTATGCTTCTTTGGGTTGTATATGATAATGTTATTATTTACAATTTTAACTTCGCGATGTCATCTGCGCTAAACTCGACCCTGAGTAGATAAACCGCGTTTGGTCAACTGATCAGTGTCATGAAAATTTTGGTAACCTTACCTTAATGCCAACACCTTCCGCACGTCTTTGAGTGTCAATCGCCAGGTTATTGGACCTGATTTTCCCCACATGTCATAAATTTCCATGAGGTTGTCCAGGTTCAACAATGTGGAGATTTGATTTAGCCGCGTGAACCTATCTCTCGTTGGCCACTGGGTTACCGAGGACAGGTACGAACTAACTGCTCGGAGATCCTTATCGAACAGCAACGCCCCAAACTATCGAGACGGAATAACAAATGTTATGTTGTTTATCTCACTTAATGCTTCTAATCCTTCATACCTGGTTGAACTTGAGGTTTTCATACAGGTACCTTTCCCAATCTTTCGCTACGTAATCGATCAGAAATATCATGGTTTGATTATAGTTCCACTCGGAATATGATTTCTAGGAAGGGATGAATGAATATGTTGGGTAAGCTAGTCCCGCTGAGACGCTCCGTTTTCAATGAACCTACCTGGTAAGGTCGAATGATCTTCCCCAAGCCAGCAACGAAACGCTTTACAAAGTACTCATCCGCCTCTTGCGCGGCGTACTCATCGTCAGTTAAAACGTACTTAATGTCAGCGTATGCTTGATGCAGAGCTGATCGTAGCCGAGGTTTTATCTGTTGCTTGAACAAGTTGTCTATCCATGTCTAATGTGGAGTGGGATTGTCAGGTAATAATATTGGGATGATTTGGACTATAAATTTTACATACCTTGAGTATATTTCGGAAACTGCCAGCGTATTCAGACAGCACTGCCAGACATGATCGGATTTTCTCCAAGGACAAATCATCGTTTGACCCGAACAGGTGCTCCACTTCCACATCCAGCTCCTCCGCCAGCTTCATAACATAATCGCAACTGATGTCTATATTGTTCAAGTAGATCTGCGAAACGGTAGTTTTGAATGCTTTTTCTTCTCACAAATTAATCATCCGTAACAAACTTACCATAAACCCAGGTCTGTCTTTTCCTTCTTTGGTCTCAGTGGAAGTAAACGCTGATCCCGAGCGCTTTTGGAAAACATTTATGTAATCGAGCTCAAGAATCTTGCCAATGCCGTTGATAATCGCGCATATACAATTCGAGTCTGATGTTGACAAAGCTCGCCGTGTACATGTCTTTAGAATAAAGAAGACGTCTTCAACGCAACTTGATGTGAGGTCGTTTTTGTCATATGTATCAATGGAAAGTGCCTATAATGAATATAGCGGTTTAAATCAGCAGTGTAAGCAGATGACATGGGATGACCAACAGTACCTTTTCGATGCTGCGACGAATGAAGTATTCTTCCAATGACACATAGTTGTCCATAAGCCTTTGGGTCAACTCATCCAGCTTGCTGACCTTTACGAGACCATCTCCTTCGCCATCAAGGTTTGTGGCCCAGTCGGAATGTTTTAGTGGTGTTTCATGAAGTTTCGTAATCTCAGCCTTGTTTACGATCTTTCAGCAATGGCCCTGCAACACATTTAAACAAACTGTCAGCTACTTTACCTCGGCCCGAACGTGCAGGAATCTATTGAATATCCGCGTCTTCTGAGATATGAGGGCAATTTCACTCAGAATACCATCAACCTCTCTCGGCTCTAGAAAGCTCTCGGTGGGCGGCTGCTTTAGCTTCTTGCGAGCGCTTTCTTCATAGCGTGCCACCTCCCCTAACTGATATGTTTCGTTCACCATTAGATGCCACGTGTTTTCTCATTCACATAGTTCTACCTTGCGCTGCAGCTGTCGCTTCTCAGTGAACGAATTCAGGATGATAGAACTTTGGATGTCCGCCTCACGTTGCAGGCGTTGTATGACTCTCAGCATAGTGCCCGGTCCATAAGTTGAATCCACCATCGCTTCCTGTCGATCAACCACCATTGCAATGGTCTCAAATAATCGGGTAAGCAAACCGGCGTAGAACTGCGCTGCCGAGTGGGGTTACTTATAAGGTCAAAGGCACTCATCCGATACTTTACTTACGGCGGTCAGCGGATTCTCTCATGTTGTCTTGGCATTGCCGCGATATGCTCCCGCAAATATAGGCGGAAAACTTATCGAGGCCTACCTCATGGTGTCCAACTAGCGGGAAGATCTTAAAGTATCGTAGTATATTTTCCTCATTGCCCGCTTGCACGGCGTTGTCAAACTCATCCATGGCCTTATCTTTCAGGGATTGCTGAGCGTTTTTGAGTACTTCCAAAGGTGTTCTTCCTGGCTGGATAGCGTCATCGAAACTCGTTGTTCCAGAAAAATACAGATTATCTGCTGCATCTCCAGAGAAGATCTTCTCCACCACCGTTGGATCGTAGCTCAAGTATCGGCAAATGTAGTGCCCAGCCAGCTCGTAATCGCCCGTGTTCAGCGCCTCCTCCACTCCACCAGCACATTTCTGTAAGAGCCAGAACAGAAACGCGTTATTTTCAGTCGTGTTGACAGCAGGCATTGTCCAGATAATCACCTTTAGCTCTTGGATATCCTCCACAAGCCCCATGGTGTCTTTCACGCGAGACTATATGCAGGGTATCAGAATACGCTAGAGCTATAATCCAAATAGAACCCACACCAACCTGCTCAAGGTCTAGCTGTCGAACTTTGCCTGAAATGCGTTCCGCTAGTGTAGAGGTCTCGGATAGTACGGTCAGAAGGGAAGTTGCGTCGTTTCGAAGTGAACCTATCTCTGATCTGTACTCAGTGTAGGCGCGGCCGCACATGAGGAACGGTTCGACAACCGTGGGAGAGTAATTACCGCATGGAGTCCAATGCTTTCAAGTGGTTTTCGAGATCTGCGCGTCCTTTCATAAGGTTATCCAAGGTGAGATCCACTTCGGTCTCCTCCTCCAACAAAAACCGTAATTGCATTTGAATGTCATTGATATCGACAAGCTGTTGCAATTGTTCCAATTGCATCACTACAGGAAGGTCTTTAGATTTCTTCGGAGTCGCCACATGTGTGAGAGCAGGTACAGGTTGACGCGGAAAGTCATTTGCATCGGCCATCGCTGGAGGAGTGAGCGTCAAGGACAGGCCGCGATGGAAGGGTTGGTGCGATGACTCAGACGAAATGTGGTTATAGCCAATAATTGAATATTCAATAACATCTATTACATCCCATTATCCATAAAAATATTCAAGCTGCTTTTTCCCTTTTATCAGTCGGTGTATCTTTAAAATAAATAGTATCGTAACCATATACGGGCTCCACCAATCGAGTATTGTCCGTATTCTAGACAGAAGAGAGGCCCGAGGTTTCGGTGCAGAGCGTCGGATCATTGTGCCGGAGGTCGCCGCTGCCGCGCTGGGAGACGGAAGGTTCGTAACAGATCCAACCGCAGCATCTCCATCTCCTTCATCTTCACTGGACTTTTTGTCCTTTCTCTGTGCGACAACGTCCGCCGTGCCTTCCGCCCGAGCCAAAACAGTCGAAACCGTTTTTTGTTCCAAGACTTTGAGAATAGTATCCAATTTTTTAAAACTATTGGGCACGCTCTTTGTCGCAATGAAGCCAATAACGCTTTTCGGTATCCTATTGAAAGTCATCTGTGTTCAAACACACCACATATTGCGTGAGAGCTTCATAAGTCATATGGGTGCTCACCATCCCTTTAAGTCGCCGTCCGCGACCTGAACAACCCGACACATTCCAGGCTGATTATCGAGGGTGGGTCCAACGACTTGTCCGGATATCTTGGCTTCCATCCGCACAATGTTCTCTCCGTCTCGCGGAGGACAGTCGGGGTGCTCCACTGATTGGGCCACGTTCAGGTAGCGACCATCTGGAAGGCGTTCAACATGCGCCAAGACAAGGGTGTCACGAGGGGAAGCTGGCCAAACGCCCTTTGTTCTCATGAATTGTATCTGTATGTGGATGACAGGATACACTTAGAGGTCAATAGAGTTGTAAATGCACAGAGATACACACCTTCGTAGCATTATCAATCACTTCGATAATTCCTGATTCTTCGCATAAATCGTCCCATTCTCCGCGGCGAGTGATGTCCGACAGCAGATCAAATGCCGTCTCCATGGTACAGTTCAGCTCTGCAATGACCTTCACACAGAAATCTGTATTCTGGAGCTTGTACACCTCGATCGATGGATTGGCAAGGGAGGCAACAAGAACCCAAGGGTTATCATGCGATAAATTAGTGGAATCCGCCATTTCAAGAAATTGGGCTTTCATCTTTTGGATTTGATTGGCGTAACGCCCGCCATCGTTATTGGTGCGTTCAGACATGATAACCTTTCTAAGTGTCTTCAGATAAATAGTAGCAGAAAACTTTGGGCGACGGCGCCAATGTACGTTTGCGGTCTACAATTGAGTACGCTTCATCCGTAAATGTCCAAAAAAAACTGGCCATCCCAGACTATAGGATACTACCTTGAACTCTGCAGAGTTATGCCTTGCAGCGTAAACAAACTTGTGGAACAAGCGCAGGTGGCGGGCAAGAGCAAGGACCAGGCGAACTCCCAGAAACAATCCCAGAAATAAATAGAGGATTGGGTACCAATATGGTACTACTACAAGCAGAAGAGCGTAGCAGCTTAAAAGAGAGAACAAATGCTTCCAACGTCCCAGGTAGTCGTCAACCATAAACCGATGGACCTATCAGGAGGCAGAACGGAGCCACAACCATCAGAATTTATCTCAAACAACCAAGTCAGAGCTTACACCCATAGACTGCATTTAAACTCGGTCTTTCATCTTACCTATAATCCTTTGGAAAGATGCAACCAAAAATGCAAAAGCGGTCATCAAATCTGGTCATCAATCAGTTACGAGATCCATTATCCATAGTCACATGGGGTGAGTCATTCAGGCCATGGGCCACAATCCTGCCTACGCTCTTCGTCACCTTGAGATCTATCCGCGAAACTAGTAAATGAAGGGAGAAGCTTCAGAGAACGACTTTGCGAATAAAGTGACGTTGCCAGATCAAGAGGTTTCTAAAGACGCTGGTGTGAAAATGGAAGAAGATGCTGATGAGTCGCACCGTTCGGAAGATACCGCCAAGGAGATGGACCATAACAACGACACAAGTGAGAAAGAAGGAGGTGGGGAAGACGTGGAAGCGGTAGACGATGAAGACACGGAGCTACCAGAGGAAGAGGAGGAGGCAGAATCACCACGAAAGAGGACCAAACAAGATAGAGAGACGGCGCGAAAAGATAGAAGTTTGGCGGAGCTTCTGTTGATGCTTGACGAATATCGACCTGTGGTAGGGCTCAATGGGTCTGTTCCGATACATTGTGTGTTAACTTACATTCTACTTTGGTTTCCAGACACCCGATGCTGTTACGGATTATTATCTAGCACGATCAGGATTCGAATGTGACGACATCCGAGTAAAGCGTCTTCTAGCCCTTGCCGCTCAAAAGTTTGTGTCAGACATTGCGGTAGATGCGCTTCAGTACTGTAAAATACGTGGACAAGGACCCCAGACAAAGGATCGCAGAAACATGACGAAGGATAAGCGAACGGTTTTAACCATGGACGACTTATCTGCTGCGCTCGCAGATCATGGCGTCAATATGAAGAAGCCAGAGTATTTTCTATGATCTCTACCTGTATATAGCTTGTAAATAAGGAACCAATTCGTAAACCGCCATAGACAACACCGACAATGACGCAAAATACCAACCACTATCTTCGTATTAACAGAAACAAGTAGAGCGTTATATATTACATTGGACTGTCGCGTTATAATTCCAGTTGGAATACATAGTTGTAAATTCCTGAAAGGTCCATCCCACCGAATATAAGGACCCCGTCCTTGGATTCTGTAGCTTCCGTGCCTTGGTCCTGGTGACGAGGGCGTGCATGTATCATACAGGCATCATGGTCGATAACAGCGCAAGGTGGCCCTGGTGGTAATGCGGCAACTGAGAGCTTTGACCACACCATGGTCTCTGAAAAGTGGATAACAATGTTAACTCGGATCTATAGGTTCAAATAATGGAGAAAGTTGTACCTGTATTAAAGACATAGACGTCGTCAAACACCTTTGGCTGCGGTTGCTTCACGAAGCCTCCAAATATGTACAGTTGTGTGCCGACCGCTGTAGCCGTATGTCCTGCTCGAGCTGTCGGTCGATCGCCGGATGTGTCTGGTAAGCTCCATGTATTGTTCACTATCATTGAGACATTGGTTTAGTACTTGGACGGGCAGAGAATCCTAACTGATTTCATTTACCTGTATCAAAAATCCACAGTTCATCAAATGTCTGATCACCGTCCATGCCCCCAAACATGTAAATAGTCGTGCCGACAGCAATGAGAGAATGTCCAAGCCGTGGCAATGGGGATGGCTGTTCGCGCCCCGTAGTGACTTGAATCCATAGCAATGAATCTGCGGTGGAATGCATAAACCTTTGTATCATGTGTCAACCACTGTCACAAACATTTCAAATACTTACTGACGTCTAAGCAATAAACCTTGACATCTGGTACTGCCGTGTCAATGGTAAGCCCTCCGCCGAATATGTACAACCGATCCGCTTTTCCACTATTGGAGTCCAACACAATGTGACCACTTGAATGCAATGTACGAGCTTGCGGCATATTTCCCCGCGTCTTCAGAGCGCTCCACCGATACGTCTCTATCGCGACAAGTTCAGCTGATGAATCGTTTTGTAGGCACATACCGTGCACCTACCCAGGTCCAACGCCCACACATCACCCCGCAGGCCTTCCTCTCCCGCACCATACATGACCATAAGCTGGGGTACCCCACCGTTTCTACGGACGATAGCAGCCACATGTTCATATCTCGCTGGCGCTGACTGAAAATTCGTTCTATTCTGCTTTACACCGACGCGCCAGGTCAAGGTTGCTAGAGTCCAGAAAAGCGACAAGCAATGAGAGGAAAGATACTTGCTCCGCCAAACGCATTGCAACCACATAGAGCTGGATGTGCCAATATTCTTACCTAGATCAAGGACATGAACATCGTTTGAAAATCCTGTCTCATGGCTTGCTCCACCAAAGACTATACATTCGTTGGTGGCCTCATTGAATGATACCGTGTGACCGGCGCGGGGAGAAGGCAGGCCGTCGGTGACCAGAGGTCGCCATACCGGTTGGAACGACATACCCGCCGCCATGTCCTAGATTCTAGTCGAGTAAGAAGAGCGTAACTTTCGCAGAGTCTTCGAGGCCCACGAAAGACAAGAGGGTGGTTAGTCTTTTATGGGCCAGGCGTGAGAAGAGAGCGTGGGATGAGACGGCGGGCGAGCATGGCAGGGCGCTGCAAAGGAGGGCTTGGGGACGCGAAATGACCATCGAGGCTTAGTTACGTGCTGCACAGCCTAATAAAATTCAGACTGACATGACCTGCCTGGCGCTTCCAAGCCGATAAAAGTAAGATTTCATGTTTTGAGAAAGGAAGAACTACAGTACATTAATGAAATTATATTAGATTCAACGTCTTCTACACTGGTACTATGCTTTCTCGGGCCAGTGTTTATCTAGGTGAAAGAAGTGGGAAGAACATTTCCCAATATCGCCCTGGTGTCACCCAACGCATCTTCGCTACCGATATATCCATTTCCATCTTCCTTGGGTATTAGTGCACAAGTTCTCCAATCAATTCGACGCTCATTTTCGGCTAATACACCCCAATGGGGACTTGGGGTCCGCTTTAACCATTTGAAATCTTCGACTTTGTCAAAGCGGTTAACCTCTGGGGTATACTCCAAATCAGCCATTTCGAAAAGGCGAGACATTGATGACGTGGTAAGTAATGAGGATAGGTCTTCGGCAGGGTATGGTGCAAATCGGATTTTGTCACAATCTTCAATGATTGGGTGAGACGGTATGTGAAGGAATACATCTGCATGCATCGTGTGATGCATGCGAAACTGTAAAACGGGGAGGACACGTAAGCGACATTAGTCTGGTAATCAGCGACAGCAACATTCTAGAATTTCTCACCTGTCGGCACGCCAGTACGAATACGCAGTTTTCACAGTTTTCAAGCAGCACTGACCCGGCGATTGGACCAGCAATAACCAGGCAGTTGCGCAATTTCTTTGCATGCAGGGCAGCAACAGGCGTTGTAAGCATCGAGATCACGCATCGATCTAAATTCAGTAGGTAGTAATCTTTTGATGCTGTAGCAAGCCCCTCCGCATCTGCAGCGCCGGGCAGATTGACGTAACGGTCGACATAGTCCGCTATTGTGCGTGAGTGAGTAGGATCGGCTGAATCAAAGGGCTAGTCAATATATCAACCATATAAATGTACGAGCCCCATGAATGTCCTTCTGTACCTGGCGGTAGTGCACTGTGCTTTCGTCCTTCCTGTGGTGACTTCGGTATTGCAGTTAATTCAGCTTCCCCAAAAATGTCCCCCTTTCCACCAGTAGCGGTAGCATCCTGGACCGCCGTTTCCAGCGTAGCGGTGCTTCGTTTCGTGGTCACTTCCTCCTTCGCTGCTTTGCTTTTCCGTGATGCGAAGGAGAATTTCGCTCGCGGCGGATTAGAGCTCGATAGACACTCTTGCAGATCTTTTAATAACTGCGTTGGTTCAGCAACATGTTCAATTCTCCGCAAATCGCTCAGAGTCAACTACCGCAGAGCACTGCCTTTGATCATAAGCTGGAAGATATACAGCGGCTTCCGTAAGCTTTTTGCCAAGCTCACTTGTCTTGACCAACAGAGCATGCCGATCGCAAGAAGTGTCTCGCAAGGACGCCTGGACACCTGGTCAAAACATGAGCTGAATGGTCGACCGCCATCCTTTGGGCCTTGACCTCGCACCTTCGCATTCGGACTTGAACTCTGAGCAGAATATTGCAGAAGCGTGCTTTACGTCCGGATGAGTGGTCATATCTCAGGTGAAGCGATACACATGCATCTTGCGATGTGGATTACAGTAGCACGAACGAAGGTTTCACGTGCTCACACGTGATACCTTCTATCAGGTTGACGGCCGAGTTTGCTGCAATGCAATGGCCAACATGAAGCCACTGGAACCAACCAAACGAGCTGCCATCGTTGCATTGCACAAAGCTGGACATACTAGGGAAGAAATCGCACGTCAAGAAAAGATCAGCTATTCCACAATCAAAAGAACGCTGAGGAAATACCGAGAGACTGGGTCATATGACACCAAGAAAGCCCCCAGTCGGCCACCAAAGGCGCAAGGTAGTGCATCTATTCTACAAACCTTATTCTATAGTGAAAACAGTGGAATTTTACCTCTAGGACAGCTCGTATCCCAGTTTCATTAGAAAACTGTCAGCGCTGTTCACAAGCGCACGTTGTGGACCTGGCTCACCAAGCATCTTGGAATCAAGAGGCGATGCGCAGGATGTGACTAACTACTGTAATTGATAAATGCACGTGGGCCCACATGATAACAAACTCGGATCTGCACAGCTTCGCAGCATTCGACCAACATCTCCCGTGAGGCGATGGAGACGGGTTCGGCGGGTGGTGTAATTAGCTTGAGGTGTAAAGAAGCTTGCCCGGCCGGCGATGTTTTGGTTTCCGTTGACATTGGGGCGGTGGCAAATTGGGGTCCATAGTTGTTTGACATCCGCACGGATCTGCTGATTATTCATCATTAGTGGGTCCTTTTTCTTGACTTTCAGCACTGCACTAGTTTTACGTGCTATATAATTACACCAAAAGCACTACAATATTCCTGCCCACTAGGCAATGATTTTTCTCAATATACTTTGCAAAATGTCCTTATGGGTATGTAGTTTGAGGAACTCTCATCTGAGTGATGCTACTCTCAGATACTCACAGATGGGCGCAGATCCATTGTGGAGTCATATGTGACCACGGCATGTCCATGGAAAGTGATGCGTAATTAGATTGTTCAGTCCTTAAGGTACCTGAGCTGGGCATCCCAGCAGCCGGATCCTAACGAGATCAATTCGATACCCAGGAGTACGGTACCTACCAAAGAATGCCAACTAAGATGGCTTATCATTCATATAATTGGAGGTCGACAAAGTCGGTGAGTTGTGTTCACTACTATCGGCCATGTACAGTTCCGCAGTGAAAGGCACACGGGCAGCCATTATTCCAGCATATATATTCTGGACGCAATGTCACTGACGATCCAATCCATCCCTGCCAGCAGGTTTGCACCGGTTACAGCGCTGCATCCAATGATGTGCCAGTGATGCGTTTGTATAGATCTAAGATCAAGCAGCTGAGTGGTAGGAAGCAGCGGGGAATACTTAGATGAGTAAGCTTTCTCCCAATGCTAGAAAGATGGCACCCACCTCCTCTATTTGTTCGTAACTGAGTGCGCCGGACAAATCTTGTTTATTTGCGAATATCAGAAGGGAGGCCCCGGCCAAACGCTGCATATGGGAAGTCAAACCACAATGTGGCTCGTTGAAACCATTACGAGGATTCACGTACCTCCTCCAGCAACAAACTATGGAGCTCTCGTCTACAGTCCTCAAGTCGATCTGGTCGATCCGCGCTATCCACAACCCAAACCAATCCATCGGTTTGCTCAAAGTAGTTTCTCCAATACGAGCGGATAGATTTTTGACCCCCGACATCCCATATATTTAGCTTGTAACTGTCAGAAGGTAATGAAAAATCCAATGGTGCAAGCAGGAGAGGAGTCCGCCGGAACCTACCCATTATGTACCAGGGTCTTGATGTTGAAACCTAATGTGGGAGATATTGTTGAAATGTCTTCACCATTGATTCGTTTCAATATGGTAGTCTTTCCGGCATTGTCCAGTCCCCTACGCAAAGATGCAGAAAATATCCATATTTGAGTTCAGTGGAATGGCCGCTCGCAATTTCAACGCTTCATTTCGTTTTCTCCAACGACCCCCTGCGAGCTATCCGGACACGGATTAGAGGACAGTATTGGCAGAGACAAGCTTGTCCGCCTAGAGATAACAGCAGTACGACGATGCCCAATTCATGTCAGGGTAGCGGACAACAGAACACACGGTGGGTCACCAATCGCAGGACACCTATAACGCGCAAGGAGCAACCGACTACTTACAGCATGAGAATGCGAATCTCTTTTTCCTTTTGTTTCAATTTCTTAAGAACTGTGAGGAGACCCATGGTTAGGCGAACAAGTTTGGTTGGGATTCAGGCCTCGTTGAGTTGGTGGAAGACGCGTCTCCTTTGGATCGTCCAGCAACCTCTTCGAGCTGCCTCAACGCCGCGACTCCCAGGATGTATCTCTGCACTTTCGCTCAAAGTAACTTATCATCAATAGTTTCGAACATCTTGTTCCCTATCATCATAAATGGGACTAGTATCCAGAAGAGCTTCTAGATTTCCAGGGCATTATGTTAGCAATGTTCGGGCTAGTTACGACCGCCATAAAGATTCTTATACGAAGATGATGTTCTGACATCGCATATATGGTTGACTGATAAGGACACACATGTAGATCTGGAAAACGTTGCCGGGTGTCGTTTGTTCTTTGTATTTGGACACCCCATGAGCCAGCGGCATTAAAAGTCAATGCTTTACATGTATGGTAATTTGTGCTTTTCTCAGTTCTCCACCTCTCGGGCTATTATCCTGTATATGTATCAGTTGAAGTGGACGGAAGGTTATTTGTTGCAAGGTGGATCTCTGTCGTAGCAAAACATTGGGGTAGGTGATGGTCTGCTTTTAAGGCTGAGACTTCAAGTCCTAGAGTACTGTTGATATCCAGTGCTCAGTAACATCATGCAGCTGCTGGCGACCGTTTACGGTCTGGTTGTTGCACGGCGGCAGCTGATCATCGAATCATCTATCCGTTGTCTTGTTGTTTCATCGGGGTAATAGTTCTGGTGCTTCGATTAGATATACATGTTAGCAAACGTCAATGATGTGATTTTCCTTTGGTGGCATCGCTAGCTCCTCTCAAGAGATACATGCTTCCGACATCTTGTTATTGCATTTCCACAACTATTATTTGATATTGGGTGAAAGGCATTGTAACTCTGTACATTGCGCCCATCACCACAACCGATATCCTCCAACGCGTTGTGGGTGAGCGTGGCCTTCAAGGTTCGAGCCAAAACGATCTGGTTGACGCGCTGAGTTCAACCAAAGGTCGAGTCTACGCAGCATTCTCGCTATTGGGTCTGGCCATTCGTGAGACCAATTGCACGTTGCCGTATTGCGCATCTCCTTGGAATATCGTCCAGGCACTCTAGGGAATGTGCCATGTTTCAGGACAAGAATTCCCTTCACTCCGTAATTGACCAAAAGTTGATCCGAAGTGGGGAGAAAGACAGGTTTGTTTTCGTGCTCGCTTTGGTGCGGTCAACTCAAAAGTTTATGAGGAACCCGCATGCTCATCCTCTACTTATAGACTGAAGGAGTATTTGCGCCAAAGATTAATTGAGTGCGGGTGGCGAGACCAAATGAAGGCATACGCAAAGCGTACGAACCGTTGGCAGTTTGTTTCCCTCTAAGTTTACAAATGCTAACGGAGTATCTTGCAGAGGTCATAACATCAAGGCCTCATGAACAACTGAACGTTGACGATCTGATCCAAGAAATTACACCCAAAGGCCGAGGTGAATATTCCTAACCATTCATCTCTCATACACCGTTATTGATGTTCCAACCTCAGCAATGGTACCCGAAAACGTCAAGGCGGACTTGCTGCTCAGAATTCAAAAGACTCTCCAAGAGCAAGATGTATCGTAAACCAGAAATCATTGTTGCCTTCTATTCGCCAGTCTACAGGCCGCCTGTTTTTCTCAATTCACCGTCAATACTTTGGCAAATTGAAAGAAGGTGATAGCTGGCGTTGAACGTGCTCTGGGCGCAAATCCCGGCAAGATATCAGTCTTTCAATTTGTATGTTATACCTTCAAAGTTGTAAGGGTTGGGCGGGTACTTGGAGGTGGTATCCAGCGATGGTTCAATCAGATTTAATCGCATTGGCACCGATTCAATACACATGTCACTGTCTTCTTAAAACGATACCTTTGAACATGTTTGGTCTGTGGGCGAGGCGGTCGCTCCCCGCGATCGCAAAGACATGAGCAGCCTACCTCCGCTCTATCCTCCAATTCGATACGGCATAGTTGAAGAAGACCTCTTTCGCGGGGCGTACCCGAAGGAACGCAATTTTCGCTTTTTGCGTCGGCTCCGGCTCACGGCAATTCTCTCGCTCACCCCAGAGCCGCCAAACGCGGACCTCTCCGCTTTCTGTGTCGCTAATAACATCACCTCAATTCACGTTCGAGTCGACAAGCCAAAAGAGCATGTTCCCTTATCGTTCCAGAAGACTAGTCAAATCTTGGCAATTTTGGCAGATCCGTCCAATCACCCGCTGTTCGTCCACTGCCTCGACGGTGCAGGTGTCACGGGCGCTGTGATTATGTGCTTACGGAAGTTGCAGTGCTGGACAATGGCATCTATATTGGTTGAAAGTACTCGATATCATAAAGAAGGAGTAATTGGCAGCGAGGAGGCGGAGTTTGTCGAAAAATTCAATGCCGACATAGAAGTGCCTCCGAGACTGCCGAAATGGCTATGGGGTGGCCATCTAACGTTTAAGAAGCACCCTACTCTGAGATTGAAAGTAGCTGCGCAAAGTGGCAATGTGACCGCCAAAGCGGGCACTGCGACTGCCGCGTCACTCGATGGAGGGGTTCACTCAGGGCCAGCGCCGGGTAATGGTGAAAATGGCATGTCTTGCAACGCGCTGGAAGCAGCGGTGGCTATACCATCATCATGCTCTGGTAGTAATACTCAAAATATGTTTAACCTAAATACTGCCGATGAACTGGGTGGGTCCTCGAGTGGCGATGACGACCGGCTACCACGACGGTCAGTAGATTCTGGAGCGCATGCAGTACCCTTTCACACCAATCTCCTTTCATCCAACGCCCTTACTGCCCTCACTGGAATGAACGGATCTCCTATGGTACCTGTATCGGTCTTGTCACATGCCCTTTCGGTGCCCAAGGATATTGGTGCACCGTACTTGAGCAACGTTACCGATTTGCGCAGGGAGAAGGAGGAGTTGCGTAGACGTGCTGTCACGGAAAACCTGCTTGGAGTGGACATGGTGGGCCGAACTGGAGAAACTGCAGGTTTGCAAACTCCCGAAGTTGACGATGATGGATTAGAAGACGTGGAAGATAGCATGTCTATGACCTTACAAGCCTTAGCGTTGGAGATGTCAGGATCATTCAACAAGGGCCCCAAGGCATCATAACATGCCTTCCACCAAATGCATTATCATATATAAAACTATGTCGATCTGCAATTAGAACAACTGCTTAGCCACAAAGAGCCACAAACCGAATAATATTTTACAGAATTTCTACAGAATGCATTGTGTTCGATACTCGGGCTTTAATCCTCATCACTGTCAACAAATTCCGCGCTTTTGTACTTTCCGTCGCCACTGCTTTTGCTTCCACTCGCGGAGGGTGCTCCCTTGCTTTTGCTCCCACTGGCGGACGTTGTTCCCTTGCTTGAGCTCCCTCCGCCTCCGGCCTCGTAGACCTTGCGTTCTCGTTCGTACCGCTCCTTGTCTTCCGAGGCCAAGTTGTCATATTTCTGATAATGACAGAGCCACATCAGTATACAAGGTGTACATGTAGATCAAAACACCCACAAAAATATACCTTCTTCTCATCAGGCGTGATGGATTTCCATAGTTCTCCCAACTTCTTTGACGCCTCAGTGATAGACAGTCCAGGGTTCTCATCCATCACCTCTGGTCGTTTGTCTTTGCAGAAAAGGAGAAATGCCGAGACATTCTTTTTAGGAGCTGCCGCGTCTTTCTTAGCTTTTTTCTTGGCTGGCTGTTTCGATTTATCCTCCTTCTTTGCGACGTTCCCTTCCGGTTTCACCTTTCCTTTCGGTTTCTGTCTAGAATCTAATTGCCGCAGACCCCATACAACAATTAGCTACGGTGAACGATGAAAGGCTTACAATCTCTCAAACATTACCTTCGTTGTCGCTAGCATCACTTTTCTCGTTGGCACCATCTGGAGCCGCGCCCTCTTCATCGCTACTGCCAGCATATTGTTCATCATACTCTTCCGCAACGTCGCTCTCATCTTCAGGTGCAAAATCTTCATCCTCTACAATCACCATCCAGTGAATCAAAGGATCTGTAAGATCATCAGTTTCACCTCCTCTTACCGCTTTCGTCCTCATCCTCATATCCATCACCCTCATCTCGCGATCGCTTTCTAACCGGTTCCTCCTCACTCTCAATGTCGCTATCCTCGACATAACCGACACCAGTATCCACAAGCTCACTAAGAACCTGGATCTTTTTCGCACGGAAGTACGCCATGAGTGGATCGTGTTCTTCCCTGTAACATTTGTATTAGAATGTGCTAGAGAAATCAGTTCACAAACGAGCCGAACCTTGCGATGCTGCTGAATGTGTACTCAGGCCCATCTCGGAGATTAAACTTGATCTCGAAGGTTTTCAAAGTGTTCCCGCCTGCCTGGCCCACGCGAGCGAACGTCACAGCAGCGATGTCATTGTGGGAGAAATAGATGGCAGGTTTTGGGATAGATAGGATTAATTTCTCCAGCGGGTACAGGAAGGCCTCGTTTGCCTTGTACGCGCATTTAATTCCGCTCTGGTTTTGATTGCTTTTGGCGAATGAGACATTTGGACATTGCAGACCGATTACACCAGGCCCTTACCTTCTGAAGGTTCCGCCAGGGGTAGTCAGCTTCTTTCCGGATAAGCCCTTTAGAATGTCGCTAACGACTTCGTAAATAGGTCCGTCGTAGTCTTTCTTCAGTCGATTAGCGTAAGTTGTCGTCAACGTCTCGCTGCAACAGTACGTGCCTTGAGCGGTCAAGTGGTTGTGACAGAAGGTTGCGATTAAAAGCCCACTTACTCGTCCATAGCAAGGCTGATTTCCATCTCATCCTCTCTTTCGAATTGGAACACAAGAAAAGGATATCGAGTTTGTCCTTGTCGAAGTGGAGGGTCCAGTCCCACAACGAGCATGAAATGCAAATCATCAGGCTTTGGGAGCAAAGCCAGCATAATGACAGAATCGTATAGAACTTTATAGTCGTGGGACTTCCCACGAAGCCGGAAGAAATCGGCGTGCATGTCCACTTCGAACCGACCGCTACAGTCATCTCACCTGTTAGCAGCGAGCATGCGTAGAATGCAAACCACTACCAGCATCACATACCGAGGAGTGAGACACAGCAGATTTTCGAAGCTCGCAATAGATTCTCCAAAGGCCCCTCCGAAGTCCGACTTTTGCTTGATAGTTTCGCATAACAGGCTGGCCGACGACAGCGCTGATCCATCCTCATCGAGGACAGGTTTTTCTCCATTCTCTTCCACTGGCTCATCGTCCACGCCATCGTCAACCCTGATGTCTCCTTCTTCATCCTTATCTTTGAACAGTCGAATACCGTCTTCATTCTGGGTCACTTGACTCTGAGTTCCCACACCCGGAACGAAAAAGCGGACCTCCACTAAAGCGTCCTCTCCTCGCGAAGACTTTGGATCCCCATCTGACCCTGCAAATTCCACTGAAACTTCATTACGAGAAGCCAAGGTCGCGTTGGCAACTTCGTTCAGGGGTATTTCGAACGCAGGGTGATTTGCCACATTGAAGCTCATGTTATTTCCTTGAAATTCTATAGATCCCCAGTTCCAGCCCCGTACAGATAGTTCCTTCCGCTCCAATGTCTTATGATATAGGTTCTTTATCAAGTGAGCGAGCGTATCATAAGTCTAGGAAAGCAGGGATGAGTTAGACGACCCACATTTGCTGCCATATTATGAGGCTTACATCTCTGGGAAATCCATCAAATTTCACAATCGTTCCATCTTTCTGTTGTACTCGCAATTGAAACTCTCGAGCACAGCGCTGCCACGACAGTTTCTGAATCTCTGCTGCCGGAACAGCTGTCACCTTCCCATTGGCTGCATTCTTCCACCCTATACCGGCCTCGGCAATTTTCAGTCGCCCAACTCCCTAATATGTGTTATAAAAAGTGGGTTGGTTAAATGAGCCGAAAACAACCATCAAGATTGCCCTGAGCAGCTTTGCTTGTCATTACCTTGGCAGTTATTTTCCCGCCAAGGTAAATGGTCTCAAACTCTCTAGCCATGCTCGCGGCGGTCCTCTTTTCCCGTTATGTGTGATACCTAACCAGACGATGGCGAGTAAGACGAGGGGCGGACTCTGGTTTAATCGCAGTATGTGATCTGTGAATTAGCCTTGGAAATGAGTCCATAGGCATCGTTTACCATTTGAGGCGTAGTCACTGTCGGCTGAGATACACCTTACTGCGATGCCGCGGATGATTCCCACACTCATACTCAACATACATCATAATCATACGCTTCCAAAGATGGACTTGCGCGCGATGAGCGTCGACGAATCAGATCCCATCGCAATGATGCATTACGCAGATCGGTAGGCCGTATCCTTCAACATGTATTAGGCATCCGAAACGTGCATCTGACGCCATAGAGGAAACAAATACTTCCAGCCTCATTTATGAAGCACAGGAGAGCGGAAGCGAAGAGCTGAAAGCAGATATTGGCTCAAAAGCGTTACACTACTATATTAGTGCGGCGCGATCAGGCGTTCCAGAGGCGGCACGAAAGGCAGCTGTTCATTTGTGGGAGGCAGGCCAACGTCGAGGCGCGAAAAAATTGTTACGGGAAGCTGCACAAGAAGGCGACCTAGCCGCAACAAAGATACTGGCAGAATGGTTGTGGGCTGAAGACTACCCAGCTGTAAGGAGCACCTCGCAATCTCTGGAAATTGCGAAGAGAGAAGAAGAGCCCGAGGACGAGGAGGGCGACGACAGCGACGATGAGGACGTAGAAATGGGCCACGGGTTAACTCCACAAAATAACATTGACCGAGTGACGAAAGTCAGCAAAGCGCGGCGGCAAGCGTTCCATTTGTGGTGCCTTGCCGCCGATCGCTTTGGCGATCTTACGAGTTAAGTTCGACAGGCAATCTTATGTAGACCTGTTATCTAAATTACCGTTTAGGTATGCGCAAGGTTGCCGAGTGCTATGCTAATGGCGAGGGAGTAGGAATAGTGGACATGGACAAATCCATAGCGTACTGGGAGAGAGCTGCATCTAAGGACGACAGAACAGCCATGGCTGCGTTGGCTCGGTACTACCACCAGCGCTCCCATGAGACATTCAAACGCCGTGGGAAAGGTCCCATAATGAATTCCATCTCAGCACCGCATGAAGACGTGGCGCTCAATGAAGATGGTGATGGAACGGCTATGGTCAAACTACTACGGTACACATGGATGGCAGCATCTGATGGGGACATATTCTGTTTACGCCATCTTGCAAGTGCTCATCAGCATGGGTACCATGGCGCTCAAAAGGACGTTCCAGCCGCTCTGCAGCTCTACATGGCGGCAGCAGCACAAGGGGACATATCAGCGCGCGCTGCCGCTGCGGACATCCTGTATCACGGTGATGACGGCGTAGCACCGGATCGAGTCGGCGCATTTGCCTTGTATACCCAAGCTGCAAAAGAAGGTTTGGTACCTTCGTACAAGGCACTAGCAGACTGCTACCGCACTGGTCAGGGTGCCCCAGACGATAAGTGCAACCTTGAGCTCGCCTACATGTATTATTCCGAAGCAGCGCAGCAAGGATGTACCACCAGCTTGAGAATGCTCGGGGACCTTCATTGGAACGGCGATGGATGTGTAAAGGATCGCGCAAAAGCTGCGGAGTTTTACGAACAAGCAGCAGCGGCTGGGGACTTGGAAGCGGAGCGATGTTTGGCTAGATGCTACTGGTTGGGACATGGAACGGTAAGGGACCGAGAAAAAGCGAAAGAAATCTGGCGAGAAATGGCGAGAAACTGTGACAGCTTAGGCGATGAGGAAAGAAGACGATTAGAAATAATGGATGATGAAGCGTTTGAAGAGTTGATGGAGTATTGTTGATCCTCGATATTCACTTTGTTTTTGCGGAGACCTTTTATATTGAAAGTGACGATGCCTATTAGATCACCCTATTAAAGAGTTTTTCATCCTAATTACAAAGTATAAGGAAGAGTTTATTCATTAGTTTTTAGAATTGATTGCCAGATAAAAACAATGCAGTCAATATCCCTGAAAGGAAATTTGAGCGTAACTGACCTGTACTGACCGACAGATTGACATGTAAGTCCACGTGACCGATTGTGCTGCCATAGCAACATGAGTTGGTTCCTGGCTTTACGCTTTGACATTGTGATCTACTGCCAAACTGCAGTGTGGTGACATTCCCCTTTGAAATCCCTCCTCGACAGCACCACGCAATGGATCTCGATTTGTATGATGAGTTCGGAAACTATATCGGGCCCGATCTCGATGAAGATGAGGAAGATGAAGAAGACACTTACGCTCTGCCTCAAGCCCAGCGGATGGATGTGGATGACGAAGATGAGTCTGGCGAGCGGGAAAAGGACACGACAGGGATGGCGCTGATGCAAGTAGATGGTAAGCACGGTGGTTCGGATTTGAGCTACTACCTGTACAACGTGATATTAACTCACATTTGGTGACCTGGTCAGAGGCCGTAAATCAAGTTGTTTTGCATGAGGACAAAAAGTATTATCCTACGGCGGAAGAGGTGTATGGCCCTGATGTGGAAACCTTGGTGCAAGAAGAGGACACACAGCTGCTCAGCGAGCCGATCATTGCTCCTGTTAAGCAAAGAAAAACATACATTCAGGAAAAGGATCTACCAGTTACAAGATACAGTAAAGAGTTCATGGCGGATCTGATGGGCTTTCCCGACTTGATTAGAAACATAGCGATTGTGGGACATTTGCATCACGGAAAAACCTCGTTTGTAGACGTTCTTGTTGCACAAACGCATGACATGACTTGGGATTTGGAAAGGAAGGAGCGGTACACGGACGTCCATGAGTTGGAGCGAGGAAGGGGTGTAAGCATCAAGAGCATGCCCATGTCTTTGGTGATGCAGGATTTGAAGGGCAAGTCTCACCTCCTGAATATTTACGATACGCCTGGACATGTAAATTTCTCGGATGAAGTAACTGCCGCCGTTCGGATCTGCGATGGCGCGGTTCTCGTGGTTGACGCGGTAGAAGGAGTAATGGCGAACACTGAACGGCTGATCAAGCACTTGGCGGCAGAGCGAATACCGATGACACTTGTGATCAATAAAGTTGACCGGTTGATCTTAGAGCTCAAGCTTCCTCCCACGGATGCATATTTCAAGTTGCGACACACTATCGAGGAAGTTAACTCCATACTAGCGACTTGTACAGACGGAGTACGTCTGTCGCCGGAGGCGGGGAACGTGTGCTTTGCGTCCAGTCAAATGGGTTGGTGTTTCTCGTTGAAGTCGTTTGCACAAATGTACTCTGAAAGCTACGAGAACTTCGACGTTGAGGAATTCGCGAAACGTCTGTGGGGCGATATATATTTCAATCCGGAGAAAGGAACATTCCGAAGGCGACCGGTTGACAGTTCCAGTAGTCGTACCTTCGTGCATTTCATTTTGGAGCCACTTTTCAAGATGTACGCGCAAGTAGTTGGTGAAGACGCAAAGACGTTGAAACAAACTCTTTCTTCCCTTGGGATATACTTGAAACCATCTCAGCTATCTATGGATGTCAAGCCTCTCCTGCGATTAGTTTGCGAGCAATTTTTTGGAACAGTTAACGGCTTTGTTGATATGATCATCCGAAAGATTCCGTCACCAAAAGAAAATGCATGCAATAAAGTGGAGCACATCTACACAGGAGAATTGGACAGCCCCTACGCAGCGGCGATGAAAAACCTTGACCCCGAAGGGCCATTAATGATTCACATTGTGAAACTGTACAATGCTACGGATATGACAGGATTTGATGCGTTTGGACGAGTAATGAGTGGAACTGTGCAATTGGGACAGAAGGTTAGAGTACTTGGAGAAGGCTACACGCCCGATGATGAGGAGGACATGACAATCAGGGATGTGACAGGCCTGTCCGTGTACGAAAGCAGATACAAAGTCAAAGTGAGCTCCGCCTCCGCAGGTAGTTGGGTGTTGCTTGAGGGAGTAGATCCAGGTATCATCAAGACTGCAACTATCACCAGCAAGGAGGTCATCGAAGATGAGCCCGTATATATCTTTCGGCCACTCCGATACAACACGCAGCCCGTGGTGAAGGTTGCAGTGGAACCGGTGAACCCCACTGAGTTGCCTAAGATGTTGGATGGCCTACGTAAAATCAACAAGTCTTATTCGATTGTTCAGACAAAGGTGGAGGAGAGTGGAGAGCATATTATTCTGGGTACCGGAGAACTCTATTTGGATTGCGTTCTCCATGATTTGCGGCGGCTGTATTCCGAAATTGAGTTGAAAGTGGCAGATCCCGTGGTAAGATTCTGCGAGACAGTTGTCGAGACAAGTACCCTCAAATGCTTCGCTGAAACACCAAATAAAAGGTAGACATCTGGTGTGCTGTTTGATTTCGTTTTGTTTACCACTTAGTGACTAAATTGCTCTCCTCCAACCAGAAATAAAATAACGATGGTATCGGAACCTCTTGAAAAGGGGATAGCAGAAGATATTGAGAATCTGCAGGTCTCCGCAAAGTGGCCAGTGAAACAGCTTGGGGATTGGTTTCAAAATAAGTACGACTGGGATGTGCTGGCATCCCGTAATATTTGGGCATTTGGACCAGACGATGCCGGACCAAATGTTTTGGTGAACGATACCCTACCAACTGAAACGGATAAACAACTTCTTCAGAGCGTCCGGGATTCGATAAAGCAAGGTTTTCAATGGGCGACCAGGGAGGGACCGCTATGTGACGAACCGATTAGAAACGTGAAGTTCAAGATACTGGATGCTACAATCGCAAAGGAGCCAATTTATCGTGGCGGTGGTCAGATCATCCCAACTGCACGACGAGTATGCTACTCGTCCTTCCTAATGGCCACCCCTCGTCTTATGGAGCCAGTATACTATGTCGAGGTGCAGGCGCCTGCTGACTGTGTCTCCGCAGTGTACACTGTCCTGGCCCGCCGACGTGGGCACGTAACTCAGGACATATCCAAACCTGGTTCTCCACTCTCCACTGTTAAAGCGTACATCCCCGTCATCGATTCGGCGGGATTCGAGACAGATTTACGAACCCATACGCAAGGACAAGCATTTTGTCAACAAATGTTTGATCACTGGCAGATTGTACCTGGAGATCCATTGGACAAGAGCATCGTACTGCGACCGTTAGAACCAAGCCCAGCACAGCATTTAGCGAGGGATTTCATGGTGAAAACCAGAAGAAGAAAAGGTCTCAGCGAGGACGTTGCTGTGACAAAATTCTTTGATGATCCAATGTTGGTAGAGTTGGCGAAGTTGGAAGGAGGTGTTATTGGATTCTAAGATTTGTGTGCGATTGAATGATATACTTTACAAAGTTGCAACAGACGGAGTCGCTCTTCCATAATGAACATTTTGCTGAGGTGAACAACCTCAAGAGCTATCGTATCCCAGCATCGGTATACAAAATCTACAAACGTGGTTTCAAGTGCATTCTTCGCATTCCATGATCGTGGTGCGGAACTTTTGTTCGCCAAGGTCGAGAAGGTGTGTACCCGGCAAATGCTGGATGTAGGATGGCTGCATCGCAGGGCACTGCGGAACCTGGACGGGGTGGTATGTAAGTGCCTGTACAGCCCGAAAATGCTGGGTGATAGAGTGAGGGGTCAAAGCAAGAGCTGTAGTGCCACTCCCGTATAGCTAAAAGGAATCATAATTCAGTTCTCGACAATGGATCTTTCCCAGTCAACGACTTCCAAGCACACCTCTGTGAGATTGCATGGAATGAATGTAGCTTGTGTGGGGAGTCTGATGAACGCTATTCCTGTGCTTGACCATTCGTTAACCTGAAGATCACAGTCGTGACGTGATGGATGATGCCACGTGATCGCCCATTAGAGGGCTCCAGATTCATCGCAGGGGCTACAGAACACAGTCGCCATCTTTTGCAAGATGCCTGCCCCAAAAGCAAGGGTCATTGTCGTCGGTAGGTTCTTTACCTTCCTTCGTGAATTTCTATAAGACGAATACGACAGCTTGGCTTATATCCCGCGGCAGCCTTGGACCATACCCCAACATCAGCCCACGCCTTAACAGTGCGTATGAATGCCAACCAGCATATTTCTGTTAATACTGACAGACACAAAGTATCTTTTAGACAATGTAGTCAGATTGGGTGATCGTCTTGTGCTTGTGAGCGTCGGAGTGACAGAAGGTCCAGAATGGGCAGATGTTGTGGACGCTGCAGCTGGTTGGTGCCTTGTTTTATCGTCCTCGCAAAGAGGTTTTATCGTCCTCATTTAGTACTGCTAATTTGCGATATCTTCAGGTGTTCCCGACCCCAACCTAAAGGAGGTATATTGGATCAAATCTTTTCCGGCGATGGGACAGGATGTTCATAGATTTGAGATTTACACTATCTATCTTTTATGCAGGCTGAAGCCCAGGCTGCTGCCTTGCTTCATGATGCAGAAAAACTCGTAAAGGATCGCTTTGCGGGCAATGAGGTACATTGCAAACTCCCAACTATCCAGTTCGTGAGAGTGGCACTGACTGTACCTTGACAAATAGATCACAGTTCTTCGTCGTCCGGTGACTGGATCGAGCGTTCACAACATGATTGTGGAGGTATGCGACGAAGTGAATGCAAATTTGTTAGTAATGGGAAGCAGAAATCGTCCTGGTTTCAAGAGGTTAGTGCGACAGAATGTAATGAGCCCGAGTTGTCTATCCTAACGAGTCGACCTTGGCGCACTTGTCAACATATAGAATAATTCTCGGTTCGGTTAGTGATGAGTGTGCACACAGAGCAAAATGCGCTGTTCTTATTGTAAAAGACGATCGTCCTGAAGAAGAGGGCAATAGCAGATGGCCAGTATGGGCTCGACTGTAGATAGATATTGTGTATTGTATTGCGTAATATAGTCACGTGAGGGTGGAAGCTTGTGAAGTGGTTGGGATGGGGTCTCCGCAAGACTTTCAACGCAAATGGCTGCCTTCTTGAGGACAATCATACTGCATAAACTTACTTCAAATGTGTTGGACAGCAGAATAATCATACTAGCAGCGTTGTGTAACTGAACATAAAGAGTGCCAAGATGAGCTCCAAACCCAAGGCTCCTCCGTTGGACTATAACAAGCTCCCAGAGCTGTCACTGGATGCTGCCCCAACACTCAAGCGCTACCTCGACTATCTAACAAATGCTATCAACTTGAAATCTAGCGGAGCTCCACCCGCGGAAATATTCCAGCCGTTCACACCATCCCAACTTCCCGCACTGCCAAGTTCCGTGGAACTGCAACGATTGAAACAAGAACTCGAGGGTTTTGACCAGGCGACAAAGAGCAGACAGGACCATGTGGCCCGTAACATGCAAGCACTAGAAAGATGGGTACCAGCAAAATCCCTGTCCAACGAAGCAGATAAAGGAAAGGAGGGTATTCGCATCAAAGATGGAAAGGCAATGGAAAAGCGAAAGGAATTGTCAAAAGAAAAGAAAATAAAGCTGTCGGGCGATGAATCCTCTCGAGACGAAGCTCGCGTAACGTTGAAACTTAAAATAGCACCTCAATCGGGTGCGAGAAACGAGAAATCAGGTAACCCAGTCGCCTCGCCTGAAAGACAATGCATCGAACTTAAAATCGAAATCTTCCTCAGATGACGGTATCACACCGCTCGATAGTCCCATTTCTGTGTCTGCGTATGTGACGGTAATGCTTCCATAATGCGAAAGAGACAGTGTGGTTGAAGTTGTTCTACCTCTAGAGATACCAATAAAAAACGCAAACGTGAGATGGACCACGACGATGTGAGCGACACGGATAGAGACAAGCGATCCAGCACGAGTTCAAATAGTACGTTGAAAGCTGGAGCGGTTCGAGTAGGCCTTGGAATCGAACAGGTACAGGAACAAATCGGCCTGTATTTTTCAGGAAATTTAGAGCTGTGACATTCTCACTGTGATATATCAGACTCCGATTGCGCCAGGAAAGCCACCAAATCACCGATCTGTGGTTCCTAAGGCTAAACCGGTAAGTTGTTGTAGTTACTTTGTTGTGCAGCAGCACTACTGATGCTGGACTGGACTGATACGGCCTGACAGAGGACCAGCAAAAAAAGTGGTGCACAAAAAAATAACAAGCTCAAGAAGCGATCGAGCATGGTGGATTCGGAGGATCTTGGACGACAAACACCAGAAATAGATGACAGGATGGATGGTGTAACGGACATCCCAGTTGAAGGCGACTACACAAAAGCGAAACCAATACAAAATCAAATTCCCATCCAAACATTTTGGGGTTTCGTCGATCAATTTTATCGTCCTTTAACGGAGGAGGATCTGAAGTACTTGGATGCTCAAGTAAGCTACCTGACGGATGATTCGGGAGTGAGATCGTTTTCTAACAATGTTCCTGTGCGCTCACCAGGGTGATGAAGTAACACCGTATATTGTTCCCGGTCTGGGGCGGCCATACAAAGAGCAGTGGGCTGATGAAGAAGCTAAATTCATGTCCCAGCTGGATGCTGAGCTATCAGCTGCGTCGTATTCTGCCCCACTAGGGCAAGAATATAACGAGATTAATGGAGCGGTTCACTGTGGGGACGTTTATTTCAAGCCTTTGTCAGAACGAATAATTGCGTCGTTACTTGAAAACCGAATTACAAGTTATATACCACCAAACAGTCCAATGGGTGCTTGCGACTATGATAAAATCAGCTTCAGGACCAATGGTGACATGATGGACTTGGAACAGAGAATGCGAAACGAGCTTCGCTTTATCGGCCTTATTGATGATGACGAGGTCAGAATTTGGCGCCTTGATTGGAAGCACATTTTTGACTGACAATCACTAATAGGAGGGGGCGGGAAACGATGAAGAAGACGAGATCAGTAAAGATCTGCGGCGACTGCAGGCTCAGTTGCGCGAACAGGCGGCCATCAACCGATCCAGGAAGCAGCAACTGAAGGAGGTTGCTCAGAAGTGGATGGCTTGGCAGGAATATAATGGCGTACTAGAAGACATCAATAAAAACATCGAGCAAGCATATACGAAACGCTTTGTAGGTGTTTGCCCGCCTTTAGCCGATAATGGACTGGTCGCTTATCCTGCTTCTTCTCAGAGAACACCCGCAAAATCAAAGGGAAAGAAAAAGATCCTGAAGGGAGAATATCGACCGATGACGGAAGATGTGATGCATTACTTGGCAAACCGCCAAAAAATCATCGACGAAGTCGGGGCTTTTTTTCCTCCAGAACAGTACAAGATTCCGGAAACCTCAATCTACTCACGCTGAGGTTTCATTTAAACTTCAACATCCGCGATTTTGTTTGTACATAATTAGTCTTCTCGTTTCAATGGACATGATCTTGTCTGTATGGCGTAGCTGTGTGATCTGATCACACGGAGTGGGTTACTGCCACTCTTTATTCTATGAGACTCTCCAGTTGTGTGAAGCGGTACGCCGGATGAAGATAAATTCAATTCTTCCAGCACCAAGCGATTTGAGACTCAGGTTCAGCGAATCGTCGAATACCTACACCCTCGGAATTAGAGCCTTGTGCATACACGAGACCTGAACGACTCACATTTGATACTCGAGGGTCGAGAAAGGTGGTATGCTGTCCGGCAGCATATCCTGGCGGCTGACGGGCACATGTCACTCAATCTCATCAGACCACGTACACTGAAAACTTAATGACCTACAGATTAGGTCCGAATATTTTTAATTGTCTAATATGGGTATCTTTGCCGTTTTGAAGATTCCCGAGGATGCACAGTTGTACAATATGTGCACGCAATGGACGCCTACCACCGCTTTAATGAGTATCTCTCCTTTTCATATTGGCAATCTGGAGATAGCTCACAATGTTTCTTCATCCTCGGATAAAGAGAAATCCACCCATCCACTGGCCTCTCCTATCTCATATCGATGCAGGTCCTGCAAGAGATCAACGTGGACATAAGGAACAGAACAGCTTTCAGAGAGTGATTTCAGCTTCTCTCCACCTGTAGATCATAGTGGCTGTTGCCGGCTCTTATAGCAACGACGCTTGGTGTATAACTTTCGTCTCGGCTATGGTCCACATATATAGACAGTTTCTGCCGGAAAAGAATTAAAACAAGGTGCTGCTTGATGAGTAAAAGAGACAAGGAGAGTACCGTCAACGTCATAAGTTGGGGGAACTCAAGGTTGACATAGTGTGGCTGCGGACCGTCCGATCTGCGGGGAAATTGAGAAGCATTTTGTAATTGCTTCAATCTACAGCTCAACATCGAGTGCACAAAATTCACAGCCGTCTGCGGGACACACTCGCGTGTGCGATAAATGATTCAAATATACGCACTGCCAGTATGTATCGGTGCTTCCATCCATCATCTTCTCAGGTGGATGCTCTTCCTTGAAGCTCGACACGGAGATCCTTGCGACATTTGAAAGGTCGCGCATGTCGGATACTATTCGAGTTCAAGTGGTGCACCACAAGCAGCTGGTCGGTTGGCGAGAGTATTCCTTGTCATCATTTCCTTATCCTATACAGTGTTCATACATGCGATGTCAAACCAAAACAAATTAGGGTTAACCATAGGTGCACGTGACCCTATCAAAATAAACAAACAACCGGTGAGGAGTCGCCAATGAACGTTTTTAAGAGCCATTTCATCTTATCGAACACTATCTTTGGTTTGCTGGAAATGAGCATTTTTCAGTCCTTAAAAGCCGTCGCTCATCACTCTTGCGATTCAAAGTGATCTCAAATTACAGCTGGGGCCTTGTCTAGTTAACCATCTGCCTGGGCTCCAATGCGGTTAGATCCATTCCGGTGCGCATCATTGAACGCATCGGATGGCCAGAATGATGGAACCCTCCCTCTCGAAGTCATCACCACCCTCCGTCCCTGCAAGCAGCCATGGGAAAGTACGTGTGCTGCATGTTCATCCATCCATCCATCCATCCGTCCGTCCATACACCCTCCAAATCTGTCATGTGTTGGAAACCTTTGGACACTTGGCAGCAATGGAGCAACATGCAGGTCATGAACTCACTGAATCGTGCTCATTTGTAGGGGTAAGCCACGTGGGCTTCAAGCCGCTCGCAAATTGCGGACCACACGTCGTGAGAACCGATGGGCAGACAAGCAGTACAAGAAGAGGGCTTTGGGTACTGCGTACAAGTCATCTCCGTTCGGTGGATCCTCGCACGCCAAAGGAATTGTCCTTGAGAAAATGTGAGTGGCATAGCAAGACGACGCACACAGCGCAAATATCGAGCTGGCTAGTGGAAGCCGAGAGTGATTGTGTATATCCACGCAACATTGTGGACAACCGTTTGGAAAAGGGTGGAAATTGCATGTGGTTGAGGTCATGTTGGATAGGAGACCTGTACCGACGGCGGTTTTGACAAACGCAGATGGCAAAGACTTCTGAGTCTGTGATCGGGGATTAATACATCGTTCCCAACAAGCAAATAATGACGGTTCTGTTTGTCGAAATAGTGGTGTCGAAGCCAAGCAGCCGAACTCCGCTATCCGGAAGTGTGTCCGTGCTCAACTCATCAAGAATGGCAAGAAGATTACGGCCTTCGTCCCCAATGATGGTTGTTTGAACTTCATCGAGGAGAACGTAAGTATATGCTATGAAGAACACTTTAATGGCCTGACACATTACTAAGATATGTGTGCGTATCAGGACGAAGTTCTTATCGCAGGGTTCGGTCGAAAAGGTCGTGCTGTTGGTGATATTCCCGGTGTCCGTTTCAAGGTTGTAAAGGTGGCTGGTGTCTCCCTCCTTGCGCTGTACAAGGAAAAGAAGGAGAAACCCCGTTCGTAGATCCTGGTCCATTTGTACATTCTTAATAAATTCTTGGAACTTTTGAATTGCTTTGCCGCATTCAGAGAAAGGAGGCGGTTATTCTTATTCCTACATTACAGATAGTCACAATCCAAGCTAGCTATTATTGTCTTTCGCCTGCATGCGAGCCATATGATCCCGTTGGGTCTTCGAATCTGGTCGCTTGCTTGATTACAGCAATCGGAGCTGATATTGGGTTGTGTGAGGCGCAGGACTTATAATGTGATTTCGAAGTGGTCTCTCACCATGGTGTCTACCGTTCACAATCTCCGTTCCGCTTCTTCCATTTTCGCTTTGCCAGTAGCGGATTTCTCCCTCGACGGCGACTACAGCTCTGAAAAAAAAAACACATCGTATAGCATTACTGGAAGCCTCGCAAAGCCAGCTCCGCTTTATCACCGAACTCGTATTTCATGCTCACCCCTTTTTGACCCTATCATTCAAATAGGTGTTACGGACAGTTATTCTGTGCCATTGCGTGTCTTCACGGAAAGTGCCGTCATCCCTTTTGGACCGTTTATTGGTGGCCACTGTAAATCGCCAGTATCCTGAGCGGGTTGCGTTCTGCCCTTCCTTGGGTGCAAATTCTTGAAACTCGGGATCGCGGCCCACATTCCCGACAAGCATAACCTTGTTGACACCTAACGTTTCGTAGCTAATATTAACTCACAGTATAGGTTTGCATGGCAGAAGTGGCTCTTACCAGCACGAGACGCGACGCTGGTAGAGAACGACTTTTCGCACCAAGGTATCATAAGGAAGAGCATGTTACGAGTCAGTCCATGTAAACTTATCAACCAGGTCTGTTGAGGGATCTCGCGGTCCGCGATCTCCAGCGCCCACCTTAACACCGTGAGGTGCATTCCTCACCGTAAAGCGGGTTAGAAAGAGAGACATGTTTGCCTGTATTTCTCTCACAATAAGTCAAAAATCGCAAGTAGATTGAGAAGGTGAAGGAGGGAAAACTCTTTAGAGGGTCGAACTAAATACATCCATGATAGGAACTTGACAGCTGAGACTCGAAGGGGTTGGCGAGCACCTTGAACCGGATGACTCAGGTGATCGCCGCTTACATACACAAACTAAGATACAGATTTAACATTAACTTTTGAAGTGATACGAATAACCCAGAGACATTTTCCAATATATTAGTACCCAACAGTTCATGTCGCTTTTATAGTTGAACCTGTTTTTGTGCATACAGCATCGCCCCGGTATGCTTTTTCAGCAAACCGAACAGCGGGTCCTGGCTTCGGTTGAGCTGGGGTTTGTGATACAGTACCTCCCTCACATACCTGGGGAACATTGACTAAAGAATGCATTAAGGTCATGTTGAATACATTCAAATTGAGAGTTGGCAATTAATGATTACACATGGGTTTCGCGAACGGAGAGCCAGGGCCTGGCAACCCACCCCAATGGCAAGGTGCACCACATACAACTATTTCTAAAAGTAACCATTTGCCTAGATAAATCATGATATCGTTTGCACCGTGTACACCACAGCACCCCTGCCCGTAGAAAGCGCCTTCTAACAAGCTACATAGCCCTGGTAGTATTTCTAAATAGAAGAGTCACGCAGTGATGATGCTTGTGCTATTGTTGAAGTCTGCTGGACTTCGTCAAATCAGGACTTTCTCAAGCATCCATCACCACATTAACCATTTTAGATGTCTTTATAGGTCTCCTTCTCGATCTTCGTCCTGTTTCAAAACAGTTAAAGCACACACCACCACTGCTCCAACAACAGATTCACATACCTATTCTGCAGATCGAATGCAATCTGCACCTGTTTCTTCACATGGCGCATGTAAGTTCGCCACTCCTTTTCCTTCCTCTTTCTCCGCCGTTTATCTGTATTCCGCTCAAATCTCTCCTGAGATCTCACCAGCTCATTCAAGCGTGATTCTTGTATGATGTCACGAAGCTTGAAATACGCTTGTGTAGGATTTGCAGCGGTGACCCGCACAGATCGACCCTGTCCAGTACTATGGTTGAGGGTGTCAAAGGTATGTCGACGGTATGATCGGTTTTGTTCCGCTTGATTACTCAAGGTAAGAGTAGCCAATCGATGCAAAGGTGCGTTGAAAGTACTGTTAAGGAGAGGGAACCGTGGAAAGAGGCGGACTGCCTGCATTTTGTCAAAGGCCATTCAATTTGGAGGTGAACGCATTGCACCATGTTTCCTCACCTTCAGCTTCGGACTGTTGCCATGGTATGTTTGTGTAACCTAACATGTGCTTACTCATCAAGGTCAACGCTATAGACTTGGCCTATTTGCATGGTCATCTTTAGTCCCAAAGGCAGTCCTTTTTGGCGTTCAAGGTGGGCCTATAATAGGGTTATTTCCTGTTTTCAATCTAGTCTACAAGTTCACATACCAATGTCCACTTGCGCGACAACCCACGTGTTCAGTGCGGATTGAAGATTTCATTATAGGAGGGAGGTTTTTGTCGACCTATTCTGTGGCCCGCAGAAATCGGCACGATGTTTGGGGGCGGGAAAGCCCGATCACCTAGAAAAGCTGGACGGCCACTGTCCATAGTGCGAGCTGGACCGGCGTACTCAGGCGACGCGCAGGACAATGGCGATCCTTCGGAGCCAAACACGCTTCCGAAACTTGTCATAGACGTGCACAATGAGATAAACGTTGGATGGGATTTTATGACGTCGTCTGACGTGAGTTTTCCTTTGCAAGACCAGATGAAGCTCATTGGCAGTCAACTCTTTTGGGCTACCCTAACTGGACCCGTTCACAGTTTAATCCCGTACCACATGCCCTATCTCTTCTCGATGAAAGTTCATTGGGACGAGATTATAATGCATTTTGTGAAGCCTATGACAAGTTGGAACGGGCCATGGATCTTATAGTTAACGGTAGGAAGATCTCTTCATGCCCTGCGATTGCATAGGAATTCTAACGCCACGGTTTTCCGCGCAGAGTATCATCAGGCATTTAACACAGCAATTCAAACCTTCAGCAGTGTGGTGGAGAATATTACAGGTGCTGGTTCTCTTAACGCGCGATCCATTTGTAAAAATGTTGCTCATCGATGACGGCGCCATAGATTCTCAGCGCCGTGTTCGTGATACGCGAAAAAATCTTCAGAACAGCAAGGAGTGGCTTCAATGTAAACGATTTGACTTGTTGCACCTATGGTTGAAGAGTATTCAATATAAAGAGATCAATCGTATCTTGGACACAATGTGCGTTGTTGCTCAGATCGCTAGCACTCGCGGTTGTCTTGGTAGCTGACAATCGGCTTTGGTAGCGAGGAATTGCAAAATATGCCAGACAGATTGGACGCTCTTGTTCAGGGAAAGTACTATCTCACCGCTGTGCGACTTCTGGTATCGGCGACACGAACGGTTGAAGAGGGAGAATGCTCGGAAATTGGCGCTCTGGAGGCTGTTAAGCAGCGATTACAAGAGATGCGCGGGGTCAGTAATGCTGTCAAGTTTGTGCCATACAGATCTCGCGATTGTTAACTTTTGTGTCTTATGTCTGGAAATAGACAATACATGAGACATTGATTGAAGAGCTCCATAATCATCTTTACTTGAAGAGTGCCTTCAGCTTATATCGGTTAGATTCAGGTATCAACGCAGCGCATTCTCCGTTTGCTATATTGTCAACTGATACGTGTACATGGACGTCGTCTGCGTTGTTTGCTACTAAGTGGATCATTATACCTTGCGCAAGCAAACCACGTATGTGCCTTTTACGACACAATTGTCTGCTGCATCCATTAATACATCATGACACAGTGTCAAATTTATACATGGACGCCATTCAACAAAGGGAAATGAGGGTGGGATATTACACGACAGAGGTAGACGGCATGTTCCGACTAAGCCAGGTATTAGCATCTGCTCGCCAATGAATAGATTGATGTACCAATAACTTTCAGCCATCAGGTCACGACCCCTTACAAGAAAAATTGGCCAAATTAAGGGAAGATGCAGATAGTGGTCAAGAGGTAGGAGCCAAACGGTTTTGTGCGGCAGTGTCTATCACTAAGTCGACCGATAGATTACCGAAGATTTGGAAACCAATCCGGAAACCGACTCTTATCATTATATGTTATGCTTGATTGAAAGTCTAGCCCTCTTAGGTCGCCTGCGTCCAGCCATGGAGGTACGTGACTGACATTGGTCTGCCCGTGGATCAAAGATTAAAGAGAGATACATAGGTTATCCGCGAGAGACTACCCGTAGAACTCTACTACGTAGTGGAACGAACAGTGCAGGAAGTTGACCATCGGTACTTAATAGCAACTTAACATGATGTTTTGCGAATTCATTAAAAGACCTTATATGCTCATCATAGCTATGGAAAGCTTGGGTCGTCGGTCGAAGAAACGTTGCGAGGCGGGATAGATAGCCAAGGTCCAAACCTGCTTGGCACCGATGCTCGAAAAGCCGAGATTCGTGTTTTGCTCGAATTTTTATGGGAGCTTTTTCGGAAATTCGAGGCTATCATACATGGGCATACATTCCTTCAGGCCATAGTTCAGGAACTGACTAAGGTTGGCGTCTCATGGCTTCTTGGAAGCGGCAACTCACTTCTAACGATTTATGCTCGCTAGCGTCAATCAGGCATTAAGCTCGATGGGTGTACGTGAACTATCTGTCTGATTTTCGTATCTCACAGTTGCTGATGACTCTCGCCAGTATATACCATTAGAGATGTGTGGTTCACTGCACAGAACGAACTTAAAGCTCTGCTTTATGAATATGTCCGAAATCCGGAAAGGAAAACTTCGGAGCCTGGAGTTGTCGTGTCACTGAACGACATCCTGAAAGACAGACGACGAGCAAAGCTACGAACTGATTCGCGAGTGAGTGTGCAACGCTGCTAGTTTAAAGCCGTCATTGATGAGATTCTCACACTTGGACGCAGCCGCTGTTTCGCATTATCGGTGCCGACAACAAGGATATGAAGACCGCGTATAAAGGCATCAACCCAGAGGCTGAGGAGACGGCTGAAAATGTTGTAGCGAATGTACGCCAGCTGGTAGACGGGCAAGATCCCGAAGACAGCGAGGATGGAGCAGCAGTAGGAGTGGTAGACACGTACGCATCAAACACAGTTGTCGCTGGGCATCGACTTCTGATTACACCGGATCCCTATAATATTCTGGTCGTATTCGGACCGACTACCGGTTTCGTGCAGCGTATGGAAAGCATGCTCAACGTAAGGTACGCCAAAAGAGCGCGACGCTAATTTAATTATGGATGCGAATCTTGACGTAAGCCATCTGCAGGTTCGGGAATCTAAGGATTTTCCTGGATGAGTTTGTTATCAACATGTTTTTGCCGCAAATGGAAAATCGTGTGTCAAGCTACTTTCACAACTATGTCAATGGTGAGAATAGCAATTGGTATTCGATGAGCCCATACACTCTTGGCTAAACATATCCATAAAGGAATGGATGCGTTTCACACAGATTTCCACGTTGAGCTATCTTCATTCCCTCTGACCAAGGTAACTTTGCCCCACTTGTATGCCTTCGCCATCAGCTAATCCGCATTCAATGCTAGAGTGCCACCGCGTTGGTCGTTCTGATTGAAGGAATATGTAGAACACTTCCTTCCATTCCCATTCATCAGGATGAAGCGATCAGAATGATAGAAATGGTGCTACGAAGCTACACAGACAAGTGCTCCTCCCGCTTCAATGGTAAACTGAATTTCTTGGTCAGTCGCGCCTACGCAGTATGATTTATCCATGTGCAGCCTTGATATCCAGCAACCAGCCAGGGGCAGATGGAGGTTATAGCAGCATTGTCAGCGCTTCGTGGGTCAGAGAGCCGGAGGTGGTAGAAATCCTATCGCAGCACACCCTTTTCCGAAGCGATGGCATGGTATAGCGTCCTGGCAGACTAACTTTGCGACATTGTAAGATAACAGCTTCCTTTTAGGAAATCGAGTCACCGGTTGACCAAACGTTGTCACAAAAGGTGGGTCCTATTACATGAACGGAAAATTTTCTCACTGCGAAGCCAACAACTTGTCCATTCCAGGAAACGTTTCTGGAGATGAAGCTGAAGAAGGAAAGATCTTTCCATCGGAGCGAACTGATTATGGAACTGCGTACTTTGCAGGCGATCGCGAGCCTGCATCACAGTATTGTGAGTATCCTGCGGCGCCGCATATGCTGACCTTTATTGACCGGATTGCTTTATTGTCGTAGGAATGGTTCATAAGTCAAGTATCAAGACTGTTCGTTACAGATACGGCAAAAATGCGGGTTGCTCCATTTTTGAGCCAAGTGAAGACGAGGAAAGGTTCCAGTGAAAGCTTGGTGCGTATATCACCTCAATTATTGAAAATAGATGATGACTGACTATTTGAACAGGACTCATATTTCAAACTCTCATCAGAGAGTTTACCTGACCTACGCGTTGAACATGAAGAGAATCTTCAACTATGGCTGACCCCTGAGATGGCACAGTAAGTTGCACTCATCCTTGGTTGACTCATAACAAAGGTTCTCAACGTGTGTCAGGAAATTCCAGGCCGTTGTGTCGGACCTCCAGCGTCTATCGGATCTTTGTCTTTTTGTGTTACGGGTGGAGCTACGCTGTCATTCCATGTATTACCTGGACCTTGCAATGCGAGAGGTTAGAAGTCACTCTTGGGATGGTGTTCCTCGATTTTGTAAGGACTCACCTTTAGTTACATAGGGTTCCTATTACCTCGAAGACGACACTCTTGAACCAGATCCTTACATTGGCCTTCTAAATTTGGATCTGTCCACAATTGAAGAAGCGATCAGTGCAGTATTACACCCTCGTAGGACAAGGTACAGTCATTTGTATTTTGTTCGTCCCGCGGGATGTACTCAATCGCGGATGATTGCAGGTTCATCTTTGATGGCTTGGCTTATCTCATAGCACATACTCTGTGCTCCAATCTGCGATATATAAGAAGGGTTAACCGCCATGGAGTGTCGAAGCTCGTGCGCAATGTCCAATCCCTCCAACAGAATCTGACGAATGTGACATCGGTAAATTTCAGAAGCCTTGACCGAGCTAAACAATACTTTGAGCTTTTAAACCTCAATGGAGAGGTAACTATCATCTTCCAACGGCATGTTGTTTGTATATGGCCGAGCGGTACTTGATACCTTTACGTTCACAGAGCCTGCTTGATTATGTCGCGCAAAATCAAGGACAATTCACCTTTGATGAGTACAAAGTGGTGCTGGACATCATCTTTTACGACGCACTGGCAGGAGACAACACGGTTCAACGTAAAACTTACAACGACTGTTTACAAAAGTTGAAGGAATGGTTCGTTAAACATCGGTAGTTCATGGAGTTGCTACCCTAGGGTGCGGGGGAGATGCTATACTATTGTATTTAAATAGATGTTCAATATCTACAGTGTCCCAGCCATCGTGGTACTAAAATCAGGTCTCGTATGTTCGCCATGCCCGTGATATATGCTAGGTACCTCTCGAATCCGAGCCCGAACCCACCGTGAGGTACTGACCCGAATCGCCTCAGATCTAAATACCATCCGTATTCCTCTACATCTAGACCAGCATGTCTCATGCTCTGTTCCAAAATATCCGGGTTATCTTCCCTTAGGCTTCCACCTACCAATTCGCCGATCTTCGGAACTAGCAGGTCCACACAAGCGACTGTCTCCTGCGTGTCTGCAGATCTTTCACCAATAGCCGACACCCGCATGTAAAATGGCTTGACACACTTTGGGTAGTCTGTAACAAAGACAGGCCCTTTGATGTGCTCTTCCGCCAAATAGCGCTCGTGTTCGCTCTGCAGAGCCAACCCCCACTGGACAGGATATTCCCATGCGCGATTCACCTTTGAAAGAATCTCAACCGCCTCACCGTATGTTATCCGCGCAAACGGTTGACTTGACGTCAAGCCTGCAAGTCGGCTTGGTAGCTCCTTATCCACCCACTTTGAACAGAAGGCTATATCTTCCTCGCTGTGCTCCAATACGAAAGCAGTGGTCTCTCTTATGCATGCTTCAATAAAATCAAGCAGTTCCCCAATTTGCGTGATGAAAGCCATTTCTGCCTCCAACATCCAAAACTCTGCTAGATGGCGACTTGAAAGGGAAGGTTCTGCGCGGAAAGTGGGGCCAAGGGTATACACTCGGGACATTGCTGAAGCCAACATCTCTGCATGCAGTTGTCCTGACACCGTTAAATATACAGCATGGTTAAAAAATTCGGATGGTCCAGGAGCCACCTGTTCTCTACTGGGCATGGGCAATGACTTTTCAAATGGGCTAGAGTCGTGAGCTTGTCGTTCTTTGATATACGCTTTCAGAGACTCGTTGCTCACTACGCGAAACACCTCGCCCGCCCCTTCACAATCATTGGACGTCAGAATTGGGGTATGAGCTTGCACGAATCGGTGAGACTTGTGTTCGACCACATTAGCAGTGGACCCCTTCGAAGCGCCACGGCACTGGATGAACCTACTTGAAAGAAGTGCTGTAGACCCAATATTGCAGTGTTTCGTATCCTCCATATCGCTCCAAAAGTTTTACTCCGCGACCGAAAATGCCCATGCTCTCGCAAGTAGTCAAAAGATACTCTCGCTTTGTGGAGAGGATACACCTGCATTGACAATTTAGTTTGGATCCGCAATGAATGAGGATATGACATACCTCCGGATTTGCTAAACCGTAAACTCTACAATCTGACACTTTCAACTCTTTGCTCTGCTCTTTTCCTGGACTCAACACGAGCTGACCTGTCAAGCAAACACTAGCACCTGTATGCAAGCTAACTAACTGCCGTTTAGTGAATTATCCACCTGTTAACTCTCCAATTATCCACGTACTCTTTAGCCATTTCCGGCTTTAATACAGCTTGAAGTCCCCTCCCTGTCGATCCGTCATTGATCTCCACGAAGGCCAGGTTCTTTTGCAAACGGACTGAACGCACCCATCCATTAGCGCTTGCGGTCGAGTTCACTGGCTTTTTTAAGATATCCACAATAGTATCATTTGGAAACTTGTATTTCGATGTTGATATCTTTCTGAATTGGCGACAAAAGGCCGACTGATCAAGGCATCGTCGTCCTAACATTTCTGTTGAACTCCAATGGGTAAGGATAGATCAAAAGGACACCAATATGTGTCACGTGCCCGTGAATTGTTTTTGTCCAAAGGCTCTTCCCGTTCAAAACTTTTGTTATCCGTTTGCAAAACATGGCAAAGCAGAAGAAGACAACAAAGGTCGGCCCGCAACCAGCAGCATCTGCGAGTCCTCAACTTGGTCTCGCATCACCGAGCAATAAGTCCCAACCAGAACCGTCCCCTGCACCTTTAACTGAGTTTGCTCAATTTCGCGTTCTTCCTATCACTGTCCGACCCCTCTCCGTCTCCGACGAACATCTTTCCTCCTTTAGCTACCATGCCAAGACGACCACTACGAGCCGCTCGGTGATGCATTATCTATTTATCCGCGCCCATGAATCCAAGAAACCAGAAGCAAATCTGCCAAATGGTCGAACGCTTTTTGTCGTGAACATACCTGTTGATGCAACTGAAAGACACTTTAGACGTCTGTTCAGACGATGCGGTAATATTGAGCGAGTAGTATTGAAAGACCGGCATTCTGGGATGCAAGAGCGAGTACTGGAAACGGGAGCTCAAGCTCATATTGTGTTTGTAGAGGAAGCCGCCGTAACTAAGGCTATGGCGATGAAATCTAGAAAAAGAGTATGGTCGGATGAATTAGAGGAGGGAAATGACGCAGAAGGGGATGCGCAGGAAGGGGAGTCATGCACAGCAACGTCGCTGCCACGACCTGTCGGCTTGGCAAAATGGCTAAAACAGCATTTCGCTAGTCGACCACGATTAGAAGATTTGCAGAGAGCAGTTGACACGTCACTGGTAGCATTCGAAGATGCGGAACGGGAAGCACGCATAGCTGCGGAAGGCCGACGCAACGTGCCAGATGAGGACGGCTTTGTAACCGTGATTCGCGGTCGCGGACGTCGTAATGTTAATTTGGACGGACAGGGTGCCTCTGTTACTGCAGCTCGACCGGAAGAAATCAAGAAGCTGAAGCCTAAAAAGAAAGAGCTGGTGGACTTTTATAGATTTCAGATGCGAGAGACAAAGCGAAACCGTGAGTCATCTACCCTTTTTGCATTTCATGAGACGTCCCGTTCTCATAGATCACTTTTTCAGAACTTGCTGAACTTCGTCGAAAATTTGAAGAGGATAAGCTGCGTATTGCATCTTTGAAGGCAAACAGGCGGTTTAAACCATACTAGGGTCGTATTAGAGCAGTGGATCGAGTGATCGTTACAGTTGCAACACCTCTATCATTCTCCTTCCCGTCGCCATCTTAACGCGATTGTTTCGTGATTCTTGGACGCTGAATGTGATCGTGATTGTGAGCATTGTATTATATAATTCTGCTTATGAAGGCAATATCATCAATGTGTCTGCATAGGGGGGCAGATTCTATGCTTGCTGTGCGCAGATATGCAGACCAGGAGATGATTCAAGTCTTGAGAGTTTAATATAACCACATTTGGTTATATTGCGTATGATTTCGTAGACTGTAAATACTGGAGTTTTTAGCACATTAAAGAGATCAAACATGGTACCTCCCAAGAAACGTCAGTATCGCAAGCGGTCAGTGGACCAGGACCCTTCAAACCCGCCCCAAGAAGATCCTGACCCCACAGAATTGGAAGAGAAGGCAGAGGATGTGAGGTGAGCATAACGTTTCCTCTGATCCTTTCTGAAATGTATTCACAGAATGGTATACAGCGCGGTTGTACAAGAAGCTCTGGAATTGAGGCGATTTCGCCGTCGTGCCGCTGGTTTGGATACAGCTGATCTGAGCCGTGGGGACAAGAGGAAGAAGAAGGAGAAACCTGTGAATGATGACCCATGGAAACTAAAAACGGGGGGCGGAATCATTAATATCGATGATGTTCGCGGTCGAAATTTTGGTGAGGACGGGCGAGGCGGGGGTGGCGGCGGAAGTTTCGCAACTGCCAGCAATGTCATGGATACGGACCGACATATGTATGGGCCAGGGACTTGTGTCATTCACAGATGAAATCTCTTTCACTCATTCATAAACCTATAGGAGAGAATACATTGAACAAGAACTCCGCAAGCGGCGAGGTGCGTCATCATCAGAGGCAGGTGGTGCCGAGCGAACTGGTGAGAATGGAGCACCAAAAGATATACAGGATGAGCTGTTCGAGGTGCCGGAACATTTGAAGGTGAGTCGGCCCCGGTGCTCTCATAACGGAATTGGGTAGTAATGGCGTCTACATTACTTCCCTCTGTGATACAGACTGTCGAGAAACCCGTTAGCGAGGGGAACGTGACACTGTCGACTTCAATGCTCACCGCAATTCCAGAGATCGATCTAGGAATAAAGTAAGCCATGCATGTAGAGAATCTCAAGCGTACGGATATTCCTGAATTTGAAACACTTGCAGCACAAAACTGAAAAACATCGAGGCGACTGAGAGAGCCAAACGACAACTCATTGAACGTACCGCAGACATTGCATCAGAGAGATCGAAATCTGATTCTCCAATACCCGGGAATGAATTTGCTGGGGCCAATATGGTTGCATCTGACCGATGTGAGTCTGTACACATTGAGCGCATCACACCTATACTTTTTTTAAGCCAGTTTGTTGTGTCTGTTAAGGGCAACGCTTTCCGTATCGACGAGATGATCGTGATCAGGAGGCAAAAACTGCGGCACAAGGAAATATGGAGAGATCAGGAGGAACACGCAAAGGCGATGCAGAGAAGAAGTTGGACCGAAGGACAATGGCAACAGGTACCTATCGCATCTCCGCTTGTTGAATAATGTACTCCGTTACCAATGCATGTGCTCTCTGCAGATGAAGTGGTCATGGAACGATTTAAGAAGCGTATGCGAAGAGGGTGATTTTGTGATAGCGAAGAATAATGTATCATAGATATTCACTATTTATACTGAGTGAGATGTAAATAGAGTACTGTTTGAGGGAAAGAGTTGGTGTTCAACCATTGAAAACGCAGGGTATGTATGAATAACGGAAGTTTAAACTAGTACATCCAAAAACTCAAAATGGCTTCACATCACGTCACGTGATCATAACTGAACGCCGTGACATCCATGGTGGATTCAAAGCGGGATCCAAGCGTAGGCTGGTCTACTTGTCTACGACGATTAGACACAGTTATGGACGAAGCGCTTCTCGCGATTATAAATGCAGGCCAAGCACAGGAAAAGCCGCTAAGTCGCCGGACCAGCGAATCTCAGCGGAGGAGTCGGTATGCCCTGGATTCATTGGAGCAACTTTCTGCCTGTCGTACTCACGTTTCCATAGGCGGGGCGGCCGGAGGGATAGCGATAGCGAAGAGGGCCAGTCCGGCTCTGAAGACGATGATCTGTTGTCGGAGGATGAAGAGTGGGCAGAAGTGAAGACTTGGGACCCCGAGACGTTGATGGGGGACGATGCGGACAGACAAAGGTTGGGATATGGAGACAGTCGCCTTTACTGGAATTCTCAATAGTGACGAAACCCAATATCTGTCAACCATGTGCAGACTCACGCAAATGTCTGAGCTCGACCGTGAGGCGATTCTGGCTGAACGAAAGAGCAAAGTATGTGGTCGCTTGGTTCACATTAGAGGTCAATCGTTCATTTGGCGTTCCAATATCCGTCCAGTTCGAAAGAATGAGGGAGCGGTTAGAAGTCAAACGAATGTTGAAGCGGCGAATGAGTGGGCAAACGAAAAGTAAGCGACAACAAGATGATGATGGGCCCCGTAAGTTCGCGCACGATTACGGTCTAGTAGGTCTTCCATAGACGCTAAAAGTGAATTGTGCCTAGGCCCGTCTAAAAGACAAACAACAGAGAAGGCCAAATGGGGCGATTCCATGGCAAGTTTGCGAAGAGAACGGGAAAAAAAGAGAGCTGGCGTGAAGGTATGAGGCTGCTGCACAGGGCTGTCGTCTCCTCACCCTGACCTCTATTCGGAATGTACAGGACGAAGGGGAGGGGCGCAAGGAGCGGAGACGGGAACGTTCTCTAAGCTTTAGTGGAAGCGACGCAGAAGAGGGTGAAGTGAAGGGTTCACTTGACGAGGACGAGCGAGCGACACAGGTATGTGATACACCATGGAGAGCCTTTCCAATGTCCCAATGTCCAGGTATCTGAATGTAGAAACTCTAGGAGGTGGACAAGCGAGTCCGCACTCTTCCCACCTTTAATGAGGTCGTCTCAATACAAGTGACGCGGTCGGAATTGGTGGACTGGGCATTTGCGCCTTTTTTTGAGAAAACTGTTCAAGGTGTGTGTCGTGCGTGGTCAATTATCCCGGTTCGCAGCTAATGGTTCGCCGACTACAGGTTGCTTCGTTCGGTATGGATTGGGCCAAGACCCGAAAGATTCTACTCGAAATGTCTATCGAGTCTGTCTGATTGATGGTACGCGCATGAGTTCCAACAACTCGGCCGTTTCTCTATTAACAGTCAACCACTTTGTATAGAAATCCGTCAAGCATCTAAGACATATCCTGTTGATGGAAAGCCAGTACAGAAAGTTGCGCTCATGAGCCATGCCAAGGCGCGCAGAGAGAACTCATTTCATAAAGTCTCAAACGGTCGGATTACAGAGGTAATATTGTAATACCCGTGATATCTTTTCTTGCTGACCTGGTTTCATCCTGCGTAACGATGTATAGGCTGAGTATCAACGTTGGGCGGACACAATGAAATACGAGAACGCCGCAGACATTCCTATTGGACACATCCAACGCAAACGAGACGATTTACAACGTGCCCGGGAATATGTTTTGAGCAGTGTAAGATCACAAAATGCCGTGCGAGGTCACAGCCCTATCATGGGATTCACGTTACTTTACAGGAGGAAGTGGCCCGAATAGTGGAGCAAAAGAAGGCTCTTAACAAGATGCCGGTTAATATTGCTTCTGAGATCACGGAATTGAGGAGGCGGGTAGAGTATGCAAAGTCGACTGCGAATTCGGATGAGGAAGCAAAGCTGCAAAAGCGTCTTGAACATTTGCTGTCAATGCTGACATCGAAAGCAAATAAGCCGGAAACGCCCAGTCGCGTCCGAAACGGCGTGGATGAAAAGCCTTCCAGGTCAACACCGGAAGTTAAGATTCCTTTGGTTCGCGTTAACAGTTCGGCTCGCTTGAAAGAATGTAGCGTATCGATGATCACAAATGAGTGGGATGCACAGTTTGCGTTCGATCCAATTTTGGATGAAATAGATATTGATGAATTTTGACCGACGTGGTTTATGATCTGGAGCAGGCTAATTGCCAGTGCATAGATAAATCAAAAACTGAGCTATTACAGATTCAGATATTCAAAATAAACATGATGTACACAAAAATGGATTAAACTTGGTAAGTTCCGTGCACCGACAATCTTAGGGTCCGCTCCCACTTCTCAAATTACAATATCCTATCGATCTCATCATCGTGAGGGGCGGTGCCAGTTTCTAGCATGGGCTCGCTGTCAAAATGCTGTACGGGTTCTTGAGGGGGGATATCAAGGTCATACATGGTTATGGGTCTGGAATATCCGATTGCGGGTCCTCCTTTGAAGATTCATTGTTGCTGTCTTGCTGATCTGGGCTATTTCCTTCATGTAACTTGAGCAAGGCATTCACATTCTTTTCATCACCTCGACCAGTATCTGCGTCGCTGTTTCCATCTCTCCAGTAGGGATCACTCTCAACGTCATCACGACTATTCAACTTGTATTCGTCTAAGAAGTGGTCGGAACTGTCCAGCACCCCCGACTGGTGATCACCCTCAGGATGTCGCACCATTAATTCTTCCACATCGTTGCTAACAGGAGCATCAACTTGTAAAACGAATTCCACCCTATTTTGATCATCACCCGACGCGACCTCATCCGAAAGACCAGACTGTGGCGGTTCCTGATCATGAGGTGATCCTTCGTTGTTGGAAGCATCCATTTCCTCTGCAGCAGCTATGGCCCTTGCAATTGCCGCATCATCCGGGGTTGTAGCCACATCAGTTTCTTGCAACGGCTCAATTGCCTCAGAGAATGATGCGGATTCTACTTGCGGTCGCCTCACTGACTTCATTGCTCTTCTCAAGGTCACACGCGCCTTCAGTAATGAACCCGCCTTCATCAAGCGCGTCGTTGCATCCAAACCCCCAGAAGAGGTCGACAGAAGCAGCTGTCCTTCAGCGTCAGTCTCCTCCATCATCGCTGACGGATCGTCGCTTTCGTACCGATCGTCGATACTGCCGAACGACCTGCCCCGACGGACAGTCAGTCGCGAGGAAAAGGGGTCCTGTCCCTCAACCGGTTTGAGACGAGACATGCCGTCTTCTGCGGGACCTACAATAGCAAGGAATGTACCCCGAGGTCCGTACTCTTGTGCAAACACCTGTGAAGCTGATGCTGTGGGACTTTGTACCTCCTCCTCAATTTCGATCGACCGTAGTAGCGTTTCACGCAAGTCGCTATATGAAGGATCCCGTGATCTGACTGGGGACGATGATGCGGAGTCATCTCTAGATATGCTCTCCAAAACTGGAGCGGGGTTAGAAGCCGATCGCGCCCTATTAGCTTTCAAGAGCGCCACGTGCTGCGTATAGGCCTCCTTCTGTTTTGCTTTACGATCTGCTGCCTCATTTTCCCGGCGCGCTCGCGCAAGTGCATTTGAAAATGATGCAAACAATCCAAAAAATTCCTCCGGGGCGTCTCCTCTTTCATTCGGGTCATCGCCAAAGAATGAAATAAGCTCATTGACATTCTTTTCCGCCACGGCGGCTTGGTACTCCAGCCCAGCGACACGCACTTCCGCGCGGGCACTGAAGGCCTGCATCACTGGCACAAATCGATCGTTCTCGCTGGCAGGACCGAGCTTAGCAAGCTCTGCAAGCTCTGCCTTGACACCTTCGACTCCCTTACGAAGCGCCTTGATGGATGCCAAAAGTGCAGGGATGCACACTCGCGCCGCCAATTCGACTCTGGGCATTTCCCTCATGAAATCAAGGAGTTCTGGTTCCTTTTCGTCCAGCTTCTTAGCAAGATAATGCAAAAGCGTGGAAACCGTCCTGTGGTTGTTTTTGCTCGCCCGTGTATCTTTGAGCTAAGAAAAAGGGGGAGGGTTACCAGACTGTAAAAGATAGCCACAATTGACGAACGATGTAATTACATTCAGGAGTGCTTCCAGCTTAAACCCATGCGCATCACCACGGAAGGACGTCCCATTCAAATAGTTGCCCACAACCAGCACCGTTTCGAGTAGCTTTCGCAAACGTTTGGAGTTCTTAAGTTGCTCGCATGCAAGTAGGACAGTTTCCATGTCCTTCGATCAAAAAAATAACTCGGTGTCACACAAGAGAACTCGCTGGACAGTTTCCTGCTTAAGCCAAAGCTTACCGGAACGACTTCTTCAACCTCCTCTGCGAACCGCTTGCGGAAGCGCATGCTTTCCAGTCTGTACGCTAATCTAGGTATATCCATGACTTCACGAATATACTTCTCTGCGTTGCCGAGATCTTCTATATCTCCTTCATAGCCACGAACAATATCGCACTAGATGAGGAAACTGTGTAAGGAATATCGTTGGACGTCTCCGCCAGAAAGAAACTACCTCTTCATCGGTGGGCGCCCACATTCGAAGTGCATGTAACCGCTCAACAGACAAAATACTATCGTCTATTTCGATAATAGCATTCCTGATTTCCGGATATTGGAGACGTAAACCTCCCAGCATGATAGCTGTTCAGTCATATGATCGTGAGAAGCCAAGTTTGCAAGCAATAGTTGAATTGGCATAACACCTACCAATGTTCTGCGCTCTTCGGCTATCTATCAGGGTGATGACTTTCTTTACAGCCGCTTCCTTTTTCGGCTGTGGTTTGGGACGTGGTGGGGCTTCTGTATATGCCAATTCATATCTTGTTCTATTAGCGTAGAGACTATTGCAAACACACCTTCTTTGGCAAATAGTTCCACGAGCTCCTTCTCGTCAAAGAAAACCTCCTTAATAACCGGCCCTCGGTACGCTTCTTCTACAAGGGTCTCCCAGATTGTGGACTTCGCAAGACGACTTGGAATCTTCACCCATTGCAGAGGCTGGATGCGCGTAATTCATTAGCATGACAACTAGAAAATGTAACATGTAACAACTCACCTTCATGGGCTGTTTCGCTTTGACAATCTTCAATCCGACAGGGGGTAGCGGCATTCCTCCCGGTGGTGGAGGTGGTGGAGGTGGTCCTCCTCCAGCAGCAGGAGGTGGAGGCGGCGGCGGTGGTGGTCCGCCAGTGGCAGGTGGTGGAGGTGGAGGCGGCGGAGGCGGCGGCGGAGGAGCGGAAGGTGGTGGTTCAACCTTGTCTTCTTTGCGTGCATCAGCCATTGCCTTTGCTTGTATCTCGTTTATTAATACTTCAACACGAGCTTGCTGTTCAGGTTTGAGCGCGGCCAGCTTGCCGGAAAGACTGTCGGGTTTAATAGTCCGTAGCTCGCTCACAATATCTTCCAAGCGTCGGATTTCCTCCCACAATCGGCCAACCCCTGCGCCTGCGCCCAATCGTACGGACGCCGGACGGTCTTCACCGTCGGTTTCTATAAACCCTGTGCCACTATCGGAAGTTGTGAGGACAGGTGGTACCGGGAGCGGACGAGGACGGCGTTGTCTTCCTGTCGTATCATGAGGAGGTATTCCGTCCCGAGGAGGAAGGGGCGGACAGTTCTCCTGTGGCCGTCGGCTCAATGTCGCTCTGAGGTGGTCCAACTCTTTCCGCTGTGCTTCGAAGGCTGTGAGACTTTCCGCATACTATCCATTGAAATGGTCGATCAGCGGCCATACCGAGCAAGGCATACGTCCCCTCAACGCAGTGCATACCTTCTGTTTCATTGTCTCCAGCTCTCTAACTACCGTCAATAAGTTACTGCCACCCGGTGGGGTTGAAGTATGTCCGGTAGACTGAAAGCCGACCACGACTCCGGCAACCTCCTCCACCCCACGGATCAAGTCTGCAGCTAAAGTTTGATACTTGACGGTTCGATTTGACTTTTCAGGTGCTGAGGAATGCTCTATCCATGCCGACATTCTATTTGAAATTCCTCCCGTGGCACGCTCCATGAGCGCAAGTGCCTCAGCTGCCTCTTCCCTGACCTCAAGATCGGCATCCACATCCATTTTTATCTGGTGTGCGCCGGCCTCTGAGCAACGGTTAATTATGCTAGCGCGTTTTCGCAATGCTTCCACCATGGTTGAAACATTTTTAATCGTGGTCAGCACCAGATTTTGCGCCCGCTCAGGGTCAGGTAAAGCCTTCGCAGTTTCCAAAAGCTTGTCTAGTGTTTCTCGAGGGTCACTATTGGATCGTGTGATGGCAAGTGTGAGATGCAGTTCAACCTTCGAGGTCGTCCGATATATCTGACCTTAACGCCGCGTTCTTCTCACGGAAAGCGGCCTCCATCATTTCCAAATCCGCTGCTCGATCTTCTTCATATGCATCCAATTGCACTGCCAGGGGTTCTGGGGGCTCCATGTCCCGCAAAGTCTGGAAAGCCATGTTCACTGTCATTCATTCAGGCGCTGATCCAAAAATGTCAACCTACCTGCATAACTCTTCGCAGACCCCGATCCTCGACCTCGCGCCGTATCTTCCACCTCTCACGTGAGTCTTCAGGAGCAGATACAAGTCCATTCACGAAAATCATTATGGCCGTCCGGTACTCCCATGTAGCTTGAACCTCATCCGAGTCTCGCCAATCGGCTGGGGTGGTGCAGGTTGCTTGCAACGGGCTTACAAACGGATCAAGAAGGGAGTTAATCATGCAATTGAACCTGCCAGGTTCACCCTGAGCAACCGCAAGATCTGACATTGACTGCAGGGCCAGTCTATGAATGAGTGAGGTGTAAGAATGAGAAATCTTAGTCATGCGCCAGTAGAGCTGGGCTTACGTTCTGCCTTTCTCAGAAAGCAGGCACATGGGGCCCAAAACCCCAGCCACTGCAGTCCGTAATGCTATATTCGCGCGTCGGGTCCTCGCATCCCCACCAATGGTTGCTGCTGAAAGATCAGGTGCAGCCAAGCAGTACGCCAGCTGCTTCATTAAGGAAGGGGAATTCAACACCGCGGCATATCCTACTTCGGCATTCATGATTAGTTTGATGCAGCGAACAGTCTCAAGGCCAAGCTCGTCTTCTAAAACAGCATCGGCGTATGATGAATGTCCTCCGGCAGGAATTGGGGGTAGGGGTTTGTCGGCGGTATAGTTCCGGTAGGACCGATGTCCCCCCGATGTGATACTCCGCAAATGCTTTGCTTCATAAACGCGGTCCAATACAATTTCTAGAGCACGTATTCCACGCACACCATGAAGACCTAAGTAGGGGACCTCAGCCTGCAGGAAGTCACGTATGAAATTGGCATTTGACAGGGAGAGTGTAATGCGGAATGCCGTGAGATGCCGATATAGGGCCTTAAGAGGAGTGTTTCTAACGTGTCGTAGGAGTGACAGTGATGCAATGAGAGAAGTTTCTCAGACGCCTGCAAACCACATCCGATTTTACCTATTTGCTAACAGAGCAACAAAGCGTTGGGGAGTTTGCTCCCCAAGAGTGTTCAAGTCGGCAGGAGATGAAGTTTGAAGTGAGTCGGTTCGCTCAGGAAGAGACGGCATATTACCGTTCGCAGAATGGCGGTCTGGCAATGGTGGGGCGACTAATGTGGAAGTTGTAGACAACGTTCTTCCCGGCTGGCTGCCCTCCTTTTGACGTAGATGATGATACAGCTGTATGATCTCTCTTTGTCGCGTACGGTCCATTTTCAACATATTATCTCGGGCAGATCCTCTGATATCTAGTTCATCCTGCATGGTGAAACATGCAGATACTGTGAATTTCACGTAGTGTTTTGCAAAATATCATCTTTGGTTTAGGTGACCCTTACCAACACTCTACGGAACACTTTTTCAAGGTCTTCCGTATCGAGGTTAACGGACTCAACCTCAGGGGCTTGAGCCTGGCTCTGTGTTCTCTCCTGACGTGGTGCGGCAGAGTTTCTGCGGGCAGATTGTTTTTCCAATTCCCTGGCCCGGCGATACTGTTCGATAAGATCGCGCTTTCGCTTAGCGTCCAGAGTTCGGATCATGGTTTCTCGTGCAGAACCATGTATCTTTAATCTGTCCTACTCTCCAAAAATATCGGAGTTTGGTATAATGGGTTGTCATAAACCGCTAATGGATGACTTACTAATACCGCCACAAAGAGCCTTTCAAGCTTCTCATCAGTTTCCCCATTGAGTGACGTAACAGATGACTTGTGCGCCAAAGGCATAGACTCCATTGATGACGCATTGGAATGGTGAGAGCCTATCGAGCCGACAGAAGTCCTTCTCATCCCAGGCGAACCCGGTGGAGGGGAGTGATTCCCTTGTACGTTTGCCCTCTCTGCGTCTGGTCTTCTTTGCTGCTGCCAGTCTAGAATGAGACGCCTTTTCCGACTACTGTCAAAGCTCATCATGTGAGTCCGTGCAGGACCATGAATTCCGCGATCATTCTGTATGGTTGGAGAGTAAGTTATGTCAGATGCACTTACTTTGACAGACTATATGCTCGTGTTACGTACCAGCATGGCCTCAAATGCACGCAATAGGTCCTGACTCTCCCGCTCACGGTCCTTTCCGCTGGCTCCGAAAATTCTGGACCCAATCTCCGCCAGCTTATCTTTTGTTCGCTCCGACATGCTCGTATGGGAGGTTCGGCGGGTCTCTTTGAAGTCATTTGGCCGATACATTAAGTACAGAAGCCCTTCTGGGCAGTCGTCCCGCTGAGCAGGAAAGTTTACGCTGCTGAAATGAAGACGTAAAATGAGGAGACATGAATGCAAGTGGACATGCGGGGATTCATGATATCTTTCAGTGGCGCAGTTTTCAAGTGGCAGTACAACGATGTCATTATAAACAAAATCAACGAGTGGCCTCCAAGAGATCGCGGGTCCATTTCGCACCTTCTTCAAAATGAGTACCCAAGCCGACAAATCCCTCCATACATGTCCCCAAGCTCCCCAGCACATCGTCGGCTTCCGTCAGTAGGCCAAGTCGATGCAGATTAATGTAACCTGTTGCAGCTTGCCAAATGCAGATCCCAAACGTCCAGGGCTCCAGATTTTTAATGGTCGGATTGGTGGGTAAAATAACTTCAGCCAAAATGCGTACTATCTCCCGCGCTTCCTCCCGACATCCTACAACAGCAGCGCTTGCCTTCGCATATTCTAAACTCGTTGATGAGTGTACTGTGTCGATCATCGCCGGCCAGCGAAGGAGCAAACGAGAGGTGTGATATAACAGATGCACAGAGACCCAGAACCAGCTTTGCAAGGGCTTATCGGCGGTAAGATCAGGTATGAAGTACTTGCCAAGATGAGTTGCCCACGATGGCAGACCAGCAAACCAAGCGCGAAGCTCCTGATCTAAGCCCTGAAGCTGTGACTGGCGATCCGCATAACTTCCGACTTCCATTGAATTCGGGTTTGGTAAATATAGCCAAGTTGGGAGTCGAATATTGTCCTGATGGCCACTCGGTATAGGGTCTGGAAGAATACGATCAAAAATGTCATGCAGCTTGAGAAACGCAATATACGGATCAGTCATAATGTCGCGTATCGCATCCGGTTGTGGAGATTCCCCGGATTTGAGTACAGTTTGCCAGAGAAGCTCGGCAGAAGGTAACTGTACTCGAACAATCTCTAATGAAATCCGCCGCGGACGAAATCCCAGATTCGCCATCTGCCTTAATTCCCTGGTGAGCAACACTGACTTAATCACATGTCACCGGGTATTGCTACATACCGGTCTCCATGAAAGCAGGCCCAGAATGTCCTTCGCCTCGTCTCCGTTACGACCCACGTTTGTGACGGGTCGATCTCCGGTTCCAGATGAAGGTCTAATGACAGCGCGATGCTAATTGCACTGTCCAAGTGCTGCACTCCAGTAAGAGCTGTAGTAGAGGAGTCAGGGGCCATGATCAACAATTTCCAGCGACAGGGAGTCACTACTCACTACGGCCCGAGGACAGAGCGTGCGCCTAATTGGGCAATTTTCAACCATCGCGCAAACTTTTAAGTGCAATTGAATGGCCTTATAGCATACCGATAGTAGTAACAAGGCATGGATTACTTCAATGTCAGCAGCAGCTTGGCTTTGATGCAACAATTGCTCAGCACGTTCATAGAATAAGTCGCCAGCCCTGTACTGAGGCCGTCCCGGGAAGAGGTTTGAATACTTTGCTCCAAGGGTATACACTGCATTCATTAGCAACGGCGAGTGACTCCGTAGTTCTCGCATAAATGTACAGTGATGGAGAAAGTTGTGCGGCTGTACGTGGTAGTGGCATGCGATAAAGAGCTTATAAATAAGTGATTATGAGCATACTGTTCCTCATATGAGTATAGGTACGCGTTGCGTACATACCTCTACGAGTTCATCCAAGGCGGTCTGGGCAATGTTAGGCTCGTTGCTATAATCCTCCTCCTCAGCCAGCAGATCAGACAATGCTTGATCAGAGAGTTGCCCATTACCCTCGGCTAAATTGGACATTGCCGAAGAGTCGAGCGACACAGAAGAACTTCCTGAACTCAAGTCCATCAATTCAGGCGTTACCGCAGTATTTTCGGTGGCACTCTGTGCTAATGCTCTCCTTGCAGTCTCCTGTTGATGTGCCAAAAGCAGGGCACCCGGATCAAGGCCATGTTCTCGAGCTAGCGTTTCCAAGTCTCTTAGCCTCGTTTGCAATAGATCTACATAGCGTGCACGAGGGCCCTTTTCCTTTGTTTCCGCTACGTTGTCTGTGGCCGTCTGCTGGTGTCCCGAGCTACGTGCTGACCAGCTGCAGCTCAGAGAGCTTCTTTCACACGTCCCGCAACTCGGCCGTACACCGTCGCATTTGTATTTACGTTTCCGACAAGGATCACAAGCTTGATACACCCGCTTTCGCTTTGGCACCTGATGCTCTTTTGAAGAGGACATCGTGGAAGATTGGCGCGGAGAGTCTCATTCAATACGACTGGCTCCACTGTTACTCTACTTTGGTTGGAACCAAACCCACACATTCGCGACAGATTCAGACTTGCTCAATGCTCAGATCTACAGAAAATGTAAGATGCAGCAAGCGCCTGACCTATTAATGACGACCGAACCAAGCGATCCCGGGCAGTCCTCCCTACTTGTGCGGAACGTACCGTTAGATGAACTACCAGTCGGGAAGGACATCACGGATTTCTTCGTTCGATTCGGTGCAAAAGACGTTCGGGTCTTAAGAGGAGGGAAAATGGTAGGTATGTGGTACGTCGGCAGTGAGTTTCACCAATAGATTGCGTTGGCTAAGTCATGTGTTATGCCGGCAGCGCAACTGTGCATTTGTTCGCTTCCCTTCGTCCGCTGAAGCTTCTGCCGCCTCGAGCAGGTTGCGAAGAATATCGCTCTTTGGTCGGAAGCTCAAAGTGGAATATGCACAAGCATTGGATGGGTACGAAAAAATGCAAGATCCTGGTGTTATGGGCAACCCTTCTTGATTTCCTTCTCCTTAGATCGGCTCAGGAGGAAGCCAAGTGTGCATCATCAAACACTGCTCCAGCACCGGTGACCATCGCACCACAGCTCGGGTGATGTCTCTACGATACATTTCCATAGATAGCACTGACAGAAAAGTCTAAACTTGCCCCTTTTGCAGGATTAACTGGTCTTCTTCCCCCAATCTGGTTTATCGCTACCCATCTCCTACTCCCGACATCCTCAGGAACATCATGCGTTCCATTGCTGCAGTGCCTAAACTTTATACGCAAGTTCTGCATTTGATGAATAAAATGAACTTACCACCGCCGTTTGAACACGTGGCTAAAGAGTCTTCCAAGGTAAGTAACCTGTACTTACGGCCGATCGACCCAATCATGGGTGGTACTTACATCGCATCTCGGGCAGAAACTTGGACATTCGCAGCAATACCTGCGTGTAAGTACGATACAAGGCAAGAAGCGACCTCGTGATGAGCTTCTAGCAAGCGATGAATCTGAACTAGATTCTGAAGAGGACGTCAGACCGATCAAAATCAAAAGATCAGCTATGGAAGGTCCTGCTCTCCAGCAGCATATGAAGCACGCTCCTTCCATGGAACTGGTCACACCTACACCGCCAATACTCCCAGTAGCGCACCGGGTCCCCTTCCAAAGCTCCGTCACAGTTGGAGCAAGTGCTCATCAATGGAACTTCTCCGTTCAGCCTCTCCCACCAGGAATGACGCGTTCCGCACTACCTGTGCCGTTACTGGCCAATTCCGGTCCGAAAATTTACAGTCCCCGTCGACCTGTCCCCCCACCTCTCCTGAATTCGCCCCCCGGCCCACCGCTCACCTTCAATCGACACCCGGTAACAATGTCGTCCGCGATGGTACTTCGTCCCCCTTCCCACCGAAGCCCCCCAGTTACCGAATCCGCCAACAGAGAGAGTGTCCCTGCATCAAAAGGGAACGAAATGCCTACGGTGCACCAAGATGTTATCTCCTTGGTGGAGCTGCAAACGCATCGCCTGTCCATTACGGGTATGAAAATCTTGTAATAGTAAGCTGTGACGACTATTATTTACCTGGCTTATTCTAGATCTTATGAAGATCCCATCTTTTTCCAAGTATACACGTGGTGATCCCTCACCTGTACTTTACGTTAAAAATCTTAACCACAAGAAAGTGTCGGAAGCGGATTTGCGACGAATATTTGGTCGATTTCATACGTCGCAAGATATTGAAAGGTATTGAATGCATATTCAATGATATCAACCGCAATTGAATCATCAATTCCTTGGGCTCATGTGGCAAAACTATCATAACTCAGTCTGGACATCAAGCTTATGAAAGAGGGAAGAATGAAGGGGCAGGCTTTCGTCCGCTATACCAGTACCGACGCTGCGACTGAAGCCTTAGACAGCATACATGGCTTCGTTTTGCACGACAAACCGATGGTCATTGTGAGTAACTACCTCTTGTCAGGAAAAAATGCATTCACAGATTGAGTGACTCAACTGTTTTAGCAATACGGGCGGTCCGGAATAACTGAACACCACAGTCGATGACTTGCCGTCGTTTAGAATGTACATACGAGTCAGCTCGGCTCAAAAGTTAAATTATTTATGTTTTGCGATGTCCATGTAAACAACGTGTCAATACCCGACGACGCATCTCGCCGCCTTGGCCAGATCTCTCCATACACATATCTGGCTGAACCCACTATTCTGCATAATTTGTGTCACGCGACTAGCTTGTTCGGACCCGATCTCCGTTACTAGTCTAGGTATAGGAACTCGACTGTCAGTCTCCGATGCAGGTTTCAAAAGCCACCTTTGCGCGACGAACGCTATTCGTTCATGAAAGGCTGTTCCATTATTATCTGCAATTAGTGCACAATGATCTTCCCACTCTTTCACATCTTCGTCCAACTCCAAAAATTCCTGTTTCGATACATAAGGCGGATTGCTGACGATCATGTCGAACCGGCGACTGACATGGCCACCCAGATGTTGTACAACCCCATCGTCCCACACATCAACCCACTGCACATCCAGCAGGGAAGGAGAAATGTCTAATCTGCGTGCGTTCACGCGAGTAAGACGAAGTGCTGAAGCGGAGATATCGGCAGCCGTAACGTGCACGTCCCCAATACCCGAAAGGTGATGCGCTAATGAGATTGCTATGCATCCAGTTCCTGTACATAGATCCAGAATACGGAATGGTTCCTTTTCATGGGATGATCGGGTGGCAATGTGAGGTTTGAGTGCATCTATCAACTTCATTGTCCATTCCTCAGTCTCCCATCTAAGAATAGACCCAAGAGAGACCGATGAGCTCCATACACAAATTACACAATTTCTCTTAACTAGTATCGCCTTCCTTCTCACCTCGATTCTTACCTTGGTATGAGCGTTGGTCTCCTCACTTTCAGTTCCAAGCCGCAGAAAGGCTGCGTACCCAACAGGTACTGGAGCGGTCTCTTTTTCTCTACTCTCTCGTATATCCACTGGTCAAGTCGGCGCTGTTCCTCCACTGTGCACAGCTCAGATAATGACCTTTCTAGGATGGTGGGGGCGAAAGTAGGAATAGGTGACGGTCGGGAAGGGCGTGGAAAGTAGTAGGCAGATCTTGACCTACGAGAGTGCAATTTTTCTACCATCCACTTCAATTCACGAGCTGCAGCTTGGGAATCGTTGTCGCATGCTGGGAGAAGCCGAGTGACAAGGGAATTGTATAGCGCTCGACCAGGTTGGAGGCCGGACACTGCCATGGTGTTCTTGCAGATCTGCCTATTAGTATCGTGCACGCGACATTTAAAAATGCGATCACAAAAAGATTGCTATCAATCTATGAAATACTGGCCAATGGAAAGCATGGTTTTATCCTCAAAAGAATGAAACAGGCATGGTCTACACGACGTTACCCATTCCCCCTCCGCAACCAGAGACATGAATGCCAGATTATCTGTGCACGGTACTGAAGCCTGTCTCGATGTAGATACCTCTCCCAACAAGGTTTATCTCCAGCCCAGATACCCTCAATGTGATAGATAGGTCGTTTTATTTATTGCCTGTCCACTGCTAGAGATTTCCGCTTGTGTTCGATCATTCCCAAAATGGACAGCGTTGCCGTGCGATATCTGGTTAATTTGCAAGTATTAGGCGGCTATGAGATATATTCATAACCGTGTTTGAGGCACGAGAACATTGGCGAGAATGTTGCTCCACCCAATTCCGCTCAATGAAGCACTCGGCTGTATTGACGGCAAGCAAGCCGTAATGATGTTTCAAGAGCCCTTGATACCTGGTATAATAAAAGCAAGGTTGGTTGCCAAGAGTTGTTAAGGAACCTTTCGCGAAATTGACATGGATCTTCGGTATCAATATCAGACCCAACCGGTTCATTATGGAGGTGTCGTGCTGGCAACCTGCAGTCCTTTGAATTGCCTCATGCGTGGACCATTCAACATGTGCGTCACAGGTTGATATCCATGGTAGAGGAGTGTGCGATTGTCATTGCCCATGTCAGTTCGTGTTCATAGTCTATGTATGCTTGGAGTTGAAAACTGAAGCTGCAACATTCTAGGCACAGGCCGGATTGGTAACCTAAATTTCGGCAACACACCCTGCCTTGTGTCCAAGTCGAAACCTGGACAAAAGAGGAGAACCGAGTTCACTGTGGAAGCCATATCGACGCAGTCAATTTCGGAGCCCCTGTCAACCACAGAGTGGATCGGTATCAATCAATCACTATCGAACTCATATGTGGAGTACTTTATGCGATTGGGAGCCTTTGACGAACTGGGTATTACGAAATCCTCAACGATTCGGAGAGAAGTGTCGGTTGGAGACAGTCGAATCGATTTTGAGATCGATGAGACGACCTTTGTAGAGGTCAAGGTGAGCATTTTACTTTTGAATGTTGAAGCTCACCTCTGAGAACTGACCCGGTCCCAAGACGCCTTTAATTCATATACCAGGTACGGGGATAGGGGACTCAAAGCCATTGACAGCGTTTCATAGGTAAATTCGAAAAAAGTCTTGATGCGCAACATCTATAGGGTGAACTAACGCTTCTGTAATGCGACAGGATTGTTAAGGTCTGCCATTCCTTCGCATAAACATGCATATTCCATTTCTGATGCGTATTATTCAGCATTTTGATGAATTAGCTAGCGCCGTCAAATCAGAATCCAGCACAGGTCACTTGAAGAGGGGCATATTTTTGTTCTGTTTTTTCTACGATGCGCCACCGTTTCAACGACCTCCGGCTACGGTAAATATTGAGGCTATCACTCAGGCAGCGAAACGAGCGAAGGAAGCGGGGGTGCAGTTCTGGCAGGTAATTCCATATTCCTCGCAAATGTAAACGTAGGCGACTAATCTGAATTGCCCTTACTGTTCTTTCAGGCTAATTTTAGGGTAACACCTGAGGGAATCCATTTTCTTAGAGTATTCCGACTGGAAAGCGACTATTAAAGGGTAATGCTATGTAAACAGTCAATGGAGGGATATTCCATCAAACAATGAGCGCCACTGGACGTGGTGTCCCCGCGAGTTTCATCGAAGATTGTGCAAGCGCATGAATAAATATCATTAAACCTCAATATCTACTGTACGATCTACATTATTCTACATCTGCCTTGCGATGCATCCCGTTCGGCCTCATGTTCCACCCTTGTTAAAAGCCCTTGTGCTTCCTCAGCCAGCGGCCCGCCTCTTTTCACCGCTGCAACCAAATATGACCTAGCTAGGTTTAAATCTTTGTTAACCTTCCTGAAAAGATCTCCAGGTTGCCTCTTCAGTCCCTCTAGATACAATTTTCCCAAATTGACTTGCGAAATCTGAAGGCCCTGTTCTGCTGCCATTTTCCAATACTCGATGGCGTCCCAAATATCGCGTTTTATGTCGAACTCTTCGTTGCCTTGAAAATAAATGCTGGCAACATTGTGCTGCGCTATTGACAACCCTGCATCACAACAATGAATAACAATTGATCTATGCATTGGAATCAAAAGGGACTTACCCTTGTTAGCCGCTTGCAGAAACAGCTCAAGCGCTTTCTTAGCATCGGGGCGTCCATCAGGTGATCCTTCTCCCGACGCATAGTGGGTCCCAAGCAGAAATGTAGCTTCGACCATCCCTGATGCGATGTAAGTTACTGGTACCTTGTGTAATCAGTCAGTTGAAGGTACCTTTCTCATGTGCGTGCTGCAGGTACTTCATCGCCTTGGGCACATTCTTAGGAACAACGGGGACGATACCCTTCCCGTAAATAAAACCTACACTTGTTCATCTAACCCACCAAAAGGAGCGCTTTCAAAGTGGCATAGAGACCTAGCTGGCCATATGCTTGAGTAATTCCACTTGTAGCTGCGGATTCAAGCAACTTTATCCCTGAAGACACGTCAGATCCCGTAGAGATGTGACGTAGACCAAGGATGTACTGGGACAACCCGTGCTTTCGACTTGCTAAGGATCGCATGATTTGGAGAGCCTGCTTAACGTCCTTTTTGAATCCGGGAATATCTTGAACAGATCAGACACTTAATTAATGGTCTGGACTGACTCGAGCATGCTACATATCAAATTACCTTTGGATAGAACTTGGGCATATTGATATTCTGCATCCATATCGCCGCACCGAGATGCGATTTCCAACATCTTCCGTGCGAGGGGTAATCCATCTTAGATTCAATTAGTCTTCATCTGGCGTGGGAATGGAAGGGAAACACCGCCAGGCCAATTTTACAACTGATAGGTACCTGGCGAATGTCGGGCTAACATAGTGCCCACCATCGTTAGATTTCGTACGTCCCTATTTGCAACTATATGACAACAACTGGATGGTTGAGCGCTGTATTCGATCTGCATTCCTCACCAACATAAAAATGCGTCCAAACCTACTCTCCATAAGCGTTCGCTCCAAGACAACAGTACTCCCAGCTGCATTATTTTTCCCAAAGTCTATGATTGCCGATACCAAGGCCACCTGTTGATGAGCAGGTATAGAGACCCGCTTGTCTTCATACAGCTTGTGCAAGATGGGCCACGGCGGTAGCACCTCCTCAGGAACCAAGCTTTGCAAATCTGTCGGTGAAGTTCTTGTGCTGTGCGTCGGTACACCGGCATCCTTTACGGCACTCTCCAGAACTTCACCGTCTATCGATATAGTGTCAAATACTCCCCCAACGGTTGGGGTACGAAGCCCGTTGCCCCTCATCGAAGGAATGGACGTGAAATGTCGCAGACCTGACCTGTTTGAATCGCGGGTCCATGAAGAGGATATAACAGGGACGGCACGCAACGCTGCTTGGTTCGAAGGAACCCCTTTTGTGTTGTTGGCCTTGCAAAAGACAGCCACATGCTGCTGCGCTCGTTGAGCCCGATATCTGGTGGATGAGTGGACGTTCATGCCACCAATTTTCGAAATTTTCTCAGCACTTGGTGATCTGACAGTAAGGCATCCTGAACTTCACGATCGGCTTCATTCGATCCATAAATATCCCATTGGAAGTAATGTTTAACCACTTTAACCACTATTGTCATTGGGATATTTCAATTGCGGGAATCGATCATCTAACTCTGCCCGCGCTCACGGCGTACCCCCAATCAGTATTGGAACTCTGGCTCTAACCATCCTGTCTCTCACATGGCCGTTAAACTCTCCTTAGTTCACTTCAACCATCTGAGGGTGACAACCGTAAGTTTTCATTCCATCGTATGCGGACAGCCATGGAAGTCTGGCATTCCCGCTTGTGCTTGACGCCATGTGTGGCGAACATTGGCCAGCTTGTTGACACAGACGGTCCATTCAATATTGTATGTTTCAACACATGTTCTGCAACTTCCTCCGTAAAATGTCACATTGGAAACACCTAAGGAAGCATGTTATCACACATGGTCCTTTTCAGAAGGACAGGCAGTCTACAGCGTCAAGCAATGAAGAGGGAAACTGGCCCATTATCCTACCTATAAAGAGAGTCTTGACTCACTGCATGTGCTGTGGCAGTTTGATAGAATCTGTGCCAGCGGAATGGGATATTGGCACAGTTGCCAAAGGGTCAAAATTATGGACTGGTCCTAGAACAAGTGCCCAATATGTCCGCTAATGACTTTCTACACTTTTTGCTTGCTTTTCGGAAGATCTGGGATCACTAGATGTGTGCGCATCAATGACCACAGCCGCTTTTGTCCAATTGCGTGTCCTTTGCGAGATGACGACGTCGCTCGGATGTTAGGGAAATGCGCAGGCACTGCATCCGAAAACCTAATGAACTCATGCGCTCCTGACTCCAGTAACTGCATCTACAAGTATTGTATATCATGTAGCTGCCAGCGCAACTGTGGAGGCGAAGGTGCTTCACAACGCTTTATGACAAGCCTGTCCGAGTCGATGGAATGCAGCCATCACCTATATCACCTGTTCTCGAACGTCCTTTGTTCAATTATTCCACCACAAGAGATCTTCATGTTAGACGAAAACATTTTTCTTCCATCAATTATTTCCAGCAAGACTTGGAACTTCCTCATCTTGATCTGTTTATAATTCTCTGTATGCTTTAAGTTGGTCATATTTGTCAACCATAGGTCTGACAAAGATCCACTATCTTTAGTTTCTTGTCACCTCCCTCGTCTTACTTGGTACCCCGAAACCATCCAAGCAATATCAGCAGCATACAATGGATCACCTAGGTCAATTTCTATTTCGGTGGACGGTTTCCGGTCATGTATCGGGCAAATGCGCAAACATCAGAGCGTATAACGTGAGGTAGATCTTTTGTTTCCAGTCTGAGGACGCGCTACTAAGCACGTTAACCAGACCCACCACATAGCAACCCATTGCTGGGCGGACGATCTTGCACATGTAAAATGACTACACATTTCCATACCCGACTTGGGTGCATAAGCTACCGTATTTTGACGTTATCAAAGCCGGTATGTTACGGAACTCCTAGACATTCATTTGTTGCTACTGCAAGATTATATCAGGTAAGTAACACCATATCCGTCTGGCATAGCTCTCTTTGCTGATATCGTCCTGGGTCACATAGCAGCCAAGAAATTTCAGTTCTAGGCGAACCTCTTCCTTATTTTCTTGTGGACCAACCAACACCTTTCCAGCAGTATCATGTACAGGACGCTCAGCAACTATAGGGCTTTCTTTGATAGAAGGCCGGAAGCCGATCCAAGCTCGTGCTCTACAAATGGCAGTTCTATCTCGTTTCTTCTCAACTAGCAACGTCTCCCGCTCGTATCCATCTCAGCAAGACCCTTCCGATGCCCGCTCCCGGTACCGACAAGAAAGAACTTTTGCCATGCATACTACAATGTATTACACCGCTGCGATTATCGTCTTCTTTATTGGTGCATCGTACGCGGCTGTTCCCCTCTATAAGCTCATTTGCACCCAAACAGGGCTGGACGGCACTCCGCTCACTTCCCCTGGTCACAAGTTTGAGCCGGAATCTATGGTTCCTGTTCCAAACTCAAGGAAGGTGAAAATCAGATTTGCGTCATCAGTGTCCGACAGCATGCGTTGGTCGTTCGTTCCCGTTACCCAGGAAATCTCCGTTGTTCCGGGAGAAACTGCGTTGGCATTCTATACCGCGCACAACCCTACGGACGAGGATATTGTCGGTATATCCACGTATTCGGTGGTGCCCGCCAAAGCGGCACAATACTTCAATAAAATACAATGCTTTTGCTTTGAAGAGCAGAGATTGGAAGCGAATGAGGAAGTCGACATGCCTGTCTTCTTCTACATTGATCCCGAATTCGCATACGACCCTTGGATGAAAGACGTGAGAACAATCACCTTGCATTACACATTCTTCAAAAGTAAGTTGGTCCGATCATTGCCAAGTTAGTTCGCCTTCTGATCGCAGGCTTTCTTCAGGTAAAAATCAATAAAGGCACCAAATTGACCGCACATGGAGGCATGATGTGACTGTGAGATATGGTTCCCCTTAACATGGTATCTCCATGCGAATTGGCATCAGGGGACAGACATAGCATACACACAATATGATACAACAAGGAGCTTTGTACTTTATTTATTGCCATTACCCAGTTAGTATCGTGGAGCGATTTCGTTACATTCTCGCGCTATGTGTCCTCCCTGTACTTCTCCATTAGAAAGATGTCTGGAAGTAATGTATTATAAAAAACATACCCTGCCGCATTTGTAGCACCCGATTGGCTCTGATCGCGACGCAGGAGGTTCCCTTGTGTAGCAATATGATCGTGCCTTTCTCCACTGTTCGAACATTTCATCGCCGTCGCCAGATCGACCTGCTCCCAGACCCACAAACTTATCACCGGTCGCATCTACACGGATCGGCTCCGCGATCCCTTGTGCGCTAGCCCCTAGACCGGAACCTTCGCTCCATCCTGCAGGTGTCAAAAATTTCAGCCTAGTATAATCAGAGCTATCATGCGCAATTCCGCCGCTCACCAAGCTTTTTCATAAGTTTGTATCCAACATTTCGTTTACTTATCATGTAATCTTCTCGTGATGCCTCTGGCCGTGAAAATGGAGGACTCTCACTTCTCTTTCTACTCCCGGCACCGCTGCTACCCCAACGACTACTATCTTGAGGTCTTTTTCCTCGGACTGGAGTTCCGCTTTGCCTCCCACGTGGACTACGACTTCCGCTGTAATCGCGATGATGCTGAGGTCGGTGGGTGTATTTCCCTGGTTTCCTGCTCCCACTGCGCGTCCGGCTGCGACTTCTGTCATCGCTACTTCCGCTGTCGGTAGAATCAGGAGATCGAGATCTTGAGCTGCTGCTGCTGCTAGAACTGGTAGACTTCGATCGTTCCCGTCGGCTTGCTCGTCGTCTCCTGTCGTGACTTCTGCGTCGGTCATGGCTTCGACTTGTCGATCTTTCTGCCCGTGAGGAAGACTCTTGTCGGATTCGTCCCCGCCTAGAAGGGCTTCGTGACCTGTTTCGATTATCTTGTACTCGTTTTCGAGTCAATGAAGAATCGGCCCGTCCGTCGTGAGATTCATGTCTGCGCCTTGCATCTTCGACCTTCCGATACCAATCATCCAAGTACCCAATCTCCCATCCATCTTTATCAAACTGCAAGCCTGTATCAGATGAGTTCAGCTGATCGGCAGCCATTTCACCTGGTGCTTCCTCAAATCCATCCTTCTGCCGTTCTTGTTCGAGCTTCCTTCGTATGATATCCAATCCAGAATAAAATTCGTCTACTGCGGCGAGGAGATCAGGATTTGGGGGAGGGCGCTGTGAGAGTGCTCGTATTTTGCTGACTGCTATTTGTTCGTATGGCTTGTGATCAAGCTTGATTTTTCAAACCATGCCGGACCGCATAGGTAAGCAACCGTCGCATATAACTAGGCCAAGCCAATCTACACCTGTGCGGTCATCATCGAGCACTCACCGATATAGCAGCTACCACCAGCCCAGCAGGCAGCTCATAGTACTTTGCATTGGTAGGAGGCGCCTGAATGGTCGTTGGCAACGACATGTTTACGCCCGCGGTGAGCGATTTCCGGAAAGATGGATGAGATTCTGGTGCAGACGCCGGTGCAGAGTTTCCGATTTTTGGTGCTTCATGAGAAAGGAAAGAGCTGTGCGATACAGTACAACTAGGTTCCCGCCTTACGTCCCTGTTCACATTCAACCCGATAGGTGCGACGTGTGGGAGATTCAAAAGCGGCGCTGATGGAATTGGTTGTGCTGTCTGTATTACGCCTTGAAAGGTCGTTCGAGGCTGTGCCTCTTGGGACAGGAGATTGGATGGATCTTGTGGAACAGCCGGGAGTGCAGCATTTTCCGTATTTGCCATAGCGTGAGGAGGTCTCCCAGGCTTTCCCAAGTGAGACCGGAGACCGTCTATGACAGTTTGACCGAAGAATCTTTTATCAGACCAGATGGTCAAAACCTGAGCGTCGATCCAATTAATACGTCACTCTGAGTTTCACAGAAGGCGACAGCGTCTACCTTCAGAACTTTCTCTTCCTTTTTCTTGATCCCAGTAGCTGCCATATAAGTGTGACTAAGCATAGGTCCAAGATGTGGCAGAAAGCTATCTCCTATCCATTCTTGATGTCGTTTTCGGCTAGATGGTGAATACTAGTCAATCCATGTTCTCCTCCCAAGGAAAAATGGTTCTCCATGTTACATACCCGTGATAGAGGACATCGTTCACAAGGTAAACCAAATGAAGCCGACTCTCAAATGCTGTGTTTACCTCCGATATGGCCTCCAGGAGTTGGGCTAATAGACTCACATGAGAAGCCGTAGTGCAATGCTCAAAGATCCACGCTTTCCCTGCATGGATGTTCGTCTGGGAGCAATCCTTCATCAAGACATCTAGTAATCCACAATACTTGATCACCTCGTCTCTATTTGAGAGTGAGGTTGCTAAGGCGTCACGGGCAGAGCAGACTTTGTCCATGGCTGTTTGAAGTGGATTCAAAATAGGGGCTGACATAGGTACGACAGCCGGTGTTAACCCCAATGCAGAGAAGAGCTGCTGGGTTAATATTGGGTCAAGTTGGGCTGGTGGAAGTGGGGCTACTTGAAAGGCTGCACCATGGTCGGTAGATGTGCTTGTTAAACCGCCCGTATCTATCTGTGCGACAGAAACAGGTATTTGCGGACTCGCACCGTGCGAAGGCAACAGTCCTGTAGCTTAAATGTCAGCAGGTCCAGTAATCGATCCACTCATTAGCACGGTTCCCTACCAGGTTTCTTAAACTGTTGGACCTTCCACTGAAAATATGGGTAATTTGCATCTTCTGGCCACAGAAAGCGATATCTTGGATTGTGCTTCTGGCGCTCTTTGGTGATCTCGAGAAACTCTGGACAATCAGTAAGTTGAGGTATCTCCTAAGTTGTGCATTATGCTACGAAGTAACCTACCCTGACCATTCCTAGCAACATACTCTGCCATTTTGTCTAGTATCGAGACATCGACGCCTGTCGACCGAGGGAGAGAAGGATGAGCGGCTGTACTTCGCTGGATAGTTTTGCATTCCGCGCAATCATACCAGGTGGCACCGATGGCAGGAGACTCTGCTGCTGCCAGGACGCTCCTGAAGCCATAACCTACTGTACTGAAAATTAGGTGAAGTCGAGAGCGTTTCCTAAGTTGGATGGCTATTGAATTCTTTGGTTTGACAATACGGGTGGAACTGATTGGAACCATTAAAATTCCACATTGGACTCGAATTCTGTTTACCGTCGTTATTGTATTAGTGTGGAGGCGATTGAAAATGGCACTAGAACTCATTATTATCCGGATTAATCCGGTTAGTCACATCGCATAATCAGCACCCTCTCTATCGCTCAAACTGGTGAGGCATGCTAATGTTCTCCAAACTGCGGTGTGGCATGCATGTAATGTTTTTTTTTTTTTTAAACTGTGGTGAGGCGCATGCCAAAGGTCTATAAAAGGGGACCTGCTCCCTCTTCCCTCTTTACCCATCCTCGACTCAAAGCATCTGCCCAACAAGTCTCAGTCCATCATCATGAGAATGCCGCTCTGGTGCCGAGGACCTCGCCCTCCCAACAAAAACAAAAACAACATAACCCCTTGCAAACGCTGCTACTACTATACTGCTACGATTGCAGGTATGCATTATCTTTGTATTTTCCCACGCGTATTCCCAGTCTAATTATTCTGATCTACCTTAGTACCTCCGACTAAAGAATTTCGGAATCAGGCTTAGTTACCCGGTTAGAACAACCGTAATGTATTGCATGTGTAATTGGGCCTAGTAGTAGTTAGCTTTTCACGTACCCCAGTTCAACCCAGGCTGGAACCTGTAGCGAGTTAGGATAGGGGTGGGACTCGTTTGCAGGATAGGTTATGAAGGGTTGGACAGGCTGGCTAATTGTAAATTAGAACCGGCTGTAGTGGGTTGGAGGGAGAATTTGTCCTTAGAGACATTTTCTACCACCTGCACACTAACAAAGCTATTTGAATACATCGGCCAATGGGTCCTCCGGAAGTTTACTATTCCGCTGCTTCTCCTCCTTCTTTTTACCAGCCTCCACCCGTCTCCTATACTCCTGTGACAATTCATGCTTCCTGGTCCTTCTAATCTCGTTAGGACTCACAAATTCCCGATTCTCAAATAGAGTAGATCCTCCAAAGCTCCCATCAAACACCCTCATGACGCTTAAGACGAACCGTGGCCCTATTTCAATCAAGGATATTTCCTTCTCTTTCGTTCTTTCAGCCGCCTTTTCAACGATCTGCATGGATGTTGATCAGAGGACGGAAGTGCAGTTCTGCACCTGCACACACTGTCTTACCTGATAATTTCGGAACCATATCTTGTCATCAGCGATTGAAAAGCTTAGCACATGGTCGATAAACGGCTTCAACTTCCGCGATGTCCGCGGGCTCCCGAATGTCTACAGCAACAAGGATGAGAAGGTTGAACCGACTATTGCAGTAGGAGAAAGAGCGCTATAGGCACCTGAGTGAACATCTCTTTCAGAAGTTGGTAATGTGGTTGGTCATCGAAGTTCTTATCAAAAGACAAGATTGGTCGCGATCCTTTGAGACAATTTCCTGTCATCCGCAGTTCGTCCATAGTGTGTACTGAAATTGCATCAGTTAAAAAATCAGTGATGAAACTCAAGCGTCCCATGGTACGACGAGATTACCATTTTGCACATGAAACTTAACACTAGGTCCGTTTGGAGTCTTCGACATCCACATATACAAATCCGTGTGCTTGCGGATCTCAAAGTAGAGGCAGTTATTGCAATTGCTCAGTTCGGCAAGCTCGTTCAGTACGTTGAGTTGATGCTTGGAGTCCAGTTTTGACTCTGGCACCAACAAAGCCAAATCAGTAAAAATCTATGTGTTAAGGTAATGAACGGTGCTCAGATCTTCAAATGATACCTTTCTTTGAGTGTGGCATAAGAGTACCAAGATCCTTCAGGAGGTGCCGGTATCTATTAAGCTAAATTAGCGGCTTCTCCCACTGACCCACCTCCATTAATATGTACCTTTCCGTTATCCCTCGAGACGATAGTAGTAACACCCGTTGCTTATTCTTCCTGAATGCGGGTTTACTGTTCTTTTGGACACCCTCCTGTGTTTCCCCTTGATCTATATCCTCCTCGTCCTCGTCCTCGTTCTCCTCCTCCTGCTCTTCTATATCGCTACCCTCCTCCTCGGCGTCTTCCTCTTCAGCAGCTTCGGCTCTCAAGAGTAGCTCCTTTCTCCCCATAGTTGCCAAAGAGACAGCCCCTTCTCCGTCTGACCCTTCGTCAGAAGAATCGAAGTCAACGTCGTCCACATCGTCGTCTGATGCTCCTCCAAGTTCTACAGAAACAATTTCGGGTCGCTTACGCGGAGCCTCCTCTTGGTCGTCGCGAGTGCGTTTGTTACGGGGCGCCATAGTGGTGGGTAATTGAATTCACAGCGACGGGTAGAATGGAAATTGGAAGTTTGATGGTCAAAAACAATTAAATGGACATAGTCTGAAGTCACTGTGCCTTATACGCGCCACATGTAAGGCATGGCGCAGGATCGGATGACTAAGCTTCGATCAAAAGTCTATCCTGTGTGTAAACGGACCATTCTTGAACTTGTCCAGCTCTGGGTATTTGACGAGTCTTCAGATTAACGAGTGGTAAGACCTCTACCAAATCAACTTTTGACCAGGGAAGCAGCCTACCCTCTAGAGACAAATCGTCTACTGGCATAACAAGGGGGAAGGGCAGAGGAGTTGATCTGTCCACCGGCATAGCCAATATTTTTAATGATTGATCTGAGGCGATGGGATTTACATAAAGATAGGCTGTATTTCTCAGACACACCCAAATGCTTACTGCCGAGAGTGGCAGGAATTGATGGGTGCCTCACCTCCCATATATGATTGCAGACTGAGAGCTCATATTTGGAGAATTGTAGGTGGAAATACGATGGAATCAGAGCTCGCATAAATAAATAAAGTACAAAGCTAGCCCTCAATCGTCTGATCCTCGCCCTTTAACGACACCAACAGCTCTAGTGCCTTATTTCCAATACTCGAAGTAGATGCTTGTCTTGATGATGCTCTTTCCGCAAGAGCAGCTGTTTGAGGAAGACGTGGCTTGGGGCGACCTCCACCCCCCGGGATATTCCCCCGCTTCAAAGATTCCAAGAGATCGTCCATCGCCAATCCGCCGCCGGAGTCGCCCGTTGGTAACATTAGTGTTGGCATCTTGAATGGCTCGATCTCATGTCGCTTGCGTCGCATTGCTTCCCGTTCCTGAGTTCAATGCCTTAGATTCATACTGGGGAAGTGTATGGGACCGTGCTCAATAGACTACGCACCTCTTGTGCCTTCCTTCGCTTCTCCAGCAATTCCTCCCGTTCCCTTTCTTTCTTGCTTTCCGCAAGCGCAATCTGATAACCATAGGAGTTATATGCTAGCGTGGTGCTTCTAACTATGCATTTGTCTTACAGCGAACGAGTCCAAAAATGTCGTAAAGAGAGTAAAGAACTCCTCAGGCGATGTCTTGGCTGTTTCCTCTCCATATAGAATGACAGTGCTTTCAAACAGTGCAAGCAGCTTTCGATGGCGCTCATCAAGATGACTAAACTTAGTGCTCGCGTCCTCCAGAAATGAATCCATAACATCCGCAAAGCGATCTTTGGGATTCACAAGCCGACCATCGATTGAAGCACGAGTTTGTGCTTTCTGGAATTCAACTTCAGTACGGACCATTCCTAGTGCACGCCGCATTTCTTCCAGATCCTCTTGCATTGTTGGAAACGACACTATAAATGAACAATGAGTCAGAGCTTTCCTCCACGTTTCGCAGACTATCGACATACCGCGTGCAGCAGGGTAGACGTCTTTCAAGTCATTTATGAAGGACTTGAATTGAGGGAACTTTGCATCGACTGTCCCAGCTATGAAATGAAGGAGTGATACTTTGCTAGTGGCTTTTGTATTTACAAGCTTTAGATCTTTATTAGAAGACCTGGTTGAGACTTGTGGCAGATTTGGATGACAGAAGCAAACCTTGTTGAGACTTCCAATTCTGAAACCATGGACCTGCCCAATAAAACTGCCGCTGTTCAAGTAATTTCCTATAGTTAAAATAAACTAGAAAAACAATGATGTTAGCTCATCGGTCGCAAATGAGGGCAATTTTCAGCTTACCTCGAGTAATCCGGTCCATGCCTCGGATGTTTGAAGCGCGGTCAACGCAGATGAACAGACGGAAATGTCCTATTGAAGATGTATAAGTACTCACAACATGTCCTTTGTTTCTATCAGCATTGGTCATACCTGCTCAATCGCCGCATGACGCTCGGGAAACCCTCCGCTGAACTGAAGAGCACGTAAACGTTCCTCATATCGGTCAATTTTCAGTAGCTTAAAAAGTAGCTCTTATTAGTGTCACATGTTTCGAAGAACAGCTTTCCTGTATGATGGGTACCTCCTTTAGAAAAGCTTCTGCCTGTCGAAGTGGGCGCCCTTCTTCTCGATAGTCTTTCAGTACGGCTATCTGAATTCGGCGACTATCAGTGCTCGCCACCAGATTTCAAGCACGTATTGTTGGCAATACCTCGTCTCTCGTTGGCAAGTGCTCAATCATGTGCTTTGCCACGGTTTCGGTGATGATGGTTTGATCAGCGCCGAGGATGGCATCACGCAATTCCTCCAAGTTGTACTTCTTCAACTTTGCCAAAAAGATCACTGCCGACGAAGGTTTGATTAGTGCATAGACCCGGATATGAGGGTGGGTCCAACTTACTTATATTCTGCGCTTTCTTCCCATCAATTAATTCGACATGCTGTACGATGGGTGTGTTTGGTACAGACCCATCAACATCACCACCTGCAGTATTTCTCATCTTGCCAGATTTTAAGGCAAAGAGTGTCTCCGCTTCACGGAACACCCCTAATTTTTCAGCGATCTTTTCGAGGTCCGAACTATTAGGCTCTTCATTATCGTCCAGCTTTGTTTTCAACGCCAGCTTCTTTGCCCATATGGTTTGTGACACTTCGCTCTCCGGGACCTTGTCCCATTGAAATCGCCGAACTTGGACTGAAGGTCGATACTTTTGTGGTCTCTTCGGTATTCCTCCTGCAATTTGCAAATACAGAGGTAAACAAAGTCCGGGGAGAAGAGATAGATTAGATTTTGGGTACCTATCACAAACCCTCCTGAGCCTGGTGGAGGAGGAGGACCCCCAGCTCCCGGCGGCGGAGGTGGTGGGCCTCCGAATGCTGGTGGTGGTGGCACTCCTGGGGGAGGTAAAGGGGGAGATGCTGTTGATACGGTTGGATGTAGTGATGGAGCAGGTACTGTTAAGGTTGGCGCCAAACTGGCGTCGCTGGGGGTAGAGGACAGTGGGGCCGGAATCAAGGATGCTTCACTGGTTGTCGTGGATATCACAGCTGTTCCGGAAGCATTTTGCACCTCTTCCGACGAAGTATGGCATTTGCCACCAGTTAAATCAGTGCGAGAGCCATACGCCGAATCCGTGCCTTGAAGATCCTGTCCATAGCTTGCAATGGCTTGCAATATATCATCCAATTCCTTTATAAAACAAAAGGATTCAACGATGATCGTACGGCCCGCTCGTTGCCTTCCTAAATACATACCTTCTGATGCATTGCCAGCGCTTGATTATGTTTTTCGTAAACCTCATCCAACTGGTGTTGCAACGCTAATATGGCGTCATCTGCTGGTTTTTTGGCATCGCCCTGACGATCTTCAACAAAGTCAGACTTTCATAACTGGTTGAGATCCTCCAGTATTGACGCAACTCCTACCTCCTTTATCATCATGTCCAGCGTCTCGAGAACATCCCATCTGGTCCAACCTTGTTCGTAACACTTCATTTTCTTCCGCCAGTTGTTCAGAAATTCCTTCCATTGCATCTTCCACGGATATCCGATACATATCAGTGAAGCTTGGGTCGATTCCATTCCGATCGAGAACAACTTGGGCAATCATGAGATCCAATAATCGAAGTACCTTGGTACTTTATCCATTTGATCATTCCCTGTAAGTTGATGAATTCCTTCAAAAAATACATGCAAGGGTAACATACCGTGATACCCCATCAATCAATCGAGTCGGGATCAGTAAGTGTTGAAGGATGGATGTTATATAGCCTCGACCACCTTCTGTTTCGCGAAATGAGCCAAGCAATGTTTCAAGCAGCTGTTGCGGGTTCTCCATATCAATGCCCATTATATCGCCAATGTCATCTGCAAACTCCTGATGGTCAGCCGCTGCCCGATACTCAAATGCATCCACATGTGTGAGGATCTCAGCAAATTCTGCCGGTGCCCATGTACGCAGTCGCTGTTTGTTTGTATGAGAGGGACTCGTCAACAACAGAAGGGAAGGTTGCGCTACAGAAAAGCACTTACTTTTAGTACACGACTAAAACCTGATGCTAGTAGCTCATTTCTCAAGTGAATTCTGTACTCCAGCTCTTGAGGTATGTCCACTACTAACCGAAGTAATGTCACTGCCGATATCTGGGAGGAACGCATTTCCATGCCCGGTCAGCCCGAAGCAAGCATGTGATAACTCATTTAGTCTAATTTACCAGAAAGTCCTTTATGTCTTTCTGCATCTGCTCCCTATTCTTGTCCCCGAAATGTACAATCGTGTCCTTCACATCAGTTTTTGCCCCAACTGTCGTTCCAAACACTCCTCGTGTGTTGATCAAACTCTCCAAGGCCCGTACCAGTCGCTCGAAAGTATGCAGATCATCTCGGGAAGAACGGAAGTAATCGAACGCTCTCATAACTAAACGATGACCTCTTGGATACTCGAGGGTGACTAACGCCAAAAGAAAATCTGCTGCCGACGTCCGGGCAGGGAGTAGGGGAGAATCGAGAGATAAGATGAGGATGTTTAGGTAGCTTGGATTGCTTAAGAGCTCTGTAACGCCTCTCTGTACGATCATTTTAGATAACGGTTGACGATGCTCTTTCCCTACGGTAATTGACATTCTTTACATTGTGGTTTACGAGAATCTTCAGTATCTTGAGGACTTCTGATTCGGTTTCGTAGTGCTTGAGCTTCCTATATGAACACTTTCAGTCTAATGCAGCACAGAACCCTTGTTTCCTCTGTTCATCCACACACCTGTCTGGTTTTCTATGCATCGCCTCGAGCAAGCTGAACAACACACGAAACCCACCCTGCTCCATAAAGTCCAAAAGCCAACTTCATATGCTGTTGATTCAGTACTGCTACTGCATGCAATGGACGCAACCGCTGAACCCACCTTACGGTCTGACAAGAGCATTGGACTTTGAGTTCAGCAAGAACATCTCGTAAATGATGCTGCTTTCCACCGCTCCCGGTCATGGATCGAGTTACAAGCCCGACAAGCTGGCTGGTGCGATTCTTGTGATGAAGCGTGGTCACCGCGGCATTCTGAATGAATTCTATGTAGTATGATGGTCCCTTGTCTCCATCAGTAGCCGTTTTAGATTCCTGCTTTGCCTAATGCGGGCGTGAGACAAGGCCTCGTAAAACTGACACATATATTGATTACCAAAAGCTGTCTAATAAGCTGTAATTTTTTCTCTTTGCTCAGTCGTCGCATGGCCTCTCGCTGGTTTTCACCCAAATCACTATGCTCCTGCAAGGTGGATATCATCAAAGCTGTCTTGTATACATCCCACTTTGAAAGATAACCACGTACCGCATCTAGCGCCAGCTCAAATATTTCGTCCACAGTCTGTGCATCCATTGTCCTATCAGCAAGTCCAGAGGCATTCAACTGGTACATCCTCTCCTGCAACATTAGAAGAGCACTTCTGGCATCTGGGTAGTCATACACCGATGAAGCTGTATCCATCATATCGAGTGCCTCTCCAGAGCTGGTGTGCTTTTCTGGAAAGAACAAACTGCTCGTAGATTTCACCATACTGACACTCCGACGGCGGCCCCATCGACGGCGCCAGCTTCCCTTCAGGGCCTCATCGGGGAGGGTTCGCAGCGAAGACACAGAAGAGATACTGCCAGAACGAGACATTGTTGGGTTTGATCCGCTGCCCATTCCTCCATTTTCCGGCGTTCCCGATCCGGAACTCATCTCTTAAATTATATTATCTGATCTTGAAGAACCTTCTTATCAAGATATGGAAAAGTCGTCCGATATACAGTTCTTCCTTTTTACCCTATTGCCAGCAGTAGAGTGGGAAGAGTAGACAATTGAAATAATCAATGATGGAGAATGAGCAACTGGACTTGAGTCTATAACGCTTATGGATTGAGGTAAGTGTTCCTGCGATCTCCACCCAGTTGGTTGCTGACTAATTGCTTACCTTAGATGACGCGGTGAGGATCCATGCTGCATGGCAAAAATAAATGACCATGAAGCTGTTTTGCCGGTTTTCGTCAATCCGCATCCAATCACAATGTCTGCCTCGAAGATAGACTTGAACAATCTTACAGATGACCAGAAGACACAAGCTATCAAGGAGTTTCGAGCTCTTTTGGGTTCGGAAAGCCCAAAGCATGACGATAACGTATGTTGGGTCTTACACTGCGGCCCGGCAGCACATTCACTCACGATTACCTTGAATTTCGCGAACAGACACTCCTCCGCTTTCTAATTGCCCGCCAGCTGAATGCCCAGAAGGCTCATGAAATGCTCAATGGCTATTTCGAGTGGCGCGAGAAAGAAGGGATCGATCGACTACCGGTACCAGGAGTCAACGGCAATCCCGTCATGCAGAACGTGCGCGGCTTTCGATCTGTACCCGACGCTAATTGGGATATGAGCGTCGAAGGCATGCCGGAAGACTTCAAAAAGTTTTATTCATGCATGGGTATATATTGGTGTACATTTCATTCCGGTTCTCAGAGCTGAAGATTACTCCTGTATCAGGCGGCGGATGCTTCCACAAAGTTGACAAGGAAGGAACGCCAGTTTTTATCGAGCGGACGGTAAGGAGAATCTCCTGTACGTTCATTTGTGAAAAGCCCGGAGACGGTGGTCTGACACAGGACGTTGTAGGGATACCATGATGTCAAGGGTCTAGCAGTGAAATGCAGTCCAGCTGTAATGCTTGATTGGCATATACGAAATAATGAGCAAGTAGTTCATCTGAAGTTTGGCACTAAGGTTTATTCTGTTCTAACACTCATGATCAACAGATTTGTCTTCAATGTGCTGATGCCCGAATGTACCCAGAGGGCGGGGAAAACGATTGAGAAACACACTGTGATCTTTGATTGCACAGGCTTGGGTATCTGGCAATTTGACATGACCGGGCTCAATCTGTTGAGGGCCGTGTCGGATCTTGATTCTAGAGTTTATCCGGAGCGACTGGGCAAGCTGTTCATCGTCAACACACCAGGTAGGGCGTCATTTTACCCAATAACAATGGACTGTCGTGCGTTAACGCGCTGTAATCATTTATAAGGGATATTTGCAAGAGCGTGGAACATTATAAAGCGGTGGTTAGACAAACGAATTCTAGAGAAAATCTTCATATGTGGTTCGGACTACAAAGACGTCCTGCTCCAGCACGTCGATGCTGAAAATCTGCCAGACTTTCTTGGGGGCAAGTGCACCTGTAGTCATATGCCCGGAGGATGTGTGCCTTCTCCATACCTCGAAAGTAGAAACGCAAAAGGAGCCGGGGACAACTTTCAGTTCAGTACATCACTCGGATCGTCCAGCCACGAATATGAGATTACAGTACCAAAGGAAGAAGTTGAGGGGGCAAGTCAAGCGAAGCTTTTCTACAAGTTTCGTACGACCAAGCGCGCGGTGCATTTTGAAATTCGACACCGCAAGGAAGATTGTGCAGATGAACGGGTAATTGTGCCTTCAACAAGCCGCGACAGCCATAAAGAAATTGTACAATCGGACATGAACGTGGAACCCGGTACCTACGTGTTTTCCTGGCAAAAACCTGCGGGTGGATTCTCTTTGTTTAATTCATTAGCCTTGGATTATTCAATTGACCTGACCGTGGAGGATGGGGAAGAATTCGTTACGGAGCATGTAACAGTCCATGAAGCCGATGAAAAACCAGGATCAGACAGTGATGATGTTGTGGAGACAGCGGAGGGTGTGGGTCGCTTAAGTGTATCTTAGATCGGATGAGGTCCTTTTTGTAAAGATCAATGTAGATAATTTACACTCTTTCGCTAAGCCACTGAGCTTTGGAGGACCCCAGTCGCGATCCAGCATGTCACCAGCTGGCATGTTGCAGAGTGAACGATTACCATTGGGTTAGTGATCAGCCATACATACAAGGGTATTGAAAGGCTCTCGCAAAACGCCTACGTCTCAGTACACTGCAGTCTACCTCTGCGTCCCCGCATGCATTAAGATATTCTGGAGAAATGGAATCGAAGTTGGACACAGCCTTGGACTCAGCGTATGAATCTGTCGTTTCACTGGCTGCCACATTCGGGGCAAACCCCAGGCTCACAAGTACAGCTCGTCTTTCTAGCAACCAAACGGAATCTGTAACAGGTATTCTGCTTGTGGATTCAGAAGGCCTTTGTCTTTCAGGTGAGTTGGAAGCTGGCTTTATTTATCCAGTCTTCGAAAACTAACCCTTCATTCAGCAAAGGGTGTGGCACCTCCGTTGGCTGCAGGGTACATTGCCTCAATAGCGCTTCGTGCATCTCGTCTCGCTCAACATCATAGCTCGAATACGGAGAAAGACGATAGTCTTCCAACGGTGTGCATTGAATCGAGTGCCATGTGAGTGTTGTGTGTGGATATGTTCAAGATGGCTCTCGGTTGAACCTCATTTTATCAATTGCGTAGGAATATTCTCATACGACAGGATGATGAGATGACTTTGGCAGTCTATAAAACTGCATGAGGGATGCATATTGACTGTGTACATATTGGTTTTTATATATATGCAAAATTCAGGACATCAAGCAGATGGTTCATGTTCCTTCGTCTCCTGGACAATGTATTATTACGTCCTTCTCGGCGTCTTACTGTCTGTAGCAGACGAGGAAATGTAATTACTGGGAAAACCTTATATAAAGTTGCAGCCAACCTTGGAGATATCGAGTGGCATTGAATGTCGAAACCCAAATTCCACATCTATCACAACGGCCGTTAGTGCTGCTTATCCCTTAAATTTAGGGATAAATAGACCTGTTTATTTACGATATCCTCTTTTACAGGATCGCGGGCTTATGTAAGCTACGCCAAATCGAGAATCGGATTCGGCCGTGAAATCAACCTTCAAGTAGTCCAAACAAGTAGAGATTCCTTTTATCGTGTTACTAGTGTGTATAGACTTCGACAGCACCAGAAAAAACGGTCTCTTTATTCTTGCCCGTTGTTGAGTGAACAAATGAACGAGCTAGGTGGGCTTGTTATCATTGCAAATTGTACCATCTGACCGTACCATTTGACATTTTTGTTCGCGGCGGGTTAAACACGATTTGAAGATCTTCTTTTGAAAGAGCTAGACGCAGTAGGATCCGCGCGAGCGTCTACGGTGCATGCTCTGGGTTCCCCTGGTGACCAGCCCGCCCCTTTTGGAGGAAAGCCTAGTACGTCGGTTATATTATGTGGGGAATTCTGTATCCTTTTTTGATGATATCTGCTAGAGGATGTAGTGACCCTCACCAAAACCGTTGAGAAACGGGGAGCTGGTATAAAGGAGCTAGACAGCCTTGTGAGAGATCTCACAGATCTCAAAGGGCTCGTAAGTAGCTCCAATGAGGCTTTAGCAGGACCGGGCGCCGAAATGCATCCTTCCCCACTACCGCCAAATCGCCCGCCTCAGCAATCTCCGCCATCACGGCATCTACCCGTCCCTGCCCAAGTCAACGATTCGGTAAGAAGACCTTCTGAAGTCGCAGGTCAACTGGAACGATTGATGGGAGACTTGTCACTGGAGGCAGCAGGTGGAGATGATGGAGAGTCAATCTCTTCTGATAGGACAGATGGGAGTTTGGATGCTCTCGGAGGACCTAGTGCCGATATCACCAATCATAGTGAAGGAGATCGAGCAGAGCCGCAAGAACGCAGTCCCGAGCATTCACGAAGTACCACGGCGCCATCCTATGATGCACCACCAACGCCTTTTTCCCAACCTCCATCTTCACATGCCCAACTGTCAGATAGTGCGCAGGGATCGCTTCCACAACCTGATTTTCAGCCCGGGAGTGGCCCAACTTCCAATTTTGTATCGAACACCGTGTCCAAGTTTTGTGTAGTGTGCCACAAGCCGTTGTCTGGCCCCGTCGTCAATGCAATGGGCCGAACGTACCATCCGGAGCATTTTACGTGCTTCTCCTGCAATCGGCAATTAGGGCACGGTCGCTTTTTTGAAAAGGCAGGAGAAGCGTATTGTGACTCCTGTTGGCAGATGAACCTTCCTAAATGCGCGTACTGTTCCGGCCGTATCATGGAGGTACAAATGAGACTGGTTACATGCTCTTTGGCCGTATTTTCTCATCTATCCGTCATATCAGCGCTGCATAACTGCCCTCGGCCAGCATTGGCACCCACATCATTTCTTCTGCGCACAATGTGGTAAGCTTTTCCCCCCAGGAGCCGGATTCTTGGAAAAGGATGGGATGGCGTACTGTGAGGAAGACTATTTCAACCTCTTTGCAATGCGATGTGGGGGCTGTGGAAAGGGAATTATTGGAGAGTTTGTGTCCGCCTGTGGAAAGGAGTGGCATATGGGATGTTTCGTGTGTGCGGTATGTTCTCAAGTTGTTCGCAATTTATTATAAGGAGCTGAATGCTGATCCTTTGCAAACATTTTCCATCTTCCAGGACTGTAAGCAACCGTTCCCAACGGGGACATTCTATGAGCAACATGGCCAACCGTACTGTGCGACACATCATGCATTGCGACGGGCTCATCAGATGGGATAAAGCGATTCCATCGATCGCGTGTCATTTAGCGCTGGCTGTCAAAAGACCATTTCTATAAGAGGTCTAGCGACATGGTAACTGCCGCAGGTAAGGTGTGGCATTCGGAATGCTTTTACCTGCAGCTACTGCTCGCGAAAGCTGGACCCTAAAGGGGAAACGATAGTGACGGCAGTGCATGGAAGGAGAAGGACGGTCGATGTTATTGTACCGCATGTTTGCGGGTAGTGAGATAATCTTGGCCCTATGCCTCCTTCCACCCAAGGCCCTTTGCATAAAATCAAGTCGAGTGCATTTTACACTAGTATTGATAATATCACATTCATTCCATGCACACTCCGTCATTGCGCAAAACTCAACTTAATGGCTGAAACCCCATTAAAATAATATTGTACAACAAATTACATTGAGCAGACAGAGCAGCACCGTACCCCACCGCACCGGCGCATCTAAACAGGTAAGAAATGGACGCTTAAGCCTGGGTGGCGCGGATGATCTGAGCAGCGATACGGTCCAAATCCTTCTGACCATCCTGGGAGATACGACGACCACTGTTGCGCAAGTCGAGTTAGTTGCTCGTTGAAAACAGCAATGTCCATTCCAATGCTTACCCGTTGGGGTCCTTCTCGAGCACCTTGATCTTCTCAAGAGACTGCATGACCTTGCGAGCAATTGATCCAGAGCTGCTAGAGTGGTGGTGAGGACGGTTACCACGGTTCTGACGACCACCGTAGTTCTTCTTCAATCCACCGACACCGACACCGTTGCGGAGGTAGACGTGACGAGCAACCGAGGCTAAGGACCGAAAGTTTCAATTGTCTGCCTTACGAATGACCTGGAATGGCAGTGACATTACATACCAGCACGGATGTAGTACCAGTCCTGGTCGTAAGGAGCGAGTTCCTTGTATGTGCCGGTCTTGACAAGGTCAACCCATTTTGGCACCTCCAGCTTTCCTGTCCGCTTGAGATAGGCAGCGTAGGCCTTGACAAAGTCGTGGGCGCTAACGTCCTTGACGGTGACACCTCCACTGGACATTGTTAAAATGTGGAGATTTGTGCTGCAACCGAGAGAGAGGGAAGGTCAAAACGTCCAGCGGAGGAAGCGTAATAATTGGGACAGAAAAATGATAGTCATGTGATTTGTATCACAGCATTAGTCACGTGTTTATTGACGAGACGACCGCCACGGCTGCCACGTAGGATATTGATCGCCTTATTCGCAAGTAAACCTGCAATCAGCTTTGCATCGGATGCCACTGGACATGACGACTGCAAGGGTAAAAGCGTATAAAGTAAACAAAAAAATTCAGTTGTTTTCCACACAAAGGTGGAGGCCACAACGAAGATAAATGACCCAGTGGGGTCAATCCCGTCTCTGTCCGAGGGGTTGCCAACTATCTCTCCTTCGCATAAACAGATGTGCTTTTGTAACGCCTTTCAAGATTTATATACTGATCTAATAAATATTTCTTTGCGACTGCGGGTTCAATGTTTCAGAAACATGTGACTGAACGCGTTGTCCGTCCATGTCCGAAGTCCGATTTGCGATGTCCCCAAATCTGAGCGTGTCGCTTGCAAGTTGGTTCGTCGCTTTGTCGTTACTAGTAGCGAGCATTTGATACCTCTGTTCTGGCAGCTTCTCGGAGACCAAACACCAAGGCTCAAGTCTTATCATCAGACTCAGCTATTAGGTCCAAATAGCGACAGGATGGTTACGCCTACCCGAAAGCGATCCCGCAATGCTATAGAGGCAGAGGAAGAGAACCTTTGTGAAGGTAGACCATCTTATGTCTAGGAAGAGTGCCCTCCTTGACACTCACGCTTCTACAAACAAAGCAGGTACCCCAAAACGCACACTGCGTTCGCGGACAGCACTCGGCTCAGCCTCGGGTAATGTCGAGATCGTCATACCGCCTTCGCCCAAACCCGGCCGAAAACCGCTTTCCAGGACCGCGCCCAGCACTCCAAGTCGTACCGGCAAGAAGGAGGTTCTTAATCAAAATGCCATTGCAGAGTCTCGATCAAATAAAGGTGGCGATGGCTTATCTGCATATGTCAACCGGCAGCTCAATAAACTCACCCGCTTCTCGTGAACCAGCCTCTACTCCTTCGAAATCCGCCAGAAGTACTCCCTTGAAGCAACTATCACCGCAGACGCCGTCTTCCCGCTGGTCTAAGCGGCCCAACTGCACGCCTGGGACACCCCGTACACCGACCATGGTCTACCAAGATGCGAAAGCGCTCTTCCGGCGCTGCAATACGCCATCACGCCTAGTTGGTCGTGAAACGGAAAGACGCACCATACAAACGTTTTGGGAAGATCATGTCATTAAAGGGAATCCTGGATCTCTCTACATATCCGGTTGTCCTGGAACGGGAAAAACCGCGCTTTTGGAAGAGATTGTTAACCGTATGGAGGAACGGGTTGATGAAGTAAGGAAACCGTTGATTCTAGGCTTCTTTCACACCCCGGAGTACTCATGACTTTTTTTAGGCACGCCATGCTCTGCGTATTGTAAAGCTTAACTGCATGTCGGTGAAGGATCCCAAAATGATATACCCAAAACTCCTAGCAGAGATCAGAGGCGAGCAGACCAAGGCAAAGGATGCAGTCAAGTTCTTGGAAAGTATCTTCATTCCTGAGGCATCAAAGGGAAGCTCGCGGACCTTCTTGTGAGTTTGATTTTCTTTCACGTGTACAAAACAAGGAATCCTAACAGTTGTTCCTAGCGTGGTCATCATGGATGAGATCGATTCCCTTATCACCAAAGACCAGGAGATACTGTATAAATTATTCGAATGGCCGGCACTTCCTGGATCACGCCTGGTTCTCATCGGAATCGCGAATGCGCTAGATTTGACCGAGCGGTTTTTACCGCGACTAAAGGCAAAGAACTGTATGTACTTTTTCTCCATTACCCTTGATATGAAAAACTCGGCGATCCTAAGTTTAATTTGCCAATCGATAACTGCAGGCCAGCCACAGCTATTAAACTTTAATCCCTACGAGATCAAAGATATTACCGAAATTATCAAGCAGCGCCTAAAATGCTTGGAGGATGTAGATGATGAAACATTGAGAGAGAACATGCCTTCACCATTCAAGTCGGCGATCTCAGCCGCGAAAGGTAATGCTCCATTAATGCACCCCATGGCCATTGAACTATGTGCTCGAAAAATGGCTGGAACTGGAGACCTGCGAAAAGCACTGGATGTTTGCCGGTGAGTTGACATGAATGTTTACATGCAGGGACCATGTACTCAACATTCATCGTGTGTTAGTCACGCCATTGAACTCGTAGAAGCTGAGACAAGAAGGAAGGTTCTGGCAGATAGCCTGCCCACTGCGGCACCACCTTCTCCCTCGCCAAGGCGAGCACCGGGAGCTGGTAGCATGCTTCTTCCGAATTCCGGAATAGGTTTGAGCTCCCCAATAGATAGTCTCGACGCCTTACCTAAAGTGACGGTTAAACACATCCTGTCCGCGACCAATATGGTGTTTGGCTCTCCAAATGTGAACCGAGTCAAAAGTCTTAGCCTGCAGCTCAAAATGGTTCTATGCACACTAGCGGTGATGGCCCGGCAGAAGAAGGGGGACATGTCTTTGATAAAGGTTGGTACATTACGTCTGTTTCCTACTTAAGATGCTGGAATGTGCTCATCGTTGGAGCAACATCTGTAGCTCCATGAAACGTACGTGCAACTTTGCAAGAACCGTCGCACACAATTGATACCTGTGACGAAGACCGAACTGCAGGATTTGGTGACAAACCTGGAGACTGCCGGGTTAATCACGATGGTCACTAAGCGGGGTGGGGGGAAACGTGATGGTTTTGGAGGTACATTGGGCGAGAAGCGCACGAGCCAGAATGTCGAACTCTGTGTTCGCCCAGAAGAAATTGAAAGTGCTGTAGCAGATCTACCGATTCTGGTAAATCTATTGAGATTGGACGGAGCTGCCAAAGTGTAGGGCATTTGTCGATAGCCTTAAGAACATAATGTGAATAAAATATATCTATCGCGCCACCACTATTGGCCATTTGAACTATCTACAGTGACTATAAGACATCTAAAGTAGCAGAAATCTACGACAGCACGATCTATTTCGGCTTTTCGTTCCTCACATTCTGATCTACCAAGATTGTTGTCGAATCGGGTTTCTCGTTACGCTTGTTCTTTCTTTTAAACGGTCGCTTTTCTGCGTCCATCCACGTCGCAACTTTGCGAACATTGTAACACCTGAAAAACACTCGTCCGATCACGTAGTAGACCACCAGCCACACGATGACCGCAGCGAGACCCACCCACATAAACCAAGGCTTCGCGATGAGTTTATCCGATTTGACCCATGGACAGCTTTTCAAGTTGCAAAAGTTTGATTCTTCGGTGCACAGTGCATGCTTTGCTTGTGCTGGTTTGGCTACTCCAAGCGTCTGCTGAGCGATTTGGTGTAGAGCTAAAGGATTGGTGGATGGAAGGTCAGCCCCCAAGGAGGAGAGTGCGAAGCCTGCCAAGGTTCGTTGTTGGATGTACGTTGATTTGGCGCGAACGGTGTCCGGAATCTCGGTTACAATTAGCGTATTTGTTTGTGGATTGTAAAGCGATCCTCCAACGCGTTGGGAATCAAAGGCTTCCTGATATCCGCTGGATTTCCCAGTATTGATAATATCTCTGTATGACACGGACTCTTTGTTTCGCACTTTGAAGGCAGAGTACACGCCCGTTGAATTCGTAACGTTAGAAATCGTAGGGGCAACATCTTCGAACATGTCTGCCATTGTATTGATGCCGAGAAAGGTGCGGTCGATGGGTAGTGCTTGCCCATACCCTGCAAGAGCAGCATCCATGCCATCCTTGATGGGATCTGTGGGAAGATTGAAGAGATTTCCTTCGTACTGGGTCCAGGCCGTTGGAGCTTCACGGTAGGGCATTATGTTTATTCTAAAAAAAGGGGTTACATTCGACGTCCTGATACGAAGCACCAATCTTTTCCTACGTACTGTTGTGCCAAATTGGCGAGTCCTTGGATTTGCGCCACGGTGGCGTTGATCAATCCAGGGGAAACTGCTGGGAGGGATATAGAAAGTGCATACCCCATTGGAGAATTGAGTTGAGTCCAATAACTTCGCAATTCTTGCAAGAGCAGCAGGTAGTTGTCCCAGTCGCCAGCTGCACGCAGATACGTCAGCACGCGCAATCAAACTGTAATTCCCTTTCTCGAGATGCACTTACAAGACTTTGGATACTCCCAGCTAATATGAATCCCCTCGAAGCCGTGCATCCTCATGAAATTGGTTGCGTTTCGCGCAAACGCAATTCTTGACGCATTTGACGCAGCCAAAGTCGACAGAGCCCAGCTTTCCTTGGGTCCGCCAAATCCCAACTCAGTTATAACGTCCGGATACTTCAGCTTGAATTTAATCACTTCTCCGACACCTCCAAACACACAGCATTCGCAGGCTGGCTCATCGTTTCCATGTAGCAATTCCGTAGCAATGGTTTTGTTCCCCCAATAAACAAAGCCTTTCTCGTCCGTTGCAGCATATCCATATATAAGGGTAGATAAGTATGAACCGTCGTACTCAGAAAGCTCGCCCAGGGCGGAGGGAGAAGCTGTAGGTCGATAATATGCTGTCAAACGTGGGGCCCCCAGAGCCTGTGACGCGCAGACGACAACCAGCAAGAGAAAGACTCCTACAGCGCTTGGCATTGCACGGAAAATACCCAGCATCGCCTTTAAAAGGCGACTAGCAACGACTCGACAAAACGCAGATGGCAGGTTTGCGCGGCGGCGCCAGAAACTTATTCTCCAATGACAGTCCCGACTCGCGCTGCCATAGCAACAACAGCTGTTATGTCACATTGTCACGTGATAGATCTTGCTTAGTCATAATTCTTTTTGCTTTTGCTTTGGGTTTTGCGAGCAGTAGTTTCTTGGATATCATTGTCGCAATGGCCCGTCCTCGCGTACGAAGAAGCACTAAGAACCCTTCTGTCAAGGTCTCGCGAAAGCAAAAGAACCCGTACAACATATCCTTTGCTGGTGCACACCCGCTTGTTCGCAAAAATTGGGACAAGAACCTTACCCTAAAACAGAACTATGAGCGAATGGGTCTGATTTCGGCACTTAACGGGGCAGCTGGTGGAACTGAACACGAAGCCGAAGCAAGAGCCCGGGAGGAACGGGAGCTGCAGAAGGCAAAGGAAGAGGTGGAGTGGAGGCGAATAGATGACGTGCCAGCGAAACCCGTTGAACAGGATTCAGCACAAGAAGAAAACTTTGACGTTGAAGTGAATGGCCCGGTGGAGGTTGACCCGCGTGTAAGGCAGCTTGGGTCAAAACCTGGCTTGAAGCGACGCGCTGCTCCAACAAGGGGAGAAGCATCAGCGAAAAGTGCAGTAGTGGAGGCGATGGAGGCGGAGGCTCGGGATATCGTGAAACTGGAGCGACACGCATCTGAGCAAGAAGGCAAGGTGTTTGGGGACTTGATGCGGAAGCACGGACGAGATTATGAAGCCATGAGTAGGGATATCAAGTTGAACCGATATCAACTCTCAGCGGGACAGCTGAGAAAACGAATTGAAAGATTGATCAATAAGGGCTCAAAGGGGCCATCATCAGAGGCATAGAGGCGTCCGCATTTCGTATATAGTTTTTTGCCATTTTGATTTATGTAATATATATACAGTCTTTGAACACGTATTGTAGAATGTATCAATCAGCTGAACGCCGTTTATATGGCAAGAACCGTCGCTCCTTGGCAGCATTCTTTTTCCGTCGCTTTTCTAACAGTTTGTCCACATCCTTTCCTTTCATCGATTGGTATTTCTCTACCAATTCCAGCTTCTTGATGTCGGCTATATGTGGAGTACCAGGAATGAATGGATATTCAGATCGAAACGCATGATAAAGGAAATCTTACACTTCTTTAGTTGCCACGGTTTCTTTCCCAGCTTTACGAGATCTTCTTCTGTTTTTCTCCAATTTCGAAGAATCTCCTTTCGCTTATCCTTTTGCTTTTGCGTTTGCAAACGTGATTGCTGCAATTGGAAAGCGGAATCAGCAAGCATTGTTGGCGATCTGGCATGTTGGTTTTCCAGAACATACCATGCTGGTGAGTGTCTTGTGTAGCTGCTCTTTCACCTCTGGGTCTTTCTCAGTCACTATACGCTTTTTGAGCATCTCTACCTCGTGCTGTTCGTAATCGCGGATAAATCCGTATGATTGCTGAAACAGCCCGTCGTTTAACTTGCCCGCAAGTGGATCAAACCTAGGATCTCGCGATTTCTGAAAGCAGAAAAGACAGATGAGTACAGATACTCACCCGAAAGTTAGGATGCTAGTCCTCCCCGTTTGAGTCACACCGACCTTCTTTGGTAGCTCCACAACTTCACGTCTTCTGGTTACTGCTCGCTTCGATGTAACCTCTACCGGGGCATTCTTGTTTAATCGCTTTGGTGGCTTCTTCCCCTTCCCGTCATGTTTGCTTGCCTTCAATGCACCCTTCGTTGTCTTTGCCGAATTACCGTGGGACGTTGTATCCGCTGGTTCACCATCTTCATCTGAGGTATCTTCCGTAGTGGATCTCCGATTAGCACGGTAATTGGCATGAAATCTTTTCAAGCCAACTTTCTGCTGTATTTCGATCAGCTGGTCAAAGGGGACGTCGGCAAGTTCACGCTTTATTCGCATCTACATGGGAGTGGGTGATTCAGGACGATTGTTTGAGACGTCCGTTCAGTCATTTGCTATGCCAAGCATACCAGCTGCTCTTCTGCATCGCTTTCATTGTCCTCTTCCCTACCATCACTTTCATCTTCATCTGATGTATTCTCTGCCTCGTCATAAGATGATCCATCCCCTTCATCTTCATCCACGTCGTCTCCGGCAGAGCTTGAGCCTTCGTCCTGCTCAACAGGGTCGTCTATATCCACAGACGTTGCATCCTCTCCTTCCTCGAATACGTCGTCCTGAACAGGAAGCGTGAGGAAGCGCTCAAGTAGTAAATGTTAAAAGTCAAAGTCAAGATCTACCTCGTTGTCGCTTTCCTCTACATTGTCGAAGGCTTGCATTCGACGCAACACCCGGCTCATGTCTTCGTCCTCGCTCTCATGTGCATATTCTCGTAGTCCATTCGATGGCCTCCCGCTCCCATGTGGCTGTCTTCCTCTCGAAGCCGAGTTGGAACCCTTCCGGGACGCTACAAATTTGGACGACGGCGGCATTTTTAAAACTTCTTACAAGTCTGATCATTGCTGACCTCGGAGTTCCATTATTTATTTTTGGCTGGAATGACATTCGAATTTCCGTTGACGACAGCACAACACGCGATGAAGAATTTGTGCTTGAAATCGTCCGTCAACTGCCCTTGCAAAGGATTGTTTAATCCTCATTTATATTTCATCCGCAAACATCCTTTATACCCTCACGACAAAATGTCCGAAGTGAAAACATACGACTGGAGCGACATCTCCTCACACAATACCCGTGACAACCTTTGGATGGTCATTGAGGGGAAAGTGTACGATGTAACAAAGTTCTTGGACGAGCACCCAGGTGGCGAAGAGGTTATGGTGGAGCAGGGTGGTAAGGATCATCAGAGATGCCTTGACGCATTTATTAGATTGGCGTTATCTAACTGGGGTCTCTTCAGGCCAAGATGCAACAGAGGCCTTTGATGAGATTGGGCACTCTGACGATGCTCGTGATCTTTTGAAGACCATGTACCTTGGAGATCTTAAGCCATCGGTAAGCACATTCTTTCTACGATTACTTTTTTCTACGATTGGTGGCCTCATAATAGATCTTTTGTGGTGCAGGCAGGAAAGGCGGACAAGGCTGCATCCAAGGTGGCGGCAGCTGGTCAGGCCACTAAGGACGCGGTAAAACAGAGCGCTGGAGGATCTAGCTCGTAAGTCCTATTTTAATTCAAGTGCGATATTTGTGCAATCAATTCTGGTAATTTAACATTATTTTTCTTTATAATAGAATCTTCTTTGCATTGGTACCCGTGGTTGTCGTGGTCGCCTTCGCAGTGTACAAATTTTTGGAGAAGCAGCACTAGATCGATCGGCTTAACATAGAGTATTGATAGGCGTACACTTGACGACGAGCAGCCGTCACTAGTAGTGGTGTGACATATCGGTTGGAAGCTCGTAGCTTCTCTCATTCAAATCAAATATTGTTGACACATATGTCTGACGTACCCTTGAGACAATGTTCAATTTATCCTATACAGAGATTCTAAATAGTAACAAGACATCCAAATGTCTGCTAAATCCACTGTCCTCAGAGGGGCTCATCATCCGGCTCTTGTATGACTAACTTATCGCTTCCCACACATTCCACCACGTTCCCATTCGCCATCAATGCAGCCTCTTCGTTCTCGGTCACATCTTCGATTGTTAGCTTAGGCAAGTTCAAGAATGTCTTGGGAGCTGACGTTGAGTAACTGAGTGAAGCTATCGTAGTAGTAACAGGCAGAGCAGTTAGGTCGTCTTCTGGGTCAGTGCCATCTATGAGACTTCCTTCACTCTCAGCAGCTCTCGTCTGCAGGGATTTTTGGACTGTACTGTCGTCATGCGCGGGCTTGCTCGTGGCGCTCTCGTCGTTCTTGGACGGGCTACCACCCTGTTCGACATCAAGTGCAGAAGGATCAAGCTCATGCCGATACTTTCCCAGTAAAAGACGTTCCATGTATGTTAACCCATTCGTGGACTGGGCGAATGCGCTTTCAGCGGCCTCTGCTGCTCGCGATGGTAAAATACGCGCAGGTGTTTCCGTGGCGGTAGATATCGAAGAAGGACCTAGTTCGACACGGACGACGAGGATATCAGTCGCGATCGATTAGGCACTGACCTGGAGGATCTCCGTACCTTCGTTGCTTTCGGTTGCGGCTCGCTTACCAGCGACATTAATGTACTCTTCATCACCTTCCTGAACGCCCCTCCACCGGTTTAGTGCAGCCAGAAACGAACGATGAGACTCACTCTCGTCGTAACCACCGTCCAAAAGGGATGTTTGATGGCTATCCAAAGTAGGAGGTTCCACGGTCGCATCAAAGCGACTCTTTGATGGAGATATGTCAGTGTCTGGAGCAGATGTTTGTACAAGTGAATTTGAAATTCCCGAATCTGAAGCGTAGCGGGAAGTGACCCCGGTTGCATTGCCGCCTCCACCAATCCCTAGCGCTGCTCCTAATGTTGTTGTTAAACTGGAAATTGACTTGCCAATAGTTGCAAGAGATCCAGCACGTGGTCGCGAATGAGCTGGACTGCTTCTTTCATTGTGCGTGGGCAGAAAGAGGTCATCATCGTTTGGAACTCGACCTTGCTTCGCAGGATTATTCCCTGCAGACCCTTTGATAACGCGTACCGGAGATACACTGGCACGTCTGTTGCCTGATATGCCCGATGGTGATAAGGATTTCGGATTGTTCTGTATTGTCTCCTTTCGCCACTCCTCCAAAGCCTGAACAAATGACTTGTGCGATGCTTCCTCGTCAAAAGATCCATCCAAAAGACTATCTGTACTGCTATGATCTAACAGAACCGAATCGGCTGCTGGTGGCGAGCTTCCAAACGAAACCGTTACATCATTGCGTCCTTCCTCAACGGCAGAAAAAAGATCATCTCTCGCCGAATCACTATCTCTTGGTGGAGTAGGCGGGATTGCGATGACTGTTGTGTCCGAGCCACGTCGCGCCGAGGTGTAATGCTCCGAGGAGCGCCGCGAAGAGACGTATCCCTCGGACTGGCGCCTGGGTGATGTTGGGGCTGTTAGAAGCGGATTCGCGTTTCGTGGTAATGTCGATGGTGGGCCGGGGGATGGAGGCACACCGTAATGACCTAAAGCAGAGGGGACACGCCACTGTAAAGCAAGTTACAAAGGTGTTGCTAGCACCAACGCCATATCAAACACGATGTTACCATTCTCGGTGGTCGCGCGTTTTGCATACCGGTCGGCGGGGGAGATGGTTGCGGTGGTGGTTGCGGTTTTATTTGATATGTCGGAGGAGTAGCCTCTGATCCTCGTCGGTTTTTGGTTTCCATTGGCTGTTCACGAGGTTGTGTGGCCAAGGCACTTGGAGAAGCCTGTGACACGCTTTTGATAGCGGTGTCCAGATGTTTACGGCGCTCATCAGCTTTGTTAGGGAATGAAACTATTCAGCGATAGAAAGGTGACGTAGATATATGACTATGAATAAACACCTTCTCGCCCGATACCGGCATAGCGTGATCGCTGTTCATGTTAATATAGCGAGACCGTGAGTTATCCGCCGATCCGATAGATGGGAAGGCGAACGCACCTGTAACGCAGCGTTTTTCTTGGCCAAAACGTCGGCGGCATATGAGTTCAACGTTCCTTTCTGAAGCTGTCCGGCCCGCCATACAGAGTTTTTATTTGCCGAGCTGTATAAGGGATCAATAAATGGCTGAGCTTAAACTGATAAGCTTTGCGGATGATGTGCTTGATCATACGCTCTTTTCTCTTTCTGTCGTGCTAATGTTTCCCTCAATGCATTCAACCGCTCCTCCATTCGCTGATTATCAAGTTCCAGCCTCTCAATCTCCGTCAACCTATGTGAGAAATCAGCAATTGGTGATCATTATAGAATTGCGTATGTTTCGATCATCCCATTTTCAATCATACTTTTTCTTCTTTCCTGAGCCATTCCTCACGGGATCATCAGTATGATGGAATATCTCTCTTGGGCTCTGCGCAGCCTCAGACATTGATGGTATGGAAGGTTCCATGGGTATCGAGTCAACGATAATTTATTTAGCGCACCCTTTGTTTATCAAACGGCGAGGGAGGCAAGCGCACGGCGACACAGCGTCCTCGAAAAAAACAGTTTGTACGGTTCTGCTATGGCGGAACCAGCGGATTAAGGTTGATGGGCTGGCGACCTTGGAACAGTCACAGTCACCGAAAAGGAAGTGCTGCCCTAGTGGTGGGTGAGCTTTTCGTCGCGTCGCGTGGTTATTGCTTGGCTCATCCGGACCCACATAGACCATATAAGGTTAGATTATATGGCACAGTCATTATTCCTCAGATGCAGTTTGGGATGTGAGATGGTTTGGAGGAGCTTCCACATATTCACGGACAGACATGACTTTATATTCTTCATGCTTGAAGCTCCAAAGTGGTAGTAGGAGTTATAGCTGTGCATAGAAATAATAATGCTACAGATATCTAGATATTGCCAGCAGGGAGATCCATCTCAGAGTTTTCCATCGCATGCTCTATGGGCGTTAAAAGTGCACGATCCCTCAAGCCATCGGTGAAAGGAAAATAAAAAAGGCAAACTGCCTGGCAGTGCCTGCTAGTCTGAATAAACAAATCGCAACAAACTGTCGTTGCAAGCTCCGCTCGTTAATGAAATCCACAGCCACTGAAACCACTTTTGTGTAACTCCACGGTCTTGGAACCTTGTGATCTTGGAATACGAAATCGAATACAAGGCCATCGAACTGGATTTTTTCGCACTTTCAGCTTGCATTTGGGACAAGCTCTTTGAACATTTGCTCATTTGTTGGGAGTTCAAACCAGAGGCGACTGGTTGTTTGAATAACCACCCCTGGGCACAACGGAGCTATAAAAAGAAGCATTTGCTCGTTTGCCAGATTCAACCCTGTCTGCGCTTCATTAGCAATACCTGCTTGGTAGCTTCCAGACAAGTTTGAAAGTTTAAAAATCTTTTTCTTGCTATCCTTTCTGCCTCGCACTTCAAAGCCGCCACTCACCAGCACACCAAACGCACTGCCCACTATGCACTCTCTCGCACCACATCATGGCCAGCCCTTCCTGTACCAAAATCTGCCTCCAAATGCCTCTCTTCACGGAATGAATCCACTCAGCGTGACTGCCCCCAGTCATGCTGCTGTAACAGCGGGAATGGGATATGGCGCAAATCCTGCAACAGCCGGCGACCTCAAGTTTGCTCAACAACAGCAACAACAACACCAACAGCAGTTGGACGAGGAGGAAGTTTATCAGCTAATATTGGATTTGACGAATCCTGCGACCAGAGAGCAGGCACTATTGGAGCTGAGCAAGAAGAGGGAAGCATACGAGGATCTTGCGCCGATACTGTGGCATTCGTTTGGCGTTATGGCGGCTCTGTTGCAAGAGATCGTGTCGGTATATCCAATGCTTATGCCTCCTACGCTGACCGGACATGCTTCAAATCGAGTATGCAATGCGTTGGCCTTGTTGCAGTGTGTTGCCAGTCATAATGAGACGCGAGGACTCTTTCTGAATGGTATTTGTCACTGCGTCTATTCTCAAAGAAAGCTTCCTAATTTCCTTTCAGCGCATATACCCTTGTTTCTCTACCCCTTCCTTAATACTACCAGCAAGACGCGGCCTTTTGAGTATCTTCGTCTTACAAGTTTGGGAGTAATCGGAGCGCTTGTAAAGGTATGACTAGGCCATCATTAATAGTATGACAAGCGGACATAGATGCTGATAGATTTCGCCAATTCTTTCATTTCAGCAAAATGATAATTCAGAAGTGATCAATTTCCTGCTGTCCACGGAAATCATTCCTCTCTGTCTTCGGATTATGGAAACGGGCAGTGAATTGTCCAAGACCGTAGCCATATTCATTGTGCAGAAGATCCTTTTGGACGACATGGGCTTGAACTATATTTGTCAGACGTATGAACGCTTCTACGCTGTTGGTACCGTCCTATCAAACATGGTGAATCAGCTGGTGGGGCAACAATCCATCAGGCTGTTGAAGCACGTCATTCGGTGCTATTTGAGGCTGTCGGACAATCCGCGTGCGAGAGAGGCCTTGCGCCAGTGCTTGCCCGAACCTTTAAGAGATGCAACGTTTTCCCAAATCCTGAAAGACGATATAACCACGAAGCGGTAAGGCATTTTCACCCTGATATTCGAAACGTTGACCAGCCGGTAAATAACATGCTTTCTATCGGACTTGTAGATGCCTGGCAACCTTATTGCTGAACCTCTCCGATAATGTGGCCTGACGGACGTCCCCTGCTGGCACCATGAGCGTGGATGGAGCCCATAGGCAGTTGATGGATACCCCGATACACTGATAGAAAGACGATGGTCAAGAACAAGTTCATCTGATACCGGATATGTGAGGGGCAATTGTATAGTTTTCGACGGTTGACTGGAGCTTCAGCCCCAGAGTGTTGGCCTTTTTTATGTTACTTTTGTGTGGTGTGTGGATGATTTTGATTCTTTTTTTTGGGGCTGGGGCATTTTGTACTTTGTGGAGGAGCTGGAAAGTATTTAATATGTCATTTTTATTTTGCAAGTTGGCTTTGAACTCTCGACGATCACTGGCATGCGACATAGCAGCATGATTTCGTCGACAACCCCTTGTTGCTATAGTAACAGTGAACGCTGTGAGCATTCCACAAGCCAGTCATCTTCTACTAGCCTTCATCTACCTTCTTGTAAAATATGACTGATAGAGTAGGGCGGTGGTGATGTCCTGCATTTTCCAGCTCCTTACTGACGGTTGTTCTATTCAATAGGGCCGAGGTGGAGCGCGGGGACGCGGAAACGGCAGGGGCGGTGCTGGAGGTCGTGGAGGAGGTCCTGGGCGCGGCGGAGGCCCCGGAAAGAAGGAATCTATCTTAGACCTGCAAAAGTACATGAATAAGAAGGTTCATGTCAAGTATACCGGTGGAAGAGAAGGTAACTCACATTTATGTGGAAGATCATTCAGTTCACAGACAGCAACGCAGGCAAACTTATATTTGTTAATTGCAGTCATAGGGACGTTGAAGGGATTCGATCAGCTTTTGAACCTTGTATTGGACGACACGGAAGAGTTTATTCGAGGTATGTGTAATCGCACTGTCCCTCTTCATTGTAAACTTTTCCCGGCTTAAGGTGCACCGTTGTAGATCCGGAAGACAGTTTTCGTGTAACTGAGCGAAAACGACCGCTGGGTTTGGTGGTGTGCCGTGGGACGGCCGTTATTGTTATATCTCCGTTTGATGGAACAGAAGAGATTGCGAATCCTTTTGCGCAGGAGTAGGGTGTACATTACTACAACGCCGATTATCAACACTACTCTTGAACGCCTTTACTATCTCTGATTGATGGAATGGTGGATTTGTACGCTGATTAGAAGAGAACGACGCGCTGCCGATGGAGAATTGTGGATTTTATGTATGGGTGCCCCGCCTGTTTATGCTACATTTCGGTTGCTGCGATAATGTGTATCTTCTGGAAGATCTGATCGGGAGGAAGCTGTACGCCCCTCATTGTTCAATACGAAATCTTCTGCTGAATGCCTCGCGTAGTCTTTGTACCAACTTGTCAATTCGTCAAATAATGTCTTTGTCCCCCAGCGGGTCGGTGCTGCACGAGGCCATCTATATGCACTTAATGACAAAAGTGCTCGCTATGGAGGAACCATGCTAACCTGTGCCTTTCATGCTCGCGGCTGTGAAGTCCAAACGTTCAGAGCCGACAAACTTTTGGCACTGATAGAGATTAGTAACATGATAACATTCAACATATATGAAATAAGCCGATTGCAGTGGATGACTGACTCCAAAACGTCTTTCATACATTACATGGGCGTGCTAAGAGCAACAACGGAAGTCTCACTACTAAAAGAATACACAACATATTTATAATGTACCTATTGCATGGACGATTGCATGCATATATCGGTGTATTGGGGCCCCACCTTCCAGTTGTTACATTGAAGTTAAAAGGGTGCACGCAGCTAAGCACTCACGTGAAAACGCGGAGTTCCAAGCAGGTGCCCAGCTTCATAGTCTTCATGTCAAACCCAGGCAGGTAGATAATAATGCCCGCCACTCAAGTGCAAGACTCTGCTCGCAAACGAGTAGTAATTCAGGCACCAGAGAAGACGCCCACCGCTCCTTCCAGTGGATCTGTTAATGGCCCTCAGGCACTGCGAGAGCGTCGCTCCATCTTGCCTGAAGAGCTGAAAGACTTTGATGGTCTTGCCCTCGGGCGGGACGAAAGCGAGCAGGTCATTGAATGCATTCAGAACCAAGATTTTGAAGGGGCTGTGTAAGTTCGTTCGTCATTATAGCAACCCATCCTCGAGTTAACACTTTGCTGGAAGCACGATCATCCGAAGCGCCTTCGTTCTACGTCCTCCACCTCCACCGCCATCACACATCCTACATGTTCCATCCTCTGCGATCAAATATCAACCAGATCGGGAGGAAGAGGATGCCACCTTCCGCGATGTAATTCTGTCAAAATACTACACGGAGGCATGCAGTTTTGCAGTATCGGTCGGATTCACCAGTTGGCAGCTCGCTGTGTGGATCACTTTGTTTTCAGAGGGACATAAGGAAAATCTGGGTAATTGTAACTGCATTTTATGCGAGAACCGGATGAAAATATGGCTGAAACAAATCCTGACTTTGTACAGCGCAGATAAGAGAACTGGATGGGTCAGCGCATCGCTTGTCGTGTTTGGAGATATTCAGTAATCTCCTAATGGATTACAACTATAAGAGATTGCGTCGACAAGCATTCACCAAGCAGGAGATGATAATGTTGATCGATTACTTCACCCAAAGGTAAATGGTAGTTCAGGGACAAGCTCGAGAAGGGACTAGAAAGATGGCATAAATGACGCTGCCTCCTAAAAAGCTACGCCCAGCATATGCGACTCATCACCCATGTATTCACCCAACTTCAAGATATCGAAATTACGTATATTCACACCCATTTGGAAGAACCCAATCAAATAACATCACCAAACGGTGGATATACCAAACTGGTTCTGCCACCGTTGAAAGAAGGTATTCCGGCAGAGAAGTGGGATGACTGGTGCCGCGCCGAAGAAGAACGCAAGCGGCTAGAGAGAGAGAAGGAAGAAGTGAGTGTTCAATTGAAGAAAATTTGGCAAAGGCAGGTTACCGAGCTCTTTACTTGTATCAGGAGGCTGCTGAGACAGCGCGAAAACTGGCCGAAGCAGAGGCTAAGGCTGCCGCGGATGCGTCTGTTATTGAAGAAGTAAAAGGTGAGGCAATAGGTAACTTTCAACTCAAGGAATGCCACTAAATCATGTGCAGACACACAGAAAGCAGCTTCCATCCTCCAGCGACTTGTACTACCCCCTCCACCCATTCCGTCCCCCTTATCACTATTCCCCGAACGTGTTGTTTCAACCAAAGTAGCTGATCCACAAATCGTACAAGCGCTGGCAGATCCTAACCCTCCTGTCATGATGATGCCCAATGAATCCGCGAAGAGTCATGCACTGAATCCAGCTGCCATAGGCGCGATCCTCTCTTCTACAATTGATGAACACATTTCCATCTTGGCATCATATCTAGAGAAGCAAATGAGCCATCAAATAGGCGAAATGCAAGCGATAATAGAAAAGCGCGAAAAGGAAAAAAAGGGCAAGGAGGAGGATGATAAGAAGGAGAAACAGGAGCGTACTGTAACGGCGGGAAAGAAGGGAGCTGACAAGAAAAGTGCAGGCAATGCTAGGGATGTCAGAAAGCCTTCTGGAAAGGCACGATAGGGAGAATTCCGGGATACTTAATTTATTCTCCATGTAATTAACTGCAACTAAATTTCAACCTTATTTACAAGTCATCGTCACTGCCCATTAATTCAGCAAGTTCTCTCTCCTCCTCATCAGTCAACTTTACGCTCTTTGAGGATTTCTTCTGAAGTTTCACAGGTTCAATGGGGATATCCTCAACTATTGGCTCTGGACCCCCTTTGAAGTCTTGTTCTAGGCATTTCCATTAGATCACTAAAGCGATTCAACAAGATGTATAAATTGAATGCCACACACCAGTTATGCTCCAACTTCGTATGGTGCCATCTAGCGACGCAGACCATAATGTTGACCCCTGGCGTTTAATGTCCGATACCTCCCCATAGTGTCCAGACAACGTTCTTACACATTTCTCGCTCTGATTAAAGCCAAACCCAAAAATTATGGATTTGCCTGCTAATCGGGAAAGACCTAAGCCACTCACTGCAACATCCCACAAGCGTACGTTCTCATCTCTCGAGCCTGTGGCCAAATGAGCACCACCTGGGAAAACCGCCAGCGAACGAACAAAGTCTGGATGTTCAAAACTTGAATCCGGAAGATTTGTCTAGATTCAATGAATAAGAGAGTTCCAGTATGATATGGACGTAGTCAATGGCTTCACCTCAAGATCCCATCGTTTGGCGGTTTTATCAGCCGAGGCTATCTCACGGATGGAATGTCAGTCATTAACCGTAAAGAGATGTGTCCGAAAACCTACCGGACAAACTACGAACCTGACCACAAAGATCCTTCCTGAAGAACTAAGGCATAAACCGATGTAAGATGACCCGATAAGGTTGCCAGAACCTGACCCGTCGTTGTATCCCATTTCTTGATGGTCGTATCTGACGAGGCAGAAAATAGTATCCTTCCATCCTCGGTCAAAACAATGTCTTCTACAGCACGAGTGTGCTCCTTAAAGACGCGTAGACATTCGCCGGTTTCCAAGTCCCATTGCCTTATTGTACTGTCACTGGATGCACTGTAAAGCCGATTTCCAAAGATTACTATTCGTTTGACAAAGTCAGAATGCCCGTTGAATGTAAGAATAGTTGTCGCAGTCTTCAACAATAACATCATGATATGTAATTGAGTGGCTGTGATACCAAACGGCGGTCAATGTCTAAGCGTTACAAACCTTGGTATCCCATTTTCGAATCGTCTTATCCCAAGATCCGGTAACTATAAAGACATCCTCATCCTGTTCGTCGTATCCAACAGCTACTGATGTTACAGGACCTGTGTGACCTTTAAAGACATTCAGGCTCGTGCCAGTCTAAAGTGATCCCGCGCGAGGTTAGGTCGTGATATGCCACCACCATCAACGGTAAGCGGACCTTTAAGTCAATCTTCCTTGCTACATGGCCAGATTCCGCCACGTATGCCTGCGTCGTGCCATTCTTGACAAGTGCGAAAGAAAGTACCTTGGATGGCATCGCAATGGGCTGTCCGGCTGCATTTTTGCCTGAACTTTGTGCTTTCTTCAGTTGTCTCGTTCGTTCCAGCTCTATATCGCGATCTGACTGGAAAAAGTTTCCCGAGTCATTAGATATATTTGGCCCAACGGATGGATCCATTGGGGTTTGCAACATGGTTCGAAATTCTGGGTGATCTCAGTTGTCGCCAACAAGTCTTACGTTGGTCAGGACGCGTCTGCATGAAACGTTGCCAAGCGGCACAGTAGCGTAATCAAACCGCAGCTTCCAAATGGATAGTTCTCTGGTTGAGGGCTGGTTCCTCTGATCTCTTAATGGCAAATCAACAAGAAGATGAGGCCTTCAACAAACCCGCGCAGGAGGAGGGAACTCTTGGAGCCCACACAACAGGAAATGGCGATTTCCCCATTACTACTCTCTGTACCGTATGCGGACGACCGGCCCGCTACATGTGTTCCCTTTGTGGTGCCCAAGCCCAGGTGTACTACTGCGACCCTTCTTGTCAGACCTTTGACTGGAACTCTGGGCACAAAGCTGTCTGCGCAGGAATGCATAACAATGGAGCGGCAGCCGTGCGCGAGACCACGTTGCCCAATACCTCACCGGCTGTATCGTCGGCAGTCTCTCTCGCGAATGCCTCCTCTATGGCGTCGCTGGATAACACAGGCCGGGGAAGAGTACGACAGAGAAGAAGAAGAGTGCGTGGAAGAGGGAACGTGGCCCAAGTGATCAATGCTGAAAGTGGGTACTTGCCATGGGATCAAGCGCATTCTTTGGAATTAGGTCCAACTGGTTTCTTCTCTGGCAGCACACTTTATTGATCGAATAAAAGGCTTCTTCTCGAGAGGTTCTTCTCAACATCAATCTACAGTAAGGCCTTGAGCATTATTATTCTCTTCATTTAGATAGTTGTACGTTTTTGTTCAAATTCGGGTTCGTTGTTTTCAGCACTCGATTCAGTCGATACCACCAACAATACCAACCCCCACAACGCTTCGCACCCCCGACTCGCACATTGTGGTACCCCCACGAACTTCATCATCCGTAGAAAATCAAGAGCATCCTATCATGGAACCACTAACCGAAGAGGAAAAACTAGAAGATTTGAAGTTTTACATGGAGCAAGTTTATCTCATCATCAAGCCCGTCTTATGCTGCATCGCCCTTTCAATTCTATGGGTGAAGCTTACAACGGAATCGAGTCCTAATTTTAGTACTGGGTACGATGAAGATGGGCTGCGTAGATATCGTTTTGACGCAACTCATCATTGCGTACGTTCGTTTTGACAGAATTGGCGAAACGGCAGCGCCTCCTAGCACTGTCGGAAGCACATTTGGCTCTGACGACAAAGGAAATACCAGCGCCTTCATTAATGCACTGATTATTTTGGGTCAAATCGTCGGTGCAACCATCGTGGTAGTTGTACTATTTTATTTCAATTGCATGAAGGTAGGTTATAAGATTATGATGTATTTTATGCCTCGCCGCTCACACCTTTTCCTGATATTGTGAAGATCCTCTTTGGATTTTTCATACTGGTGGTTACGGCACTATTAGGCACTTTTGGCTGGACCCTCGGATCCGAGCTATTGATTAGCCATAATCTCGCTCTCGATCAAGTCACATTTTGGTTTTTTATATGGAATATGACGGCCGTTGGAGTTTTGATGATTTTTTACAAGGGACCTTTGTTTCTTCAGCAAGTTTACTTAGTTTTGATGAGTAGTATGATGGTGAGTAAGGGAAATTACATCAACGTGATACATGTTGGCATCCACTTATTTTACTCCCACTAGGCGTATACCTTAACGAAACTACCGGCACTCACAGCTTGGATATTGTTGGCACTGTTGGCCGTGTGGGGTGTGTGCGCTGTACTTGAACATTGCAGTGTCCCGTTTTACCAACTGACGCATGCATGACTAGATTTAATTGCGGTCTTGTGTCCCTTTGGTCCCCTTCGCATTCTTGTCGAAACCTCACAAAATGAAGAGCGCGAGATTCCGGCACTATTATATACTGGTATGCAGGGTCTGGTAGAGTAGATTATTTCTGGATCTTGTTCTTACTGAGCTCTCCATTTGAAGTGATGGTATGGATGATGGCTACTCCAGGGGAGCCGCCATCGTCAACTCGTGACCAATCCCGAGTTAGCGACCCGGCCATCATCGCGCCTGCACCCGCATATACACCCAACGCTCGATGGTCACGAGGAGTAGAAAGTGCGGTGTCGTCGTGGACCCCACTCAGTGAATACGGGGATGAACGACATTTGACAGATTCCTCAGGTCAAGATGTCGAGCTGGATGTTCGTAACTCTACCGGGACGGAGATGATAGGGGTGAATAATGAGGTTGCTAGGGGACATCAAGGCAATACGCCCATGCCACCGACGATTCCAGCAGCGCTACCATCACAAGGATGCAGGGTGACAGATGGAGAGAGCAGAGCGCCGAACGACTCGGAGGAGGAGGAGGAAGAGGCGGCGAGAGGGGGACTGAAACTCGGACTGGGCGATTTTGTGTTTTATAGTGTCTTGGTCGCTAGAGCAGGTAAGAGATTTCCTATTGGAGCCACGGTTCTTGTTGAGCACTAACTAAGCGTTGATCCTTTGCAGCGCTATTTGACTGGATAACGACTGTAACTTGTACAGTCGCAGTCCTGACTGGGCTAAACATGACCATCTTTCTTCTGGCCCTGTACCAAAAGGCTTTGCCAGCGCTCCCAATCAGTATCGCATTCGGTATCCTCTTCTACTTTGTCAGCTCTGTCACCCTGACACCCTTTACGAATGAGCTGGTTCGGAGGCAGGACAAGATCTTCATTGAAGGAGCTGATACATGGCTTTGGGTCGGTAAAAATGGGGGCGGCGGGATGATCTATGTATGATAGCACTATTTTTGGAGCGTATTTGATGTTTCTTTGTTCTATTCCCTGTCGATACACGACGGGGATACTTTCTGTACCATATGGCAATACGTAATTTTATATATCGAGGCTCGGCCCAAACCTCACAATTTTTGTGTCCGCCAACTGATTGAACGACATTTTTAAGGTCACGTGATAAGTCGGAATTTATTGCTGACTCACCCGTCAAGATTGCAGTTTGAACTGCTTTTTCTTTTGTGGTTTCAACCTCACCCCGCCAGCATAATCTTACCAGAAGTGTCAAGTTCTGGGCCAGTTTCTTCACCTGCCTCCAGTTTTTTTAAGAATGCAGAGCCACCTTCCTCTGCGTCTATGGCGCCTTTCTGGAGGTCGGCTCTTGGCCTTCCCTAAGGGAAGTCTGGTGCGGGGAGCGCTCCAGCAACCCTGTAGCAGTAAAGCGCTCATCCGGCTTTTCCATGCCAAGGTTCCTGCCCTGGGTGCACCCCATGCGGTCTTGAGAGAAGATGATGTGATTGATGCAGTGAATTCATTCGGCTCTGTTTCTTACACCGTGGGTAAGACGGAGAGGAGCACCGAACGAGAACCGAAGGCAGCTGAAGGTACATTTGCGTCTGTTCCGGCGCTCTCTGCCCCCACTTTGAAGGCTCTCCACAGTGACTTCAAGTACACTTCAATGTCACCTGTTCAGAAAGCCGTTCTCTCACTGCTACCAACTGAGAAGGACTTGCTTGTGCGAGCCAAGACTGGAACCGGGAAGACCTTGGCTTTCTTGATCGCGGCTCTTGAGTCTGCGATTGCGAGACGGCAGGGACGGCGATTTAATGAGAAAAGTATCACGGTACTAGTATTGTCACCGACAAGAGAGTTGGCCTTGCAGATTACGGATGAGGCGAAGAGGTTGCTGGGCCCCCATCGGTACCGCGTCGCTACGGCTGTTGGTGGACCTGGGAGGAATAGATTTATATCCCTGATAAAATCTCGCCAGAGGACTGATGTGTTGATCGCCACTCCTGGGAGGCTGTTGGACATGTTGGAAAATGTTCCTGAATTTCAAAGCAAATGCGAAGGGTTGGAAACGGTGAGTTTAGATTTTTGCTGATGATTTATAGTGTTATCGTGTAGGCTAATGTGCTATGGTGTTGTTGGACAGCTTATCTTTGACGAAGCGGATCAACTATTAGAAATGGGCTTCCGAGATTCGATCAGTGCCATCGTGGAGAAGTTGCCGTCTCAAAGGCAAACGTTCATGTTCTCAGCAACTTTATCGTCCGGCATTCAAGCCATCGCCAAGAAGACGCTGCAGCCTGGGTATGACTATATTGACACTGTTCCCGCAAACGAAACCCCAACACACCTCAAAGTTCGTCAAACGTACGCAATATTACCATATTCTCAGCAACTCTCCGTTCTTTATGACATCATCCAGCAACATCGCCAGTCGAATCCTGCCGCCAAAATTATCGTTTTCTTCCCAACCACTAAAGTTGTCTCTTACCTTGCCGGTGTATTTAATGATATCCCTGGAATGGACGTTATGGAAATTCACTCAAAGCTTACGCAAGTGCACCGGACACGTGTTGCGCAACGATTCCGACGTGCCCATTCCGCCGTTCTATTTACGTCTGATGTGTCAGCGAGAGGAGTGGATTACCCTGGTGTAACTTTGGTGGTACAAATGGGAATGCCAACTTCATCTGATCAGTACATTCACCGGGTTGGACGAACCGGGCGAGCTGGTGCTTCTGGCGAGGGTATCATTATCCTTAGCCCTTATGAGAAACGGTTTCTGGACAGTTTGAAAGATGTGCCGATCAAACAGGACATGCGATACGGTCCGCAGGCACCGGCTGCCAGGAATGAAGAGGTCAAACAGTTATTGGAAGATGCCATGAGGCATGCGCCCAAGGAGGCGGCAATGGAATGTTACTCGGCCTACATTGGCTTCCGTATGTTGACATGTTGAAATTTTGTTGATCACGCAGTCACTAATTTTTATTTTGCGTTTAGATAAACAAAACGGTGCACTCCTCGGTATCTCAAAGGAGACGATGATTAAGGGAGCCAACGACTTTGCTACTGGTATGCTGGGTTTGGCGAGCCCTCCCAGTATTGGAAGGAGTTTCGCAGCGAATCTGGGGATTTTGCGTGTCAGGGGCGTCAACTTGCGCGAGTAGATGGCCACAGGCCGCCTTTGTGTATAGAAATCACCATTTTTTTGTAGTCAACGTCTTCTACATTATTTATATATTTATATATTGTTTAGCGTTATAGAGCGATAGGAATATACGACTTGTATTTTGTGCAAATACGACTTTTGACCTTTGAGTCTGGCGGTTCGACAAAATTTGAGTGTAACACATCCGCGCACACGTGATTTTGTACCCATGTTGTGGTTCATGTGGCCACGATTTGGACAACCTTTTGTTCCAGGCAGCTTTCGTTCCCGTCTCGACTCCCGCAATTTTAGGTATCGCCCCGTCTACCATGAGACCCGCTCTTCGTCCAGTATTGAGCAGCTTGGCTCGCCGCACCTCGACCAACAATATTGTTGGTGGGCTGTCTGCCTCGTTTGCACTTCAACGTTCACAGGTGGGGGTAACACTTTCTTTCGGAGCATGACCTTGAGAACGAATACTCAGCCGCCAGTCGTTTTATCACAGGGGTTGTCTACAGCTACCCGTCCCCTCCTTCAAGCGTCGGCAGCAGCAACCGCACCTTCCGCTCCTTCGTCACCGCAAACTAGAGTTCTCTTCCCTGGAGCAACGGACTCGCACTACACGGAGCAACTGCAATTTGTGCGGGACTATCCGTCGCTTCCGACGTATCGGGTCTTGGATCTGGAAGGAAATGTTTTGAATCCTTCTGAGGATCCACAGGTATGAAGGCCTCATATTCATATGACTGGTGAGCTCATTGCCTGATGTTTTCTTTTGGTATAGTTGTCCAAGGAAGAATGTCTAAAGATGTACACATCCATGTTGACTCTCAACTCTATGGATCTCATCTTGTATGAGGCTCAGCGACAAGGACGTATTTCGTTTTATATGACGAGTTATGGAGAGGAGGCGACGCATATGGGTAGTGCTGCTGCTCTCACATTGGATGATATTGTTTACGGGTAGAGTGACTTGGGTTATCGTTACCCATTCTGTGCCTTGTTACTCATGGCCATCGTGTAGACAATACCGGGAAGCTGGGGTACTTCTCTACCGCGGGTTCACCATTGAGCAATTTATGAACCAATGCTATTCCAATGAGCTTGACCTCGGAAAGGGTCGGCAGATGCCCGTGCACTATGGTAGCAAGGCCCTCAACTTTCAGACCATCTCGTCTCCACTCGGTACGCAGCTTCCACAGGCCGCTGGATCGGCCTATGCGCTCAAACGGACTGGAAAGGACGCATGTGTGATTTGCTTCTTTGGAGAAGGGGCGGCATCCGAGGGGGATTTTCACGCTGCTTTGAATATTGCTGCTACGACTGAGAGTCCAGTTTTGTTTTTCTGGTACGTTGATGTTTTTCGTATCGGTTATGTAGAGATGCTGATATCATGTACATATAGCCGTAACAATGGTTATGCGATTTCAACGCCTGCAAAAGAGCAGTACCGTGGTGATGGGATCGGTAAGCCATTCGTTATCGTCTTGTATTATCTGGGGTTGTGATTTCATGTGCTGTGTAGCCTCTAGAGGTCACGGATACGGAATGGACACTGTCCGTGTAGATGGTAACGATGCGCTGGTACGTCAGAGTGCTCGCCCTGCCAGTGAGCGGGATGTGTGATAGATTAACTCTTTTATGCTTTTTCAGGCGGTGTACAACGTAGTTAAAGAAGCTCGCCGACGAGCAATTACCGAAGAGCGACCCATCCTCATCGAAGCGTTGACCTACCGGTGCGTTTAGACCATATCCTTTGTCTACCTTCATCCAGGTTTCTTATTGCCTTTATCGCATGCAGAGTTGGACACCACAGTACATCCGATGATTCATCTGCCTATCGGTCGAAAACGGTTAGTGGCAAGACAAAAACCCAAAAGAAAAGATGTCGTCATGACTAACCCGATACATTGTATAATAGGAGGTATCTGACTGGATGAAGCAAGACAGCCCCATTGTCCGATTCCGCAAGTACATTGAAAACAAGGGCTGGTGGAACGAAGAGCAAGAACAATCCTTCCGTAAAACCATCCGAAGCAAGATCCTCAAGGAATTTGCTGCTGCAGAAAAAGTAAAGAAACCTTCCTTGGAGCATTTGTTTACCGACGTGTACGCTGGAGAACAACCGTGGAATTTGAAGGAGCAGGAACAGGAGCTGCATAGGCTGATTGAAAAATTCCCTGCTCATTATGATACGAATGGGCATGCCAAATAGGCTTGTGATCTTTGGGTGTGGTAGAGCTCTATATAGATCTGTGGGGACTCCTTGTATTTTTTCGAGAAATGTCTTTTTGAAGTTTTGGTTTTTGCGGTAGCTACCGGACGTTCTAGTCAAATAGATTTTCGCACGCGCTCTTAAAATCAAGTGGAAGGTTGAGGGATTCTCAGGCGAGTCCGTGTATAACCGCATTCTTTCATATCTCAGCTGCACCCTACTCAAGTCCACAGAAAAACTGGCCGCAACTCGTTCTAAATCTGAGGTTTTCCCCCCTATATTTACAAGCGACATCCACAAGCTAATAGACATAAAACTATTTAACAAAAGTATCAGCTTCCTGAAGCACACCCTCGGCACCTAAAAAACGACCACAAATCAGCATCCTGAACAAAAGCAATAAATAAATTCACACATGAGGCACCCACCCGCAATGCAAACACTCTATAACACGTTCCTCACTCAACTTGTCTTTTGGCACCCGACAAATACACATGGTCCCATAATTCGTGTCCTTGGGCTGTATACACCGCAAACAGCACAACTTTTCATAGCCGACCTTTTTCCACTTTGCAATCAAGGCACCATCAGCGTATCCCTCTTTTAAGCAATAATCGTAGAGTTCGCGGGAGATGGCTTTTCGGCGGTAGAACATGTCGTAAATATATCTGGAGCGTTGGTGGTGGAGCCGAAAGACTGGCCAGAGGGATTCTGATTTCCGTTTGCCTTCGTGTCCTTCGTTTTCGGCTGGTTTGCAAAAAAAGGAAGAGTGTTTGTTAGGGTTTATTAGAGTGTTAAAGGTTTTGTTTGCATGCACAAGACAAACCTTCTCTCATTTTCTGTTGGAGCTCTGTGAGAGTGGGTTCGACAAGGTCCCAGCCCTCTGGAGGTGGTTTCCGTCCTCGCTTGATTTTCGGCATGTTGATAATACGATTTGCGTTTGCGAGGAAATTGTAAAGATCAACAGTGGGGGGGAGTCATGTCCAGATCGTTGTGTGAGCTCATGCTGAACACGTGATATCTTAACGTTGCTATGGAATTGAGGAAGGTCGTCGTTGAACTCGAGCAATTGAGAATTGGGGGTGATCGCTTGGGGGTAAGCACAACATGGTAGCATCACCACTATTACGAACTGTCTTTCCGTTTCGGAGTTATGGGTGCACTTTGTCTCCAGTTTATCAGGTATGTGTGTGGAAGCAGTATGATATACCTAATGTGTTTTTGTCTATAATGTTCTTGCAATAGACTGTGAGACGACAGCTTGCCACCACCGCATCCACAGCCGTCGTAACTACCGTTCACCTCCCCACCGCTTCCGGGCAAGAGATCCCTGCGTTACTTCACCCGTTGACGCCAGTAATTCGCGGTGCGGACCGGGTGCGAGAAGAACATGTCGAGCGGTATACAGACAAAGAAAGTAAGTTTGGCATAATTACAAAGGTTGGAATAACTACTTGATAAATGTTCTGATACGAAATGTTTGACTCAGACCATTACTGGAAATCCCCCACCGTCCAAGCCTTTCTCAACTCCTTTGCCTCAGGAGAACCCATAGGTCTCATTGAACTCGACCGAACCGTCTTTGGGGCTACACCGCGCTCGGATTTGTTAGCTCGCGCCGTGCGATACGAAGAGAGTTGGTGGGCGGCGGGTACAGAGAGTACAAAGGCGTTGGGACAGGTTCGAGGGTCGACACGAAAACCGTTTCCACAAAAGGGTCGAGGAAAGGCTCGTGTTGGGACTATTCGGGCCCCGCAATGGCGTGGAGGTAACAAGTCTGGCGTTTTGTTGAATCAAGTTTACAAGATGTTAATGAGCTTGATATTTAGGATACCGTGTTCACGGTCCCCGTCCACACGACAAATCTACCGACATTCCCCGCAACGTATACGATCAAGCCATCCGGTCCGCTCTCTCCGCCAAATTCGCTCAAGACCAACTCCACATTGTCGATAGTCTGTCCATGTCCACAGACAAAAAGATTGCGCTCTTTGAGCGTCTCCATGCATTGTCATTAAATGGGAAACGTGTCTACTTTATGTACGGAAACGAGGAACCGGAAGTAGAGTTGATTCAGGCTGCCAACAAGTTTAAGAAGCGGGCTGCGGTGCATGATAAGGGGTTACCGGCGGAGAAGGCGTTATTGGTGACGAGTGCGAGACAGGTTGCTGTTAGCCCTGTTTTGGAGAATGAGTATTTGGTGTTGGATAAGATGGCTGTTGAGGTTCTGGAGGAAATGTATCATGTGGATTGATGTGGCATCTGGGTGTGCATGTTGCCTAGGTCGTGTTGTTTACATTGTTGGGTAGCATTTATTTAATAATGCATTCTTTTTACTACACTATAATGCCGTGTCTGGGTGAGGCGTTCAAGAGGGATGAGATTGGGTATCAATATGCCAAGAGTTTGATTATCTTATTGTGTCAGTGACTATGTACATGATGCGTATTGGGGTTGTTATGGCTTTTGTCGTTTGGCAGCTGGGTCCAAGGTATCCACAGGTTCCTCTTCCTCGACTTTTCGCTTTACTTTCTCTTGCAGATCCTCCAAAGTGTGCTCTGGCCCCGGTACGTCAACTACATTCCTCTCTCCATTCGCTTTATGATGTTGGGAGACGTGCTCCCCCATTCCCGTCTCTTGATCTTCAATTCCCTTTCCATTCTCATGGGAATCTCCAAGGTCCTGTTCTTCAGTCTCGTCAAAATCCGATTCCCCTTCGTGTACACCGTCATGCACATCATCATCATCGTCGTCTTGTTTGGCATGGACGTTCTTCCGCTGTGGTAATACAGCCAAAAACGATTGTTGCCAGTCTCTCGTCTCAAGCCACTTTATCATAATTTCAAACACTGGAAACGCACAAAAGAATCAATACAGGATGTTGAAATTGTCGAGTTTGGGCATGCGTTACCATGATTGATTGTAAGGACTTTACGGGACTGCATGGCAACGTAGTGGTCAAGTGGGAGTTTGGCTGTTGCGAGGCCGTACGCTTTGGCTTGTTCGTAACAGAGACCCTATTACGAACCCCCAATTGCGTTTTAGAATGGTATCATGGATATTGGTTTGTGTTTGGAAACTTACCTTGTACCGATTCTTATCTACAATCCCACCAATCACGTACGTTTTTGTTTCATCTAGCTCGGTGAGGGTGGTTGAAGCGTCGGCAGTCAGGTAGACGATATTAGAGGGATCAGAGAGAGTCGTAAATGTATCCTCTGTGTAAAGAATGGGGCATTTTCCTTCTACCCAGCGTTCAAAGTCTCTGTATTTGATGGAGAGGGCTTGTTTGACTTGACCGGTAAAGGAGGTGAAGGCGAGGTGAACGGGTTTTGTACTGGCTTTGTTGGCTGCGTAGCATCGGGCGATTTGGCGGGCTGTACTGTCGATTTCCTATTTTTTTTTTTTTTTGTGGGTGTGAGGGGTTATGTGTAAATCTGAGGAAATTCACAAACCTTTTTGATCATTTTGTCTTCAAAGGAGAGGTCAATGGCTATGGTCATGGGTGAAGGGTCTTGGTGGGGTGGACGCCGAGGTTTGGGTTGCAAGAGACCTAACAAGGAGGTTGTCAATAACAAAAAGATGAGCAAAAAACCGAATACTGCAGGAATCCTTACCCTGCTTAATCTTTTCTTTTCGCATCTGTTTAACTTGCGCTCGTTTCTGTTTACGTATTTCTAACCGTTCTTCTTTCATTGCATCCCATTTGGCTTGTTTGGCAGCTCGTTTTTGGGCTCTTTTGGAGAGTGGGGTTGGCGTATTTGGTTCATTTTTGACAGTTGCTGGAGATGTGGGTAGGTCGGGTCTGGGTGCAAGGTCCTGCTCAGTGGCCTCCATGATACAAATGGTATTTGACGAAAGAAAGGAAACTGTTGCAAATACCATTGTGAGCGAGAAATGCACAAAAGCGATATACACACGTGACTGCTGCGCACGGACAGCGGACACACAAGTTTGGGACGTACAGTTTCTTTCTAACGCGAGCATTGTTTTTTTGGGGGGACGATTGGGATGTCATGATTCGGTTTACGATCATCTCCCGTGCAGGCGATGGCTTACCTCTAGTCGCAACCATGGAGTCCCAGCGCGTAAGCCATCATTTCGTTCACCAGTATACATGTTCACAAAACTGATTTGGTGCTTTTCTTTGGTAGGAAGAGGACCAGATATCTGGATACAAAAAGTTATCAAAAACAATTATAAAATGCCTTGCACCTGATGCGCATGATACTGCGTATCTCCAAGTAGAAGCATCATCCATAACAACAGACGAATATACATTCCAGTATGTAAAAAACGACCTTGTTTTCACAACTTTAAAAAAAACACTTTACTTAATATTTTGGTTGATAGCTACGAAATTCATTCCGGCGTCATATTCCTCACACTGACAGATAAATCCTTTCCAAGACTATTAGCATTCTCCTACCTGAACGAACTCATTAAAGCCTTTTTCGATGAGATGTCTTCATCGTCGTCATTTGGACAACGCTCCGTTCAAGCTGTTCAAAGACCGTATTCGTTTATTCGATTCGGTAGAATCAATTTTCTGCTGTTTCTTTTGTACGGTTTTTTGAATATTTTTGTTGTTCTAGAACCCGTGATACAGGGTATCAAGAAACGGTATGCGAATACGCGACAGTTGAGGACACAAGAGGATTTGGTGGAATTGTCCGGGAGGATACAATCCATTCCAATCTATTCCGCTCGTGATGTTTTGGGAGTTTCTGGTACTATACTCCATGCCATTTTATTGCCAACCACGTTATATCTGATCATAGTATTTTTATAGGTCCCGTAATGGGTATCCCACCCCTCCCATCCCTAGCACACCTGAAACCCCCAGCACCCCCATCCTCCACCCGTCAATGGGTTCGTCTATGTATCCTCGCTATAGATATTTTGTATCTACTGTTATGGTGGACGAGTTGGGTGGGCGGTGGGACGGTGACGGATGGGTTTGGACGAGTGGAAGGGCCTCGAGGGGTGGAACGGGGGTTGGTGTTGGTGATTGGAGTTACGAGTCCAGTTTTATTGATTCAGGTAAGATAGTATATTGTTTTTTTTTTTTTTTGGTAATGTTTTTTTGTTGAACTGTTGGATAGGCTTACAAGCATCATAACAACATACGAACCCACTCGCATCTCGTCGATAACGTTAGTACACTCCACGCCCTAACAACACTATTCCAAATCCTTGTTGTGTCATTTTGTAAACGGAATGTCGGACCACGGAATACGGGGGCGCCACTCCAGGTTGCTGCGGGGTGGTTCGCAGGATGGTGTCTCCCCGTACCGGTTGTAGCAATTAAAGTCGTTTACGTGCTTTTGGTGACGAGGGAGGTGGGATTGACGGTTAGTAGGTGGGTGAGGAGGTGGAGGGATACCAAGCGAGGACACCGGGATTAGAGTTTTGTTTTTGGCCATGGACATGGTGGAATAGGAGGGGGCCACTCCAGGTTGCTGCGGGGTGGTTCGCAGGATGGTGTCTCCCCGTACCGGTTGTAGCAATTAAAGTCGTTTACGTGCTTTTGGTGACGAGGGAGGTGGGATTGACGGTTAGTAGGTGGGTGAGGAGGTGGAGGGATACCAAGCGAGGACACCGGGATTAGAGTTTTGTTTTTGGCAATGGAATGGTGGAATAGGAGGGGGCGTCTCCAGGTTACTGCAGGGTTTGCAGGATGGTGTTTCCCTGTACCGGGTATGCTGAAAGTCTTGTGTGCTTTTGGAGATGAGAAAGGTGGGGCTGGTGGTTAGCAGGTGGAGTGGAGGGATACCAAGTTAGGACATTGGGGAAAGTACATATGATTTTGCATATATATTATTTTTATACGACAAGTGTGTTTGTTTTTTACTATTTTAATTGTCCAATGTTTTGTAAAAGGTCTCTTTGGTCCCTAGATATCCTATCCACTCTACATATACACGACACATAACTAAAAACAGCTAAACAGCAACAGGATCATCCTTCCGGGCATGTTCAGGAACGGTATGCTTGGTTCCCCGAACACCATCAACAGCATCCATAAAAGCCTTGATAAGCCTCCGACTCCGGAGATCACCCAAAGGCTGCAACTTGACCGAATTCATCACATACCCAATAGCCAATTTTTCTTTTTGGTTCCACCAAATCATACTTCCGCCTGCACCTGCCCATCCGGTCCATGTTTGTCCTTGGATGAGGGTGTCGAGTTGACCCCATCCGCCTGTCGTGAATTGAATCGTCTTGTTCAGGACTTGGTCGGTGGATAATGGAAGGGGTTCAAGGGCTTTCGAAAGGGTTGATGAGGAAATGACGGTTGTACCGGTAAGTGGATCCACACCTCCATTGGCCATAATGGCCGCAAAACGAGATAACCCCTTCGCATTAGTCATACCGCTAAAACTCCCACTTTCACCATGCCAAATATCAGGTTTATTATATCCCGCCGGCCAAATCTCCCACCACCCAAATGTAGGGCCACTCGCCATTAAAGCGCGGTGTTGCAAACTGGATGGATTGAGTTGGGCTTGGAGGAGTAATTCGGGGATGGGTTCTTTTTGCCAGGATTTGGGAGTGAGGATGTGGTAGAGGAGGTAAAAAGGTGTGAGGCCGTTCAGAGGGGAAACGAGGTGGTCGTATGATGGGTCCAGACCTAGGTGATAGGAAATATTGAGAGGGGTAGCTAGTTCTTGGCGGATGTAGGTACCGAGGGAACGATGTAAAGGATCCGCTCGTCGAACGAGTTCATTAATGTACCATCCGCGTGTAGTGGCGTGATACCCAACCGTTGGCTTTCCACCAAAATTATGGGGCTGGGATGCAATTTTCTCTGCCAATGCATCCAGGTCGAGAATATCGGATGGTGATGGGGCGCGTGAAGCGTCTAGGAAGGATACCCCTGCGCGATGACCCATAAGGTCCGCTACCGTGACGTTTTCCTTGTTGCCTTGTGCGAATTCTGGCCAGTATTTTGCGATGCGGTCCGTGTAGGAAAGGTGGCCCTGTGATATGAGGTGTGCAATGGCGATACCTGTCTAATGTAAAGTAACGTGAGTTGGATTGCAATCGCGTTTTTTATCATGAGGATGAACATGCGAGGTTTACCACTGCTTTGCTACTTGAAAAGACGAGATTCAGGGAATCCTCCGTATAAGGCTTTTTAATGTCGTAGTCTCTATCAAAGAACCCTCCAACAAGTTCCACAACCGGTTTCCCATCCACTAATACAAACGTAAATATTAATCTACATGTCCTAAAAGAAAAATTCAAAAAGATACTCACTCCAAGCATAAAACCCAGCACCCACTTCCTCCCCCTCTTTAAAATTCCTCTCAAAAGCCTCTCGCACACCCTCAAACCCCCGTTCCACCCGCCCAGAAATCGGGTACTCTGGGCAATTCAAGTTGAATAATGCGCATGTGTGCGGGTGGTAAGGGCCCGTCGTGACATGACGGTACAAGAGGCCTAGAGAAATGGACAAGAGGAGGGGGAGTTGGGAGCGGAGGGATAGTCCTCCTTTTTTGGGGTTGGGGGTTTTGGAGGGCATGTTTTGCAAAAGGTCCTGGGGGATGTGAATTGCAAATGTGGGTTTTTATGGTTTTTCGGCCATTCGGTCTCGGTGTTCCGCTTCGGGCTTAGTCACGCGATGACGATCGAGGTCGTTTTACCTGTTTAGTTTGATGAAAAGGTTTTTTGGCGATAGGAGTTGGACAGAGGGGCCGATTATGAAAAAAAGGGTTTGCCGAAATTCTGAATAATGTGTTGCTTTTTTGGCAAGTTTATGGTTGAAAGATTGATGAGGAGGTTGATTGTAACTTTTATCCAACTCGCCTGCTAGTCGCTTGTGAAGGGATGTCCGGCCGTGGGCCATGCCCAGGGTTAAAAACAAGAATGCTCATGAAAGGCATCAGCAGAAAAGTTACCCCATCACCAAACCACCTTTTCAACATCCTCTACGTTTTAAACCCCATCATCAAAACCCCTCCACCACCAACCAAAATCCCACTAGACGACTTGTTACTTTTCAAACGGAACCCTTACCTTTCTCGATCAACGCGTCACACAACTTGTTACCATAGCCACAGACTTACCACATCCCCCCGACCACAAACCACACAAAACATAATCATGCATCCCACTCGTATCCTCCACCGCGCAGCATTACCACGCACAAAACCCGCCTTACTCCTCGCAACCAAATGGAACGAAAAGCACGGTAAGCCAACACTCACCTCATCTCATCATACATGTTCTAATGAGATTTTCCATGTGTAGATCCGACGGGATGGTGGATATCCGAGAAATACGATGGCGTCCGAGCGTACTGGGATAGCAAAGCCCAGAAAATGGTGTCGAGATTAGGAAATGTTTTTGGTGTTCCGGAATGGTTTACGCGTGGTAAGCTTAAAGTTGCGAAAATCATTATACTAAAGTTAATAATGTTGTGGGTTGGTAATGTAGATTTGCCGAAAGATATGGATTTAGATGGAGAGTTGTGGGGAGGCTACGGAGCATTCTCGCGAACCGTTTCAGTCGTCAAGACACTCAAACAAAATCAAATGACACTACCCACATGGTCTTGTCTTACCTACCAAATCTTTGACACCCCAACCAAAGACCCTTTTGAAACCCGACTCGTACTTTTAAAAAAGTACATGGCGAATATACATGCTCGGCATCTTTGTCTTGTTGATTATCGACAATGTACGTCTCGTGAGGATTTACGGGAGGAATTGGAGCGTGTGGAGAGGAGGGGTGGGGAGGGGATCATGTTGCGGAGGGCTGGGAGTTTGTATATTGGGAAACGGGATGCGAGTTTGAGGAAATTGAAAAAGGGGTTGGATGCGGAGTGTGTTGTTGTTGGGTATGAGGAAGGTAAGGGGAGGAATGAGGGGGTTGTGGGGTCGCTCAAGGTATGTCTTGAACCTTTTTTTGCAAGGTGGTTGTGGTGTTGATGTCGGGGTTTCTAGTGCCGGTTGGAGAATGACAAGGTGTTTTGGCTTGGGTCGGGGCTGACGGATGAGGATCGGAAGTGTCCGCCTCCGATTGGGTCGGTTGTAACGTTTCGGTTTATGGAGTGGACAAAGGAGGGTATACCCCGGCACCCCAGTTTTGTTGGTGTGCGGATAGATTATGATCCAGATGCCGGCACGGACACCAGTATGGATGCCGCCATGGATGTCGGCACGAATGTGGAAATGGACACGATCGCAAGTGCAAGCGTAAACACGGAGCAAAGCACACGACATGTGCAAGTGGACACAAACGCCAATGCAAACGAAGACAGACCACCAGAACCAGAAGCAAAAACAAGAATCCCTGCCACTATGTCAATGACCAGTACGCACTTCAAGTCCACTAGTATGAATTAGATACAAAAACCAAAAAGTAACATGTCTTGTTTTACAGGGAATTGGGCATGACATAAAATGCCCAGGCAATGACAATGTAGGCACCGAGAAGCATGACGCCTTCCAACCAATTGGTCTGACCGTCCGAAATAACCGAATTGACGACAAAGATTGAAACCTACAAAAGAAAGGTTCAACTCTGGAGCAACAGAGACCATTCAAAGCGTCATCAAAAGGTACGCACAAACATGACACTGGTCTCAAAGGCCGAAAAAGCCAAGGAAAGCGGTTGATTCCATATCCACCCGAAAATGACACAAATGGGCGTAACGAGCAAGGCAATCTGCATGGAACTCCCAATAGCAACGCCAATCACGAGATCCATTTTATCCTTCATGGCGACCGAAACGGCTGTAACGTGTTCTGCGGCATTACCGACAATGGGAAGGAGGATGAGACCGACAAAGGTTTGACTCAGGTGCCATTGTTCAGAGACAGTTTCAATGGATCCGACGAGGTACTCTCCGCAGACTGACACGAGGACAGTGACAGAGAGGAGGAGGGTGACGGCGGCGGGGAGTGTAATATTGGGTTCTTCTGTTTGAGCTAGGAGTAGCATGTCAGCAAAAACTGGCCGATTGCATGTACACGTATAGACGTTACCATCCTCGCCCTCTTCTGCAGTGAAAAACTCGTGATGCGTCTTGAGTTGAAAGTATAAAAAGAGAATGTAAATGATAAACAGGACGAGCTGCGTGAAAGACAGTTGTCAATACAGTGGTGACTGGGAAATGAGAATGCAAAAGACATACAGCGGTGCCCCGGGACAGTTCCAAGAGGAGAACGTCGGCCGTGTCCTTGCCCGCAATAGTGAATTGGAATGCCGCTGGAACGACAAACGCCAGCACCGCTCTGGGAAAGAAAACATGGTGAGAAATCAAGAGACATAGAATTGGCACGCAACAATACGCCAAGAAAGTTGTGTGAGAGCGGGACAGAATTCCCACGGAGCGACAACATTTTCCCACGCTCCCTCTCCATGACGAGCGCCAGCGAGTCATGGCCCTATCCATTACCCGCACGCGAACGCAAACACGAACGCACGAATGCAACAAGACGCCAAGGGAGTTGTGCGAGAGCGGGACAGAATTCCCACCCAACGACAACATTTTCCCACGCTCTCTCTCTCCATGACGAGCGCCAGCGAGTCATGGCCCTATCCGTCACCCGAACGCGAACACAAACGCGAACGCAACAATACGCCAAGAAAGTTGTGTGAGAGAGAGCATTCCCACCCAGCGACAAAATGTTCCCACGCTCTCTCTCTCCATGACGAGCGCTAGCGAGTCATGCCCTATCCGTCACCCGAACTCGAATGCGAACGCAACGAACGCTAATCCCGAACCCTAAAACCCGAACGCGAACACGAACGCTAAACCCAAACTCTAAAATCCGAATCCTAAAACCCGAATCCTAAAACCCAAACCCTAAAACCCGAACGCGAACGCTAAACCCAAACCCTAGAACCCAACCTAAACCCGAACCCTAAAACCCAAACTCTAAAACCCGAACGCTAACCCAAACCCTAAAACCCTAAACCTAACCCAAACTCCAAGCCCTCTCTCTGCTGCCCTCGCTAACGCTCAGGGAGCATCGTACTCACATGCAAAGCAGCGAAGCACTGGTCTGGGCAGCAGTCACGTTAAACCTCTGATTCTTGAAATAGAGACCACCTGCGAGAAAGGATGCACCTAGGACCAAGAGCAGATTGGAGAGGATACTCCCCAATAAACTTGCTTGAACGACTGTAATCAAGCCATTGTGGAGAGCAATGAGACCGACAATCAATTCGACAGCGTTTCCAAATGTGGCATTCAAGAGTCCCCCAATTGTCTCGTTTGTCCTGAGAGCGAGTTCCTCTGTTGCGAGACCAAGAAGCTTGGCCATGGGCAAGAGAGCCATGAAATTAAAAGCAAAAGTCAATGCATCTGGCCAGTCCAATATTCCCGAGAGGATGCCAAGAGGACAAAAGATGAGAAGAATATTGATCCAGTTTGATAAGAAAATGTAGCGAAGGGAAGTTGACCAAGAGGGAGGAGGAGGACCGAATATGAATCCAGCGTCAGAGTCTGAGCGAGAGACGTTTCTCAAGCGAGGAGAAGCAGAAGCAGGTATAGCTCCATATGCAGCGGGCATTGTGTGTGTTCCGTTTGTAGAAACGAGTGTGTGTGTGTGGAGAGAGAGAGAAAGAGTAAGATGAAAGTCAAAAGTCACATGATAATGAGAACACGCATAGTGTGGAGGCGATTGAAAATGGCACTAGGAACCATTATTATCCGGATTAATCCGGTTAATCATATCGCATAATCAGAACCCCCCTCTATCGCTCAGATTGGTGTGGCATGTATTGTAATGTTTTTTTTTTTTAAACTGCGGTGAGGCGCATGCCCAAAGGTCTATAAAAGGGGGGCCATTTCCCTCTTTCCTCTTTACCCATCCTCGACTCGAAGCATCTGCGCAACGCTCATTGCGACCCACATTGCAACCTCATAGCAACCCACACAACCTCATCGCGACTCGGTCAACCATGAGAACGCCGATGTGGTGGTGTCGAGGACCTCGACCGCCCGACAGCAACCGTGATCAGAACCAGCGGCAACCAATCGGATCCGATAACAAAACCTACTATTATACTGCCACATTAGTTGAGCTTGGTTGGTATGTACTGATGGCATTTCTTTTCATTCTGTCATTCTGTCGCTGACATGCAGTTTTAGTCTCCAAGCCTGAACATCCTCTGGCTTGTGACGCTGCCCAGTCGATTCGCTCCTGGATGCAAGAGTCTGGCTTCAATGCCATCAAGAGTTCCAGATCAAGGCCTAGTAGGGACCGCGTGTGGTGGTGGGCAATTATCCGGTTAGAACCAACCGTTACGTATTGCGTGTATAATTGCCTATTAGTAGTTAGTTATCTTTTCCGAACCGGTTGTCGCCGGTTTATTCCCTGGTGTAGTAGCTAGTGCCAGTTTCTGTCACCTCTACACTATGAAATGAAAAAGTGTGGTAATAAATGGTTGATTAAAGAGAGAGAGAGAGAGAGTATTGAATGTATATAATCACTCTCTCTGTGTGTGTGTATATAAGAGAATAAGAGAATAAAAAGTGTAAGAATTTGTGTGAGGAAAGTGTGATCAAGTGAAATGGATAAATGAGAGAGAGAGAGAGAGAGAGAGAGAGAGATGGTAAAAAGTGCGAGCGTGAACAGAGTCTCTCTCTCTCTCTCTCTCTCTCTTGTCTTGAATCAACTAGCGTTTGTGTGTGTGTGTTTTATATATTCTCTCTTCTCTCTCTCTCGTTTGTATTCAATCAATTAGTGTGTTTATGAGAGAGAGAATTCCTTTATATCATTATTCTCTCTCTCTCTCTCTCTACTCTCTACTCTCTCTCTCTCTCTCTCTCTCTCTCTCTCTCTCTCTAATTGCATTCCCACATCGCCTTCTTCTTTCATGGTGACATATCTACTAAGCATTTTATTATACTCTTTATAGAATTGTCAAGTGGGGGAAGCCACGGTTTCTATTTTGATTAGTTATTCTCTTCTTTATTCTTCTTGTTTCTCTCTCATCTCTCTTCTTGTTCTTGTTCTTCTTGCAACTGGGCTAAATGAATACGCATCAGCCTTTGGTCGCTACAACGAGCAGTCTCAGTCCTGCTCTCTTTGAGGCACTCGCTGCAAAACACGGCAACTTGCTACACTTGGGGGGCACAAAGCGTCCTAGCGTGCAGGATGAGGGTGTTCGCAAGAACCACGCTCACTTGCCCACTCCCATTGAGGGTATGTGCGTTTGGAATTACACAACTACTAGTCACTCTTGTTGAGACTCTATTTTTGTCGCTCGCTAGACGGACTGCAGGGGACACCTCTGAAAAAAAAACCAGGTCGCAAGCCCGCCACCACAGAGCCCGCCAATAAGCGCACGGCTCAAAACAGAGCCGCTCAGCGTGCTTTTAGAGAGCGCAAGGAACGCTATGTCAAGGAACTCGAAACGCGTGTCGCTCAGTTGGAACAAGCACAGACAAAGGCAGAAACGGGGGAACTCGTTGATGAAAACTCTAAACTACGCCAACGAGTAGAAGAGCTCGAGACGGAAAATAAATTGTTGCGTGAAGTGTCGTCCTTTACTTTTGAATTCCCACCTCAACCGTCATCACAGCAACAACAACAACAACAACAATCAGAACAACAACAAAATCTTACACCAGTCTCGGACACCCCTAAATCGATTCCCTTTCACTTTGATCAACCCAACGGCTCTGCAAATCATAAAGACGCTCCCATTTCTCCTGCCTCCATTATCCAGAGCGAGCCCACTCCCTTTACGAACCACTCCTCTCCCTTTTCCACAAACAGCGCCAACAATGACCTTCCAGGCCTCGAAGCGGAATCCTACTCTCTTTTCGACGACTTGGCCAGTTCGACGTTGTCGGTCGTGTCGGATGCAGAAGTGCGAGACGAAAATGACCTCGACGCTCTCCTCGGTGGCATTCCTCTTGGACAATTTTCATTTACTGAACCCATCCAGTCTATATCTCAACAATCGCAACAGCAGCAACGACAACAACAACCACAACAACAACAACAAGCAGCGTTTTACAATGAGCCCAACCCGTTTTCAGCCACCTTTTCCAACCCTTTTACCACTGAAAACCTCATTTTCGATGCAGAGTTTCAAGACTTTTTGAGTTTGAGTGCTGTCCAGACACCTCCAATCCAACCTCTTGTCTTTGCATCATCACCCGCACCCCTCACATCCCCCGAACACCAGCGACAACAGCAACAACAACAACAATCATCTCTGCTGTGGTCACCACCACCACCAACAACAACCACAACAACAAGTCAACCATCGCCATCGTCGATGCTGGTAAACGAATTCAAGAAAAAGGATTTGGTCGAGGAATGCTCGATTGACGAATTGTGCGATATCTTCAAGGTGGGCACACTGTTTGACTCGTGTCTTTTGGTGTGGGTGCATTAGTGACTGACACGTACAATTACAATAGGCCAAAGCCCAATGCTCGGAAATGGTCCACCTCCAAAACAAGATTTTGCAAGCGGCCGAAGAGGGCAAAAAGGAAGAAGTCATGGATTTGTTGTTGGTGTGCAAGGAAAAGAAGCGGATGCACATGGTATGTTTTTTGATTGTTTTTGCATGTCAAGTATAATAATAATTTACAATGTTTTCGTTCTAGTTGCGAATGAAGGCCGGTGTAACAGTGCTTCCACCCGGATTGGATGCACCTCCATTGTAGTTTTTTGTGCTAGTCTAATGAAATTTATTCGTGTCCTAGTTTTGTTGTCTTTTTTTTTTTTTTTTGTATAGAATGAACATTTATTCTTTTTTCTGCTTTGGAATGACATGAACGGGTGGATGGGGCCATGTATCCCCCCAATGTGATTTGCGGGCTTCAAAGTACTGCATTTTACCGCCTTTTGTTTTTGTGATTGTTGCGCGTTCGAGGTGGCCAGAGGGGCTGCACCAGTCTAGGATGACGTGGCCGTCGCGTTTTAGTGGGGGGGCAATGATGCGTGGCCAGGTGTATGCTGCCGTATGCATGTCCGTGTTGAATTCGTTGTCATGTTGCGCATCCCCTTGTGCATTGGCTTCAGTGTGCATGTCCGTGTTGAATTCCTTGTCATGTCGCACATTCCCTTGTGCAAAGCCTTGTACACTGCTCTGTGCATCACTCTTCACAGACGGCCGCAAACCCCTCCTCAAAACCACAAACGAAAATTTCGCATCCTCATGAATTCTGTTTCGCCCCCTTGGTCACCATCATGAACCCGATTCCTCTGCACCCTCTGCGAAAAATGACACCAACTGTCATGCCCCAACATTGGACACGCCCCATCATGCGGACAAGGCGCCACAACATGGGCATTTCCTAATCCCAATATCTGGGCCCGTGCCTTTGCAATCATGTTGAACCCCTCGGGTGTCCCTCGATCCACCAAAACTAGAACATCCCGTGTGTGATCCCATAGAGATTGGACAGTTTGTTCGTGTTGAGAGGACGGCATATCGCTTAATGTGTATGCGCAAATCACTAGATCCGCTGGTTGGGGTTGAGGTGGTAAATACCGTTTCGTCAATAAATTAAAACCAAGTCTTGATCCCATCCTCTCTGCAACACGTAACATATCCACCGAGATATCCACTCCAACATGTTCTTGAATGGTATCAAAAGTATGTTGCACGGCCCACAATGCCGTCCCTGGCCCAACACCAAAATCCAATACACTCGTCGGTTGAAACGATGGAACCCGTTTCGATAGTTGAATAAGCACGTTCCGGATGGCTGCGTAGGTTGTCCCTGTTCTTGAGGCGAGGTATCCGGCTGTTTCGACGGGACCGTATGTGAGTGTGTGGCGGGGTATCAGTGGGACAAGACCTTTTGAGGTTGTGCGGTAGAGTTTGGAGGATGAACCGGTTGAGCGGAGGGATGTGGAGATTTTTTGGACGGATTGTTTTAGTTGGTGGGGTGGAATGTCTTTATGTATTATTAGTACCTTTAGTGCATGTTGTAAATGGAATGTGGGCATGTTTTACCTGTGAGTTCTTGTTGGATTCCGGTGAGAATGGGGTCTGGGAGGCTGATCCATCCCGATTCGGTTTTGTCCAAAGAGGCCTTGAGGTGTGAAACGGGATACTGTCCGGGTATTGGATTCTGGGGGGGGATGGCTAGTATCTTGTGTGATCTCGGATGGGGTGCGATCGCTAATGTCAGGTGTGATCTCGGACGGGGTGCATATTGCAGATCGTGCGGGTGGTACAGGTGTATCGGGAATAGTGGATTCGGATGCAAGAAATGTCAATGTGCGAAAGAGTGAATGCTGTGTTTTGCGTGCAGTGCATTTGCACCATTGCGTCCGTCGAGAAATCATGTCCAAATCACACTTTCAAAGAATCGATGGTTCAAAAGCTCTCCCCGTTTGGTTCGCAGTCTCCCGGAATGACTCACAATTTATTTATTTTTTTTTTGTTCAAAGTTTCGGACACGGTTTTTTGGGGGTGAGATTTATCTATGTAGGTTTGGGGCATTTTGTTGACTTTTACGTTTTTGTTATCTGGACGACGGCTAGACTCTTTTGCCCTCCCGTCCTTTATTTTTTTTTTCCATCAACAAAACACAACCAACTGCTAGAGGGACACGTTTTCCCTCACCTCTTCCAGAGTAATGAACAGGCAAGTCCACCCATTGTGCATCCCACTACACAAGTCGCATTCTAACATTACTACAGTTTCTTTGCCGGTCGCCCGCTCTTGCGATCGTCTCGCCTGACACTCCTCCCAACCCGCACCACAACAAACATTCTCGCAATGGCCTCTTCACGTGCATACTCGACAACCCCTTCCAAAATCGTTGTCCAAAACCCCATTGTCGAACTCGACGGCGACGAAATGACGCGCATCATTTGGAAGTGGATTAAAGACAAGCTCATCTTTCCATACCTGTCTCTTCCAATCAAGTACTATGACCTTGGTGTTGAGTACCGGGACAAGACGAACGATCAAGTCACGATTGAAGCTGCTGAAGCGATCAAAAAGTATCATGTTGGTATAAAGTGTGCGACGATTACGCCTGATGAAGCTCGGGTGCAAGAGTTTGGGTTGAAGCAAATGTGGAAGAGTCCTAATGGGACCATTAGGAATATTTTGGGGGGAACGGTGTTTAGGGAACCCATCTTGTTGAAGAATGTGCCGAGGTTGGTCCCTGGATGGAAACATCCGATTATTATTGGACGTCATGCGTTTGGTGATCAGGTATGTTTTTTTTTTTCTCACTCTTTTTCATGTCCCTCGACTTTTTTTCCGTGGTTTCGTTGACATGCACTCTAAACACGTTCGTTTTACAGTACAGGGCCACCGACTTTATTGCCGACGAGCCCGGAACATTTGAAATGACCTTCCGCCCCAAATCCGGCGGTCCACCCAAAACCTTTACCGTCTACGAATTCCAAGGCCGCGGCGTCGGAATGGGCATGTACAATACCGACGAATCCATTTACGGATTCGCCCAGAGTTGCTTTGAAATGGCGCTTGCCCGTAAAATGCCTCTGTACCTCTCGACCAAAAACACCATTTTGAAAAAATACGATGGACGATTCAAGGATATTTTCCAACAAGTCTACGAAAAAGACTATGAATCGTCCTTTAAGGCCGCTGGTATCTGGTACGAACACCGCCTCATTGACGATATGGTCGCGCAAGCCCTCAAATCCCCCGGAAACTTCATCTGGGCCTGCAAAAACTATGATGGGGACGTTCAATCCGATACCCTTGCCCAAGGCTTTGGATCCCTCGGTCTCATGACATCAGTCCTCTTGACGCCCGATGGCAAGACAATGGAATCCGAAGCGGCTCATGGAACTGTTACGCGTCATTATCGGGAACACCAAAAGGGCAAGGAAACGAGTACGAATTCCATTGCGAGTATCTTTGCTTGGTCAAGGGGATTAGCTCATCGTGCGAAATTGGATGGGAATGATCGGTTGAAGGCTTTTTGTGCCGAGTTGGAAAAAGCTTGTGTCGAGACGGTTGAAAAGGATAATATCATGACCAAGGATTTGGCCTTGTCGATTCATGGACAGGGGTAAGTCAACCTTGATGTCAGTGGTACATTTCGTACATTTGCTCATGGTTTGTTTTTGGTATAGTTTGAAACGTGAGCACTATGTCACCTCGGAGGAATTCATTGACCACGTTGCCAAGCGCCTTGCAGGAGCCCTTCAATCGCAAGCTAAATTGTAAAACCGCACACAACACACACTTTTATTTTTTTTTTTTGTAGCGTGCATTGCATGTAGAACCAACAAGATAGTATTTAGAATCCATGGCATGATGTTTAATAAACCATTTACATAACCAACACTTTTGCAAAATTTTTTTTTTTTATAAATTCACTAATCCATCTGTTATGGACCGTTTCCCATCCATAAGAGTCTTTAGTGGTGTTTTTGGAGTCTGACCTCGTTGTCGTGGTGTTCCAGTTTTTCCAATCCACGGCGACGAACCTCTAGGTGACGCATATGAAGCACGTAACTGCGAATCCCCACTTTTTTTACTCTTGCTTAACAAGTGTCTTGCTGCTGGTGATAATAATTCTGAACGGGTAGGTTCCCTCAAAGGTGTTTTAGGCTGTCCAAAAAAATCCGGTCGTTTGCCCTTGTTTGCTTTTTCCGCCAATTTCTTTCCAATAATTTCTCGTCGTGGTGTTGGAGGCATTGAAAAGCCTTTTCCATCCATTAAGAGGGGTGTGCCTTCTACTGTTCCCCACGTTAACAATGCCGATGGATCAATCGTATCGTTCAGGACGGGTGTCGAGGGTACGAAACTGTATCCATTCACGTTTGGACTGTTTTGGGGGAGTAGGCCTGGTGTTGCTTTTGCTAAATCCCGCCACACGTCCTGAGTTTTCTGTCGTTCCATTGTTGTAGTGTCACTTGTATTTGTATTGGATGGGAATCGGGTACTATCATGTGAAATCGCTTTTGGTTCTCCTCGTCCAGTCTCGATCGCCGTGGACCCATCCACGGATGGATAATACATGAGGGAATTCTTTGCAGCGTATTTCCACTGTTGGATTCTTTTGGCTTCTTTTTCGTTATCGGGTGTCGTACCCAATTGAAGAACTCGTGTCTCTTTATCGTAGATCCAACTGTATTTTTTGCGTTTATCGTCGTTGATGCGGGTTATCATGTTATTAAACGATGCATTGTCTTCGCTTGTGTACCGCGACTGAAATGCGTCCAATGACATGTTGGTATTCACCGGTATCGTATCCTTTTCCGCTGTATCCGTTATGGACGTTTGAATGTCACCGCGATCCACCTGGTTTAATTCATCGCCTAATACCCTAACAACCCCATATTCCCCATTCTGAACGGCATCCAACAACTCATTCTGGAGTTTTATTCGTTTTAAATGTGGAAAGAAATCTCTTTGGATTATTTTTGAGAGGGATTCGACGTATGTATCTTCTTCGAGGACGTCTGGTGTGCGTTTTTGGGATTGTGTTGGAGTTGGGGTTGATTGTTGGATTAGAGATGTGGATTGGGTGGGTAATGTTTGGATTGTGGAGGGGGGAGATGTTGTGGGTGGTTGTGTTGACGAGGACATTGACGAAGACATTTGGTCAGTGTAGATTTGGACTGAATGGAATAAACAAGCTTTGCTGCACAAAGTACGCAGTCAGGAGCTCACATCCTACACGTGACAATATTCTGTCAGCACAGGTTAATGTGAATCGAATCACTCCCCCCGGTGTGGCGCGGGCTGTCTCGTTATTATATAAACGCGCGCTTTTCACGTATGTTTTTTCCCACCCATCTTGACGCGAAAGAATTCATATCGAGTCCTACTTTGAAAGGAATCGACCGCTGGATTGGCACTTGGGTCCTTTTGGAGTATTAGCGGGCCTCTGAACATGCTCTTTTGCTTGTTTCTTTCCCTGTCAATGGTTGCATTGTGACGCGAAACAACACCTACCAAGACGGGATGTGAAAGTTCCCACACATGTAGATTTTCCAAAGAGTCATATTTGGTGAGTGTTTGTGTCATATTTGGCTGGAAAGCAAGGTATCTAAATAGTCACACTTGTAGGTTGCAAAGCATCACCACGAGATGTCAAATTCCCACGCACGCATTTTCAATACAGGATCATTGGTACCCTAGGAGTAACGTCAGTATGTTTGCAATGAAATCCTTTGCTGCGTGTCAGTGGTAGGTGGTGAAGGCTGTTCGTGTCCGTACCGGGCCGCTCATTCCTGCGGCGCACGCTGCTCGGACCAGCCACTCCAGGACCACTGGGATCACAAGAGTTCCCCTGCGAATAGGTTGTAATCCTGGTGCAATGCTGCCTCGGTTGCAACCGACTGCCCACAGGAGGTCGGAGGATCCTGACATTTGTCTCGGTCCTGGGAACTCTTCCAGTGCACGTCCTTCACCATTATAAACTTGCCATTCATTACGCCGTATCTGCAATACCATATTAAGTGTTGGATACCCATGCCCCGTTGGTATTCTGGATGCGCCGGTCTGGCAGTTTCACCACTGGCACGCTGTGGAACAGTATCACTCACGTTTTTTCATTCCGATTATTTTAGATAACCCCGCCGCGGCGGCAAAGGCATGCTGTGAAGTTGAAATAACGTAGACACCGGTAGCCGCCGGGGAACAGGAAAGCGAATACAATGCGCAGCCGTCAGGTCATAAACGGATTGATGACGGGGACGCACAGAACGGCCACTGGCTCTCGCACTGCTAGTTTAAAAATCATTTACGCATCGCCTGAAGCAAACTTTACTGTGGTGAGTCTACTGAAATGCACACCTAAAAATATGACGAGTCTATCCAGTGATTAGGAGCCTCTTCCGATGTGGGTGGTCTCACAGATGGGGTGGAGCTGGCCATTTCCGCGCCAGATGTTGTTGTCGCAACAACGTGTACGCTCCAGCAGGTTACTGCGAGGAGTGGGGTGACTTGCTTTGACCTCCCAAGGCAAGTCATCCCACTCCTTGAGCCGAGCACTGTGCGAGAAATCGCGGGGATTAAGGAAGTCATCCTACACGTGGTGGATTCGTTGAGATGATGGATGGATGGTACATCCATAGCCGGGAAACCCCTTTGGATGCCGATCCACCAAACCATACAACTAGTATCGACTATTTCATCGGACAGATAATGGGAACACAGCAGAAACACTTGTCCGATGAAATAGTCGATACTAGTTGTACAAAGGCCTGACCCGGTTGCGGTTTCGACCTAGCTTGGAGGTCTAGCATAAACCTCGGCCAGAGTTTGGTGACCCTATACCTGTCGGTGCAGGCGGTATGTAACTCCAAAGCGTTAGTCCTAGTCATGCCAAACTGCTTACTCTATAGGCTGTCAACCCGTTGTCTCATGAGGAAGTTGAGGGAAGGCGGGCGGCTATTAAACATGTTCTCACACGTATATGTATGAGCGTATGTGTGAGAACATGTTCCATAATCGCCCACTGTCCTTGACAAGATTGAGGGTGATTTTGGCTGTCATTCGAACGTGACTGGCTGGATGCTCGCCTCATTTCTTTTACTCTTAATTTAGTTACCACTGCAATTTTGACGAGCTCTACGTCCTGGTGTACGTCGGGTGTGAAGCGAATACAGTAATCGCAACTGGGTATTGCGGAACTCTGTTGAATGCTACCCGATGCTTCTCGTCGACTGATCTGGTCAAATGAGTCAGGCATTATCGCTTGTCGGTTGTACCCGCACGACCTGTTGGCGATGTTCCTGACCAAATCAGCTACTGTTGAAACAATGGTAGCGAGTCTTCTCTTCTCCCGACGACCCATGATGTAGGTAAGGTCTGTCATTTAAGCTGTCCAGCAGCATTTTGATTGCCCATGATGCCTGCAGCCGCATACAGCATGTTCTGTATTGGTCGCACAAAGATGGACACTATCTTATTTTGAAAGATGGCGTATTTTTTGTGGAGGAACCATGATTATATTTGCTGTAAGACGTACTGAGGAGATACAACGTCCTCGACGGACGCTTTACTTTATCGTGGAACTGGATTAGCTTGCCCAATAGCCCGAGTGGGAAAGCCGGGGCACCAAATGCAGGTTCAACATTGTATATGCAAGAAAATAAGAGGTTGACAGACAATTACACACTGTTGCACAGTCAAACCATCTTTTACAGTATCCGTATTAGTGCACCCCAATAAATACCTCCCAAAATTCTTGTCAAAGCATGCAGTAAACCATTAACTAGGGTGGAGATGTACCGGGTCCAGCACAACCGACTCCAGACAACTTACTTTATAAGATTGGATATTGCAATGGGTAAGATGTGGACACTTGTCTGGGGTATTCCCATGTCGCTTTTCCAACAAGCTAGACATGACAGCACCAAAACCCGGCGTACACACACTTCGGTGCTGTACATTGCGCGATCAATGCCGCTTCCAACAGGGATGGAAAAAGGTTGTGCAACGTGGGCAAAGCAGTCGCATCCTTCAAATCGACCCAAAATATACTGATACGAAACAAAAATATTCGTCCTCCCTACGGCGGCCCATCTCACAAAGGAGACTAGTGTCATGAAAACTATGGCATCAGAATACAGCGCTTAGAAATAGAATTACCGCTTTGCGTACTCGTGATTCAGTGGTCCACTTGGTCATGTAGTCCGACCGCAGAGCGACTCTAGTCTCGGTCCGGGCGGTCGGGGTCCTCGGGTGTAAGGGCCCCCCCCAAAGGGTTTCGGTCCCTTCGGCTTTTTGGGATTGTTTGTACTCGCATCCTTGATTTGGGTGTCATGGTTGAATCGTTAATACAGGGGAGGGGAACACGGACAACCGCCCCCCCCCCCCCCCCCCTTTTTATAAAGATTGGGGATGTCAGTTGTTCGGGACAAAACGGGTTCTAGCAGCTGTTGAGTCAATTTCAATTATATCTATTTGGATAGTTTGTGGCCTGCCATCTCCTTCATATGCACTTTCCGAAAGCCGGTTGCATTCATTGGTCATAAAGCATAGCAGGAACTTGACAGCTCGCCATAGGTAAGCATGCAACCACAATAGACAATTGAACGGTTAAAGTTGTTTAGTGTAAAAGGGTGGGCATGTCAAGTCTCTGCCAAATTCAAATCAGAGCAGCTTGACGTGAGTGTATGCTTGCGGTTAGGGCGTGGATCCCCACATGAGGGGCTTTTGGTGCTCGAGTTGATTGATACAGTCCGAGTGATGGTTGCAGTGGACAATCAGACATGCTAAAATACTTGTCATCAAGAGCTCGGTGAAAAGGTAAACAGGTTGGGAGTCGTATGACAAGTCTTATACCATGGCTTCTAGGACATTCAGCTCTAACGATGCTCTAGGCCATCTTTGGAAAGTCCAAAACGCGATGATTATCAAAGCATGAGTGATTACATGATCAGAGACACACAGAGACACCGCTGCGTGGCAGCCAATCAGCTTGCTGGAGAAAGAGTAGATTATCTAATCCATAAACACGAATATAAAAGACGCCTCCCCCATCTCCCCCCCGCCTCTTGCTCAGCTCTGATTTTTCTCTTGATTTTTGGAGCGATATCTTTTTTTGCTATTTTTTTCACCATGCCAAACTCCGTTAAGTCTAACGCGTCCTCGTAAGCATTCTTAAACATTTCGCGCTCAATTTTGCTTTGTTCTGATGTTTTATCTGTTCTGTTTTCACAGCAAGAATGGCCGTAACTACAGGCTTAAGCTTGTAAGCAATGACATTGTTGTGGACCGTCAGTCCTTCAACCGCTTGCTCAAGGAGCGCCGTCCCCGGGATCTCGTGATCCCGCCCCCCTCTCCAGCTGTACAGGCACTGGTAGAGCGTCTCTTGGCACGACGCCAAGTGTTGAAACGTGGCGCCTGTCTTGACGTAAGTACTATTGTACTTACAAAGACCGCTTTCATGGATCTGCGCCTGACAGCTTTTGGAATTGATCCATCTAGCTTGAACAGGAAATGCCAGCGTATTTTGGCGACAACCCTGTTGTCCCGAAAGAAGTCAGCGATACCCTGTTTGATGTTTATGCTGACACCGACAAGTTTGAGGGTACGTTAATAGCTTCATTGGAGAATGAGCGACAGGGATACTGATCTTTGGCGGCTACAGCGCAGCATGAGGTGGAATGGGCTCGGGTAAAAGTGCCCCTTCTCTCCATGTTGAACCCGGGGGAGGTCTTTAACCATGCCTCGTAAGTAGTCGTACATTCTAGTTCAAGCAATGAGTCGCTTCCGTTATTGATGCATCGTACACTACTACAGCGAGAGCCATCTGCTTGTCCTACCCCCAGGCACTGCTGAAGGACTGGCCCGGCCGAAACCCGACCTTTTACTCGGGTTCTATCGGCTGGGTCGCGCCAGTTACCGCCGGAACGCGTACACACTGGTGACCAGCAATGTTCTGCCCATTCGAGCCCAGTGTGGTGATGCCGATGGCCCCCACTTCCCCTTTTTTGTTCAAGAACGAAGAGCGGATAGAGGGACGGCGCTCGAGTGTCTGAACCAGCTGCTTGGCGGTCTCAGGACTGCCATGTATGCCTGGGAAATGGTACTCGAGCGGCAGAACATTGCCATCGTGGGTATGACGTTGGTGGGGTTCTACTTCAGCCTGTACGTGATGGGTTATGGCGAATGTGACGGCGAGGGCATGGTAAGAATTGTGTTCGCGTACTCCACTCGTACGCCACTAACATCCAACCGTTTTTGTAGTACGTAGCCTATCACATCACAGACTACTCTATCCTTGTGGATAGAGACTTGCCTCGTCTCATGTCTCTTATGGTTGCCGTGAAAGAGGAAGGGTTACGGCTCTTCAACTTTCTGTTGACCATCAAGTGGCAAGACTTGCAAGGTAGTCTGGATGATGGCGACAATGTGCCCGACCCCGATCCTGAGGGCGATGAGGAGGATGACGAGCGCGACAACGACCGGGCGGGGTTGTCCGAGCCCCGGCACAAGAAGCGTCGGCTTCGCCGTGCCGGAGCGAAGGATCCGGTCGTCGATAGCATCGCCAAGGTTCAAAGTTGGCTTCCTTTGGTAGTCCGACCGGAAGGCCCAGGCGCTGCTCCTGGAGCGGAGGATCTTGAGTGATGCCTCCCTTCGGGTCGTGATCGTTGGAGCCACCCGACTTTCCGTCCTCGAGGTAAGTCATTCCCGAAGAGGACGTGGTAGAAACTACACAGCGCAGTGGCCTAGCGGCTGGGCGAATCTGTGGGGCCACGCTGAGTCTGTGGGGCCACGCTGAGGGAAGTCGATATCCATCGCGCGATACGGTAGCAAGTTCACAGCGCAGTGGCCTAGCGGCTGGGCGAATCTGTGGCGCCGTATTCCCGCCCAAAGGACGTGGTAGAAACTACACAGCGCGGTGGCCTAGCGGCTGGGCGAATCTGTGGGGCCACGTCGAGGGGTTCGATGCTCAATCGTGCAATATGGTAGCAAGTTCACAGCGCAGTGGCCTAGCGGCTGGGCGAATCTGTGGGGCCACGTCGAGGGGTTCGATGCTCAATCGTGCAATATGGTAGCAAGTTCACAGCGCAGTGGCCTAGCGGCTGGGCGAATCTGTGGCGCCATGCTTTGTACGCATTTGGGTTAGTCGTTTTTGGGCTTCCAAAAGCGACTCTCGGGAGCACTTCGGCCGTTTAGAGGTCTAAACGGTGGGGGTGTAATGCAGCTGTACCCGTCCCAAGCCGGGGGCTCGTTTCTTTACGAAATGGGAATGCAGAGGGCACCTTTAAGTGTGGTCAATAACCCAAAACTGGCGGATTATATGTCAAATAGGCAGTCGTTGTAAAAGTGACGACACTTCAATCCAATCTAACTGGCACCTCCATCGTTACATTGCACCTATACAATAAAAAATCTGTCTCTAATCTAATCACCCTCAAACTTTCCGGTGAATCATGGCATCTCGGGCTGCGCCCACACCTATCCACTCAACCTTGACCCCACTCAAAAGCTCTTCTACTCTTGCCACGTATTTTTGAGCATTGAGCGGGAGGTCTTTAAATGTCCGGCATTTACTAATGTCCTGTTGCCAGCCAGGAAGGGTCTCGTATTCCACTGTGCATTTTTCGAGGACGCGGAGATCGGCTGCCAAAGCAAAGAGTCTATGATCCTGTTTACCTGAATGACACATAATAAAGTCCTGTAATACATACCTGGGAAGCTGTCGAGCCTTTTGCCCTCATATATGTACGCAACTCCAATCTTCACTTCAGGCAATTGGTCCAAAACATCCAACTTTGTGAGGTTGATACTGGTTTGATGAAAGTCCATCAGTCTCATTCTCAGCATACCCGTCTTGACTCAAGATCCTACCTTGTGTAATCATTTATCATTTGAGAGTATCGCAGCACCACAACATCCAACCACCCACAGCGCCTCTTCCTTCCGGTCGTTGTACCAAACTCTGCTCCAACAGTCTGGAGGTGTTCCCCAATATCCTAATGGCCACATATCCTCAGTCAGGTATGTGACAGGCTCGAAACAAAATCAGTCACTCACATTCAACTGTTCCGTGGGGAACGGTCCCGCTCCGACACGGGTCGTGTACGCCTTTACAACGCCCAACACCTTGCCAATCTTGCTAGGTGGAATTCCCAATCCCGTACACACTCCGCCGACAGTGGTGTTCGATGACGTGACATAAGGGTACGTTCCAAAGTCCAGATCCAACATCAAGGCATTGGCGCCTTCCACCAGCACCTTCTTCTCAGCTTGAATAGCATCATAGACATACTTGATGTTATCGACAACGTATGGGCGGAGTTTCTCGGCCAAATCCTTATACCGCGCCAATTCAGCCTCCACATCGTATTCAAAGTCACCGTACCGCCTCTTCCGGTTCGTGACAAGGTTCCTAAACTTTTCTTCAAACTCTTCAAAATGGTAGAGGTGGTGCACGCGGAGACCACTGCGGGATGCCTTTGAGCTGTACGCTGGGCCGATTCCCTTTTTCGTTGTACCAATTGACCCGCGGCCGAGCTCCACTTCTTTTAGACCGTCGACAATCTGATGGTAGTCAAAGACCAAATGGGCGCGTTCCGAGAGAAACAATCGGCCCGTAGCGTCCAGACCTAGATACCGACATATCCGATCAACGGCTTGTAAGCTCACACACAAAGTCGGCTGCCGTACCTTTCTTGTGCAGATTTTCGAGCTCCGCAAAGAAAGACGGCAAGTGAACAACAACGCCGTTTCCAATCACCCCAACGCATTTCTCATTAATGATACCGCTTGGAAGCAAGTGGAAGTCGTACTTGACCCCATTGACGACAATCGTATGCCCCGCATTGTTACCACCCTATCAAGCAAATACTATAAATTATATTGTCTCTCATAGTACGTCAAAGCCGTCTCAGCACGCGATCTTGAGCGATCTCTACGCAAAATCAAAAAGCCAAGCACCACCCCTTCTCACCTGGCATCGACAACACACATCAATCTCTTGTGCAAGAATATCGACTAATTTACCTTTACCCTCGTCGCCCCATTGAGCACCCAAGACGACAGTAACCTTGCCAGTGGGTAGAACCGATTGCGACGCCATGTTTTCAAAGGATTTCAAAGTTTAATGTTTTGAATGAGCTTTGCAAATGTCGTCCCGGACCAAGTCGCGTCATTTCCCATCGCTCCCCATCTTTGGTTGGTGTGGCTTGGGAGATTGAACTCTGGGGAACTTGGCAACATTTTCACAGTTTGTGAGGTCTGCTCTACATGGGGCATCTGTGAACGAGTGCAATGCAATAACACAACAAGGACAAAGGGCATTCGTTTGGTGAAGACATGAGCGTGCGGCTCATCGTCTTGCGTTTGAGATTTCTGTCGTATCTTCCAACTTTGCCAGGAACTTTCGGGCATTGTGTGTGCAAAGAGTGGTGACCCAGTAAACCTTCAGGGCTGCGGGAACGTAGTGATATATGGCCATTTGTTTGTTCAATTAAACAGTAAAGCATTGCAAAGGGCCAACCGTATAGGTCATGACCACTGTCCGTAGCTCTTACACCATAGTTGTGTGAATGATTTCCACCTTGTTTGTTGGCAAGAAATCGTACCAGAACAGCTGCCTGATAGAGTCAAAGAAACCACAAAAGTTCATTTGTAGAGTTCTTCCAACTTTCGATATTTCAAAAAGGTGTCACTAGCAATAATTTCCCAGATGGGATTGGACGTGACGACCTGGTTGCTTGTTAACCGCGTTACATTCACCTACATCGAATCCAATCCCTCCTCATCCAAGTCGCGCCCCACTTTCCCTCCACCAACTCCATATCCACAAAAATGAAGATGGTACGCATACCGCCTCTCCCATACCCCCTGCACAACCACTAACCAAATGCCCTCCACTGATCTCGTTACACGCACTAGCTCAACCAAGAAGAAGAAGCCGATGCTGAAGTCACCTGGGAAGATCAACAAAATATAAACGCCTTCTCCCGCCTAAACATGAAGCTACAGAACCTTGAAGAAGCATATGAAGAGAAAAAGGTCCTTGGATGCTTTTGGAGCACGTTGTAAATGTTGCTGTCTGAACGCGATCTTGTTTTTTGGTGTGTTTTAGAAGGAGAAGGAGTATTTGGATGATCTTTCAAGCGAGTTGGAGTTGGCTGATGAGGATGAACTGATAAAGTAAGCGATATATGCTGGAGATGGTCAGCAGAATGTGACCGATAATCACTGAAACTGGGGGAAACGCAGGATACAGCCCTTTCAATCGGTCTTTGAAATCGATAAACTGACAATGTATGCTTCTCATCAATTCAGATACCGCATCGGAGACGCTTTCGTCTCCCTCCCCCTCAGCACTTGTCAAGAGCGTATTGAAGAAGAGCAATCCAACCTCTCCGACGAACTCGGACAAGTCAGCTCAAGAATTGGCGACATCACCGAAAAGATGAATCAGCTGAAAGTCATCCTGTACAAAAAATTTGGAAACTCCATCAACCTTGAGCGATGAAATGTGAAATACTCAGTTTTCAATAAAAAAATAAACAAAAACAAATACTTCAATTTTTAACCCATTGCGTGACATAAATGCTAGGTTCAGTTAATGTACAAGTGTATCCTCTACTGCAGCGCTCTTTCTACTGTTCAACGCCAGGTGCCTGGGTCTGGTCGAACACTCTAAGAACCAGACCAAGCGAAAAGGGATTGGATCATGGTACTTTGCTCCAATTTCGGCATAGTCCGAGAAGGGTGCGACATGCCTTTCCGGCTTCTACTCGAAGAGAAAAGTGTTTCCAGCTTCCTTTTGCGAGGTGGACTAACCGGGCATCATGGTGTGTGATGGGTTTGCTTCCCATGTTCCCATAGCCTTCGGGTCGTCCAGGGCTAATAACATTTGACGCGAACAATTAGATCATTGCTCATCAGAAAGCGGAAGGCGTACCCATAAGAACGCACCTGAAGCCGGTAATGGGCAGAACCAGCACATCCCGAACCGTCTTCGACCGCCCACCATCTTGAAGTCCACTCAAAGAATTCCAATTATACTGGCCCTCCTCCTCCACGTAATCAATTAGGACGTTTGTCCATCTATAAGGTCCTGTGAGCTGCAACGCATCCGCCCCTTGTAGTGTCCCTTCGCTTGCCATTTGGTCTGCTGCTTTCGCCACGCTTTCGAGCATGTTGCTGAAAGCAGGATGCCCAGCTGCTCCAGCCAGAGCCCATTGGGTGAGTTCCACTGGATGGTCATACCCCATTCTCCAGTAGCTGTCTGAATCCACTGGTGTGTCCGCCTCAATACCGACAAGGAGGCGAATAGGAGTATTGGGTTCAACAGGATGTAGCTCTCCATTGATGGGATCTCTCCAGGAGGTCACGTCGGTTGAGTTGACCCATTGGGATGGCCGACGTAGAGGCTTTGTATCGGCATCAGCATACTGATAACGCATATTAATCATCGGTCTGAGGCTCATGAAACATTAAATGCGCCCCAGAGACTCACCACTCCTCCAAACCACTTCAAAACGAATATGCGAAAGGTATCTGCCCGCATTACGTTGGCGGGCAATCTTCGGTATCCCTCGTGCCATTGCGGCCATAGAGTTTTGATTGCATTGTCCATGCCGTCGTCATCCCACATGAAAAAGGCAGCATCCTCTCCCTGAGTCCAATTCCATACTGTATGATCGGGGATCGTTTTGCGTAACTGAACATCTGACATGTCAGACGAAGGAGGTTCTGCTGCCCACAGCCAACTTTCTACGCAGTCAAGCATCGCATCGGGCCATTGCTGTGCGCGAGTGGTTTTCCATGTTTGATGTATAATAAGAGGGATTTCCGTATGGGGTATCATGCGCCGCGAATCAGCTTTTGCAAGGTATGCAGCGAGCTGTGCGGCTTCCAAAATGGTGGCTGGAGTTGGGTTTATGTGTTCAGGTAAATCGGTCACATTATGAAGCCAGGATTCCGGGATTCTCCAACCTGAAGATGGTTATGATAGATCAAAGGTCAGTTGAATGAAATATTGCAAAAGTGTAAGACGTGGGCTACAGTTTGACCCACAATACTTACTTCCTCCAGCGCCAGGTTGATAGAAGATTCGACGTCGGATCAGCGGTGGTAAAGGCTTTGACGAAATTTCCGTCTCCCCTTGTCTTGCTCCAGTACATAGCAGGAACACCACACAACACAGCACCAGGACAAAACCCAACCGTTTTGCAAAGCGGTTGCAGAACGACGGCAACGTTCGCTTTAACGATTCGGTCCCAAACCAGGAAGTAGAGCCGCACCGTTTAGTACTTGTTACGGCGGGTACCGGTAGATATCCCATTTCTAAAGTCAAGCGGGCAAAATGTCCACCCACTAGACCTTCCCCTTCCACTGAAGGGAGACGATGCAGGCCACCACGCACACAAAAGACTCTTGTCCCAGCTGTAAATGTTTCTCGGCTCTCAAGAATAAAACAACAAACAAAACAAAAACAATAAAACTAGTAACTTTGGAGGTTTCCGTTTCGAAGGCGAAATTATTGGCCGCCCAGCCCCAAAACCCAAAAAACGCAGAGCCCAAAAGCAGCGGGGGGGCCAAATTCTAAGTGATTTTAATTGAGAAAGTTCCCCTCCGCGCTGTGCCCATAAACAGCATTGCTGTGCCATCTAATACCGTGATTGTGCCACCGTCTAAATGGGCGCGTCCTACTGACGACAACACCTTACGTACGCAAGACTCCGATTCCCTGCAAGACCCGCCTCCCTTCGAGAAGCGCGTCCTTTGAGTTGTCATCGTGTTTTGCCCTGGCATGCTTGGATCGGGGACCAGGGATTGTTTGGATAAACATAGCACTTTGGCAGGTGCTTACATAGCATAAACAAAACAAACAAAACAAGGGACAACCTTAAAAAATTATTGATATCTCATCTCGATCTGTCACCTCTATTAAGTAGAAAAGGTTGATGAAAAGCCTCATAAAGTCGACGAACTTTCTGCTCTCCAAAACCGGGGCACTGTGCTAGCTCCTCCTGGCTGGCTGACATGATGTTTTGGAGAGACTTTTTGACAAAGGTCATTAAACAGATAGATGTCTGAAAAACGCAAGGAAAATACCTACCCCAAACGCGGATGCTAGAGTGAGCACGTCAGTTTTGTTGACAGATTTGACTTGAGTCAATGCATCTGTCAACTAGATAGAGAACATGGTTGGCGTCAATCAAATTATTTGTCAATCAAGAAAGGACAGCCTGATTACCTTTGAAAGATAGTCCGGATCTACACGTTCTTTGATCAGATCGGGTGGCTTGTGTTCGTACGCTTTAAAGGTCTCCAAGTACCGGCCTGCCTCCTCTTGGCTGAAAGATGCCCAGTTGAATACATTGGCATATTTAAACAATGATACTGTACACTAACCTCCAAGCAAGAATTAAAGTGATATTATTATAAACACATATTCGGGTCAAGTCGCGGATACTAGCTTGGTGATCTTCCTATGTGATAAGGAGATATTGGTGCAATGCTGCTGATAGCACAAGAAAACTACATGACTTACGATGTCAACCAAGCACAGCAGTATACGTAGGAGATAGTGGTGTCCAAGCTGCCGGATTCTTGTATAGACATACTCTGGATGCAGGCGATGATACTTTAAACTGAAAGCCTCGTGACTAAGGAGACGAGTGATCAGCAAAACATCCTGGAAATACCTCAGAAAGAGGGCGCAACTTGTCATTCCAACTTGGTAATCAGGTATAATGTCCCCATATTCCCATGGTACGTTTTTGATAAAGTTGAGAACTCCGTTCCCTCGCTGTAACGCAGTATTAGTACATTCGCAGTGCTTTGCCAATGCGGTGCTATAAATGCTACCTGACAACTATTTACTACAATAGAATGTGTGCCTTTGGAGCGCTGAGGTGCCGATGTGCTGTTTGTTCGGGATACTGTTGCCGGAGCTGGTCGTGGTCGAGGCCCTGAATTATTACCCAACCCTCCTCTGTTTGTGGCCGGCTCCCGAGGTTGTGCTGACGCTGGCCGGATTAGCTGACCAGGTCCAAAGGTTGGACGTTGAAATGTCATGTCAGCAGGTTGCGGTGCCTGTAGCGGTCGTGAGATGGGTGAACCGAGCGCTGCAGTCTTGGCGGTAGTAAGGTTGGAAGTGGCTCCACCGGACGTTGATGATTCTTGAGCATTCGTAGCTCGTGTGTCCATAGCCAGGCCCGTTGGTTTGAAACTTGGAATTGCCGCCTGGTTTTGCAATTCCGTTTGGCGCAGCTGGATCTCGCTAGCAGAAGGAATGCGGAAGCGGGGCTGTTGCGGTGCATTCTGCCGATCGCCCATTGTGGGTCGCTAATTACAGGCGAAACTGTGGCACTTGGCTGTACTGGTGAAAAATGGGGAAGTCGGCAATGGTGATCTACTGCATGTGAGGCAGGGAATGGTAATTAAACTCTGATGAAACTGATGACGCGACTTGAACTGACAACCCGACTTCTAAAGAATGGGAGATGCAGGATGCGGAAAACTACGCTTTCAACGCTTGCCCCACCGTCGAGCGTACCCCGCGATGCACCACTTCTAGTTTACTTATGCCATGGACGAGGATACGTATGGGACGTTGACAGTGAGTGTACTAACTTTCTGAATTCGAACTATCTAGAGAATTTGCTCAAGTCGAAGAACTTTCACAGCCGCACTGGCGTTGCGTACCCGCTATCATATCGTAGGAGCGCTGGTGGGGACTCTACCTCGGCTTCCGATGCAGAATACCTTCTTTTCCCTTCCCCTAGTGCTGCTGAGCGAAGAGATCACCGTTCTACTGGAAAGAGGTGGGCTGAGAGTACTGTCGGCCTAATGACGCAACATGGTTTTCTCATGTAGAATTGCAATGTCTGCTAGGGCTCATTCGTATAGTTGACGATTCTCGAGGGCACCTTATACCGCTAACAGAAGAGATTGAGCAATGGGCCGCGAAACGAGAAGCTGACAGCATAGAGTACGCGAATGCCAAGAAGCTGGCTGCCGAAAAAACCCAAAAAGCCATGAAAGCTGCATATGCAACCTCGCCGAGACAAAAGAGGAAAAAAGGACGCGGGATGCAGGAAGATGTTGAATCGGTGGCGGGCGTTGTCGAAAATCCCACTGCGGTATCAGATGAAGATACGTTGGACGGATCGGGATTTACCAGTACGACCGATGGTGAGGCGCATACTATCCCCTCATTGGACGCTCTGCAACACTTGTTCACCCCAAAATCGACGGACGCTAAGACAATAGCAGAGCCGAGCAGCTCGGACCATCACCGTGATCAACTCAAAGTTTCTATTGAGCCAACAGACACTGCCAACTCTAATCCTCTAACTCCAATAACGGACTTATGTCGGTCACTGGAAAAGCTGGACTTGCAACCTACGATAGAGGACGATAGGTCAAGAAGTGTTTCGGGATCAGAAGGGCGATCTGATGATGGGGATCGAACTTCCGATGTCCGACACGATGAACCCTTGCATGTTGATCGGATTGTCCCACCGGAACCAACAAAACCCGCCACACCGCCTTTGCCACCACTTCCTATATCTACACCCACTTCGTCCGCTACCCTGCCCTGGTTTGCCAGGTCCAACCCTGAGCGATCGAGTCTAGATTTTGCTCAAGCCCGTCTAACTGGCCTGTGGCAGTATCCGTCAACAGCAGAGGAGAGGCTACGATATAAAGTATTCTGCGCTCTCTGGGAAAAAGGATACTTTATAACAACTGGCAGCAAGTTTGGAGGCGATTACTTGATGTACCCAGGTAAGAATGGATATATGCTTACACCCGAAAAGGGACAGGTTCTTAAGACTCGATCTGCTTCTAGGTGATCCTCTACGATTCCATTCTCACTACGTCACATCTATTGTGCCTATTGATAAATTGTTTTCTCCGCTTGATGCTGTAATGTTTGGGCGGTTGGGTACAACGGTGAAGAAGTCGCATGCAGTGTGCTCGTGGGATGACGAGAAAGATGAGTTGGTTTGCGTATGTATACAGTGGACTGGGTGGAATTAGATGGTTTTGGCCAAATTAGAGGTCCAAAGCCGAGCGTGGAATGCCCATTATTCTTGGAATATCTACAGTAGCGTATCTACACGAATATTTACAGGAAAGCCGACAGGAAAAGCAATGTGGAAGGTAGGTACTATATCAGACCTGCTTGCAGATCTACCAGCTCAGCTCGCTTGCTATGAAGTTGCGTAGTGAACCGCTTAACGATATCTTCGAATCGTTTCTGTTGGAGTCAGCGGTTAGACCAATCCTTGTCAAGTTTACATTCAACGGTGTCGTACCCTCATGATGGGATTAATCTGCACAGCGAGCTTCGCCCTATTGTCCTCAATCTTGCTCTCCAAGTCTCTGATTTCGGCAGATAACTGATCGACTTGCTGCTGTAATTGAGCTTTATCGAGCTCCTCGTCACCTTCGGCATCACCTTCTCCACCGCTTTCTTCTTCATCCTCATCCTCATCTTCGGACTCTTCATCCTCGTCCTCTTCCTCATCATCATCTTCATCTCCCTCTGCATGCTCGGCTAGCGCTTCCTCCCATGCCGCTGTGAGGGCATCATCTTCTTCATCACCGCCCTCAGTTACGTCCATAGCCGTCTCTTCTTCCCCTTCTTCGTCTGGTGAACCTTCTGCATCTTCGTCACCTTCGTCAAAGCCTTCTGCTGTAATTCTGTCCGTTCCATCGTCGACCTCTGAGATTGTGATGAGGATATATTCAATCCTGGAAGTCGAGTTATCGTACGCTTACCAAAGAGCACATTTTCCGCTTGAGCATCGGCTTCCAATAGACGCACGACCTCCCTCTCTACATCTTCAATTGTCTTTTATGGCAGAATCTCAGCCTCATCAAAAACTGAGGACGCGACAGAACTAGAAAACTAACCCTTTTCGATATTCTCTTTCTAAACCTCCGCTTTCGTACATTCCACAACGGTGGCGTAAGCCCATGCGGCCAGGTATATTCGTCATGATGCAGGGGTTGTTGCGGTTCCTGCGGTGGTGTCGTTTGAGCTGGCCCGTCGACAACCAGCATTTGTGAAATATCCGCGACTTTGTAGAACTGCTTATTGTCCAATGTTTTATGCGATTCAATGATACAGGGGAGGTCAACGAGTTTGGCCCTGTAGCTATCCGCACCTAGGCGGAAAGTCGCCCGGCGTGGATCTGGCAAACGTAGGGTTAGGCCATGGTGACTGCTACGGGGACGTATCCAACTTGCCCACCATAAAAAGTTACGTTGAAGTCCTCTGGTATCTCACGTGCTTTCACCGCCTCTCGAAGTTTTTCTGCAGGCTCGCCTGAAGGCATGCGCAAGATAAAATGCTCTTCTACTGGTGCTTCTTCTTCATCTTCTAGCGGACCTTTTTTAGGTTTGATAGTTATCCGAGTAGGCCCTATCCGTGTTTGAACTAATCCTTTTGCGTTTTTCGGTTGCTTGGTGGATGGTGCCTTGGTCGCTACCATATTTTCATTTGGATAGTCGACGATCCAGCGAGAAGATATGCGAGAGCGGGAGATGTCTCGCTCAGTTCACAACGATGATGCACAGTCACGAAGCAGACACGTGATCGATGTGTCATACAGTAGAAGACTTCCCCCCATCCTACCGAACTCCCAACTCTCCGCTCGCCTCTTGACAATAAGCACCTATCATTTACGAAATGGCTGCAACAACCCAGACTGTTAACATCCTTCCACCGACGCTAACCTTGCGAGGACCTCGGATTATTCTTCGAACCCATGAAGTCCAAGACTATCCTGTTATACGCGATTTTCTCTCGGACCCAACAACAATGACATATCTACCCGGTCTCTTGAAAGAGTGGACCCTTGAAGAAGTCACTGAACGACAAGAATCACGCGTGGCGGACCAGAAAAAAGGATTGGGGCTCCCGCTTAGTGTTATCCTTCCGGGAGACGAGGAAACCTTAATCGGTACCTCAGGTTTTCGAACCCTTGACCTCGTCAAACGGTGTGCCGAATTCGGTATCATACTCCGTACAGGATTTCACGGAAAAGGATATGCGCAGGAAATCATGTTGGTGTTGTTTACCTACGGGTTCGAAGATCTTGGGTTAGAAAAAATCGAGATCGTCACATCGCAACGTAATATTCCGATGCGCCGCTGTCTTGAAAGATTAAGCATACGAGAAATCGGCGTGATGCAATGGGATGATCCGGGACCAATGGGTGATGAGGTAGCGTTTGGATATGCAGTACTTCTATCGGATTGGAACGATCTTAAATTAAGGCTACGTGGAAAGATCGAGGGGCGGTAGGTTATGGAATAGCGACGATGTACTAGAAAGAATTGAAAACGATAGAACACCTGAAGATAGAGCAGTATAGGACTCAATGTCTCTGTGACCTACAACATCGTAACTGTACCAAGATTGAGATGCTAAATAGATTTGGCTAGACTGTTTATTTCCAACGAAAGTAGTGTTTAGGGCCATCAGCCTCTTGGTCAAATACACTCGTCATACACTTTATGCACAGCATATCAATCAAGCCAGGTACTCCCAACTGATTTGGAAGCACGCTGTGGTATAAACAGGCAGGTCCTAGATCCGTCAGATAGTCCCAATTACCTGGCGGGCCCGAAGAACTTGTAGCACGTCAATATTCAATGTAACCTTATACTTGGATATTGGAACATTAAGTTACGGGATTTCTGGTTAAATTGTATGAAAGCGAGCAACCAAGAGATTTCAAGGCCAAGCTTCCAGATACCATAGAAGACCCCCAACCAGCTGGACTTATAGTCATAACTCTACTAATTATCGTTCAGTGTGATGGGCATCATTATTACATTATGCCATCCCGACATCAGCCCGACCATTAGCCAAGGCGAGAGTAGATTCCATTGATGATGCCTGCTGATTCTCTCGATCCTCTAGAGTTCCTAAGTAAGGAGCATTGCTAATCACGACATTGTGGACCTTTGTGACCAGATTTGTCACATTTCAGGGAACCCATATCACAAATTGGTGAGTCTGATCCCGCTTGCTTATTTCATTTCGCCAGATACAATTCAGCTCTGCATTGTGGCTTTCACTCACTGTAACGGTTAGAGTCTCTCTGCACTTAGGGATGACCAGAAGCTTTGCTTTAGATAGTTTAATTGTTCAAATCCATTTTCGGATGAGATCTAATATCCTTCTAATTAAATCCCAGTTGTGGTTCGACCAAGGCAACGTTTGATCGTCTCCGTTGTCAGTTGCTCCGCCCGAACGTTAAATGGACGCAAGAGCTGTTTCATTAAAGTTGTACGTTATTGGTCCGATCCTAATTAATCCATTTTTGGAAGTAATGGGACGGCACGCACATGTTGAGGGGGGGCGAGCTGATGTACCCAACTGTTTCGTTTTCCCATTTCTCGCATCCCGATTCTCGCATTTCGTTCAACACTTTCAATCGTAACATCACCTACACAGACGACATCTCTACTACCTCCCTATTACCGAAGCAAATATGTCACAACCGCAAGCAGGAAAGACTGCCCAAGTGCAGAACCAAGTGAATGAGGTTGTGGGTATTATGCAAGGTAACGTAATGCAACCTCTTGCACAAGTCAATTGTGATGGAGGGCAAATACCCTTACGCTCAGAACTCTAACAAACTCGGCTTTTGACTTAGATAATATCAACAAAGTGATGCAAAGAGGAGAGCAGCTCGACACCCTCCAAAACAAGACTGGTGAGCAGCCATATCAGAGTTGCTAACGCTCTCTGTGTCCGAAACAGTCCAAAACAGTGCTCTTAACACTCGCTCGTAGATGATCTTCAAAACTCTTCTTTGCAATTCAAGCGAGGAGCTAATCGCGTACGAAAACAAATGTGGTGGAAGGATATGAAGATGAAGCTTATTCTTGGAGGTGTCGTTGCGGCAATTCTGATCATTATTATTGGTACGTGGGCTTATAATGTCATACCCGTGAGTGGAAACTGGACATTGAAAGAGAAATTTCATGGTCACCTGTAGTATCGATTGTTGCGAGCAAGAAGAAGGACTGAAGAGAAGAATAATGGCGTCCTCTGCTGGCAGCCTATACCTGCTGGATATGCAGGGCATTTCGATCAGTTGGGCGCGACATAAGTGATCGTTTTTGTGGTTTCTTCCCGTTTTGAGCACACAATGTCGAGGTGCTACTTTTTGTACAGATCTGTAATTTTTGTCATTGCTTGTGTTAAATAAGAATGTGAACAGTAGATGTCCTATCCCTCCGCTGCGTTATCATTCAAGCTTCAAGCTTGCAAAAATAGCTGAGGAGGCCCTTTGAAAATCCCAATGCGAGGGGCTGGGGAGGGCACAGCGCGTTCCTGCTGGCAATGTGTCGCAGCCTGCTTGATTTGGTTTCTGCCTGAGTAACCTCCATTGCACTCCTCTCTTGGAGCGTACGCCCGAACGGCACAGCCCACGCACACATTGTGACGACCTTTCTTGTCCTGTGAAGAGTCGCCTGAATTGCGCTTGCTTCATTTTTGTGAAAGTCAACGATTGTAACAGTCGGAAAAACAATCGCCCCAACCGTGAAAAACTCCCTCGAACGCATCCTGCTTGGTTCGAAGACGTCGACAACAGTAGAGCCGACACCTTTTATCGAATTATAGAGAGAATCCTGTTTGGAGCATTCGGGGAGAGTTTCTCTTCACCGTTGAAGTGCCTGTCTTCTACTCAAGACAAGGGACTCCACGGCCCAAAAGGAGCGTTTGGGACAATTGTTAGAGCGGGTCCAATTTTGCAATAGGAGTACTACAGGGGATTTCCGTGCCACTTCCCCATTGTGGTGCGCCTAGCGAGTGCAATAGCCTCGACAGCCGGAGTCTAGCTGTCTTCTCGGCCTATACTTGAATTGCTGGATACCCCTTCCTTACGCACATCGACACTATAAATCACAAATATCACCACAATCACCATGGTATTGTTCATCCTCCCGCCTTTCCATGTTGATAATTCGGTGCTAATTTGCTCTATGAACAGATCGAATCTGTTGTAGGGCGGATCATCTTTTTCGCAACCCTAGTAGAAGCCATTATCATCATCGCTCTCGAATCCATTGTCGCAGCCATCTTTTGGAAATATTTTGATCCTGTGAATGGAAGAGAAGGGCCAACAAGAGGGATACCAGTATATTTAATCATCTTCATTATTGGGCAATTATTCCAGATATATTTGTGCTGGGATGCAGTGAGTTTGGTTGTTTCCGTTACAAGGACTGGAGTCTGGCCGCTCATATCGATTCTCTCTATAGGTATTGCACAAAAATACTATTCAAATTGTCGCCTTTGTCATGTTCAACCTCTGCGTCTGTCTTTACTCCATCTTTCAGTATACCCAAATGATTGGGTTGGTGGAGGACAATTCGGAACAGGTTCCCTTCACGCATTCAGATCAGGAAACTTTAAAAGCGGTCCTGCTGGCGATTCCAATCATTTTGGGCGCTTTTGGAGTTCTATTTGCGATATGTGCATGGAAGCTTTATCTTGAGTTTGGATGGAAGATATATAAGAAGATTGGGGCTGATCCTAAAATGAGAAGTGCGTTAGGACTGGATTGATATGCTCATTTGTGACATGTTGATATTCACACAATCTTTTCTGTCAGATATGTACCGCAGCTACCAGTTTTTCATCATGCTACTCAAGCTGGACGTCTTTTTCGTCCTCGGATTTGGCATTCAGTTTCTTGTTCTGGTTATTCAGAAGAACGACCCAGAATTTGCGCTGACGATAGCAGCACTGCCTATAATGATGTTGGTTCTCGTTTTAGCCGTATACGGGCTAAAACGGGAAGATAAATGGATAATGGGGCTATTTTGTTGTGGGGTTGTCCTCGCGATGTCGTACTTTGTCTTCAAACTTGTGAGGATTTACATGAGGAAGAATGAGCCGCAGTATAGTGATACGAAACACTATTTGACTTTCTTTGGTAAGGCTAGGCGGGCTGGGTACTGCTTTCATCTTTCGGACTCTAATCGCCTTTGTATAGCATGCTTGAGTTTAGCGGTCATGATAATGACTTTCGTAAATGCCATTGTATGTTACCGAAATTTTGGAAAAGGACTAAAAGAGCATATCCACGACTCGCGACGACAACGAGACGAGGCAGAATTCGCTGCCGTCTCTGCGACACGGAAGCCCTTGGAGGATTAACGCTGAAGGGCTGGTACGGATGAGAAGGATCCAGAACAATTCTGTCGGTCTTTCTCAGTTTCTGGGAGATGTACTTACGGATATCTGTATGGGATGTTGAGCCGGCGGGCTGTTGTACATTTTTTCATTGGACCTTTGGGTGCTCGGTCTTTGTCTCCTGAGAAATGGTTTCCCCATGTTTTTAATAATAGAATAACCCCTGCTTCTCTTAATCAGCATTTGTCTTATGGACTTGATAATTCGAAGGTGCATTATCAGGTTGTAGAAGGTAGTTGCACATCCCTGGGAGTTGTTGCTCCCCCAAAAATTCAACTGGAATGTCGTGGTAAATGGACGCGTCTGTGTATGACTCCCTTAACAGATTTCAAACTCAATGGCTTTCTCCCCAGAGCGATCATAGCAATCATGTCAACACCACAAAAGAAAACTCCGTCTTCTCCGCCCAGATCTCCCACTTCCCCCGCACGCCGCTCCAAGCGCACTCTCCAACAGCCCTCGTTTCGAACAAATCCTTGGGGAGCGTTGTTGGCGTTGATATCTTGGGTGACGGTATGGCTAGGGATCTACGTCCGGCTAGGATGGTTACGGTTAAACCATGTAGGTACTAAAGATACTATGCTCTACGGAAGGATACGGATGCATGAACTGACTCTTCATTGTCATGTGGGATCAATAGTGGATATCCGGATCTTCGGGAACAGAAACGAGACCATTCTCCAATTACAAGAATAAAATCGTTATTATTGGTAAGGGTTTGAAGACTGTGGCGAACATCTGTTGATCAACGCTCAAAGTCATCGGTGTCTTAGGAGATGACTTTGCGTTTGGGTACGGTGATTTTGTCACATCCGCTGGTGTACCTGGGTTGGCGGGTCACTTGAAACGGGTCCTCCAAAGTGATCGCTACAAGTTGAGACAGTCATGGATTATATATAATTGCGGTGTGATAGGAAGCACTTCAGCGGATTGGTAAGGATCTCCATCCAACGGTAGTGAGATTTATTTTTGTACGAAATGTGCTCATTCTCCTTGGTAATACTAGGTTGCCAAAAAGTGCAAAAGTTTGTGTCAGCGCCTGATGATGAACGATGAATAGAATACTGATTCGGTTATTGTAGGAGGCAAATAGCCCAAAAACGCAGTTTGAAAAGGTCTTTGATAATCCGACGTACGCAGATGCCGACGCCGTCGTTTTATTGGTTGGGTTCAATGACAGTCGGTATGTCTTTAGATGACAGCTCAGAGCATACTCATTGGTCGCAGCATTCCTTACATTGAGATCCTTTTGAATAGCAGCCAACCGGCACTCTCTGCCGAAGACACGGTCCACAACATTAGTGCAATTTGCCGTGTTCTCCGCAACATGGGAAAAGACATCTGGGTTTGTTCCATACCAAATAACGGGGAAGAAGCGAAGGGTGATGCGGCGTTGGAGGAGAGTATGCGACGTAATGAAATTCTATTAGGCTGGCTGGAAAAGTGCGTTTTTTCTTGATCTTGATGTCCGTTAGAGTTATTGCTAAAACTATGGGTGACAGCAATAAGGACGACATACGTAGTGGTCCACGTATCGACGTCATGCATTACGAGTACCGGCACAAGTCCTTTTGGTATGTTGACCAGGATCATCTATCGACCAAGGTGAGAATCTCGAGTGCGTCTCAACTCTCCACAGCTCTGGCTGATATCTACATGTTTTATCATTTTTAGGGATACAGGAAGCTGGCAAAGGATCTTGCCGACTTGATGGGAACTGCTCTGGTCAAGAGGGAATTTGCGAGATTTCGAAAAGATCTAGGGATGTGATAGTATGACCGTGGTAACGACAGATACCGTTGGAGGATCAACATACTTAGCCAAATCAAGTGCCATAGAAAAGGGGGTCTCAAATACATGGTGTTACGGTATGCCTACTGCTTAGAACCCGTTGAGGGCTGGTTTACCATATGAAATCAATTGTCATGAGCGTACATCTACGCCTAAGAACAAGGGCAGTAGTTGTGGATATTTTTCCGGAATGTGTCCGATATACTCTCGAAAATTCAGGGTGTAAAGTTCTGAAACCTACATCCTTTGGGTGCCAAAGGGACCCCCTTCTTTCCGGATCTCTATCAGCATCCTTCGATGCTTTAATTTTAAACTCATCGGAGGTCGATGATGTGGGTAGGCATAAATCGAACAAATTTCAACTGTAAGGAGACGGTGTCGTACTATCAATACCCTCTAATATTTCCTCACATTTGTGAAAGTTGGCAACTCTGTGGGGACATATTACCAAGCTAGCTTGTTTGAGACTCCAACTCCTCCGTTCGTCGAAGGCGAAGGAAGGCAAGTGTAAGCCCATCTTGCTGCCTTCCGATCGCCGTTATATGCACTCCTTTGCCAACTCCAAGAGCAATCCTTGTAAACAGAAATATCATGTGTGCTATCTGATGGACGTTTTTGAGTCCAAAATATCGAATATCGAAAATCACTTGAAACAAAGAGTACAACCCGTGAAAAGTCAAAACCGCGTTTTCCTTTGGATTTTTGCTTGCCTTGCTGCCGTTTTCCATTCCACCTTTTTTTTTGTTGAATTTGCTCTGCACATTTGAGTATTGCAACGTTGACTGAAGATACTGGTAGGCTGCGAGTCTACGACCACGTTCTCGTCATTTTCCCCGGCTTGTCCCCGTCTTTTACACCGCAAACCCCCTTTTTCATCGCGCAACCCAAGATAGCCCATTTGACCACGACACAATGTCCAATATCTCCGAGGACGACCTCCCCTTAACACCCACCTCCCCAACAGGAAGCTCAGCCTCAGGTCTTCCAACGTCCTACTATGAGCGGTATACTCGCAAGTACAACTTGGGCGAACGCCAACGCCAACTAGAAATCCAAGAGGAAAGTAGACGGATACAACAAGAAATGCTACACGCGAGAAATATGGACCGAGGTTATCACAACGGGAGTAGTGGTGTGGGAAGTTCAGTAGCGACGAGCGATCACTTGGAGACCGCTGTCGAAAACTTGTACAGAATGGTACGTGTGAGATCATCTACGAATATGCTTGTGGGCTGTAAACTTACGCTCTTTTTCAACAGGTTGAACGAAAAGTCAGCACAGACTACACCCGAGGAGCAGCAGCCTCATCTGGCAACACCACACAATCCACCCTTAACCCAAACAACCGCAAACCCCAGCGCGCCTCCAGCTGGACAAGTACAGCAATCCACTCCGAAGTCAGCAAGCTATATAATATGGGCGCTGCAACCGCTTCACCAACGAATGTGCCTGTTGTGGAGGTGGGACGGTATCCTTACAGTACGGCAGATCGAAGCGGCGGAGGAGGGAGCACAGTGTCATTTTGGAGATCGGGGAGGGGGCTGGAAGATGGGGAGGGTGTACCAAAGGAGCGGGGGTTGGCAGGCGACCAAGGCATTCCATGTGAACTGTTGTTGTTCATCTACGGTGTGTGCCACCTTGGGAAGTTTCCATTTGCTTGCGAGATACTCATCTTTCAAACTCAGGTTTCCTCCTGCCGCCTCTGTGGTGGATAGGCGCACTGCGAAGTGAACCCACAAAATGGCGGACCCGATGCCGATGGGCGGCGGTACTAGGGACTCTCATCTACCTCGGAGTAGCAGCGGTCCTCGTGTGGTTCTTTGTTTTTCGAAAGAAATAACAAACAAAAGCTCCCAATTTGAGCATCTCTTACATACGGTGTAGTTTATTACGATTAGTACAGGGATCCATAGTGATATGATTTGCGTAATTTGTATTTGCCATTCCCAAGGCTTTGTTGGGACCGATAGATGTTGACCTATTCTAGAAATCGATAGAGTCGAGGAGCAGCATATGGTGATAGGGGACTTTTTGGGGTGTTTGGAGTTTGAATTCCATCACTCATGCAAATAGACTGAGGATGCATTTCGGGTGCACATCATTTACACCACAAACATTGCCGGATTCATTTTTAATTTACATAAACGAGCAATCAACCCTGACAACTGCACGAGCGTCTGCGTTCCTTCCAAAATCTTCATGTGCGTCAATCCTATCTCCTAAATCGGACGACAAAAGGCGTAATTAGCATCGCAGAGAAGAAAACATAACGGCGTTACCTCACACCTTGATAAACTCCAACTTTATATACTCTTCCATATCAAATGTTTTGACAACTCTGAACAACGTCGAAATGATATCCACAGCCGAGTACCCTTGCATCCACAATGTCCTCACTTTATCCAGCGCTCCATCAACCTGCGCTCCCACACAAGCCTCAACCAGCTGCTTGACTAGCACTGGATGCGGTTGGTCGCACACCTTGAATACATGCTCAGGAGTCACAATACCAAATCCAGACGATGTTGCTTGAAGATTATTGATCGCCTGTCTCATATCTCCGTCACTCGTGAATATGATAGCCTCTAGACCTTCAGGAGTGAACTTGACCTTCTCAGCATCACATATCTCGGTGAGACGTTTAAGGATTTGGTAGTCGGAGAGGCGGGTGTAGCGCAGGATGGCACAGCGGGATTGAATGGGTTCGATGATTTTGGAGGACATATTACATGCAAGCGCGAAGCGTGTGGTTGAGGAGTAGATTTCCATTGTTCGTCGGAGGGCTTGTTGGGCTCCCGCGGTCATGGAATCTGCTTCGTCGAGGATGATGATTTTATGGCGGGAAGCGGGAAGTGAAACTTTCTTCTGGGCAAACATTTTGATTCGGTTGCGGACAACATCAATGCCTCTATGGCATGTTTTTAAGTCGTCATCAAAAATGAGGATAGGATGTGAGTTTCTTACCGATCGTCTGAAGCGTTGAGTTCAAGGACGGCCTCTTTCTGGAGAGGACCCAGTAGCTCGTTTGCGAGGCAAAGAATGGATGTTGTTTTACCTATTCCGGGAGGACCCTGTCGACATTTTCGTGCGTGTTAAGTCTTCCCGGACTGGAATTGATAATGGAGCGGGCGACGAGAAAAAACATACAGAAATGATAATATTTGGCATGTTCCCCTCCTGTCCAATAACCTGCAATCTGGATACTGTTTCCTCGTTTCCGACAATATCCTTAAGGAGTACCGGTCGATATTTTTCTACCCTAAACAGACATGTTTGAGGACACAATCGTCCAAAGGACACGGACAAAACGCTACCAACCAAGGCAATTCATAGTCGTCGGCATTCCCTTTCAAATCAGAGCCATTAGCAGCTGACGTTGAAGCCCCTTGCTCTGGTGTTTCGCTCGTCGTCGTCATTGTGAGTGCAGGATCCAGTCGTGATGATCTATCGAGTGCTGGAATCCCAGAGGTTCCGTTCGGACGTTGTTGGTATGACAACCTGATGTGACCGTGTTTGGAGGCGATAAATGTAACTTTACCCAGGTCGGTCTGCCTCCTTTGCTATTCTTTTTTTATCGTAACGACCGCCATTTTTCTAATATCTTTTCGCAAGACATTCGTTTTGAAGAACGTCTATTGAATGCATATATCCCTCCAAGGAAGCCGCTTTTTACCATGTATTGGCACTCGGATTGCCAAAGTCAACTAAATAACACTATCAGATAAATAATAACTGATTCAAGGAGCTATTCAGAGTTGCCTGCAAAGCTGTTCTACTTGAAAATCCTTTCATTTTTCAAGATATCGAAGAAAGCAAGTTGGACATTGACCATATAGCTAAATTACATGACTGTGCCATCCCAATATTTTTGGTGAATAAAGTCAGGTCAAGATCGCTTCTTACAGTTTGGCAGCCGGGTGAAAACATGGTGGAAATGGCAGAGAAAATGGAAGTTGACACTCCAGAAACAACACAGAGCGAGACACCTGAAGGGGTGCCCAACTTGCCATCAGCTTTAGATATACCGGATATCGTCGACGACGGCGCCATAATTGCAGAAAACTCGTGGGCGATTGTACAAATGCCAAGCGACAATACCAAGCTTGTTCAGTTCAAAGCAAATAGGTTTGTTTGATTGTACAGAAAAACAATAGAATACTTCTGGTAGGTATCTAATTGTTCCTTCCTGTCTGCCAGTGTCGTCAATCTTGGCAAATTTGGAAGCTTTCATGCGAAGGACTTGTTTGGATATCCTTTCGATATGCCCTACGAGGTCTACGGCGACAAACAAGTGAGACCTGCCTCGATGAATATATACGCCTTGGACGCTTTTGGTAAACCTGTGATGACTGATTCCGAAAGTTGACAAATGGCTGAACTTGGAACTTCAGATCTGGAAACTGAGGAGGGAACCACCAACAAGGACTTGGTCGATCGCAGAGAAGCCCAGAAGCTCTCGCAAGTGGAAATTGAACAGATGAAAGCGGATAGTTTGAAGGGCCAGGTTCCAGTTGAGGTAAAGCTTTATTGCCCGACGCTTTTACATGGTCATGCATTGTTGAAAGGCGACCCGTCATCGTTGATCTGTAGAACTTGATCAAGACTATTGTGGAGAACAGTGAAACATTTGACAAAAAGACTGAGTTCTCCAAAGCAAAGTACATCAAGCGAAAGCAGAAAAAGTAAGGATTGCCGCTGAATTCCAAGGGAAACAGTTGGACTTACTCAACGTCTTTGTTATCCACCCAGATTTTCCAAAGTATTCACACCGAGACGACCGAGCGCCCGAGGTCTTTGTGAACATTTCTTCAAAGACAACCCGAGAAGAATATGGTAACACTTGCATTCTGTTAAAGCATAAATCGCCGATATTCCGAGCAACTAATTTCCTGGTCTCTAGCGAACTTCGTGTCGATACCCTATCGCAAATTCTCACTACGGGCAACGTTCGTTCTGGGGCACGATACCTAATTGTCGACGAGGCGGGAGGACTCCTTACCTGTGCGCTCGTGGAGCGCATGCAAGGACGGGGCGAAATCCTGCAGTTGCACGATCACGAAACGAATAATGTCGACCTAATAAAACACCTAAACTTGCCACCGTCGATACATAACGTTCTAAAGAGTTTACCTTGGACGCGACTGACGCCAAACGATGATGAAGGTGGATAATTCTGGAAAACCAGAGAAAGCGGTCGGATTGTCACTGACCGGTTCTCTGATCACAGATATGGAAAATATGTTAATACGCACTACCGATGAAACAAGACTAGACAGACTCCGACACAGAATACTTACGACCAGAGCAAAACGCGCTTTGTTATACGCCGGTGGATTCGATGGGTAGGCGCAAAAATTAGCCCCACAGTATTCAGTTTCTGATGCTCCACTGTAGATTGTTTATCATCTCCCAGTATGATATTAAAGAGATTATAGAAACTCTGTCACCCTATCTGGCTGGATCGAGACCAGTAGTGGTATATTCACCATACAAAGAGGTAAGGAATGGGTGCCTTCAACTACCGGCTAATTGCTTTGACTAAACATAACGTTTGTCGCACAGACTATGCTGGAGTCGTTTTTGCATTTGCGAAACAGCAGAGACTTTGTCAACGCGCAGCTGACAGAGAGTTGGATTCGGGAGTACCAGGTTCGTCATATTTTGAATTTTGGCCGAGGACACTACGTTTTGCTGAAAGTCCACCATTCTATAGCTTCCAACTGCAGCATCTGGAACACATCCGCTAATGAGAATGTCCGGGTCTGGGGGTTATATTTTGAGTGCAATACGTGTAATTGACTGTGAAACCCATGCTGCTACTGCGAGGCGGGTCCGTGTGAAGAACGGGAAGGTCGCAGAGGTAAAATCGACAGGAGAAGAAGGAGTTGAGCAAGAGCATGCATAGGACGGAGACTTAGAGATTCATTTATTTATTTTGATACTGTTCATGTGAAGGCGTGACAATAAAGATGCCCTTCTCATCGTTTCTAGGGAATTAAAAATCATCCGAAAAAAGGGTAGTCCGGGAACTAGACTATGCGTCTACACGAGCCTCTCTGGGCTCGTTTGAACACTGGTTGTTGGGGCGTCTGTCCCGTTCGACCCATTTGCGCCATCAGCATTGGCCTGCTGCGACATTTCCGGCTCACTCCGGACCTTCATCACCTCCATCTTGGTTATATCCCCCAGCCAATCAAAGGCCTTGCCCCATTTTCCGAAATGCTTTGTGGGCTCTTGGCTTCGGTGCCAATGGTACATGTAGTACTCCGAACAGCCGATCAGCAGCCCACCGCCAATAATGTTTCCCAACATTACACCGGAAATATTTCTGGCAAACTTGCCTACCGTGACGTCCGCCCCATACATCCAGCCAATCGAGATGAAATACATATTCGCCACGCAGTGCTCCCATCCTGTTGCGGCGAAGGTCATGATTGGCAGATAGAGCCCAATAATCTTGCCGGTAAGATCTCGCGCTGCTAGACCAAGGAAAACCGCTAGACAGACGAGAGCATTTGCGGGAATACCCATCAACAAGGCCTTCCAAAATGGAAGATTGGCCTTACGTGTCGCAACAGAAACAACGTATGAGTGGTAGGGTTCCGCCTCGAACATCTCTGGCAGGTACCCAAGGAGGTATGCAAAAAATGCGCATGCTGCGAAATTGGAGAAAAAGACCAAGGTCCAGTTTAGGAGTACTTCTCGTTTTCTCACTCGTCCGTTCAGCCAGGCTACGATCATGATCATTGTGTTTCCGGTGAAGAGTTCGCCTCCAAAGATTACTAAAAAATGTCTGAGCCATGGGATGAACATTGCAATCAAAATGTTTTGCAAATTACCTATAAAAACAATTCCGATGGGAAAAGTGATTCCAATCAGCAGCTTGGGAATAACAGGCCATGATGCGCGGATGTCGATGGGAACACCACCTACAACTTGCTGAGCAAAAAGGCCAGCGAACGAAACCCATGTTCCTGCCAGGAACCCTAGAAACAGGATTTTATCTATTGGAGAGTGCGATTTGCGATATCCAAGAGATGTGACAACAGCTTCGAGCTCGGCACCGGTGTTATAGTCCCTTGGAAGGCCTGATGCAAAGCTTTAATTATTTGTGCTGGTGGTTAATTTTGATGATTTAATCCATACCGTCGCCTTGACTGCCCCTGCGACTATCTACAAGCGACTGCCTCTTCCCCAGCATCCGTACGCTAGACCCTTGAGGCGCATCAATAGCAATCGTTGCTCGTCGCTCAAGACCTGTCCGTCTATCTCTTGCTATGGCCTCTGTTACAAACGTCTCTATTGGGGCCGCATACGTGGGTTGTGTGGCTGGATGACTGATAACGGCGACAGTTTCTGGTCGTGGTCTTGCCAATTGCTCTCCTGGTTCCGTTGTCATCTTTAGTATAATCGGAGCTGTAGAAAGGGCGCGAGGAAAAACTCAAGCTTTTAAAGTTGAGCCAGACCAATGTTGAGTCATACTGAGAACAATTGAAGAAACGCGGGTCAATATCTGGTCTAGAGCATATGCGGTCTCGTCTTTAAAAGATGATGATAGTGTGTTGAATGCAGCGGTGATATTGCAAGGGGATCAAGGCTCATGTGCTATCGAGAGGCTGCTAGGGAATGAAAGCGCTATATTTCATTTAATAGGTTTTTCAAGTCGTTGGTGCAGCATCTTAGGTTACGGTAAGATGATCCACTCGGGAGACATTTTGCACTGGCAAGGCTGACTTGGGGGGCGCATCACTTCCGATACAAATGTATAAGGTGGCCATGGCTATCTTGCCGCATCCTTTACTTTCAAATGACGTCTGTTTCCAAACATGGCACACACTCAGGAACGTGCTTGGCCTCTTTGCCAGGCAGCAGCTTGTGACAGCAGGGCCTGCCGATTCCCTTTTGATGTTGATAGGTTAAGACCATGCAGGACTGGATGTGCAGATGATATATGATCGCACGCAGTGGATTCGCCCAGAGGATGATGGCTAGCGTCCCACGCCCAGCACTGTGGCAGTTTATAGAGTTGCTGTAAGAATCATTGCAAGACAAGATGAAGGATGGTACATTGTAGATGCCCAGAGCGAGAACAAAAGCAGTTGTAGTCGGGGCATCAGAGACATTGCTACATGCTTTTTCAATTCTCTGCACAATAAAGAGCATACATATTACGTGCAGGGCCCTGAAGAAGGACGTCTTGCACTTGATTCGCGAAATCGACAGCAAAAGGATGAACAGCCAGAAGCCAGTCATGTGATACAGATCGACTTTTACAGACGAGTCTTCTACTCGTAACGGACATTAATCACCATGACCTCCACATCGCAGCCCACTGTAGCCTCACCTGTTACATCCTCCACACCACGTCCGGCGATCAAGGCCACGGCAACGCCCCATACCCGTCTCCAAGTCTACGTCCTTCCAACCCTCAGGAACAAATATGTCTTCCACGCACGCTTCCTCAAGCCAAGATCACGAGTAGAATATTTTGCACTAGTGACTGCATACATATTTCGGAAATGGCGGTATCAACTATCCGATGCATGCGCCTTTGCGTGGCACGGAGTGGGTCACTGGGCAGGATCGCGGACTGGTGTATTACCATCGGTTGGGCGTGGAATATGGTGGGCGGGGAACCGAATGACGACACGAAGAGCGGCAGATGAGTACTTTTTGAAGAGTGTACCCAAGATTACGGAGCATGTGAGTTTGGGTCGAAGATGATTGAGATGCGAACGATGGCCATACTGACAAATTTATTTCTGTGGCAATTAGATCGAGTTTGTGTACCCTGCAAGCGCTAATGCAAAGCTGATCAAGAACCAGCTTGGAGAATTTCTGGCCAGTATGTATCTATGTGGCTCCAAGACATGAGCTTTGAAGCATTGTTCTCATCTCTTGATCTCGCAACCCATCAGATAGCGACCGTCACCGCTCCAAGCTGTTCCTTTGGGCTCTAGTCCTTCCTGTCGACCTTTACCTAGCAAAGTTCCACTTGGCAATCGCCAACATTCTCTTCTCCTACAACATTTTTCGACTAAATGCATCATGGCGATCTATGCATGGGTCGAGGACACTCCAAAAATTGCTCGATTCAAAGGCGGTAACATGGACTGCTAGCAAAGAGTTGGACGAGATGATCCAACGCATCAGTGGTGAAGTGACCCAGCAGATAGAGCGGGAAGTCGGCTCCCAAGGCCGGGTGTGGCGGTGGCGCCCAGATGGAGATTTACATGATGACGTTGTAGAAAAACTCGAGAGAGATTTGAAGATGGCTGAACTCGGCCGGACGTACAGAAGAACTCGATTGCAGTATTATATACATGAAGGCAAGGAATGGTAGAAGCTTTACATGGATAGCAAAACGATAGATGATAGAAAACCCGCGGCTTTCATGTCTGGCGTAGGTAGCATACATATATAAAAACAACGATGAATTATCATGAAACACATCCACCTCCCTCAATCCTTCGGGTAACATCTCCGCTTGTCTTTCCTTTGTCATCAATGGATCTCTTCCCAATTTCCCAACACAAGCATCCTATTCAATTCCAAAATTCTGGCCCCGGAATGGAATACACTTCTACGTTTGTACGCCTTCGCCTCGGATACGGACTCGATCACTAGTTGAAGCTAAATCAAGGTGTGTGTCACAACATGATCGGCGAACGATGAAATTACAATGAATATGGTGCATACCTGACACCGTTCAAGTTCTTTTAACAAGATGCGAAAGACTGCACGGAGACGGACCCAGCCTGGTCGTAGTTAAGAGCTATCCGGTGAACTGTGTGGGCTGACAGGTCGCACGTTGAGCTCGTCAGATTTGCCGTGACAGCAACAAAAGAAAAGGAAAATACAAGGTGAGTGCTGGCCAAGCGGTCGAGTGACAAATGAGCGCTAAAACAGCGTTTAGGGAAAGCGGGCGATTATTGAGAGCATGCTCAACCATCGCCCGCTTTCCCTCAACTTTCTCATGAATGAGACGACGGTTTGACATCCTGTAGAGAAAGCATGCTGGCACGACGCAGGACTGGCGCTTTGGGAATGTATACCTGCCTGCACCGACAAGGTAAAGGTCCAAAACACTGGCCGTGATTATCGCTGCCCGATCTACAAGCTAGGTCAAAACCGCAACCGGAGTAGGCCTTGAATGAAATGGTGCACCGACATCCAAAGGAATCCCCCAGCTATGGATGTAACATCCATCATCTCGACGAATTCACCACGTGCAGGATGACTGCCTTGACCTCACCAGGGAATCCACGCAAGGAGTGGGATGACTTGCTTTGGGAGGTCAAAGCAAGTCACCCCAATCCTCGCGGCCACCTGCTGGAGTATGAATGTTGTTGCGAGTTGCGACAGCAACATCTGGCGCGGAAATGGCCAGGTCATCCCATCTGCCAGACCACCCACATCCGAAGAGGCTCCTAATCACCCAATGAACTCATCATATTCTTTGTGTGCAATACAGTACTTACCAGATGAAAGCCATCGGCGAAGCTGGATAGATGAATGGTGGGCAGAAGCACCGTGGGAAGAAACGCGCGCAACAACGCGAAGCAGGACGCAAGGGCCACTTAGTCCCGTGACAACTCAAATCACCAGACAAATGGAGTACATGTAATCTAGGTGGATAACGCTTTCTCTCCAGTGTATAGAACGACAATGGACGTTACATGAAGAGAATAGCGGAAATCTTTAGGTAGCAACGTGCCATATCAAAGGTTTGATGCATACATAAGATAGTGACATTATGGATAACTGGTGGTATCGTGGTCGGTTGAAAACCAGTGGTTTTCTTTACATTAGAATCCTGGTCAGATTTTGCTCTGGGATTAACATCATTGCAAATATCATTAAAACATGTGAGCAATACTGTAAGTCCCAGATAGTATAATGGTTAGTATCTCCCCCTGTCAAACCTTGATAGTTCGGGGAAGATCGGGGTTCGATTCCCCGTCTGGGAGTCCCACCACCGTATGATCTGCTTTTTTTTTTCATAATTTCATCAGGGCTGATCCAGTAGCAGGAAACTTTTCGTGTCCATAAATTTCTTACTGGCGATGCTGCGGTACAGAGAGAATAATCATAGTTGGACGTAAGCAATAGAGAAACCTGCTAAGGCTGGTTTTGGAATGTACAAGGACGACAGGCACAGAACGAGCTCAATTTGATCGACCCAATTTCTAGATGAACTCAAAAACAACTATTCCAAAGCAAGTAACTGTTTTGCGAAAAAGGCCTTTTTGACAGGACACCTAGTACAACGCAGCGCTCTAACCTAACATGCCCAACCCATGCTCACCGCTCCAGCTCGCGAATCACAGCTCCAAACCTGGCGCATCCTCATCTGAAAATGACCCTACAGAACTCATATCATCCTCGGACCCACTCTCATCCGTTGCTGCATCGGCAGCTTCCTTGGTTGCATATCGGGAAACGTATTCTGCGCACAACAAGTTGGCGATAATCCGCAGCTGGAGAAACAGGTCTGATCTTACCTTTGACTTTGGCTTCATAGCCGGTAGGTTCACGCATCAACAAGGCCGCTGCTTCACCGTTGAGGGGATCTGTGGGGTTTGGGTAACGAAGGAGTTGTGGGAGGAAGACTTCAAAAATATTGATCATGTCTATGTATATCATGGAATATCAATATATATCCGAGAGACCGCCGGCCACACAAAGAATACATACCAAACATTGGGGACCATGTTTGATTGATTACGTCCAAGCACACTGATCCGCTCCTTCCCATACATATTCCATAAGTACTGAAAGCCAATCTCCGCAGCCTTCTGTAAAACAATCTCACACTCACAGTTCATCAATGTTCGGGTGAAATATCTTGTTCATAAAGCCAATTGACGGCGACTTGTACGGATACTGATCAGGAAGTTCCACGTGAACTTTCCATACGCCACCAGTGAAAGGAGCTTTTCATAGCGTCAGTGAGAATCGATGGCGGATGACGCTAGGATCAAGTGGACATACTATCTTTTGGACCATGAAATCGGACGTAAAACTCTATCATAGGCTCAGCAGTGGGTACATGATTTTACACTATTCTTTAACGATTACGAGATACCTTGCATGTTATCATTCACAAGGGTCACCTCATAGTCACTCATCAACCTGTTCCGCAGCCAGCAAGTCAGTAAAGTTCGCCGCAGAAAAACAGTTTGGGTTAACCTACAATTTCATAACATCGGTTTCTATCCGTCTCCTGGGGGACGACATGATTGTCCGCTTTTCTTGAGTTTCTTTATGAATTCAGTAGCTTTGGGTTGTCCGGTGAGGCGATTGATCAAAATACAAGCAATTGTCGAGCGCCTGATCCTCGGGTATAGTAGCGAATTGTGCGGAAGTATGCCACCTCTCTGCAGCCAAGAACCGTTGTGGTATATCTACCTCGTATATGTCGTGCTGGACAGTTTCAAACAAATGTCAAAAGGATCGTTGTAGGAAAACCAAATGAGAGGTGTCTTCAAAGAAGGATGGTCGCCGCAGCCCGCGTGATTGAGTAATACTAGTCATGACGTTGCGTGATATTGTTGACATGGCAACGATTAGAGTTATTGAAAGTAGGTCAAATCTTATCGCCCATCATTATCGTGACAATTTTGACATGGTTTCCTTGCTATCAACTTAAGAATAAAAAGTGTTCCTTTCCGGCATCTATAACCAGGGTTATCCGACTTTTCTTATTACTTCAAATTGAGATTTATGCAGATTGAATAACTAATAGACCTGTCCAACACGTCGGGTGGTCGTCCTAAAATTCAAACTCATCTTTAAATAAAGATACATCCTGACCCGTGTGTGCTTTCTCCGCCAGATCACGTCGGTCCATCTGGTCATTTTCACATTGTTAACAAAGCTGGAAAATAATTCAACCTCAAATATACTTACCAGTATAAATGCTCGTCGCAAAGTTTCCCATAAATTTCCCGAAACATTCTCTCCACCTCCCTGGTCTCCAACGACATGCATCGATAATGCACCCAACAGATGCTCCACAGCCTCCTTGTAACACCCAACGTTGATGCAACTGACACCTAGGTTATACCGCCCTCGGACAAACCTCGGTTTCAATTCCAACGCCTTGTAATAGGCATCGATAGCTTCTTCCGACCGTCCCGAGTTTGCCAATGTTGCGCCCAAGCGATTCCAGAGTAGATAGTCGTTGGGACGCAGAGAAAGTGCCGATGTGAAGCAGTCTATAGCCTTGGTAAAGTCGGAGGAGTTGTAAAAGAGGACACCGAGTCCAATTTGGATGTCGGGGTCGATTTCGGCTGTGGTAGGGGTTTGAGAGGCTGACGGACCTTGTCGGGCGGCTTCCAGGAAGAGGTTGGTAACATGTGTGTGAAGGATTTCCTTGTCGGTGTAGGACGTAGCAGGTTGCATCGACGCGATGCTTGGATACTGGGTTTTAAGCCAACGTTCGAGTGTCGCGTATGCTTCTATTTCCTGACCTTCGTTGGTGTAGCTCACCGCAAGAGCCTGCACAAAGACTTAGTAATCTTTGTCGATTCGACACATGATGTATATATCACTCACCATTAAAGCTTTCAGATTTGTTGGATCTGTTTGCACACTTCTCTGCAATGCAGCAATTGCAGGCCCCTCCTTCTCGTTCTCTGCTTGTGTAATACCCAAAAGCGCCCACCCCTCCGAATTGTCTGGGTCACGCTGGACGGCCGCCTCAAAGGCCAAAGCAGCCGCCGACAGACTACCTCCTGCATCCAGAATCCGCTGTCCCTCCGCCATGGGATCCGCATGACTGAGATAGGGATTGTTCGACTCAAAAACGTACGGAGCGCATGGAGCGGTGACTGGATCTGGGTCAGTAACCTCATCCTGTCCCCAAGCGTCACTTGCATTTGAAATTTGGAAATCTTCGTACTCTGATTCCCAGTCCTTGACCGCGTCGGTCCCCAGATCATACTGTTGAAACAACTTTCCAAGCTTATCCATGTCAGGATCCTGATTGAACCGCTTTGCAAACTCTTCTTCCCAGGCGATCTCATCATTTCCCAATGCAGGTGCTTTTCCTTTCCCCTTTATAAGTGTATCGTGAACAGCTGCAAATTCTCGCGAAAAGGCATCTTCCAGCGCGGCATGGTGTTGTTGTGAAAATGCTCGTTCAAACACCTCATTTTCGGCCAGAGGCGCACCTTGGACGAATTCGTTGGCCCACCCTGATTCTGGAGCGTGCTGCAAAGCACGGTTGAAAGCAGCTTCAAAGCCAGCATCGCCTCCACCGCCATGGATATGTTGAAAGCTTTCAAAATCGGCAGCCCAATCTGAATGAGGAACTTGTGTAAATGATAGGTCATATGGCAATACTGCAATACTGCAAGACTAGCACGGGTAACAAGGGCGCCATGCACGCATGTCTGCAAACGACGAGTCTTTCTCATATGGAGTAGACTATGGTGCAAGGACGCACCGTTCTCATGTAGAGCAGCACGGCCATGTCATACAGATCTTGCTGTTGTCACTCGTCAACTCACCCGTAGGGCCGATTCTCCCCAGTTCACTCTCCAGATTTGGGACAACTCCGAATAATCTTTGATCATGAACGTGCTCCCTTCCTCCCCCGTTCAGGAACTCGTCCACAAACTCTTTTTCATCAAATTCTACTCTTCCCCTCGCTAACCTCGGATGGAACTGCTCATGAGTCTCTTCTGGTCGGAAAACGTCCTAATGAATGACAGCAACAAGAACGTCAAGATCCCTTCTACATAAACAAAACAAGCTTTCATATAACAAACCTGCTCTACCGCGTGGTTTCTATCCAATTGCTTTACAAACTGTGAGATAGAGTTTCCGCCGGAACACTCTGCACCGCTCCCGACGAGAGCTTGGAGTCCTGACATTCTGGCCTTAGTGGACAAAGAATGCCAACAACAAGTGCCAACAGCTGCAGTATGGCAGGTGCGATCATTTAACCGAGCTGCGAGTGCATCACATGACACCACACTAGCATGCAGTGGAATGCACTTGAACGTACGCTGCAGGTTCCAGCCTGTCCACGTGGTGTAAGAAACGCAACCAACTGGTGACACAGTCATATATGGTTGGAATTACAACTACAATTGGATTGATGGTTACTTCAATTGATAATTGTATCACACATGACAAGGTTTTGAATCGGAGGGGGAGAAGGACCATCGACAAAAGACAAGGAGCGCAGTTTGCCTTCCTTGCGTTTTTCCTTTTCATTCTTCTTGATCTTTTATCAACGTTCTGCTTTCCAACGATGGTATTTGTTGCAACACTCACACCTGCACACTCGCATCATTCTCCCTTCCCGTCTGCTCCTGCTGCTATTTCTCCTGTTCAAACTCCTGCCACTTGCATTCCACGTCGCAGTAGAACATTCTCGTATCCACTGCACCAAGACATATCGGCTGCAACAACCACACCTGCCACACCTGCGACGACAACAACAACAGCAACTGCTGCTGCAACAAAAAGACCTACCACAAAGCGAACTCGCTCCAAACCAACACCGCATTTCGATCACCCGTGGTGGAAAGGGCCAGCTGCTACCCAACTCACCACAGTAGAAGAGATAATAGAACCAGATACAAGTAGATCTCTTAACCATCATCCAGCTCGAAGACACAGCGCGGGACAAGTTCTTCACATGGACGCGACGTACCCTGGCGCCAAAACTTCAAAAACAATATCGGAGCCTCTAGCACACCATACACCTCGTTGGAAACGACCGAGCATCAGTGACGCTTTTCCGACAACCGCCCCAGCAGCGGAAACGAAAGCTGCCCCGACGACAGAATGTGTGGGACCGTATGTTGTTCTCAAAACGCTTGGCTCAGGCGCCTTTTCCCACGTGAAGCTCGCTGTGCACTCTCGTGATGGTAAACGCGTTGCGATCAAGATGCTCGAGAAACACACTCCGAATTCTCTTCACTCTCCGCACCAAGCCTCAAACGAAGCTTCCATTATTGCATCCCTGCATCATCCTCACATTGTTCGACTACTCGATACGATTGAAACGCCTTCACATAATTGTTTGATACTCGAATACGTGCCTGGTGGGGAGTTGTACGACCTGATCAGCGACCATCCAAACATGTTGACGGAAGATACCATCCGCCGGATATTTCGCGAACTCGTCCAAACAGTTAAATACCTCCACACCAACAATGTCTGCCATCGCGATCTGAAGATTGAAAATGTGTTGTTAGACTCATCTCAAAACATTAAACTAACCGATTTCGGACTGGCCAAGCGCTTCAATCCCCATATTCCCCTGACGACTCGCTGCGGTAGTGAAGAATATGCTGCACCTGAACTCGTCCAAGCTCAACCGTATGATGGACGAAAAACCGATATCTGGGCGCTGGGTATCATCTTGTTTGCCCTGCTGACTGGTGAACTACCCTTCTCGGTGCGACCTGGTGAACGTCCTCGAGGCATGTTTCACAGAATTGCCCGAGGGGACTTCAAGTTTCCGAATTCACCTGGTGTGAGCGACTCGGCCAAAGATTTGGTCAAGAGAATATTGACACCGAATCCAAAAAAGCGAGCGACATTGGATGAGATTTTGAGGCATCCTTGGATGGCGGAAAAGGAAGTGGCAAACACTGGTGCGCTCGAACGCTAGATGTATATTGTCTAAGCGTTGTGTTGTCTTTTATTGTAAATATGACTATCTGCTTTTTGGGGGGCTTTTGCTTTGTACATGTGTTTAAAAAGGAAAAATATACACCGGTGTAAATAAAATGTTATATAAATACGAATCTGGCTGCCTTCTCGTTACCCTGCCAGAGACCGAATTTTCTCCGCAATAATAGGTATTGTCACCCAAACGACTGATGCTGTACCAAACAGTACAAATGTGAGCGAAGATAATGCAGCTGCTTGTGGGTTCGTCCCTAATAAAGATGCTATAAAGCGAGGATAAGCTTTCGCGGTCGTATGCCTTGGTCAGGAACCATCAATGGTACATACCCGTCCCGACGGCGTGACTTGTCACCCCAGTGGTAACACCCACGACCAAAACATCATCTACACACCAACACAATTAGCCAACATATCATCTAAACAAATTACAACTCCAGAATCACACACACCTTTGGACACTCCAACTCGTCTCATCGCCCATTTACCAACGACATCCCCTACCATTCCCGAAACAATAACCATTACGACACCCAAACTTGCGTTAGCTTCTTGTAGGACGGAGGAAAAGATTTGGAGGGATAACGGCGTGGTTACGAATCTAGTATAAAGCCATCAGACGTGACGATCAGACGATGACGCCGTTTGATGGACGTACCGACAAGACATTCCTAAGCTATTCTCTCGGTCCATTCCTATACTCCTCGATAGCCAGACATGGAAGACGAGAGAAAAGATGGAAACAGTCGATATCACCGTCATGATTGGTACAATCTGCCCGCGGTCCGGTAAACAAGGGCTTTCGCGTAGTGATTTTGAGATGAAGTACATACCTGCTGGCGCATCATCACTCTCTCTTTGTACATCCTGATCGCCAATGCTACCACAGCTGCGTCCAAGAGACTGTACAATACGTCACCCGCTCCAGGTGTTGGAAAGGGTTTATGAGATGCGAGGGCTGTGAGGAGCTTTTGAGCCTTAATGGAGCGAGAATACGTGCCAATAGCTATAGTCAATTGGGAAGAGAAACGAACTTCAGCATACTGACGAAATGGTATAGTACAACGAGGCATACCATCATTCAAGCTCTGTCCCTTCATCCCGCCAACACACCACACCCCCAAAATTGTAAGCCCACCGCAAACCAGCAACGGATGCAAAACCATCTTGAGTTTGGGTGGCAGAGCCAACCCTACAAAGTACGCCAACACCGTAATACACAAATGAACTGGTTGAACGACATCGGTTAGCAAAGCCAATGCCAAACTCGGGACGAAAAGTGAAATATAGATGAGCAACGTGGAGGGGTGGATCGGGAGCCGGGGAAGAAGGGGTGGCGGGGCTTGTTGCGACTTTTCGCTGAGAGTTGTGGAGGGACGGCGGTCAAGCTCTATTGCCATTTCTTCGTGGTCTGGTATTGGTATCTTGGGAACTCTACGAAGCAACTTCATACACCTTCGCACAGCAATAACCATGCCAATCACCAACAATAGCACCACAACATATCCGATAGCTTTTCATGGAAACACCATCAGCCTTCTGCCGTCTTTAATCCATCATCTGAAAAAACTCACCAAACACCCCAATAACCCTCCCAACTTCTCTCCCCCCCAGCCCTTTCTGCCGGGGCATGACCACCACGGCCGGGGAAAACATGACGGTCATCCACTTTAACAACCACTCAACGCCCGGATCAGCCCATACGATTGTTCTATCCACCTTGACTTGAACGCTTGGGATCCATGTGCAAAGGAGGAGTGTAAAGAATAGGATAAGCATAGATAGGACCTGATATTTATCGTTAGATGTGAATTTTCTCCAAAATGCACGATCTGATATATCAAAGACACGTACACTTGCGGGAACTCTACTGCTGACAGCAACGTCAATCCCCCAGACAAACAGTAGCACGACGCAGCAAACAAATGGTACAAATATCCAATCTTCCGCCAGTGTCCGCAGAGAGACTCCAAATACTAGCCGAACCCTTTTTTGCAGCGTGGGAACGGGGGACATGCCAATTACGGGCTCCGGAAACTCGTCTGGTCCAAGGCTGGAACATCTTTGTCGGAGGGGCATCGTAGAGTGGGATCCTTGCGGTGCTTGGGTGTGCCGACGACGGGTAAGGGCCAGCAAAGGTCGGATTCAAATAGACATGGGTCAACCCGCCAGTTGAAAGGTCAAAAAGACACGAAAGACACGTTCAACCGATTATTTTCTTTGGAACTTTCCAACACAGACATGCCGATGAAAAGGTCATTTTCAAAAAAGGAATCATTCTCGCGGTCAAGTTGAGCATCGTGCGCAACGCCATTCAGTAGCATTCGTTATGACGGTACTTTTGCCTGGAAATTGTTATTGTGCGCCATGACTATTCACGGAGGGCATCGGCAGTTATGCTTGTTACATCTTGGGATGGCGTGAAAATCCTTCCTACTTGTAGTGACAATAAGGATTTTTTACATAGAGAAGGGGCTCTATACGATATAATTAACGATAAACTGCATCTCTGTATCTGAGGTCTTTTTTAATGTGCGCTGCATGCACTGGTTCGCACTAGGGGTGGATATGTGCCGAGTCCAGACAGCCTACTTACCCAAGATTGGATACTGTAATGGGTGTGATGTGGTCTCAAAACCTGCGTGCACCATCTTGCTGCTGTTCATGATCAAAGAAGAGTTCCGCATGAATGACTGGTTTGCTCATGGTAAGGTATGCGATATTTGGAGACGTTAAGATGGAAAAGAAGAATTGTGCCAACTGGGCAAGCAGCCGCATCCTTCAAATCGAAACAGCGAACAGAATATGATATTGAAATGAACTAATGGACAGGACAGAGTTATTGAACTAATAATGAACTATCTCACAAAATAGCGAAGGGCACCTGTGTCATGAAAACTATGGTATCAGAATACAGCGCTGAGAAAATACAAGTACCGCTTTGCTTACTTGTGCTTCAATGGTCCGCTAGGTCATGTAATCGGCCGCAGAGCGATCGCAGGCTCGGTCGGGGCGGTCGGTCGAGGTTCTCGGAGAAGATGGCACCGCCAAAGCTTTCAGTCAATTGGGAAGCTCCCGTTTTATCGCAGCGACATCCCGTTTTACCGCAAGCGACATCCATCCCTCATCCGTGTTTATTGTACCAACAAAATGTTCTCAAACCTCCTCGGATGGGCCAACCCCAACCGCAACAACCAGACCCCAACCAGACTGAACAACCAGAGCGAACCCCCGACACATGGGGGCACCGCTACCATTTTTACCTTCGGCCGCCGAATGGTATCTGGATCAACCGCTTCATCCCGCCTTCTTTGCGCAACCAGATACTGGACCCCGTTGGGGGGATGTGCCCTCGGACGCCGTCTCAGGATAAAACCCTACGACCCCCACTGCCCGGGGGCAATAACTATTACCGTGGGCCGAGAAGGGGAGGGCCGGTCCAGATGTGCCCTCACGATCCGCCTGGCCAACGGTACATGGCTGAACGTGACCACACGGGGTGACGAGCGACGTCCGGCGGTTCAGGACCCGCCAAATGGAAGGCACCCCACCAGGCGTGGAAGAAGTGTTCCTGCTCCGAAACCCCATTTTGGAGGTTGACCATTTGTTTGTTCTGATCCTACTCCTTTGTGCTCCTTTCGATGCTTCCCTCGCTTATTGTCCTTGCCTTCATTCAATCCTGCGCACCAGTGCACCGGGGCCTATGTCTCTCCCATTCTCGTCATGAAGTCCAATGCCATCAGCAAGAAAGTGGACAAATCGCTTGTCGCCGTCCTGGATGGGCACGGCTCGTTTGGGTCCTCTGACAATAAGCGTAACGTTTCGGTTGGTTTGAGGTGCCTCCAAAAGTTCGGCTGCGTCTTCTCTGCCTTGTGGTTGACGTTTGGCGTTGCCTCTTCGCTGTGCTCCCGTCCGCCCGTACTTGTTGTTCTTCTTTGTCCAGCTGGTCGGCTGGGTATTGCCAGGTTTGACCCTCCCCCCGGTCTGGACCATCTTGAGTATTGTCAGTATGTTTTCGTGTGCGTGTATCCGTACAATGTCTTTTCGTGTGCGTGTATCCGTACGATATCGTGGTCGAGGAGAAGTTGGGCGGTTCGGGGGTATCTGAACAGCACTGGAACGGCGATCGGTGCTCCCGTTGGGACCGACATTTTGAGCCATCTCGGGGAAAGGGACGAACAGGCCTGCGGTCTCGAGAACAAGATGTATTCGTCGAGTCGAAGGGGTAAGATGCGAGGTTGCGGGCCGTGGCTCGTCCCGGATCCTACTAGGAACAATGCTCTTGTCTCGGCGAAGCGGCGCCCAGCGAATTAAGCTGGCCATGCAGAACTTTGCCGAGGTGTTTATCGTTCCTATCGCGGAACAGGACAGCGCGCGGTCCGCTTATTACGGTTCGGTCCATCAGTAACGTAGCGGCCTGACGTAGAAGTGGTATCGGTGGCCCCGTCTGTCGGGTTGCTGCTGCTCTGGTTATTGCGGTGGTTCCACGTGCCGTCTGCCAGTCAGATCGTTAAGGTTGATCTCGAACGGCCTTCCCCTTCTCGTCCCAAGGTGATCGTAATGGTGCCGGGGCCGTGCGGGTTGTATTGCTTGATTCGGAGCTTTACGGCGGGTCCTGAACCGCCGGACGTCGGGCTCGTCACCCCGTGTGGTGACGTTCAGCCATGTACCGTTGGCCAGGCGGATCGTGAGGGCACATCTGGACCGGCCCTCCCCTTCTCGGCCCACGGTAATAGTTATTGCCCCCGGGCAGTGGGGGTCGTAGGGTTTTATCCTGAGACGGCGTCCGAGGGCACATCTCCCCAACGGGGTCCAGTATCTGGTTGCGCAAAGAAGGCGGGATGAAGCGGTTGATCCAGATACCATTCGGCGGCCGAAGGTAAAAATGGTAGCGGTGCCCCCATGTGTCGGGGGTTCGCTCTGGTTGTTCAGTCTGGTTGGGGTCTGGTTGTTGCGGTTGCGGTTAGACCCATCCGAGTAGGTTTGCGAACATTTTGTCGGTACAATAAACACTGATGAGGGATGTCGCTTGCGATAAAGAGGGAACTTCCCAATTGACTGACCTTTTATGCAAGTAGCAGTGCCCCGCCTCCACGCTCACATCACCGTGCGTGAGCAAATTTAGTAACCTCGGAAGCCCGACTTTTGACAGCTGCCACGCGGAAGAAAATCCCGGAACTCCTTGGCGCAATAATGCGAGGAAGTATTTTCTTATTTCTGCAATCCTTCATCCCTTCGCAAACACTGCCTCCAACATCACGCCGTCATTGTGTAATGTTTCTCCTCATGCCGTCAGTTTGCCATTTTGGCAGAGTCATGCATTACATTCGTAATTTTGGTTTTTGGTCCTCAAACGGCGTGAGGAGCCTTAATTGTAAAAGAACAGCAATTATAGAAGAGTGATTAAACAGAAAGAGAACTTGCTGGCGGCATTGCAGCTAGATCAGCAGCGACAATGTAGATCACTTCATGGGCTATCAAAAACTATTCAGCCAATTCCTATAGAGTAGGATACGTCACTAAGATAAAAAAGAGCTGGAAACACCGGTAAAATTCCGGATAACTTGTCAATATACCCGATGTCAAAGTATACCCTTCCCGTCTAATGGATACGGTAAAAGCGGCAAATCCTCATGCATGGGGGGATGGTGTACAGGTCTTCCAAGCAGCCCCATTGCTTCATCTATCCGAAACAATCTGCTGAGTTAAACTCAACTCGTAAACGGGAAACAATGTATGACCATAGCTGAGTAGTACTGCAGCTTGCCGCCTCTCCTTCAGTCATGAGGGCTTCTAATGACTGACGTGGCCACGCAGTATGGCAGCTTTCATCCAGCTGTCATCACGAAGACTGACTTACTGACATGGCCGCGCAGTATAGCAGCCATCATCCAATCCTCATCCCGACAGCTGACTGACTGACTGGAAAAGCTGTCCAATCATCAGGCAAAGCGCCTCTCCAGCAGCACCAAGAGCAAAATCTGCCTCGACCAGGCGTGCAGCGGAACTTTGACAGCTCGTTGCTGACTAAGCAGATTTGAACCTCATTGCTGCGCAAACGTGGCAAACCTTTCCATGCATGCCATTTCAATGACGAGCACAACACCACCCCCTCCACCTTTTCATGAATCCAAGAAGGTTGTAGTTGCTGGTTCGGCGAGCTCAGGCAAGAGCTCCCTCGTTCAACGGTACGTGTTGATACATGAAAAAGCGCACCAACCTACCGATTCCCTTGGCCTAACGCGAAACAAACTCCTAAAGGGCAGTCACAAATACATTCACATCAGATTATCTGCAAACATTTGGAGCCGATTTATGCGTCAAGAACAGCAGCGAAAAGTAAGAATGCAAAAGTTTCTTGTTTTCTATCGGTGTCTCCTTACCCATGCATCAGGACGAAATATGCGCTGAACATATGGACCTGTGGTGGGCACGAGCGATACCGCGCTCTCTTGGAACAATTTTTTGTGGGTGCTGATGTGAGTAGAAGTGCAGCCCAGTGCCATCATATCTCTTCGGCTTTTACATCGACTGATGTGTCTCCGATCAGGTCGTCATCCTGTGCTTCGACATGTTGAGCACCAGTTCTTTTCAAGAGTTGCCGTATTGGTTTAATGAATACAAAAGGTACGGAGGACGTGATTTATGGCTTTTCTGAAATCCTGCAGCTTCTTACGGGAGACTCGCACTTTAGAAACGCGCCAGACGCACTGGCAATCATGGTGGGTACAAAGTCCGACGATGCGGATAGCATCAAAATCAAGCCGCAGGACGCTCTAAAACAGGCGAAAGAATGGGGAATAGAGTTTCGGGCAGTTTCTTCAAAGACAGGAATGAATATTGGGGAGCTTTTCGATCATGTTGTAGCAAGCCTGTAATAGAGGGATGCCTAGTATTTTGCGTTTCCGTTTATATCGTACAAACTACTTTAGCCATTATCCCCGCGTCGTGCACCGCTCTGGAGCATACATGCACTAATTTGCACGCCTCACTGTATACGTCCCTGCCTCCGGCTCGTAGCTGACTTCGTCAAATCTGGGCCGACTAGCATTCATGCTCGTGTGTTAATCGTGAGCCCACTATTTTTAATCCTCTTTTTCGCTCCAGACTGGTCTAGATCTGCTGCGCCCTGCCCCCAAAAGCTTGTGGGCGTCGTACCGGTCGCTAGGTTTGAGAAACGAGCTCGATATGCATGCCCTCCAAATCATAGTTTCCTCAACGTGACATACCAGGGGGTTTCGTTGTATTTAAAGTTGTTGGTGTTTGGGCTAACATAGAAGAAGAGACGTGCGTAAGTCTTTCGTCACAATCAGTACGTGCCTCACACCAACTTACAAAGTCCGCCAAAAAGTGAGCCAGTGGCCTGTCCTGTGGGTGCAGCTGTAATTGCGGAATGAGAATCGGTAGCAACAAAGAAGCTGCAGTGTCAGCACGTACCAGATGGTGCCCACATATTTGACGATGCCAGAGTTGATGATGCTTGCGCTGCATTGGAAGTGGCTGAAAGATGTGATGTATCGTATTAGCCCTTTAGACCACCCGAATAGATGCATAGTCAAACTCTTCGTACCGGAAGGAGCGAATAAACTTGACCCGAGCGTGAATGAACCAGCTGCCTGACTTGTCGCTGATGGACGAACACCGTAAGTACTCGCAGATAGAAGGTCACATGTTAAGACAAGGTACTACCTGGCTGGCCCATATTGGAAGCTCCGATTGACGATATTCCGAACGTTGTTGGGTTAGCTGCTACTTTGAAGAATGGCAGAGTTGGAGACGTTCCTCGCACAGTGCACATCATGGAGCACTTACCAGGTTGGCTGAACAGGCTTGACGATCCCAACGTAGCGTATCCCAACCCAGGTGCCTGTGCTCCTTGGGACGCTTGTGCAGAGGGCTTTAATGTAGTGGAGGCAATGAGTTCGAGCGGTGTCGCTTCTCGACCTGACGCAGATATCAAATGGAATCCTAATCGAAGAAGCTATATTAGAGACCAGTACTCTACCTTGATCGTGCGGTCCTCGTCTTGACTTGAATGCCTCCTCGATGCCAAAGTATCTGCGCCTAAAATCCGCATAGTTCTCCTTTTGTTTATCTAGTGCGTCATGAATCATGGCGATTTTGCTCGCAATTGCCATAAAGCTGTCATCCTGATTCCGCATGATGTCCAGGAGAACTGAATTTGATATATTGCCGTCGTTCAATAGACTTCCCCGACAAAAGCAGGAAACCTTGCGCTTTCACCCACCTTGTGGCGAATATTGTCTCTCCTGGGAAAGGCTTTTAATGTTTAGCTCAAGCTCTTCGATTATCTGTCGATACTGTTGCATTCTTTTCTCCAAGTTGTCGGCAAACTTGATAAAGTACCTGCAGATTCAAGCCACAAATATCATTTGCCATGTTCTACGTAAGAACAGACAGGAAAGGAGAGTTACGTACTGGGCATGCGGGTCATGCTTTGGTGGCGCTACAAACGAACTTGAGCCGCTTCTATACCGCTCTACGAACCTCTGGATAAGGTCGCTATGCCGAAGCTCCAGGCCCACTTGTTGGCGAAGGTCGTCAATCAAGTATCTATCACGCTGCAACAAATTATGCAATCCAGCTAGTTTCTGTCATTTTGGATTAATAAAATAGAATAAGAGCTGCAAGGCGTGGTATGTTTGCAAATAAGCACTCACTTGGGACAGTTGCTTCACCTCCTCCGTGATCTCGCTGATGGAGTCTGCTGTTTGACTTGCAGCATTGGATTCAGCAACACGTATGTTCTGTTGAATGATGTTTCTACAATAACATCAGTCACTAAGGAGTAGATAGGACCAGGAACGCACGAGACCTTACTCAAGCCCATCGACGAGCTGTTTAAACTCCGGTGGCAGTTCGAAATACTTAGTTTTCAACGTAACCGCGTTGATCGACACACTATCGCCAGAAGAGAATTTTAGAAGCCTGTTAGCGGTATGCCGGAGAATATGCTCACTACACGTACCGAGTTGGTGCCGACGAATCGGTTCCAGATGCTGCTCTATGTACGAGGGGACGCATTACATCAGCCCAAACATGCGTAGAAATCGATCAACTTGCAAGCGAGGCACTCACAAAGAAGCTCCCAACGCTGGCGCAGGAGTGACGGAGGCTGGAGGTGCCGCGGTGGCCGCTGTCGATGTTGGAAATAAAGATGATGACGCAGCAGTTGACCCAGGCGCTGCTGTCGCTCCCCCAGAACCAAGGATAGGTGTTCCAAAACCTGCTGGTTTTTGTGGAGCAACGGTCCCAAGGCCACCCAGGCCGGTTTGAGTCGCAGGTTTGGAAAACAAGGACGATGCGCCTAACGTAGAGGCAGGTATTGTTGCGGACGCGGCACTACTTGGCGCGGTACTGGCAGTTGGTTGTAGTGTTGTAGATCCAAACCCAGTTAAACCACCAGTTTGAGCGGCAGGTTTGGAGAACAAGGACGAAGCTGTTGACGTAGAGGCACCGGCACCAATACTCGGTACTGTAGACGCGGGCTGTGCAACAGTTGTGCCTCCAAACCCGCTTAACCCACCGGCTTGGGTAGTTGGTGTGGAGAAGAAATTCGAAGAAGCGGCGGGGACTGCGTTCTGAGCAGGTGTGGAAGTTCCGAATCCGCCGAGCCCCCCAGATTGAGTAGTGGGCACAGAAAATAAGGTTGAAGAACTGGGGGCGGCTGGTTGGGCAGCCGTAGAAATCCCGAAACCGGCGACTCCACTTGATTGACTCGGGGGAGCGGAGAAAAATGTCGAGGTGGACGTGGCAGGCTGAGTTGTAGCGGAAGTTCCAAATGCGCCTAGCCCGGTGGATTGAGTGGTAGGTGCCGAGAAGAAGGATGGAGCGGAAGCCGGCGCGGCCGATGCCCCACCAAATAATCCCGGCGTACTAGTAGCCGGTTGTGCAGCGGGCGCTCCAAAGCCACCAAATCCGCTCGCTTGGGTGGCAGGTGTCGAAGCAAAAGGTGAAGGATTGGCTCCCCAAAGAGGGGGTTGTGCAGACGGAGTTGGATTCGCAGCACTGGCTGGTTGCGATGATGTGGGAGCTCCCGACGCTCCCGCCCCAAAAAAGCCTAAAGGAAGACGACAAAACAGTAAACAACCCGATCGATTCAAGCAGTTACTTGTCAAATTGTAACCGTGTAGACTTACTTTAAGATCGCAAGGAAACAAACAGGAAAGGAATCCAGTACAGTGAGAAAACGTTTGGTCCGCTCAGGGCGACCTATAAAAAGTACCTACCTTCCGCCAAACATTATGGTATTGATAATTGGGCTCCTATCTTCAACAGACCGTTAAAACGCCGCGCAAAGGAGTGTGTGATGCAAATGATCTGAAAGCTGGTGGTCGGCAGGATCTCGGGCAGCAAGTGGTTAGAGAGAGGCTTAGCCTTCACTTGCACGTGATCAGCTGGAACAAGCAAGACAAGATGTACGGAATCGACGACAAAGCTCACTCATGAGTTCTATTCTCACAGGGGAACGCTATGTAAAGTCTGCGAGAAAGTTGGCTCAACTATTCATAAATAAAATTGAAGCGGGACAGGAGATGTGGCAGTGCCGATAGTTGCGGCCCATATCGTGCAGCATTATCATACAGCTCAAATAATGGTACCGCCAACAGCTTCATGTTCTTTGGCACCGACAATAGCTCTGAAGGCAGACTCCATGTAAGTAAACTATATAATGTACATCATATGGCGAAAGACGCTTACTTTTGTCTGGCAGATGCACGAGATACACCTTTTTCATCTCTTTTGGTTTCTGATACATCTGTGTGTTAAGACGGCGATTTCCACAATCACCCAGACGTACAACAGTACTCACCGTGATATGCGCTGGTATGTATGGGTACTGGCCGTAACAATAGGTCAATGAGATTAGCTTCTTTCCCGAACAGTGAACAAGTTGCGTGCAGACACACCATAAAAGTCTCAAAGTTTGGTCGCCACCAAACAGCAAGGAGCTCTCCAACTTCCCAATCGCCCGACCCCGGTTGCTCTCCGCCCGGCGGAGCAAGCTTATGGTTAAGACGTGCTTTTAGACCTTCCACTTCATCTTCTCCCGGTTTTAGGGCATCTCCTGGACTAGGAGGGAGTTGTCGTCAGGATAGACGTACTTTAGATCGCTGCATGGATTTCATTCCTCGTCGTTCCCAATCCCTTTTGTAGGTTGACGTCGCCAAGAAGCAAAGGGTGGCTTCATCTTACCCCTTGAGACTTACAGTTTAAAAAACGTATTTGCGATCTGGAGCATAAGCACGTGTGGATGTCCATGTTCATGCACCACAAGCACTCCCTCAACAGTTATTCGCATGCCCTGTGTTTGGTATTCGCTCTGCAGACGTAGAAGCCGTGCAGCCACAGAAGGATCTTCCTCTGGCTGAGGATCCTTCACCCCAAAGGTGTAACTTGACAAAGGATGCCTACAGAGCATTGTGGGAGTCACCGAACATCGATTAGAGGTCACCCTATCACAAAGTAGGTGGCAAAACTGGAACTCACAGAGTAACGGTCGGTTGTCTTGCAGTAGCCATTATGCCAAAAGGTGTTGGAATTGCTCAACAGCACCTTTCCACCATTAAGTCCAATCTCAGTTACGGTCACGTGATGAAAGGTGTGACGTTGCCTTCATCAACGACCACCATTTGCATTCTTCGTTATCGCCCGTACCTTTTGAGCCTTTCCAGAGCTTTACTTGCTCAATGGACCATACGCTGCAAGGCACGGGACCGTCTAGGTCCGAAAAAGCTTCTCTTCCCATCGCGTTTACAGATAAGCGTTCGACGTATCCTTATGCGAAGAGACGCCCCACCAGCATCTCATCACCAGCTCGGCTTGCTGCGCTCCTGACTGCTGCATTAGCGGCCATACTACTACTGCACTGCTATTGGGGACCGGGCGCTGGGGACGCTTCAGGATTCAAGCTCGCGAATGTTGCGGAGGAAGTACTGCCTTACAACGACTTTTTGGGAAGAGCAAAGCAGATACTCAAGAGGGTGCCGCTCATTGATGGGTACGCAGACGGTGGCAAATGAACGGAGAAATTGAAAGTTAAATATGGTTTTTGAAGGCACAATGATTTGCCATTTTCCTTACAGGTGAGATATCGAACGCATACGGTGACCTAAGTGGATATTTCGGAGGAGTGACAAATTATTTGGCAGATGAGGAATGGTGGTCAGATCAATGACCTCAATCTTACAGATCTGGGCTCCCCATACCATACGGGTGCGTTGCGCTGGAGGTTATGTGCTATTTTGGAAATATTTTTGAGCTGATACGGCTGCTGGTTGTAGACATGAAGCGTTTGAAATCAGGAAGGTGTGTTTTAGGCACGGATGCAGCGTCCCTCCGATGTCATTCGTAATGTCTTACAATCATTTTAGAGTCGGGGCCCAGTTCTGGAGCGCATATGTCCCATGCTCTGATTACACAAAGAAGTCCGACGACGTCAAGTTCACGCTGGTGAGTGTTTCGAGACCTAGCCCCGGTTCCAGGAAGCGTGATCTCACATTTGTGTGTATTAGGAGCAAATTGATCTCGTTCATCGTATGGTTGATTATTACCCTGAGGTAGATATGGTGGACACTTAGCCCAACGTCATTGCAATTGTTGAGTCGTGCCATAAATTTCAGACCCTCGAGTTTGCTCGATCTTCCCACGACATCGCTCGGATCCATAAGCATGGCCGTGTGGCATCGCTTATTGGACTTGAAGGCGGGCATCAGATTGACAACTCACTCGGTACACTACGTCAGTACTATGATCTTGGAGTTCGCTACATGACTTTAACGCACACTTGCCATACCGCTTGGTGAGTAGTGCCTATCATGTTGGAGTACAGATTGCATTTGTTGAGGCACTTCTGAAGGGCCGATTCTTGCACCGGCGAGCCGCTTCATGGTGGATTGACGGATTTTGGGGAGAAAGTTGTCAGAGAAATGAACAGACTGGGGATGCTGGTGGACATCAGGTATTGGCTAGATTACTCTAGCTTGCGATACGAAACGGATTATAATCACAGTTTATGATTAACCCTTACCCTGGGTCACAGCCATGTGTCGCACGATACTATGCGGGACGTTCTCCGCGTGACCGCAGCACCCTTGTTCTTCTCCCACAGCTCCGCGTACGAGCTCTGCAAGATACCGAGAAACGTCGTAAGTTCCGGCCAATCGAGGATTGAATAATTCCATCGTGCCTAATTGTCATGCAACTTTGCTGGCCAGCCCGACGATATTTTGCGACAGCTCCCCGAGAAGGATGGTGTCGTAATGGTAAGTGTCACCATAGATTGAGCCACGAGTTCATCATCCGGGTAACACCTATTTACAGATTAACTTCTACCCGCGATTCGTGAGTTGTTCAGCGAACTCAACCTTGGAATTGGTTGCTGATCATATATCACACGTCGCTGAGGTGGCTGGGCCCGAACACGTCGGGCTGGGGAGTGATTTTGACGGGATTGACGTGGTCCCAAAAGGGTTGGAGGATGTGTCAAAGGTATGCCTGGCCATCCAGTCATATATGTCATGATGTGTAACCATATCTCCGGTCATGCAGTATCCCGATCTGATCGCTGAGCTTTTGCGCCGCGGTTTCTCCGAAAAGGAGGTGGAAGGCATTGTCGGTAAAAACCTCTTACGAATTTTGGAACGCACTGAGCAAGTTGCCAAAAAGTTGCGAGGCGAGAAGCCTGCTGAAGTGAAACTGCCCGTTAATAAAACTTGTTAGATAGCTTAGAGCTTCACTTTGTAACATTGAATCATGAAAAGAGACACCATTTATTTTTACTGAACTGCTCCCTTCAGAAGATTTTGTACCTTCAAACGGTTTTGGCAGTTAAGAAAGCGCTAGGCAGAACTTGAGAGTGCCGTTCGGGAAGAGCGGCTTCTGGCGCCCTAGAGTGTTGGCCTTTATCAACGTTTAATCTTGAAAGTCGGGTGCTCTCGACCGCGCTGCTTCTTGCAAGCGGAAGAAAGGGTTGAAACTCAATTGAACAGTGGCCATTTCCCCTTCCTATATTATTCAATTTTACGCATACATACAGAAATGGACAGTCTAGAACAAATTCTATTAACCACTACGAAGAAACATATCAACGAATAGCTGCGTTTAGTGCTTGCTCAATATCCGCAATCAGGTCTGCGGCATCTTCTACCCCTACCGATAACCGAATCAAACTGTCCGTGACACCTAGAGCCTCTCTAGCTTCAGGTGTCAGCGATGCATGGGTCATCACGGCGGGAAGCTCGGCCAGCGACTCTACCCCTCCCAATGACTCGGCCAAAGCAAAGATGCGCAGAGCGGATAGGAATTTATTTGAGGTCTCTAAATCGCCATCCTTCAGTCGAAAACTGACCATTCCTCCGAAACCCTTTTGTTGTCGCTTCGCAAGCTCGTGCTGTCGGTGACTCGGTAATCCTGGGTATATGACCTCGCCAACCTTTGGGGAGCTTTCCAGGTATCTTGAAATGGCCAAAGCATTTTCTTCATGGCGTTTCATACCTAGAAGTAACGAACAAATTACTTAACCTATTCGCCTCACAGTCGCGCGTAAAACACGAGAACCCATACGCAAATGAAGTGTTTTCAGACCGCGGTTTGCCAAGAAACAATCAAACGCGCTGGGGACTCCTCCAATGGAATTTTGCAAGAACCTCAATCGATCTGCCAGGCTATCGTCGTTCGTGATAGCCACTCCCATAACAACATCGGAATGCCCGTTGATGTACTTGGTAACAGAGTGAACCACAATATCCGCTCCCAACTCCAACGGAGTTTGAAAGTAAGGGCTCATGAAAGTGTTATCGACAACGAGGATAACACCAGGTTGTGTGTGCACAATGTCCGCAACTGCTTGAATATCAACCAGTCGTAAGGTTGGGTTGGCTACGTTGAAAAATACTCGTGAGCTTCTTTTCCAACAGGTTATGTACATGGATTTAAAGGTACGTACTTGGAGTTTCGATCCAGACAACTTTCGTATTTGGCCTTAATGACTGTTTCAATACACTGGGATCGTACAAGTCGACAAAATCAACTTCGATGCCATTGTGACTAGCAACCTTGGTGAAGTAACGGAAAGTACCACCGTATGTGTCGTTGACACTAATAACATGGTTTCCGCTGCCCACCAAATTCAAGACAGTTGCAGTGGTGACCGATCCTGAAGAGAAAGCGAGAGCATGCTTTCCTTTTTCGAGAGCTGCAACAGCAGTTTCGAAAGCGGCACGGGTGGGATTCCCAGAGCGAGAGTAGTCGTATCCCTTGTGAACACCAGCAGCCGACTGTGCAAACGTAGTGGATAGACTCAGGGCAGGGATGACCGCACCCGTAATTGGGTCTATAAGGAGCCTAGTCGTCAACCCTCTGTTGCACTAAATATCACACCAAATTATCTCACATACCTGGGTCCTGGCCTGCATGTACCGCGAGAGTCCCAAAGCCACCGGCTACGTGGCGAGGTGCTCCGCTGAGGTGAGCGTCTTGCGCTTTGGAAGTGATACCGTTGACTGACATGGAGTTAATAAGATTGATGCGATGCAAACAATGGGTCTAAGTTCAAGTTGGTGTACTAGAAGGCGAACTTTAGTCAGCCTTATCGTGAGGGGCTTTTGCTAATGGGTCGACATTGCTATGGCAACAAGCACGCAATGGTGCTCATCGATTCGCATCAATTCAAATAACAAATACGCTAGCGGCGAGCGGCGATGGATATACCGGAGCAGCGAAGAAAGCTACAGTCTGGGCTGCGAAGTGTCCAAAGGTCGGCAATACAGAACATAAGGGATCATCTCAGCCGGTTTCCGAGTGCTCTTTTGAAGAATAATGGTGATCTTGTCACTCTTCTCTGGGAGGTGCTTACCCAGGCTGGCACAAACGCTTTTCTCGCCGCCGCCAGCGGAGACGCTGTGGTATACCTTGTACGCAAGGGGAGCATTGACTGGCGATATGCTATGAACGAGCTTCTAGGCCGCTTGCCCACTGTTCCTGAGCTTGCGCTGCCATTTGTCGTTCGCGCCGTTTCCCAGCTATTGTTGTTGCATGTCGAAAGTCAGGCAAATCAGGACTACCAGTGCCCTTTCGGACTGAGAGCACGGCGACCTCATCCTTTCGTGAGCATTGTGGAAACCAGACCCGAAGGATGGGTGGACGTTCTGCAACAAACTCGTCAGATGCTGAATGTTATGCACAGTGCGACAGACCCACGCCGCACGGCATCGGTATTGCCCAATATTATACGCATGCTTGCGCCCTTTGTGCGATACGTATGTGTGAAAACAGCACTTTCGCCACAAGAAGCAGGCCACTATCAGGGTGTTGTACTGGAGATGCTGTTGAATGCTGCAAAAAACACCAGGGACGCTAGCCAAGTATCTATTGAACTCTTACTTTCCATCTTCGATTCGCTGCCTATTATACCTGGAGATATCAGTGTAGTGCAAGCTTATCTCCTCGAGGGTTTACTAACGTTGATGAAGGAGGCAAGGAATGCCGAGAAAACGCTGTTTTTGTATCGGCTACTTCAGAACATTCTTGAGTGTCGTCACCTTGGACGGTCTGTTTCCTGGGAGTTGTCACTGTTACGATTGCTTGTAACCGAAGTCGGAATAGATCTGAGCGAGCAAAATGTGGCTTGCGTTCTCATTGCCGCACTAGCTTATTGTTTATATGACGTTCCTGAGTACGCTGAGGAAGGCGCTGAGTTAGTGGGGCTAATGTTGCATGTGGTACGGTCCGTAGAGATTGACGCTGCATCGCTGCAGTGTGTGTTGCGATCAGCTACGTTGCCTCTGCTCCAGACAGCAGCTGAGAGTTCCGACGCACCCACAAGGCGCAAAGCATTTGATTTGCTAGTGATCCTTGAACGCTCTGTGCTCAGGAAGCAACCTGCTGAGATTGCAGCTCTCCGCAAGGTAGGAATGAGGTGATCAACATCCATCGCTAGTCGACCGCAGTTGCTTATAGGTGTCGGAAATGTAGACCATCGAACTTCCTGCCATGCCAGCAAGTGGATCGTTTGCTGTATTGCTTGCCGATCTCCGCCTATTGCTCTTGTCATCTACTGACGAAAGCCAAATGGCTCCACCAAAGTTCAAATGTCTCAATGCAAAACTGGGCATTCTATTGTGCACGTCCTTGGTATTCCATCCAATGGAACAGACTCGAATAGCCGCGCTTTCTGATATCGTTTCGAGTGCGACACCTTTCGCATCATCATCTATGTCGATCCTTCCATTACTTCTTTACGCCCTAAAAAACGAGACCTCAGCCAAAGTCCAAGTCCACATCGTCTTGAGCGCTCTTCCTGCTCTCGTGGAGACAAATGATGTGTTTGTAACTGCAGGGGTGTTCCGGGTAGCTCAATCTCTTCTCGGTGACAATCCGGAGAATGCCACTGGAACTCTGGCATCTCTCGGAATCCGGATGATATTGGAAATTTGGAAGCGACAACCGCGGATTTGGCCTCAATTCAAAGGACATCTTATTGCATATCTTAGACGTAGGAGGTACGGCCGTCCCATGAACTGGTCCAGCGGTGGACGGTGGATTGATGAGGTGGAAATAGAACTCGCAATGGCGGCATCAATGCGGTAAGTGTTGTTCCATTGTCGGCTGCACGTCATATAGGAATTAATCAGACCGCATCAGTGACGTCTGTGCTATGAAGGCTGCCGACTGTGGGCAAGATCTGCTCCCACAGCTGTTTTCCTTGCTTCACTCCTCGGATCTACACCCTTCGACCATCTCGTATGCGATCCAGTCCATTAACGCCTGTATCGAGGCGGACATAACGGATCCTCGAGCCGGTAATACAGTTGCGAATATACTCTTCGTGCATTGCAATAATGTTTACTTACATTCCTTGGCAGCTTGGAACGTTTTCATGAATCAGTTCGTTGACAAGCTGGGTGATACTGGTCCGGTGAACGTTCTTGTTGAGCTTTGCGAGTTCTATCGTCTGGTGGCGGTAAAGGATGAAGGTACGCTGGAGATCAGATTGACAGGGCTATGACGTTGTCGCTGACCTATTGACGTGCAATGCTAGCGACTGATACATACATGTTGTTTAAACCCGAAATATTGGAATCGCATCTCTATCCATTCACAAAGCACGCAGCTCAGGATGTTAGGGAAGCCGCCTTTCGGGCGCTTGCATGCTTTCCTACGCCAGACCTGTTTCCACTCCTCGGGACCCCCCGCGACGTGGTTTCGGCAATCGTCTCACAAGAGGAACCACCCTCCACAGCATCTGAGATGTTGGCGAGTCTAATCCGACATGAATGCAAGCATATGCGGCGCGCGGTTTTCAAGGGACTAGCTGCATCTGCGGGAGCTCGACTTGGCGGTGCGCTTGAAAGTGGTGCGCAGAGTCAGTTGGAAAAGGTTCTTCGAGATGTAACTGCAACTGTTCGTAGCACCTGGGAAGGAGGTCGCGCTCCAACAGGGTTACGGTCTGGGTTGGCCGGTAAGAGAGCACTTTGAAATTTCTGGATGAGGACCTTAATCATGACTAGACATGTTTCATCGCCTTCAGCTTTCGCACTGCTAAGTCCACAAAGTGATGATGCCACTCAGCCAATTAGAGTCGGAGCGAGCCTGGAGAAGATGCCTTTCTATCGCAGCCTTGCAGATGCTCTTCGTGATTTATCGCTTGCTGACCACATTGTCTTGCGTATGCAAGCAGTTCCTGCCTGGACCTCGTTCTGGGAGTCATCTCTGCTGTACGTGTATAAGCAGAAATTGCAAAGAGATCAGGCCGAGACTGGCGTTACTATGGAAGGAGAGCAGGAGAAGCGAATGCGGGTCCAGCAGCTGGAAAGCATAGTTGCTATGGCAGCCTCTGATCTTTTGCAGAAACGTTTGAGGAATTCTCGCCTTCCATCCTTGAGTGTCAACATCATTCTGGCTTTCACAGGCAGGTCACCCAATGTTCCTTTGTCTGTAGCTAAATTAAACCTTTCTTCCCATCAGGACTGGTCCTGGCGGCCTCTAGTCTCGGGTTGGTGGTCGCCCATGAAGAAGCCACCAGGGGAGTGGACTTATTACTGAAGGAATACACAGTGGATCCTACAGCAGAAAGCACAGATGCCATAGAGTTGTCCGATGCACAAAGAAACGATGATATACAATTTGCGGTCGCTCTGGCCATGGCTAACATGGTGAAGGTGCTTCCTCCAAATGATGAAAAGCGGACTCGAGCGATTCTTGAACTGCTCGTCCAAGGAGTGAATGAAGAACAACGGTAGGCGCTGGCGAAAAGACAGCTTTATATCTTCTGAAATTCACTGAGTATGGTCGCTATCGGTAGGGATGGACAAGGGTGGCACCAGTTTGCGTGCGCATTTGGTCTTCCTATAGCTGCCTTATCAACCATAACATCCTCTCCTTCTGGTGGACGTGAAGAGCTTCGTCGAGCAGCATCATTTATACTCGACAAGTCTCTCCATGCAAATATCCGACGGAGCGCAATGATGGGCTTCGCGACCATACTCCAGCCCTTGAAGGATGCAAGTGACAATAGCGCTGCGGATGTGGGTCAAATAGTGAGCGATGCTGTGGATTACTTGGAGAATTCCATATCAATATTCGAGCGTGGCATTGAGACGGAAATGGCACTCGTGGAAGGATCGGCGTGGATGGCCTCGGCGGCTGTAGCTGCAGGATTCACAAGTCCTGAACAGAGTGACAAAATTGAGGACATTCTACGAGAAGCTCTACAGTATATGGATGGAAAGGTAGGTGATCGACCTATGATTTTGGCATGGTTCGTTCCGAACGTCTCAAAAGACAAATGCACCAGCGATCGCTCGAAGGTCTATACGCGCATATCCTGCTTTCCTACACCCGTGTTATCCGAGCCCGACATGCTGCGACTTCACCAGATGCACTGGCTGCACAGCTTTCCGATCTCTCCCAAGTAACAACCAACCAATCTGTCTTCACCTCCACCCGCATCGCGAACCTGCTAGCCATTGGCCCACTCTTGGGGATTGAATGGTGCAGCATCTCTTTCGACTCGCATGATCAACACGACGTGGTGGCTCTACGTAGAACTATTGATACACTTCGGGCACAAGCTGTAGGGCAAGAATTCAAAGTTGCTCGCATTGCAGGATGGGTTCTGGGAATTCTTTGTTCGCAAGCCGGTAGCGAAGATGAGATTCGAAGTAGTCTCATGAATGCGGCTGGAGACACATCCCTGAGGACAAGGGATCCCCCCAATTATAGTCGGTTGCATCAGGGGTCAAGCTTCCTGAGAGCCGCATACGACACTCTTGCTGGAATGAACGGTAATATTTTGTTGATACACATACTCCACATCAGACATGTCATTAAGCGCTTTGTTTGGCAGCTTTTAAGGTGACTCGGCAAGGCTTTCATGTCCTTCTCGATGCTTTCATTAATGTGGACATCGATCTTCCCCCTGTTGATTGGATGCAACCGTTTTCACATCTTACCGCGTTGGACACTCGTGACCAACTGGAAAATGATGAAGAAGGCTTTGCCGCTGCATGTTATCTGTTGGCGGCCCGTCAGGCTTCAGCAACCTCAGCCAAGAGCTTTGTGGAGTACTTTGTCACAAAGCTCACAGAGATGGTTGGACGTGACGCGGGGCTATTGCCTTCTTGGGAGCGTGAAGCTTTGGTTTCGTCGGACGGGATATGTAAGCTCTTGAAGCTCGGAGGGTTGAACGAGAGCGAAGATCGAGTTGCAGGGGGATCAGAGGCTGCCAGAAGTGGACCCCTGCCCGTGGCGGTTGCATCAAGCAAAGTCCTGGAGATTTTCAAGTTGGCACTGCGCGCTGTGTTCGGAGGCCAGCATGGTACCGGGTTCACTGATGAGTTGCAGCGTGAGTTTGCATTGTCGGTCGTGCCGTTTCTTTCCACATCTGTGGATCATCAAAGTGGCATGATTAGTGTTCTGCGCAGTGATCTAGCCAAACTGGTAATGGGTGCCTATCGGGATCTACCTCCAGATCTTTGTACTCCGAATGAGGTGGCGACTACTCGTGCGCTGGTGACCTGTATATCGGTCGACATAGAATCGATTGTGGAGCTCATCAATGAACTGCTGCCGGTAGTACCTTATGGTGTGAGCCGAGTTTGGACCCGGAAATCTTTATGGGCTGTTGGGCGAATCGTAGAAATGACAGCAATGCACGCTTCCAACCGTCCGTGGTTATCAGAGGCGCTGGAGGGGATAAGTGGTCAAAAGGCGGGAGCTGCAAGCTTGGTGCAGGTCATGCGAGAATCCTTTTCGCAACAGGATGATGCCACTCGCAGCTTTGCTGTTTGCGCAATGCTCACGGCAATACAGCATATAGTACATGCGAATGAGCGTGAAGAATGGATGCACTGGATGGTGAGGTTACTGGACGTTATGATCATGCAGTGTGCGGCGGCGGCCATGGATAAGACCGCGGGTGTATGTGATGCAGTTGAGGTGACGTGGGCGAAAGGACTGGCAGGAATTGTACGTTTGTCATCTGGTGTAGGATTTGACACCAGCGATTCTGAGAAGGCCGAGGACGATATATCAGATTTTATAATGAACTTCCATTGCGGAGTATGGGAAGTAATTGAATCCGAAATGATAGCCTCACTCCCGAGCCTTGTCCTTGCAAATACTTTACCAGACTCGCTAAGGAGACAAGTAGGTGCCGCTAATCAACTATCATGGTGGCAAAGTTGACAATAACCGCATGATAAACTTTTCAGATCATCAAACGCCTCATTCGCCTGTTGGAATGTACTGGGGCCAACTCTACAGTTGAGGGAAAACACCAGGCAAACATGAAAACGGCGGGAATAACGCTTTCACCGCACTGCCGCGATGAAATACGAGGTGTAGTGCTGCGATTGCGAAACGGTGGCTCTGGGGGCAGTGGAAAAGAGTTGGTGCGGGATGCATGGGCGGAAATCTGGGAAGATGTATGAGCTAAACATGTGCATAGTACAATGCTCTAATTTTCTATTAATAATGAAAAATGGGACCTGGGTAGAAAATTGATTTTCCGATATACAAGTGTCTTCTCTTGATATGCCTCCTATGAGTGCGGTGAGTGTTCCTTCAGGTGGTCATCTGCATTTAACATTGAGAAATTTGTTGGATCGACGCTACAATGCGACTGCTCGGATTGCAACCAAGTTGTATTTACTTGTTCCATTTTGTCGAATGTCCGCAAACGCCTGCTTGCTAAACTCTTATCGTTTTCTGTCCACAATGTTGAGGTTGCAGTGACTTTTATTACAGTATCAAAAGCTGTCCCAGCTTAGAATGCATTCCATCTTTTCCATGATCGAGATGCTACCAAACTATTTCAAACTCCGACCAGACGCGACACGACGGGACACGAATCTGTTTTCTTTTGAGAGTCATAGTTGAATTGTCTAAACTTTTGAGATAGATTCATCATGTTGAGCTCGCCGGCTCTTCCATCATCTCTTCCACCACTTCCCACTCGCGTTCCTGTTGGCGACGCTGGGCCAAGGGTAGTTACTCCCGACAATGCTACGTCCCAGAACGATGAAGAGTTTCTTGAGCTTCTAACGGGAGCCGCAAGTGGCGGGGCAATTCCTCTGCCACCAGGAAAAGCACAATCATATATTGCTATATTCGAGGATGCCTTGGAACAACTCGCTGTATTGGGAGACATCGGGGGAGGAGGTGACGGTGCTGTGACGGGGAAAGCAGAAACCCGACCGGTGCGTGAATGTGGGTAGATCGGGTATCTCTACTTTACGCTTGCAACCAATGTTGTTCCGATCATTACCTTTCGCTTACCTCGTGGGAATACTCTTTTAACAGCTCGGCGATCAAATCACGCGCATTCTCAAAGACCAAAGGGCGTTAGAAGCACGTTACGAGCAACTTCTCGTTGAGCAAGATAAACTTAAGAAGCTACCGAACAAAACAAAATTTAAAGAGAGTCAGATTGCCATTTTGGATGTGACAAATGAATTAAAGCAGAGCTCACAAGGTCTGTAGCGGTGCAGACTTGTGTTATTGCGTTACGTTGTCGTGGCCAACCTAGTTATTACAGTCCTAGCCACAAACCTTAAATCGCATCCCAATGTGGCCAAAAACCTTCTCAAAATACAACAAGAGCGAAGCGCATTACAAACCCTGATCGGCAGAACCATACGGGAACTGCGTGAACATCGTTTTGATAGTTTGATGAGCACCGTGGAAGAGGAGTATAAGAAACGAAATACATTGCAAGATACCATTGATCGGTGAGAATACTATTCCGACTCTCATAAGCGCTCGTCACGTCACCTACCCAATCTCTAATGCCCATAAAGCGAGCGAGACGCTTCTCAGCTGCTTAGGTCTTTACATAAAGAATTGTCGAACGAGAAGAAGCTTTTGGAAGATGAAACTAATGACAGGAATCAAGTCATTCAGCAACTGAAGGATACCATTCAAGAAATAAACATTCTTACCAACTCGGAGCAAAAGTACATCAAAAAGGAAACTAAAGCGCATGAGAATAGTGTACGCCAAAGATGTCAGCATGAAGAAACGAGACTGATGGAGGACAAGTCAGTCCTCTCCAAACGACTAGAACAGGAGCAAAGAGCACACGAAAAAATTGTTGACTTTTTGACAAGACAGCGGGAGACCTTGGAAAGGCAGATTCAGGATTGGATGACTAAATATGAGGAAGATACGGAGGCGAAATCTACGGAAATCGAGACCCTCAAACAGAAAAGAAGTCAAGACCTTGATAAATTTGAAGAGCTCTTGGCTGCGTACGAAGAGCTGGAAAAGATCGTGGAAGAAGATCGTGCAAATAAGCAACGGGAGGCGGAAAGACTCAAGATTGAAAAGCAGCGAGATATGGCAGCAAGAATGGTTCAGCGATGGTGGAGAAGAAGGCTGGAGGCGAAGAAGGTATGCTCTATTGATATAATGCATATGACAACCACTCTAATAATTTACAACAATATACAGCAAAGCGCCAAGACCGTCAAGTCAGCTAAAGGGAAAAAGGGTGCAAAGGGGAAGGGCGGAAAGGCGACCGCACCGGGAACGGCCCAGTCCAAAACGCGGGGGAAAACGCCAACCAAAAAGTAAAGCATAGCGAGCTTCCGCGGGAATAATAGATGGTCCTCAAGTACATCTGGATATTTCTTCCACTTTTTGCCCACAGCGGGGACATGGGAACGAGTGATCCGCCATTATACTCGTCCTGATTTGCCATGCAGTCAGTTAAACTCCGATTAACGATAATGATGTGACGAGATAAAACTTACTTAATGCAATAATAGCAGTAGACATGTCCACAGTTTGTTCGATAAGGGGTATGTACTACAGTCTTTGGGGCGTCTTTCGCATGGCAAATCGCACAGATGTGGTCAGGGAGGTCTACAGTCACAGGGCCAGAAATGGCGCGGATAATAGTATTTTTGATGCGCTCTACATTCACCAGAGGTACTAGGAAAAGAAGGAACTCCTACTTATATAGTTAGCAAACTGGGTGGGGGACACTGCTCCAGAATGCGGTGCGGCCTCTGGGGCACGTCCTTACCGTAAATGCGTGCCAGACGAGTTGTCGATTCATAAACTCAAAGCTCACTTGACGCGCCATCTCCCGCCGAGTATACACTAAACGCATTCGCAGTACTCGATCCAATAACGATCGATATCTATTATGAGGCAGAGTGAGATCTTCATATACGGTCCCTTGCCAACAGCATCCAATAAATACCTTCCATTGTAGAGGAAAACCAGAAAGTTCACTAGAGAAAGCGCCCTGTACACATTTTCCGCCTTCTGGAGATACGTCCACACACGGTTCCGCCAGTCGCGCTATCGAAGCAGCGTTACAAAAACTTCACCATCCATTTGGCATAAACATAGAACGCACCTCCGGCTGTGCACTCCATTCATGCGTAGTTGCATGTCTATTTACTCTTATCCAGCCCCATCGCCCGCCAATATAAAGCAAGGCATGAGCCATCTTCTGCCATTTACTGAGGGGAGCATCTATTGCGGAAACCTCCACTGCCAGATGGAAAGGGGTCCTTGGTGAGCGACTACTCATCCATGTAGCTACTCTGCGTACTTACATCTGCCAGAATGCCGTGCTTCATTCCGGTACTTTAGATTTTGCAGCTGAAGGCCATAGGAGGCACCCATTGAATAAATAGAGAGATGGCACATCAAATATTGTAGCAGGGCGGTAAACTCGGGCTCATATTTCTCTTTGAGGGTCGGCTGTGCATGGTCCAAAACAATATAATGGTTATGAAAACGGAGAAACAAATGGTCATGGATTACGGTTTATCTACCTTGAAGAGCGAGAATATAGCAAGGAACTGTTCTTTTACGACACTGGTCAACTCTGCGTCCAAAAGTTCTGCGTCCAGCTGGCTGACCCGCAGAACATTCAGTGAGGATGGACGATATGCAGCAAGTGCTCTTCTAGCAGCAGAGACGAAAGTCTGTTCTCGTTCACTTTCTGGAACAATGGTCGAAGTCCCGGAAGCATCCCGGGTTACATTTGGACTTTGTGCCAACTCTGGCCTCGTCCAAAACTGCGAGGCATCCTCATTTGTTCTACCGCCGGATGAAACTGATGGTCCGTCAGTATCTGTTGGCATTTAGGTGTGCTGGTCTTCAAAGGCAGATTTGGCCCTACAGTTCACGATCTACTGTGTACGAACTTGCAGTCTTAAATTACTGCCTTGCAGGATGAGTCATACGACAAGTCCCATAAAATCAAATCCAACGACTGTTTCCCTTCATTTCATTCCCAAAAGGTCATTAAACTAGGAGACAAAACACACGTAATATGCTCATCAAAGTAAAGGTACGTTGTCAATTGGGGTATCGACCGTCGCTCTGTTCTCAGACGCTTGGTAATGTCCACGTTCTAATTCTGTTTTTGCATGGCATCCAGACGTTGACTGGCAAAGAGGTATGGGCTACAATGAACCAATGAAGACTATCGCCAATCCTGGCGTTTGTACTCTCTGTGTTGGTGATATATGAGAAGTATCTAATTCTATCTCCTTTTGCATATCAGATTGAAATCGACATCGAGCCAAATGATAAAGTAATACCTTGGTCAATCGCGCCATCGTGTTCGACAGTTTCGATAGTTTGTGACAGCTAATCACACATGTGCTTCTTACCAGATTACCAGAATCAAAGAGCGGGTTGAGGAAAAGGAGGGTATACCTCCGGCGCAACAACGGTAGGTCTAATGTGGCCTATATCGGAGTCCTCACGCAAAGATCCTTACCTGTCATCAATCAGATTGATTTTTGGTGGCAAGCAAATGTAGGTTTTGTAGTCTCTACAGGACGATCATGTCTCCGACAGAGACCGCCTGAAGGATGATATATGATATCTCTCTCTTAGGGCTGATGAGAAGACCGCTACGGACTACAACATCGAGGCTGGATCGGTACTACATTTGGTATTAGCGCTTCGTGGGGGACGGATGTAATTTCAAGATTTGGAATAAATTACTACGGTGCGGAAAAGGATAGGCAATATGCCTTTCTTTATTTTGCAATGCGGTAGATCATATTTGATGGGATATTTGAGCAGCAAGTTCGTGGTTTTGGATTCTTGCCGCGACTTTCGCAAGCCGGTTCCAAAATGATCTATAAGATGATGAAATGATTAAGCATAACTGGACGTGGGTCGCTTACCAGCTTCATCTACTTACTGATCGTAACCACCATGTCGATGTCGTTGTATAAAATCTTTCAGCGCCGCATCAAACGATGCGAGGAATACGGTCCCCTCTGCTATCCAACCAGCGGGTATGCCTTCCGCAATTTTTTCGAGTTTGTCCAAGTCTAGAGGCCCACTTGAGGCCACCCTGACGATAGGAATCAGCTGTCGATTAAGTAGCTTGTCGATTGCCAGTGATTGGACAGTTGCTCGTGGTAAATATCGCCCCCATTTCAGGACCGTCATGAACAGCTGAAGGACGAACGGATAATGAGCTCAGCATGGCACTAACCTGAATTGATAGCCATGGCATTTACCTTGAAAGTTATCCAGAACCAGTGATTTCGTGATTCAATCATGGCTTCAGTAAGACTTGGTCGTAGACGCGTAACGAAGAAGTTATATCGGTCCACCGTAGCATCGGTAGTCCGGGTTAGCCGCATTTCTATTGCGCTAACTAGACCCTGCGAATTGAGCAGGATGTGTAAGTTCATGTCTTAACAGCCCTGATATCCTATGAACGTCGGGCACAGGCTATCTACCTTGAAAGCTTGATCTTCCACATGCACATAATCAAGGCATTGGCCCATAATATTGATCAAGGCATTGGTTTGCTCCTCAGAATTTGGATCATACGTGTCCACCAAAGCTTTAATGCGTGGGATGACCGCTTTTTCCGCAATCCGTGATAAGAGCTTCGTGTCTGGATCATCCGCATTCATTACATGCGGTGAGGTTATGCCATAGTCCATCAGTGTGCGGTGCCACTCCATTGCTTCCAAGACGATAGGTATCTGGAGAAATGACAGGAAGAACTGATGAACATCGCCGTGCTATTTTGCAATTCAGCCATCAGCCGTCTTACATCCTGCAGACTCTGCGTCAAAAGCTCCCCTCGCACAAACAGCTCGAATATCCCTGGCACACTCAATGATCCGTAACCATCCTCATAGTCTTTTGGATACTTCCGCTTCCATATTTCAAATCGCTTCTTAATAATAGGCAGTGAGCGAAACTCGTCATCAGTATCGTCAAACAAATGCTCCAGCCGTTGTCGCACACGGCCTGCCCAAAGTTCCAGATTAGATAAAGCAGATCCATAACTTGCAGACGATAAAAGTAACAGTGAGGTACCTAGTCTGGAAGCTAATTCCGCCTCATTGGTAGGCTGCTGTACTTCATCGGTTTCCATTTCCCCAAAAGGCATTTGTCCATTCGTTTCTTGTGGTGGCGCTGGTAAACTTCAGTGATCACCCTCTCGGGCACAAAATGGATCGATATGTTTGCTTACCCGTCCAGATTGCAAAAGTTGCAAACCAGTCATCCATGACTTTTTCCCGCTGTTCGAAGATAAGTTTGTTACGGGCTTTGATAATGGAATGATACTCCATTTCAAGGCTTTCGAGTTCTGGGAACTATCCAAATATCTTTCAGCTCCTTGCGACGGGAAGATAGCTTACAATAACAGTAGCATACCTTGGTATCCAGAAAATCGGCCAGATCCTCGATATACGTTTTGAGATCCTGAAAGTAGGTATATCGTTCGGAAGAACCCTTGGTATCCGACTCCAGACTTGCGGTTGCTATAGTCGACTTTTGTGCCTCATGCTTGATTTGCTCAAGCTGACGGATGTGATTCTCATGGGTTGCTTCCAGATTGCTGAGGGTAGATGCTAAGCGAGAGCACACAGCGCTAACTGAGGGAATTGGTATTGAGGCGGGGACTGGACGGGTGAAAGGTTAGCCAGTAAAAAGCAGGGACGGTTATGCCCAATATCAGCTCACTCTGTGCAGGTGCTGGTGGGCGCGACTGCGGCTCTGGCTTGGCGTCGTGCACCTTTGGTTTACGTCCTTTCCGAATCTGCTCCATTTCCCACCGACGGACCTCCTCATCTTCCACATCTTCTTCCTGTCTAGTGAGAAGCTTGAATGAGGAAATGGTCGTAGTTCTTCCAGCATCGAAGCGCCATCCTTACGCATGGATAAGGTTCCCTTCCATTTCCTTCTGTCTCCGTTCTTCCTCTTGCTTTACTGCCTCACGTCCAAATGTAATACGATCACCCTCGTAGTCTTCAAAAGCCTCCTCTCCTTCGATCTCTTCATCCTCGGTTACCAGCCGCGACTCATGTTTGTAAGACTGCCCAACCTATCATAGGAGAACAGTTGAGCATCATCCATATGCTGCATACAAGCCTAACAGATTGATACCTCTCGGGAACTAGATAAAGGAATGAAATTGACAGAGGATTCTTTGGCTCCACTGATAGCAGCAGCCCTCTTCTGTTCACGCAATTTTCGAGCGGCGTGAATCGTAGCTGCATCTGGGATACTCTCTGCCAGGGAAAGGGGGGCCAGGTCGTCTGCCAACATATTTGAGGAAGAAAACAGGGAATCGGTCGTGCCAGAAGAAGGTGGGGCTGTTCGCTGGCTCTCCTTCAGGGCACGCAAACTTTCCGTTGAGTAGTTGCCGTTTGCGAAAGCATCCACTGTGCGCTCGGGAACAAGTTCGCGGTTGACCTTCGCTTTTGTCATTCGACGGCTAGCTGCTGTTTTCTTTATGGTAAAAGATTCATTTGTGCCCTGCGTCGGCAGTCAATGCATGAATATCGTTCATTGTGAGCACCGTGTTTAAAAAGTATTCAGCACCCACCTCGTCGTCTTCGCCAAAGCTCAACGCAACTCCTGTTCCACCTTTTGGCTTTGCTTTCGGCTTTTGAGCACTTTTCCCCTCTTTTTTAATGCTATTTGCGATGGCCTTGACCTCTAGCTCCCCACCCGTTTTACCCTCCCTTCCATTGCCGTTACCGTCAAGAGCGACATTGTCACTCCCATCCTCGTCCTCATACACCTGTATCTTCTTTCTCAAGTTCTTCGCCTTTGGTTTCCGAAAAGACGCAAAGCTCATAGCTCCCACGATCTAGATTACATGAAGATAGCCTTTGGATTTGACGATGGGTTCATCCCTTGGTTGTCACAGCAACAAGCTCTGTGCGCAGCTCCTCCATGGGTGAGCTATGGTCTTCTGAACTCGTTTGCACTAGACGATGGGCCAAGCTCCGTCCAACCTGGAGCCCATGGCTTCTTTCTGCCAGGTTGAGGCACTTGCGTCACAAAAATGTATGCAGCAGCATAACTATGATAGGTATGTTTGCTAAGGCGTGTGGAACCGACGTAGCTCGCCATTCCTATATTTCCTACGTTCTATTGTTAACTGGAAGTTACTCCCGTTCACAGAGAAGCATATCGACGGCCGTGCCGGCAGGCTTTTCAAGACTATCGCGACTGTAAGCAACGATGGGTAAGCATTGGAGATTTGTATATCATACGTTTAGAGATATTACAGACGAGACTTGGAAGCCACGTTTGACCTTTAAGTTTGCTCCTAGCATGACTTAAAAGCCCAGTTGTTGCGAGATGCTGCCAAGAAGGGGTAGAACAAGTGATTCGCCATGATCCTAGCTTCACGATCCAGAGCCGCCGCAGTGGCAATCTGTGCACTGGCCCCGACCATTCATATTAAAGAAACCTTTGCATTTGTACTCTTCACTCTGTAATGTATTTATACAACCAAAAATAACAAACTTGGTTCACCTATAAAAAGTATTTACTATGACATCAATAATCTGTAGTTGGAAAATCGTTAACTTGATGAGCGAAAAATGCCCACATCTACTAATTTCTTCCCTTTCGGGTTCCAAACACTGTCCCAATTACTGAGCTCGCCATGCTGGCCAAGGACGTAATAGGTCGCGGGGTATGATCAACGACTTGTCGCGTACACGATTCGAGAGTACTTCGCAGCCGACTGTAAGCCTCTTCACGATGTGCTCGTAGGTCAGCAATCTATTTGCGCAGACACCACATAATTAATGTGAGGAGCACCAAAGTGAGGGCAGCAGCGCGTCATTACCTCATCTCTCAACCCAGCCATGTCAAGCTCCCAACAGCGTGTCCGCGTTCGCTCAATCCATTTTGTCCATTCCCAGTCCTGCTTGCGAGGAGTCAGCTGTCCTGAATCTACACCCCTCACTGTTGCGCCTTGGTATGGTTCGTCCTCATCTCCTTCATCTATCCCAGTTACTCCCCCAAACGCCATTTCTTCTTCAAAGTGCTCCATATCACTAGCTCTGATATCTTCCAATTGTTCTCTCAGCTCGTCGACTACCCTGCTCTGTCTGGCATACTCGTCTTTCAGCCCTTCTGTTTCCGCCACCTTAGCCTCTAACTCTTTCGCATGAACGCTCAGTTCTTCTAGCTCTATTCGTTGCATTGCACAACGACGATCCGATTCTTTCTTTGCAACCAGCAGCTTGGCATTTTCGGTCTCCAGGTCTTTAACCCGTCGGCCAAGATCCTGGATAATCTCCTGATCGGTCTGCTCGAGTTCTTTCGTGTCCCGACGAACTTCTGCGTGTTCACGCAATAATCTGCGCCTGTCAACTTCGAGTTCTGCAGCGGCCTGAGCCGTTGCCTGCAACTCATTACGAAGTTGATCCAGATCTCGTTCAAAATTCGATACGACGCGCGCATGACCCGCTTCTGCATCCCGAAGGTCCTGCAGTGTAGCACGTAGCTGGTCTTGTAGACTTGCATTGTTGCGTCGCAAGTTTGATACCGTTTGCCGATGGATTCGCTCCGCGTCGCGCAGATTCGCTTCCAATACGTCAAGTTGGGCTCTTAGATCCGTATTCGCTCGCTCGAGAGAGTTGACATACTCTAGTGTTCCGATCGACCGTCGACGGGATAGGGAAGGTGCTGTAGTACTGGTTGGTGAATCTGAGCTTAAAGATGGTTCGGAAGCAGCGACTAAATCGATGCTCAGCGAGGCTTTTGATCTCCTTCGCGCTAGGCTTCGAAGAGACCCTCCCCTCAGACTAGCTCTAGATCCATATTGCGGTGCCTGGACATTCAACTGTTGTAGCGATTTTGTTCTATTGACCAATTCTTGATATTCTGTCATGAGAGAGTTGTTGGCGGCTACAAGCTGCTGACCGATTTCAGCGGCCAGAGTTAAATCTGGAGCAAAATTATCATCAACGGCAGCTCATTGTTCTTCGCCGGCACGGCACAGTGTCCCTACCTCTTTCCTTATCTTTGAGCGCTTCCAACGCATCCTTTAGCTTGGTCCGTAGATCCTGTTCACTCCAAGAATCCACCAGCTCCAGAGGAGCATTGTTGAAAATCAACGCGCTTCGTCGTTTTGATGCTCTCGTTAGCGACCGCATAGACCGCACCTCATCGGCAACGGCATTACCAATGGCTGTAAAGCAACAATGTAATCAGCGTCTTCTCCATTTCTACCACCATTGCGATCCCAACCAGAACGACCGGCCTGAGAGATGTGATACAGGCTACACTTACTTGTTACTACAAAGTCAGCCTTTTCAACCTCGGGAGACGATGAGGAGGGACTTGTTGGTCCAAACGTTTGCGATAGATTAGGGCGATCGCTCAAGTCGAGCGGCGATGGAGGAAGAACTGTCATGAGCAGGTAGCAAACCCTACAGCGCCAGAGCCTGACGGTCGCAACCCGGTCGATATATGAGGTGAGATAGAGTTGGTTCTTGATATGCTCCCTATGGCTGCCAGATTCTGCTGGCGAATAATTGTTACAGTGCCACTACACTGCCAAAGTTTAGTCAGTACACACGAGGCAACAGAGCGGAATTAGTGCCTATTGCATACAGGCAAGGTAAGAGCAAATGTGTTTGAGAGGTTCCGTTGTAAATGTAGGTGAAACTTGTGCAGATCTCAAATGAGGTGCGACGAAATCCAGCGCTAGCCGAAATGATCACATCATTTGGAATCATTGACACATGTAGTTACCCTAAGGACGCGCGTGACAGCGCCGCATCCACAACATGACTGGAACTTTCATGCGTTTATTTATCCTTCAATGTTTAATATTGAGATATGTATATTATCATATGGCATCCGGTAGAATACATGTGACGATAACGACTGTCACCGGCTCAACTGTTCCTTTTTCTTCTTTTTCTTTATTTTCGCCCGCTTCTCAGATCCATTACCTTGTTGACTTGTCGATGCAGCTACATTCTCTTGAACATTAGGTCGAGTGGTCTCCTTCCCGACTGGCACCCGCTTCACTTTCTTCTTCTTCTTTTGCAGTTTCTCGTCATCTGAATGCTGAAGTTTCCGCTTTTCCGCTGTCTCAGATCCATGAAGAGCAGTAGCATGTGCCTGATCGAGTTGTATCAGCGCATCTCCGCCACCTTCTTTTTTCAGCTTTTTTCTTTCAGGGATCCCTTGGGATTGATTCTTCTCGCGCGACGAACTTTTCTTTTTCTTCTTTTTTATCCGTGCCTGCAGATGTTGTATATCTCCTTTCTGATGGCTCTCATCGGGGTTTGACCTTTTAGTCTGTCCACGGGCCGAATCTGCGTGATCTGCTCGCAATGGCTGATGTTCATCCGCTAACTCTGCATCCTGTCCTTCGCAAATTTCCTGATCATAGATGTCAATGTCCGGTCTTGCTGCCAAGTCAATAGGACGTGTCCTATCGAATTCCAACTCCCTATTCAACTGGTCCTTCGCATTAGCAGCTCCCTCCACTCTGACTTGCAGATCCCGCCTTACTATACTAAAATCTAGGTCCTCTTCTTCGCTATCAAGGGTATCGGGAAGCAATTCTACTTGATCAATCTTTTCATCATCGCTATCCTCAATGAACTCCTCGGATTTGATGTTAGGTAGGGGCATAAGTGATAACGCGATTCTCACAGTCTCAATGAAAGTGTAGCTTTCCAAATCTGGAACTCGCGCTCTTGCTCTAAGCCATCGCTCTTTGAGTTTGCTAGCAGGCCACATCTTCCAATCCTCACCCTTCAAAGCATCCCAGTCGACTTCAGACTCATCATATGCGCCGTCACAGAGAGCCAGCATTCGGGATAGCAGCTCCCGGTCATCGTTTGTAGTCCAAACTGGCCGTGGTGTTTCCTCAGACTCGAATTCCGATAAGCTCGCGATATTTTTATACCATTGCCACCGGAGTTGTGAGGCACTTCTGGTTTCGAACTTCGCGGCAACCAGCGACCACTGGTTGAATTTGAGAGGATCGTCAATACCGTCGCGTTCCATGACTTCTTTGACGATTGTCACCAGCCGTTCGTGCTCCTCTTTCGTCCAGGTTCTCTCTCGAATATCTTTCGGGCATTTCTCCCAAAACATAATCCGCCGCCAGCGCAACCTACTAGCATTATCACGTAGGCCCATCTCTCGATCAATGTCTGCCCATTTCATCCCTCTTAGCACTAGGGCCCTTAGCCTGTCATCTGCTTCTTCAGTCCACTCCATCTTGACCTTTCTAGGCTGACAGTCCCATGTTGCATTATACGTCCTCTTCAAGTAAACCATCAATTGTGAAAGGGTGCGGTTAATTCGTGCAGCTCTGTGTACTTGAAGCATCCATTTGGTATACCGCTTATTTGCGTATGGATTTTCTATCGGTGCCCCCTCCGTATCGGTCAATTTGGTGCGCCGGGTAATCAGCAAAGGAAGGTCTTCCTTAGGTATGGCATGCTCCTCTAAGTATAGGTCGATGGCGTGCTGGATTCTCTCACGTTCTCCGGTAGTGAACGGTCCTTGAGCGTAGGTGTCTGCAAATGTTGCGTGAAGCTGGTAGTTTTTCTTGTACGTAAATGTGTTAGATGGAGGACGGTCGTCCTCTTCTGGATCAGGTGCACCTTTTCGGGTGCGGAGACTGGCGGCATAAGCCTCTGAGCGCTCCACCGGTGGTTTGTGATAGTCAGCCGCTCTCGTCGATCTCTTGACTTTCTTTGCCTCTTTTGACTTGTCAGAAGTGCTCCTCTTGCAGTCCACAGCTACATGGGATTTCGATTCAAGGACATTTGAATTGTCTTCGGGGCTAAGACTAATTTTTGGGAATGCTTCTGACTCCGTGGCATTTACGGTCAAGGTCTGTCGGGAAGGAGTTGACTTTGCTGCCCGTCCTCCTTGCTCCCCAATACGCTTCCGTTTCTGTTTTCCCATCGAGCTTGAACAGGCAACTCCATTTTTCCGCTTCGACTGGGACTTGTTTTCCGTGGTCATGACTTTCTGCCAATCGAAAATTACGAAACCTGCCTGACTATCAGCAACATCTTGTATTGTTGCTATAGCAACAAGCAGTGACTAGTCTGCCGATCCTCTCCGATTGTCCTCTACCGTTCCACCCTCCAAATCCTCCCCAAACACCATGGCCTCAATGCTCTCTAGCACCGCTTACATCGCCGCGAAGGCCTCTCTCCGCACTGCCAATCCGACAAGAATCCTCGCGGCTAGCTACGCCACCTCGGCCAATGTGAAGAAGATCACCGTTATCGGGTCGGGCTTGATGGGCGCTGGTGGGTCCACATCCTTGTCTATTACACACATTTGGAGTACTCTATTGTCTAACCGCTTGACAGGTATTGTGCAGGTGGCTGCCCAGTCCGGATACCACGTGAACATGGTGGATCTGAAAGAGGAGTTTCTTGCGAAGGGTGAAAAAATCATCACATCTTCGCTGAAGCGAGTCGCCAAAAAGAAGCACGGCGATGATGCAGCTGCTTCAAAGAAGTTTATTGATGAAGTAATGTCCCGTATCAGCCTGTCGACTGATTCTAACAAGGCTGCATCCGAGTCCGATTTGGTCGTTGAAGCCATTGTTGAGAACATCAAAACGAAACAGGCTCTCTTCAAGGCCCTCGACGAGGCTGCCCCAAAAGACGCTATCTTTGCCAGCAACACCTCATCTCTTCCTATTGCTGACATTGCTGCCGCGACGAACAGGAAAGACAAATTTGCAGGATTGCACTTCTTCAACCCGGTGCCACAAATGAAGCTTGTGGAGATCATTCGCATTCCGGAGACTTCTGACGAAGTATTCAACACTCTTAGTGATGTGACCAAAAAGATGGGTAAAGTACCAGTTGCGTGCAAAGACACTCCCGGGTAAGAAACAAGAGCACATCATGAGTTTTGCAATTCCGGGTGTTCATGAAAAACAACCCCTCTAGATTTATTGTGAACCGTTTATTGGTGCCGTACATGATGGAATCTTTGCGTCTCGTGGAGCGCGGTGATGCTTCCATGCAAGACGTTGACACTGGAATGAAGCTTGGAGCAGGATACCGTAAGTTTTGTGTGGGCTGGTACTGTCGGTGCCTCTAGCTAACAAATATCCTATGCAGCGATGGGTCCCTTCGAGTTGATGGACGTAAGTGTGACCCTGCAGTGTTGTATCGTGGTATGAAAGGTATCTAACGTTTTCCCCAGTATGTCGGCCTCGACACAATCAAGTTTATCACCGATGGTTGGTACAAATCCGGTAAGGGATTGGTTGGCGACAAGCTTGTTGCACCTTCTCCCCTTTTGGAAAAGCTTGTGAAGGAGGGACATCTTGGTAGGAAGAGCGGAAAGGGCTTCTACACGTACGAAGGTGTAGGCGCCGATAAGGGAAAGAAATAAGTTTTAAATCATATGTAATATTTGCTGCAGCGTTACAATTTGCTAATACACGCATCATCCTTGATCATCCTTGTCCAGTATGTCAATTGTAATACTCCTCTGTAACCCACCCCCGCCAAAAGACAGTTTAGCTGAACGTTTCAAACAGGCTATTTGGTTGGTCAATATAGTCAAGTACTGGGCACACCACATCCCTGGATGGGCTCCCGCTATTCTGTAGCAAAAGAATTCAATGCAATATCCAATTCATGAAATTTGAAGAAGGCCATGAAAGGGCTAAGATGTTCCTTACAGAAAACCATTTGAGAGCAAATTATCAATTCCTAGTTCGATGTCAGTCTGTGGATTATGTAAGTGATGAGTAATCACAAACTTCAGCTCCACTGATCAACGAGCTGATCTGTCAAGGAGCAAACCGACCTTTGGAATACTGTTGATTTCTGCCGGACGTCCCTTCCACGGTTAAACTGAAGGTGAATAGCCAGTTGCAGTGCTTAAATTCCCGCATTTTTACTATAGTTATTAACCTGGGTCTTTATTGTGGTGCATTTAATCAGTGTTGCTGCGGAAGCGCATACTGGAACGAACCCTACGATTGACATAAATATCACATACCGATACTCTCATTCAAAATGCCTGTTGACGTTGGTACGTATTCCTTCGCCTTGTTCTTACCTGCCTCGTCTGCGTTTGGTTGCTTACGATCGCACTAGCCCCTATCCGTTTGAGCACTTCCTCTGCGGAACCCGACCCTGACACGTTGGAAAGTCAAGTGCGTCAGCTCAAAAAGGAGCTCAAAGATTGGGAGCATGCATTTGCAAGCAAGGAAGGGAGAAAACCGGAGAAGGCCGATATAACGGCGAACAAGGACATAGGTTGGGAACGAACTCCCCTCGAACAGCTGTGACGGTTGACTAAAAATCCAAATTCTACTAGCGCGACGATACAAGGCGTATATCAAGCTAAAGTCTTCACTCGAGAGCTCACCTGCGCCGGATGAGAAGACTGAGAAATCGATACCCCGATCTAAATCAAGTAAACAACGTCGGCCGGCCACTCGTGATGATGAGGCAACAGAGGGTACCGCCAATGAGGAAGATGTTATTCCATTGCCAACCGTTGCAATGCCAAAACCGCCTCCAGTTGCAAAGAAGGTGCCCCGGAATGCGGTACGGAAGGCCGCTGGGGCACGAGCTCTTACTAAGCCGAAAAGCAGAGGGGAACCAACCGACGATCCCTTTACCAGAGACGTGACATCGGACGGTGGAGATGATTCTGAAGCTGCAGCAGAACAACAATCTCCGAGAGGGTCCACCACTTTGAAAGCAAACTTTTTGGACAAAGAAGCCGTTACGGCCATCGCCACCTCTACTTTGGTTTCAGAAGAGCACCTGGACACGAGCTTGAACCCATCGACGGCCATAGCAGCCGAAGCCAGACCGTGGGGGGCAACAGCAGCTCTGCCAGAAAATTTCAAATTGAGAAGAAATACAGTCTCAGTAGGACCCATTTCCACTGCAACGCTCTCTGCGGCTGAGAAACGGCCAACATCGCGGCCTGGAACCGCATCTGGAGAGCGACGTTCGACTTTCAGCGAGGGATCAAGACCAGTGACGAGCGCTGGCGGCATCGGTAGCAATACCGCCAATGCAGGCAGCCTGCAGGATAACTTTGGATCCACAGAGGCGTCTGAATTTCTGGATTTTATGAATCGACGAAAGGAAATTGAGAAAATTACCTCCACGCAGGTACCTGCGGGAGCCGTTACCGCTGCCGAAGCCCTCAAAGCCATGCAGCAACGTCCCAACTCACCCAACACTACGTCGCCTATGAAGACGGATCGTGCACGTGCACCCATTGTAACCTCCATTACAGTTCAACAGTCCCCCTCCTCCGCGAATGCCAGCAAGTCATCGGCGTCACCCTCCATCCAAGCTAATCCGCCCTCACAGCCTTTGACTGCTGCTCAACTCCGAGAACTCGCCAAACCTTACGATCCGACTGATATTGACTTGGAGGACGATACCATCCTAGATACACCTATACACGCCATCGATCACCGTATATCGGCGTCATCACCAACCAGCCGCCGATCAGATGCGCCCAAACCACCTAAACGACAATCGCTCGCGTTTGTAGCCTCTCCACAACATCGAGCCCAGCAACAGGATGTAGACGACGGAGCGGATGAGGAGGAAGAGGAAAATGCTGGAGATATAGTGGCACCTTTGGCCACATCCCCCATGAACCCACAAACGATGTGTGTTGGAGCCGATGCGATTGGTTCGGCAATGAACCCAAGCCTGACCAACGCGCAGATCTTTTAGTACGTCTGTCATCATTTATTTGGGCTTGACATGTAACCATTTAACCTTTCTCTGTGCCTTTTCAGCCGTATCCCGCCAGAATATATCCTCCGCTGCAAACTTTATCGCAAGAAAAATATTCTCGACAAGGCACATCCAACGTTTTTCCTATATAATCAGGTTGATGACACCTTCCTCCTCGCCGCACGTAAAAGAAAGAAGTCGAAGAGTGTCAATTACGTTATATCCACAAGTCAGGTTGATATGAGTAAAGATTCAAAGCACTATGTTGCGAAGTTGAAGTAATTAGCCTCGATTGGGTCTGAGACTTCTGGTAGTGATTTAACCTAGTATTGAATAGGGCAAACTTCCAACGGACAAACTTCATCCTCTTGGATGCACGATCCTACAATCCTCGCGCATCCAATAAAGGGTTGCGAGAGCTCGCTTGCGTCAGTTATGTAAGTAGTCTCGCATACCATACATGTATGTATCCTTCTGAGGTAGCTCATTCTCCACCTTTGATTAGAGTAAAACTGTTCTTCCCAGAGAAATGTCCGTGGCTATTCCCGCAACCCACATTGAAGAGCTATCGGTAACTCTTTCCAGTCTGAGCTGTCATCATATCACTCGGATGAACTCATACTTGCCAATTAGGAACATTACTCAAAGGATATAATGGCAGATGTCAAAACCCAAAACACCAACAAACTACTCTTTCTGCGAAACAAGCCTCCACGGTGGAACGAAGTTACTCAGTCACATTGTTTGAATTTTGGCGGACGGGTGACGCAGCCTTCCATCAAAAACTTCCAACTAGTCGGGACGGAGAATGGTATGAGCTATTGTAGTTGTTCAACGCATCTACTGGTCATCAACATATGTATTCTGCTTTAGAAAACTTTGTCATAATGCAATTTGGACGATGTGGCCCGGACTATTTTACGCTGGATGTGCGATACCCCATGACTCCTCTCGACGCATTCGCCGTGGCACTGACCACCTTCGATGCATACGACAATGCATGACAAAGTTAATTGTTGCAACATCATCTTACGGTGCCATGGGTTGGAGAAAAGTCTTCAGATGACATTGTATACACCCAAAAGTTTGTTCAGTAACGTTTGTATGTAAGATTTTTAAAAGTGTATACTATGTACTGGTTTACCCATATCTATTAGCCAGCTCAATGCAAGATAATGAGTGGTTCTGGCTGTGCCAGCAGTAATGCATGCACTACTTCAGGTCCATAAAACTAACAAATATCATTGAGAACGAGGACAGTTGTTCTGGTTCAGTAAGCGGAACTGCCGCAAGTCGATGAGGTTACCATTAACCTTGCCTCGTTTGCAAGCACGTTCGTGCATCTGTGCATCTACCCTCCGTCAATATGCATTGAATGACGTTGTACCCTGCTTTTAATGCTAGCTAGTAGCTTGCTCCGGAGCAAATTATTCCGCGCTCAATGTGGTCAGATGCACTGCTATTTAGGGAAATAGCACTAGTTTGGCCCCAAGGAGACGAACGGGAGGATGTCTTCGGAAGAAAGGCTACAATTAACAAGTGGACGATATTGACTAAACTAATACTGGCTTTAACAGTGATCATATAGTGTGGTAGGGACGGTCTCATCAGCTACTTCTCAGCTATATCTATTTCCTTTTTACTGATCACTATCGGTCATTAATGTGCCCACTGTCGGTGA